TGCAAGCTTAACGCGAAATCAGGCATCTACCTAATTCGATGGGACAATTTAACCACTGACCGACCTACTGCCAACCACGCTTATGTTTCATCTACCTCTCATTTATCTCTTACTTCTGTCTCACACGATCAAGTTGCACCTATCACTGAGCAATTTAGCAAGGTTGCCCTATCTTCACACACCAAGAAGCACCTAGATGGGACAATCGACCTATGGCATAGACGACTAGGACACGTTAGCAAGGACGTCCTATCTCATCTACCAGAGCGCTCATCAGGCATCACCATCAAAGATATATCTTCGCCTATCAACCACTGCGAGACATGCAAACTGGCTAATTCGCATCGTCAAATCTCTCGACGACCTATGCAGTACAATCGCCCTTTCGAATCTCTGCATTGGGATCTTATACACTTCGAACCATCCTTAGGCAGAACGACCTACCTATCTCACTCTGTGGACCCTATCACTAAATACCAACTGGCAGAAGATCTATCTACCAAGACCGATTCGACCCAATCTCTCTGCGACCAGATCGATTTCGTACAACACCAATTCAACCTACGCGTCCTCACTATCCATTCAGATGACGAGAGATCTCTATCTGAATTCTTCGATCAAGAAGCACAATCACGTGGTATCTATCTAGAAACCACACCGCCCTACCAACCTGACCAAAACGGCTACGCTGAGCGTTATGGCGCATTGATTTCAAAGATGGCTAGGCAGATGATTATCGATTCAAACCTACCAAGCTATCTCTGGCATGAAGCAGCTAGAACTGCCGTCTATATTCAAAACCGCCTACCTCACCGCACACTAAACTGGCAATCCCCACACGAAGCGCTTGCTACCTACCTCGGTGAAAACGCACCACATTGGCTACAGGCAAAGCCAGATCTCTCACACATTCGAATCTTTGGATGTAAAGCTTATGTACGCATTACTAAGCTACCTAGACTAGCTAAGCTAGCACCACGTGCTGCTATCGGCTATCTAGTAGGTTATGAAGCCTATAACATCTGGCGCATCTGGATACCTACCAAACGACGTGTAATTCGTGCACGAGACGTCCAATTCAACGAGGAAGAATCCTACAATCCTTCGCTACCCAACCAACGCATCCAAATCTATGAGGAAACCAATCTATCTCAACAGATTGATACCCTTGACGAGGAGGAGATCAATCAAATCCTCGAAAATATAGATATCCCATTCAACCTCAACCAACCGGTGCAGCAAGATCTCGGGGGTAGAAGTAGTAGTAGTCCTACTATCAATATCGATCATGCCATACCCATACCAACAGACGAAATCCTCGGAGATCAACCAATCACACCGCCGCTTGAACCGAAATCAGACGAATCGATAAGTTCTAGCCAATCAGAACCAGAGGATATAGTCCCTTTCGTCTTAATTGACAATACAAACTTCGACCCTTCTGGATATGAACCTCTCAATATACCAACTAAACGCCCACGATCAGATTCCGATTCAACCGACGACGAAAGTGAGAGAAAACGCCCTCACTTATCCCTCACAACCTATTTCCAAGCTTTCTCAACAGACCAATCTCATCAACCAAAGGTCTTGATATCAACGATTCCACCACCACCATCTGGTTACCACCAATTGACCAGCCATCCTTTTGAAAGCCAATTCCGACAAGCTATGCGAATCGAATTCAATAAGCTTCTGGATATGCACGCGTTCGAACCTATCAACAAAGATCTCGTCAGATACACACACCAATCGAATTGCAAAGATCTTAACCAATCAGATTGCCCACGCCACCAGCTCATACCAATGAGATGGGTCTTTGCCTATAAATCTGACGAATCAGGATACCTCACACGCTTCAAAGCGCGTCTATGCGTACGCGGAGATACACAGAAACCTGACGACCAGGATCCACGCACTAGCACGCTTGCTGCTAGGACCTTTCGCACGCTCATAGCGATCATCACGCATTTTGACCTAGAGACCTTTCAGATGGATGCAGTCAACGCTTTCCTAAATAGCGATCTTAAAGAAGAAGTGTACTGCCAGTACCCACCAGGTTTAGGACGAAAGACTAAGGTCCTTCGCCTACATAAGGCAGTATATGGTCTTCGAATCGCTGGTAAGAGATGGGAAGACGACGTGAAAGAGATACTTCTCTCACTAGGCTTTAAATCCTGTCCTGAAGACCCTGCGCTTTACACTGATAATCGCATGGTTATTATGGTATTTGTGGACGATTTCCTGGCTGCATACCACAAGAGTGAGAGCTTGCACGCTCACCAGATAAAGCAACTTCTCTCACAACGCTTCGAGATGAAGGACTGTGGCGAACTTACCCAATTCATCGGTATTCGAGTTATACGCGACCGACAGCGACGAAAGACCATAAAGTCGTGGTTATACACACAAGACGATAGTGTGCATAAGGGTAAATACTCAACGTAGTGTCTGAATACACGGTTATGAGTCTATCGGTCGTGCGCACTTCTATGAAGGAGGAGAAGTACCACGATTGTGGAAGAGTACCACCGATCTAGAAGAGAGATCACAAAGGATGATAAACTTGATTCAATTTAACTAGGAAACATAGCAGTATTTATATCACAAGAAACATAGCAAAGGATCACATGATAAATCAACAGAATCAGAGTGTTGAGAGTCTCTTGCTTAGGTAGGCAATCATATGCGAGATCGTTGAGGATCAATCTGTTAGATCTTTATAGAAGAAGATCTATATGTAGAGAGGGGTTATATGAGTGGGTCCTTCGTCATGTGACCCCACAACATCCATATGTTGACATAAGCTATATTTGAAGAGCTTAAAATGTCTAAAGATACGACGATTCTTGCTTATTACTAATAAAGTAATAGGCTACGTAGAAGGTTTTCCTTGTTAAAGTTTGTCCGACGATATTAACTATTAGTATATTATACCTAACCTAAAAAAATTAGTAATCTCTTATCTTTCTCTTATCTTACCTATCTTACCGATTAGTCTTACATATAGTATCTATCTATAGAAGATTTGGATAAACACGAAGAAATTGAAGGCCTATCCTTAAGATAAATCTTATTCTGATTAGTCGCTGTTGACTATCTAATTCGTGTTATATGATCTACCCTAGTAGGCTTTCTATCATAGCTTTAATCGATGTACGCCCGCCGAGGAAAATTGATCTGGTCCGGGCGCGGAGGTTTTTAGGGTCTCTTAAGTTAAGCAGACTCTTCTCAGACTCTAAAAGTGTTGAAATTGCTAAAGGTTTTAGGCCTTTTTTGAAGTAATCGAAGAGTCGCTCTTCCTTGTTAGCTCTCTCTTCTTGCCGTAGCGGAACTAGGAGATTTAGTGGAACTAGGCCATGATTATGTTCACTATGTTTAACCATAATCTCATGACGGTCTGGAATAACCTTTTTCCTATCCTTCCGAAGGCAGATTTGAATCATGTATAGGCAATTAGTCCTAATCTTATTAACCTCTCGCTGTTTAGCCTCACTTGTAGTAGAAGGACCCTTCTTGGTCTCTAGCTAAAGGCAACAAGATAGTTCAACCCTTTTAGGATTAGACCTTCTTATAACTAGGGCAAAGCCCTGTTCTTTAGCAGATTCCTGGAGGGCCTTCTTCGTAAGGTCACGGGTTTCATAGAATTGTGGTGGATCTGGTTGTAGTGTAGGTGGTAAAATGGACTGTGAAGAAGAATCCATGGTTAGTAGGGGGCGCTAAGGCCTAGTACTAGACGAGAGAAGTTAAATTGAATTAGTGTGTGGGTCATGTGACTTTCCTAGTAGGAGAAGATAGAAGGGAAGTTAGAAGGAAAGGATGCGTGTATATAAGAAGGAAGGGGGTGGTTAAATTTGTAATTAACAGGTATGAAAAGCTTGGAAGAAATCAGGCAGAAATCAGGCCCCGGGTAGTGCCGCCAGGGTTTTGGGGTAGTGCCAACAGGGTTACCCTAAATTTATATATAGTCTCGTATACAAAGCAGGGAACTAGATAAGGGGTAACCACGGTATAAGCGTGCATAAGCTAAAAGGTTGTGTAACCAGCCAACGTGGCCTAACCGACAGGGTAGCGCTTTGGATACGCCACCGAGGAGCTATCGACTGACCGCCGGGTCGGTACCCTCTCGGCAGAACGCCCGGGCCATGTGCGGCCTAGGGCATTAGTCTGCGAATAGCCTCAATATCAGGATATCATAACATTTAAAAGCTATAGTCATAAGACTCTGGTAGGTTAAAAACCGTGGTCCACCCTTCCTTTTCTTCCACTGCTCGTTACGAAGCCAAGGTATCCCGCGGAAATCTTCGTGAATACTACTACTAACACATCTTTTAGACGTGATGACTTCGGGTGCGAATCTCCAGACCGACCAAATATGACTGGACTCTAGATGGGATTTGAAACCAAACCGTTTAGATAGCCCATACGTCTTGATGCCAACTCTCGTGAGGATTGATTTCATTGGTCTGCCGTGTTAATTGCTTGCTGAAGAAGTGGATCACCGCAGTGGCCTCCTATCGCTTCCCTCTCCTAGGAGCTCGGTAGCTCCTAAGGATCGGAGAAAGAGATCGTCTAAAGTACAGGAATTGAAGCAGGATATGCGCGGCTAGATACCTGGCTCCCATGATCCTTCAAGGCTTCTTGGCATCCATCAGCTGACCTTTATAAGAAGCAAATTCCCACGGGGAAAACTTTCATCATCATCATCATCATCGCTTTTTGCATCACTGAATCATGGAACTTTCCTTTCACTAAAAGTCATGGCAAGTGCAAACTCCCAAATCTCAACCTTGTGACCACTTTGCGATACTCCAAGCTAACTCAATTTCGAAAGGCTCTGCGCAAGATCAACAAAAAATCAACGCATGAGGCAAGTGCCAATATGTCGGAAGCGAGGTCAAATATACTCTTCCCGAGTAACACGTATCTGATGCTTGAACACATTGATTTCATATTCAGACTCAAGGATGCAGCGTAAATGGCCGCGCAGGGAGAGTTTTTTAGTGAAGTGCTCGTTCAGATTTTGAATGAATGCTCGGATACGCTTTTGGTACCCAGCGGTCGTTTTCCCATCTCTGAAAAAAAGGCTCGTTGTAAGTTCCGTCCACCCCTGCTTTGACGAGAGATTGGAAGGCTTGGCTGATATGTAACAGATACGTCCGTTGTTCATCCACCGTTGCACGAGGGTCGCCAAGTTTCTGGAGCTGTAATCGACAAACGTTGATTTTCTCGTTGATCTCGTCGATCAGGCTCGGAAGTTCACTTGCAATTTGTCCAAGAAGCAGACTGCTAAGACGAGTTCTCAAAGAGTACACACCCACGAGTGATCGAGGAAGCCCTTCCCAGATTCCTTGGGAGAAAAACTCGCACTCCCGGATGTTTCGATCAATTAAACTCCATTGACCTTTCTCTGAATCCATGTTTTTCAAAACATGCCATCCCAGACGGAACTCCACGACTTGTTTCTTAGCAAGTGACACGAACGAAGCCTCGGTTTCCGATCCCGGGACCAGCACATCAGGCTTGGAGATGATGCCTAGTGTCCGGAGTCCAGATGGATCAGCAACCCGCGCTAGGCGTAGGACAATGTGGTTTGCAAAGTCAGTAAGAACCCGCGCGAGGTCATGGATGTTATCGGCCGTGTTGGCTGCAAGGGATTCTGATTGATCGGGAGCTGAATCCACGAATGGTTCGGTCGCTTGGATAGAGCTTTCGGTCGTCTCTAGTATAGGGCTGGCTTGGGTGGTCTCATTTCGTGCACTTTCTGGAGAGGTGTCTGTAGCAGGCTCGTTGCTCACATCAGCCATGTTTTCTAGCGGCAGCTCAGCGTCCATGGGCGGGACTTCCAGAGTAGATGGTTCCCATGGCCCAAGGTCAGGGCTGAGGGGTGGTAGAAGTTGCTCAACCTCAGTAGCGATGGAGAGTTCTTCGGGAGGGAAGTAGGTTGGTGGAGGTTCGTTAATGTCAGTGGGTAGAGATGCCGTGGTGGAATAGTATTTATCAAATTGCTGGGCGCGTTGTGCAGCGCGAGCAGACTGGCGCTGGTTCCGCTGTTGAGCTATCCTCGATGCCTTTTTTTCTTCAGTAGACGCGTATTTTCGAGGTCGACCTCTTTTGGCTTTTGGGGATAAGAGGGCGGTGGATCCATAACGAGCTATGTAATTAGAGCTTCTTCAATATACTGACTGAGCGATGAGAGGGGGTCTTGCATCGCAAAGACAAAATAGGGGCTATGAGGATGTCTGTCAGCTCTATCACAGTAAGGAGATGCCTGTCATCACATCAAGGAGATGCCTGTCATCACATCAAGGAGATGCATGTCCCAAATGGGCTTAATGCAGTTGCCATCATCCAAAAGGGTTTAGTTTTGAGGATTTAAATCGAAAGGGGCTTAGTTTTGAGGACAAAAATGGGACAGTGATTAAATCATTTCACCGATCCCGCCCAAGAAAGCCCAACTTCGACGCATTATACTACATGAACCACACAAGTAATCAGAATTCTGGTGAAACGATTTAGAATATGCAGTACTAATTGTACTAGTATCCAAAGAATTAGCCTCGAAGTATGTGATGGTGCCACAAGGTTAGGGCGGCTTCTCCCTCATGGCTTGTCGCCGATATGCTGTGACCGAGTGTCACGACCCGCGTAGCAACAGACTCTTCAGGGCGTCACCACCACCTTCTCCTCCACACTCACAATCTCCCTCCCATCCGTACCCGGCATGAGATAGCCCACAGTCACCCGCTCGCCCACCAGTCGCCGGCAGATCTTGATCCTCACACCCCCAGCTGTCTGCGCTCCGTTTGCATGCAGCTGGAAGGCCTGCTCCCGTCTCTCTGCACCTCTCACGGTAACCTTGACACCTGCTCCGGCAATCAGGGCGTCATTGCTCGGGAACACATCAACCATGCCCGCTCCGGGACGCGCAACGATGCGGACAGCCCCGGGCTTGAGCGTCTTCAGATCAAGCTGCACTGTCGTTCCCTCGTTGCGCTTGCTGCGCGCCGCGGCACTGCCTGCTACCATGGGGAGGCCGAGCGCCGCTGTCACGGCGAGAGAAACGACGCGTGGGCGCGGGAGCTTGATAGTGTATGCATTTGAAGAAGTGCTGAAGGTATGGCCAGAGACCGTTAGTGACTCGCCTGCCTCGAGGGGCTGTTCGGAGAAGAGGGAGAGGGAGGTGAGTCCAGACTTGAGGAGGTAGGTCGGCGGATTCTTTGAAGCTGTGCCGGTCACAGTGTGAACGAATGTTGGGTCCGGCAAGTCCTTCTCTGTGTCTGATAGAGGGTGGAAAGGACTCGGCGGTGGAGTGTCCGCGTTCCCAGGGAGCTGCTGACCCTGGGTAAGGAGGCGTGCTGGGAGCTGAGAAGAGGGCTTTCCGTAGGAAACAAGCATCGAGGCTGGTGGAGAGGTTGTGGCAGATCCAGGGGCGGACAGAGTGGGAACGGGGTTGAAATAGCCTTCAACGCTTCCACCGGCCTGGAGGATGGCTGTCGCTGCGTCACCAGTGGCGTCGAGGTCAGAGCCGTCGGCGGTAGTGACAGCAGCTGACTGAAGGGAGTCCCCAAAGACGGCAATGACGCCAGAAAGAATGAGTAAGAGGCCATCCCACGTCGGCACGCGTGGTCTCGTGCTGATGATGCTCATCGGCGTATAGGTCATCCGTGATCCAGCCCACCGCCCGCCAGAGAACTTGGTGGTGCTGCTGAATTGGTATTCATACCACATATCTGTGCCAGGAGTCAAGCCAGACCAGACAGATATCTTGCGAGGCTGCCTGTCCTTTCCGACATAGTTTGGATCCAAGACGGTGATTGTCCAGGGGTTGGAAGTCGTATCCCAAGCCACAGGGATGACGGTGTGAACAAGACCATGGCTGAGAAGATCGGAATTTTGGAAGAAGTGGATCAGGGCGTAGTTCCCCTGGTTCCAGCACTCCTGTGTTGAGTTGAAAACATCCCTGGGGTTGTGAGTACTGCCGTCATAGATATGTCCCAGAAAGTACCAGATGCTTTGAGCACCAACTTGGTATTGGTGTTTCAGGATAATTGTAGGTTCGCCAACAGGCCAATCCGTGAAGCGGTTCAGCGGTAGCGAAAAGGGGCTGCGAGAAAGGCGTGCGTACAGGGCTTCCAGTGCCAACCCGTAACAATCGCCATTCCTGCCTAGTGTGCCGATTCCCGCGAGGTTGTAGAACAAGGTGTCGTATCCATCCAAAAGGTCCCAATACTCGGGATCCGGATCTACCCCGTCAAAGGCATCAGCGAATTGTGGGCGGGTAATCCAGTTGGTACTAAAATCTCCGCCTCCTGAGCCGTCGGGCAACAGCCACCCCCAGTACTTTTGATACTCCTCGAGCCCAGAAACATCCACTGTGGGTTTTAGGGATATGCGAATGTTCTTGATTTGGTCAACGGCGCCCGAGTCGATGATGCCACCATTCTCGGCGAAGCCCCAAGCGTTCGTGATGTCCAAGGTCTTGCTCCAGGTGCCAAGCTCGTCGTCGGCACTAGTGTCGTCAGAGTCCCATACATCGACGACGAGCGTGAATACCGCGCCTTCCGTGGGCGTGATGACGCCTCCGTAGGTTCCGTGAACGGTCACAAAATCTCCACCGTCGAACGTTCCTTCTGATGGCTCCCGCTGATTGAAGAAGTAGTGCGATGCCCCCTCTCTCATGGAGATATTGATAAACAGGTCATTTTGGCCGGAGAACGGGCCCTCATTTTCTTCAGTGTCGATGGTATCTAGGAAGAAGGTAAAGGGTGTGGCGACAGCCATCCTGTCTGGGCCTCCAAACCAGCATATGAAGCCACCCTGGAACGCATTGTAGAGACCACCAGCCGCACCAGGGATGGATCTCTGGTCTGAAATTGGGAACCCGAGGTAGCTCGTTGGCCCTCCGACCTCCCTGTACTTTGTGCGGAGATCCCCCTGGACCACGCAGGCACCGGTGGCCGAGGACCAGAATATGGTGGCCTGCTCAAAGTTAGAGGCCCTACCGATTTCCGCATCAGAGTCCTTAGCTTTGATGGATGCTTCGTCGCTGATGGGGAAACCCCATGCGTCGGTGCTGCCGGTGGCGAGAAAATGCTGTAAGATGGCGCCCATAACGAAATGGGCGGTCGGTGCACTGTTCTTCCAGAACCACATGGCGTGCTCCATTCGCTGAGAAACTCCACGGCTAATTGTCTGTGGAGGCTCCAGAGGATATCCGGTACCGGCAGGCCCGCCAGTGATTTCATAGTTGACATAGATACGCCCGGTCACCTCGAAGGCCTCCTCCGGGTTTCGTGGAGACTGAAGAATTACCCCTTTGCTAAACGAGGATTTGAATCCGCGCCCGTCCTCAGCCGGGACGACATCACTCACGAGGAAGCCGAGTGCCTCGTCACGGATTGCGGAAGGTAAGCTGTTGTAGCGGTTGAGCATTGCCCCATAGATGGCAAAAGCAGAGGTAGTTTCGGCACAAAACATGATGGTTCCGCTGTCATAGTCCTGACGCCAGCAATTCGTCGAGGTGGAGTAAGTGGCACTTCCAGACGGCTCGCCCAGGTTCTTAGTGGGACGGAGGTTCTCCAGTTTGGTTGTGATATACCACTGTGCTGTGACGCGTTTCTGGTCTAGTAATGCCTTGAGCTCTACAGGGATGCTGGCGTCCACTCTCACGGCCGCCAACTGGCCCTTGAAGGCGAGGGCGCCGGTTCTGCCCCCAATAGCCAAGCTCCCCGCTTCGGCCAACGTGATGTCGCCACGGTTACCAAAGCCGTGAATACCAACAGGGATACTATCGAGGAAATGTCCGAGCGTGTCCGTATCGTACACTAGGTCCGCAAAATGCCACTGGCCTGGTGTAACGAAAAGGGTCGAGTGGACAGGAGTCAAATCGGCGAGGCCTGTGGTAGCCTCCTGCCATCCAACGGTGGTGCTCTGCACCGAAGACACCAGCTGGATGAGCCCTGTGGCTGTCGCCCTCAGAGACAGGGAGAATGGGAGCCGGTCACTGTCAATAAGGTTTTGCTGGCCTGAAAAAATGGCAGGGGTCCAAAATACAACTCTGACGTGGAACCGACTCTTGTTGAGAGAGGTAACGCCAGAAATGTCGACGCTCGAACCCCTGGGCGAAGAGCTCAAGTCGATGCATCCATGGTAGGTGTTTCCTTGGATGGCCAACGGCGAGCCAAAAGTCTCAATGTTTGCCGTTGGGAAGCTGATGGACAGGCTGCCGTCCGGATTCGCAACAGTTGGCCTGTCGAGGAGGTAGTCAATGACCGGGGTGGCCATGTTGCTTGCTGGTTATAAGTTGCCGTATCCTGTTTTGGTTGGATGTGATGAGTGATTGCTTGACCTCCTCTACGGCCGTTCCTTTCAGGTTATGTATTCCTTGGCATCTCCGTAGTGCAGACAACTCGACCGAGGGCGTGGCGACAAGTCGTGGTTGAGCAAGCGGTTCAGCCTTCGGCACACGAGTCTCCTATGTTGGGACCCAGTTTAAAATAGTCGAGGAAGTCAAAGGGGGGAAAGACTGTCAAAGGGTACAAGATGAATGAGATGGTTTTAGGTCGATCGTGTCGGTGTTGGACTTGGGGGTAACCACCTCTTTATATCCAAATAGACTCCTCTATGGGGACTTGGCGTGGACTGTTTTATTGCAAATCAATACCACATTCTTCGTTACGCGACTGTTCAATGTCTTGAATTGTTTGGCAGCGCTGAATCACATGCGATGTGGTATTTTAGTTGCATTTCAATTAATCAACGTAAACCCAGATTTAGAGTTCATCAGGGCCCCAGAAAGTATCATCCCGGGTTTCACATGTGCACCGGACTTGTCTAAAGCGCTAGATACTGGCAATTCCCTATGATTCTGTCGATGTGAATTCTTAAGTTTGTTCTAGATCGCTAAATATTCCAGAACAGTCTCAGAGGATGATGGGAAATTGGCTCTAAATTCTCCACAGATACACGGAGAGTGTCACCATTTTCTTATAGGAGTATGTAAAATACTAGATAGAGACCAAATAAAGTGACCTGGTCGAGCGCTGTCCTGATTGTTACCTCTTGCACATCGTCTACGTACTTTGCAGCTAGTCCAGGCCCATTTGCCTCACTTATTCGCCTTGATTAGCTTTCGCGTAGTCCATTGGTGCATACTGCAAATTTTCTGGGATAAGTGGACGAACCGAACACCACAGCTTACAAACGTCAAATAATCGCCTGAAAAAAAGTATAGATTCAGCGGTGTTCTACACCAGAAGATCGCCCCTGACGTAAGGGCGAGGCCAGACCCTACAAAGGTAGTTGTTTAAGACAAGTCCTTCCATGGTCAATAATTTGGCTCCGGCGTTTCCAACGGACCGAGTACCAAGACACCCACGAGCCTAAAATAACTTAGCTTGCATTTCTCACAGCTTTGGTTTCCTGATCTTATTTTTAAGTAACGGCACCTATGTTCTGATTAAATATTTTGATGAATGCCAAGTCGAATTAGCAGCAAGGCTTGCACGTACACCCTTCGTCGTCGGGTGAGACCAACCCGCATCTAACGGCAGATGGCCGCTGGCGATAATAGTATCGGAAAGAAACAGCTGTGTGACGTCATGGCCGCAGCTATCAGCAAAGCTAATTGTCGTCCTACCTCTTATCGCTTGAGCAGCGATCATATGATCGCAATGCCAGAGAATAGGTAGATCTGTTGTAACCACGGGAAACGGCACAACTGAATAGCAATGGATGACGCTGACTGTACGGAGTACACTTTGCCGAATTCACGGCCATAACGAGCCACAGAATCAATACAGTTAACTATCTAATGCCCAAAAATAATGAGTGAGATACTCTGTTCATACCGACCAACACCGACCGATGACCTACGAACATGCGGTGACTCATGACGATGAGGTACCTTGGATGGCGTGGCCTTGGACGATGTTCACAGTAGGTTAAGTCTTCGGATGATCGACAAGTATTGTGTGGCGTAATGATCTGCGACCGCACCACACAACTTTATTTTGCGTGCAAAGCCCCGGATTGGAGGAGCCACCAAGGCTAACTTGGCCCTCTGCCATTGCGGAATTAATATGCATTTCGATTTTAGGTTTGAACAGAGTTAGCCTTGAAGATCATATGAACTCCTTTTCTTGGGTTCGTGAATTTCCGTGTATCGTGTGCTTTGTGGCTGCGGGCCTTCCACAGGAGCCCAGAGATGAATGACAAAGGCCATTCTCGGCCTCCAGCCTGCCATCGAACTGACTTAAAAATGTGTCCGTACCTTTGTTGGTTTCTCGTCATTCAATTTGTTCTTCCAGACGGAATGGTCATAGTTTTCATGGGGATTACGTGACTAATCTACCATTGCTTCCACCAATAATCCTACGATGAATTTCGACCTCCTTGAGCGCCGCAGAGAGAAATTTGTGCTCTGGATACCTGCAGGTCCAGCAGCGAAAACCCCTTCACTGGTGCTATGCACTTTCCAGCCCGGTCCTCCGGCTACATTCCATACGATCTTCAGTGGTCAACTAAGAGGCTCAGATAGACCTGATCTCTGGGAACTCGACCCAAATGACATAGAACCGTCGTTGAAAAATGATACTGTCTATCACTACTGGTTCGAGATCCAAGATTCATCACCGGAAGATCTGGGTGTTATTCAAGTTACCGACCCAATGGCGTATACGGTCGACTACAGAGACACGAAAAACCAGGGTGAACACGCCCAGCCAGCTTCCGTGATCAAGTTTCGTGATGGCAAACTATGGCCCTGTGATATTAATGGAAATGAGCCGAGCCAGGTGGCAGTCCCACCGCATAATGCCATGCCGGAAAACAATCATATAGTGATCTACGAGCTCCCGGCTTCGTGGGCAAAATCTAGGCAGATTGGGGATGTGCAAGTTGATGTCGGTACTTTCACAGACGTCCTCGCTCTATTCGACTTGAATACTGCTGGTGATCGTTTCAGGGATATCTCGAATATTGCTAATGAAGCTATTGTGGCCGACCTGGGCATTAACGCGCTGGAGCTACTCCCTGCTGCAGACGCAAAACCAACGGGTGAATGGGGATATGCTACTGCTCACTACTACGCTCCCGACTTCGATCTTGGAACTTCATCAGAGTTGGTGAAGTTGGTGGAGAATATCCACTTGAAGAGCATCCGGTTCTTCACAGATGTCGTGATGGCCTTTGGGCACGATCCGTATATCTACATTGCTTTTATGCAGTTTCACCTTAACTTGGAGGCTGAGAGAAACAATCCGGACAGCTACCAACCTCACTCCAAGGAACTGCGAGAGGGGTGGGGTGGGCGACTATGGCGCTATATCAGAGACACGGATACCTATGACCCAAAATCAGGCAGACCCGGACATATGCATCCTTCCTGGGCCTTCCATCATGGGCATCTTCATCGATGGATGTCAGACTTCGGTGTAGGCGGTCTCAGGCTCGACAGCGTGAACAACATCGCCAATTGGGAATTCATCAAATCATATACGAACGAAGCATGGTCTCTCTACAGGTCAAGATACGACACCCCTTCTCCCTCCAAATTCCTTGTCATTGGCGAAGAACTCAGCGTCCCCGTCGATATGGTAACCAGCGGAACCCTCAATGCCCTCTGGAACGAGCCATTCCAAGGACGCCTCCGCGCCGCCATCCTAGGGGAACCAGCTGATAGTGACAACTTCGAATGGACGGTCCGTAAAATGGTTAACTGCACGCTCGACGATTCTCACCCTTTTACGGATGGCGCACAGGCGATAAATTACGTCACTTCCCACGACACTGAAGGATTCAGGAAAGAGCGCCTTTTCAACTTTCTTTCTGCCAGTAGGGTAAGTGATATCGAGAGACGAAGTAAACTCGCATTTACGTGTCTCTTGACGGCCGTCGGTATTCCGATGATTTTTGCAGGCGAGGAATTTTGTGACCAGATGGATCGTCCGGTAGGGCAGAAACAAGTTGATCCAGTGAACTATGAGCGAAAGGCAGAGGATTGGAGAGCTCGTGTCTTTAACTACATTGCGACGCTTGTGGAATTAAGAAAGAACTGCCCGGCTCTAGGGGTTGATGATACAGACTTTATTCATGTGGATGAGAGCCGTGAGGGGAAGATCATGGCATGGAAGAGGGGAGCACCGGGTCAGGCGCCAGTGGTTGTGGTAGCTAATTTTACAGATCATGACACGTCCGGGATAGAGTATTTTGTGGATAATTGGCCGGAGAGGGAGAGGGAGGATTGGAGAGAGGTTACGCAGGGGAGGAACGTGCCGATGGAGTGGGTAGGGCGAGAGCCGGTAATGCATTGGGAAGCAAAAATTTATACGTACTGGAGGGGTTAGCTGTGTTTCATTACCAAGACTGGAGGATGACTGGAGAATGGCAATATGAATCTTCAACTCGTATATGAAACAGTAAGAGGCACATATCTTGATACGATATTTTTTTTCGTTTTTCATTTTTAGCACTATTATATTGCATTCGAGAGCCTACAGGGAAACACCAGGGGGAACTGTAACAATTGTCACTACCAGAGACGCCGAAACTACCTGTGAAACCTGGAGTCCGGGTTTCGCGATAGACTCTGTGCATTTCTAGTCACGGTTGAGAGCAGATATTGCGTCCACTGAAAAGCAACACAAGAACTGTGCTTTACTCGTGGCGTTAATTATTGGCCCCCCTGGTTTTAATAAGTGTTGCTATAATCGGTCGCCTTCACCTTCGGAAATTGGGCAAAGACCTCTACCTAATGAGAATATCCTCGAGAACCAACCGAGCGGTGTTCACAGGAGGTTACAATACATTTCCCTGTAACTATAACGAAGATCATGGCACGGATTCTCTCACAGGAAATTACAATAACTTTAAATTTCAGAATCAGTTATTAACAATTCAATACGATCAAAGTCTAGGTACGGGGCAATTTTTAGGCGAGACGTATAACAGGAGGCTATTACGGTGGCAGTCTACAAGTATCTAAACCCTATTACTTCCCCTATTTTTCTGCCGGATTTTCTGCCACGCTAGAGACCTCCAATTTCTAATCTCTGCCTAATGTTTAGTATACTAGCCTTCGTTTCAAATAATTTCCTCGACCCTATGCGGCATTGTAGCTGATAAATTTACAAATATATCCAGATCAATTGGTAAGGTGTCTACTATACAGGGTAGACGGCGTGTCAGTCAGGTAAGAAAAGAAAGGTACCAAGTCAAATTGCGACAAGACTGTTTCTTGAGGAGCTCGAAACCTGCTCCTCAAGGCTGATTTTATGTACATGACTTCTAGTGGGATCAAGGAGGTGGGCCATTTGGAGAATATAAGATCGTGTAACCCGAAGACGGGGTCTCTTATGCAGTGTGGCCCTTCAGCTGAGTCATCGAAAGGTTTGTGATCCCCCGCCGAGACATTGCTGTTCCGATAGGCCTCTGGGCCCGTAAGGCCGCAAGGAATCCCGTAACGTCGTCGCGACGGTTCTTGAGATGCTAGACGTTGGAAGTCTGAATAGTTACATAGTGTCGAGACATGGAGCGGTAACTTACCGCCTAGACAGGGGTTATACTGACTAACCCACTTTCCTTTGTGTTTTGTATAGTAATTTGGTATCCTTGGCATACGGTTGACGTAACACCGTGTATCTTAGCCATCTATGGGGTATTTCAACCTGCGCATGATATTCGCTCTTAACGGGCTGTAGGATTTCCGTATATGCTCGTACTGAGGGAACCAATTGAATGAGTTGATTGGAGAACTATCCAGGAGATCGCTGTTGAAGCGTCTCATACTCTCAGGAGCTAGTATTAGCGTGTTACAATGCTGATATTCCGAGTTGATCCGGTTTACCATACAAAAACATATGGAGGTGTGGGTAGCCGGTGAATCAGCCAGCTCTTAGTGGTAAAATACCATCTCTCAGCTCGACAGCTCTTTGTAGAATCAATCAACTCAATTATCTCGAATTGGTTCCGCTTGCTCCTACCTCGTTGCCTATTCGTCCGCCAGGATTACTAGCCCATACTGTCTCAGCTTGCTCGGACACATAGTGTCAGAACCAGCTAAAAGCGTACGAACTAGTAAACATGGTGGCGAATGAGGACTACCGGAATCATCGGAAATATGCGATTGATTGATTGTAGATAAAATGAGTGGCAGGCAGAGGGTATGTTAAATACCCATCTGAAGAATTGGTTCATAGTTGATGTCAACATGTGCATGTTGTGGGGTCACATGACGAAGGACCCACTTATATAACCCCTCTCTACATCTAGATCTTCTTCTCTATAAGATCTATCGAATTGATCCTCAACGATCTTGCATTGAATTGCCTACCTAGGTAGGAGACTATATAACACTCCAATCTCTTGATCTTTCATGTGATCTTTTACCATGTTTCTTGTGATATAAATACTGCTATGTTTCCTAACTAAATTGAATCAAGTTTTTATCATCCCTTTTGATCTCTCTTCTAGATCGGAGGTACTCTTCCGCAATCGTGGTGCTTCTCCTTCTTAGAAGTGCGCACGACCGATAGACTCATAACCGTGTATTCAGACACTACATTGTGTTATGATACTCAATGAGGCCATCTCTATATTGATATTGGAGCCTTAGGCACCCACGTCCGCGGATTCTGCCAAGGCGGCGGCTAACCAGCGGTCAGCCGGTGACCCGGCGATAACGATTCGAAAACAGTTACACTGCATACAACCTGCGGCCACTACATGGGCAATGCGCTGGCTATACGGTGGCCTATCGTCGAGGTTTCCTCCCCAAATCGTGTTTGATTCTTGTTTGCACAAAAATGATGTATTTAAATCGATGCTTGAGGAAGTGGGATTTTCCTTCCTCAAGAAACAGTCTCTGTGACAATCTGACTTAGTGCTTCGCTCTCCTACCTAGTTAACAGGTCAACTACCCTGCAAGTAGTTCATTCACAACACATTGAGTATTTACCCACCTTTATGCACACTATCTTCTTGTGCGTATAGCCACGACTTTATGGTCACCGCCTAAAGTCCGACAATATCCTTCTCTACATAGATCATATCGAATTAGGGCGTAAGGTGGCTACTATAGCCATTAAGAATTAATAGGCAATATCGAACGCGTATACGCCTATTAGTATATAGTATAAAGACCTTCTATAGCTACCGTAGGCCTATCTCATTAGTAGTCTAACCGTTATCCAAGACCTCAAATCGCCAGTCTTTTAGCAGGTTATCAAACCAACTAGCTCTGTAAACCTTGCCTTAGAAGATTATACATAGCGGAAGCGAATAGCCATCTGTATAGATAGCCTCGATCGTAGTAACCCACTCACGATTACCTAGTTATAGAAGAGATCTCCGACCGTAGTATTCTGCTCTAGTAACTACCTTCTACGAAGATATAAGGCCCATTACAAAGCCGGTCTCATCAAAGTTATAGATATCCTCTGGTTATATACCGTTCTCGTCAATCATACTTTATACGGTCGCGAACCACTGCCGAATCGATTTCGGATCTTCGTTTAGGGCTCTTTAGTAATCGTATCTTCCCGAGAAGCGTGTACGAAGCTTAGGGCGGCGGTTAATGAAGGTTGATGGCCAATTCTTTCCAACCGTAGACGGAGGGTAGCTACCGCGCGCGGCGAGTAGGATATTAGCCATTTCGGCTACAGTAGCCGGCCTAGGGGCTGCTCCACGCGTATCCATAGAGATTATCCATTCAGTAAGCGAATCCTCTTCTAATTGGGTAAGCTTATAGCGATTTGGGCGCTAGTCAACGCGAGATTGTATACCAAACGCGCGGTTACGCAGTGTAGTCTCTGGTATCTCATATAGCCTAGCCGCTGCGCGAAGAGCTTGAATTCGGCCTTCTTTTAAATCGGATAGGGCTAATAGGATCTTGCCCTCTTGGTTGGCCAATTTATGGCTAGATTCAGTGCGAATTGGTGGCATGGTAGGTGGTTGAATTAGAAGGGTTGGTAGAAAGACGCGAATTTAGAAGGGGTGATCCGGTCGGCCGTGTGATCCGGTCGGCCGTGGATTACGTTAATCACCTCTGCTTAGTCATTGCCGATTCAGGAGGAACGCATCAGCGATATCGCCACTGCGGTCATTCACCTTCTCTTACCGTTCGGCAACGGCGCGACTTTCAGTATGTCATTCCAATTTATCAACAACGATAACGTTTTCAATGATGCTACGAGGAAGCAGATCCGCAGGCATGTAGCCTTGGGGAGAAACAAGGGCAGCAAGATCTCACGCATGTCCAGGAAAGAAGTGTTGACGAACACCACGACAGAATTTCGAGTTCCCCTGATTATGGGTGGAACGTCAGTCGAAAGAATAGAAAGATATGATGAGATCGAGCGCCCGATCGATAATGGGCTTTTTTGCCCTGACCTCTTACCGGGTGGACCCAAAGGACTTATCAAGAAAGGTGAGTATCGCACACGCTTAAGAGATCCCTGTCGTATCGCGTAGATTAGGCGTGAATGTCGATATTGATAAATAACGAGAAATTCTAAGTTATCTCCTTCATGTGCGCGATGCGATTCTCTCCGGAACTGGATAACGGTCTCGACTATGGAGGTCTTGGCGTCCCAACGTGTGTCCAATACATGCTTGTTGACGAAGCCTGTACACTATAATGGAAATCTCTCCGTGAAATACATCGGTTAACTCGACTACAGGTTTCCATAGCTCGATGGCGACGGCCCTCTTCTGCCTAGATAACATAGTGGGCAGATCAGAGAACAAGTTACAGGCACTGCGCCATGCATCGCGTACAGTCCGCCTAGTGAACCAGCAACTCTCGTTGAAAAGTGCGATCACTGACTTCACCATCGCGGCCGTAATCAGCATGGCTCAGTATGAGCACCACCAGAACCGATTCCAACAGGGTTCTGCTCACGTGCAGGGCCTGTGGCAAATTTCTCAGTTGCGTGGTGGAGTATCAAACCTGACTGGAAGCCCTTCTGGATTAGGGCAGAAAATGCTGCGGTACGCCCCCGCAGCCAAACGCACCAATCGCGTTCATACTAATCTTCCTGGAGGATCGATCTGGAGTACTCGTTACAACTAGGCTCACCCACGGCGTTTACGCTTAAAGAGGCCGAAAATGGATGCAAACCCTTATCGGGATTCCCCAGCATGTGCCTGCAGTCAGATGACTCCATTCTGCCTCTAGCCTTCGGACAATACCCAGCCAGGGCACTGCCCGCCAACTATCGAGATCTGTTCGTCGACGTGTTGTTTCTGGCATCATTGCTCAATAATGCGATTCTTGGCAATGCGCCGAAAATGGACGCCATTGAGTTGTACCAGGATATTATCTTTCTCGGCTACCGTCTAGTCAACCTTGGGCCACTTGGCGGCCTACCCCGCGGGATCTCGCGGCTTCAGAACAAAGTACACCTAGGCTTGGCTGCCTTTTTGGTGACGTTCCTGCAGCGGTGGGATGGTCGAGTTGCCCAAAATGATCTTTTGGCAGAAATGCTGATTTCAGAAGCTCGGCAAGCTTTCAACGCTGACCTGGATGGGCGGGAGACGTTACTCTGGTTGCTTTTCATAGGAGCAGCCGCTTCAAGGCTATTGAAGCATCCTGTGTGGGTTTCAGCAGCAAAATGCACGTTGCACAGCCTGAAAGTTATGAGCTGGCAAGACGCTAAGGTACTCCTTGCTGCATTTCCGTGGGTTGATGCCATTCACGATACATCAGGGCAGGCGCTCTGGCAGAAGGCCAATGATAGTGGCTAGGATTGTATATGTGGCGAAGGCACCTTCATACACATCTCTGGGTGGGCGATTCCGTGAGCAATCTATGAAGGTATATTTTGAGTTGGTCTCAAGCGCCTGTACTGCACTTTCTGGCTTCATAGACTGGGATACATGGTATTCGTTGCCGACTTCCATCAGATTTGGCCATTTTTCGTTTTGCCACCATCTGTGGTGAACTATGCAACAATAGCAGCACTAGCCACAGACATTTGATATGCCCGGTGCGCTCTCTCGCTGTTTGGACCCGCCACGTTTCTCCACCACTTAAAGATCTCTACGCGTATACTGTTGTTCGTCATGGCAATTTGAGCCTTTGGCAGGCTTTTCTAGTCGGCAGTATCTTGTTCATGGCTATTGGCCTATCACGATTCGATAATACGTCTTTTAACCATCTCTTTCGAGGGAAAAGAACCGAGGGATAAGTAGTCCGCAGCTCCATATATTGAACGTTTCACTCTCGATTTCCCACTTGAAGAAATAATGGGGAAACAATGACCGGAAGAATCCCCCGCAGGGTAGCTATAAGTGAATGGCAATTTGATAATATTAAATAACATTACAAAACAAATGAAAGGAAAGTCAGGTAAATCTAATTAATACATTCGCATCCTACCCTCAATGCTGTACCAGCCTCTAAGAATTCATAAGGACGTTGGCTCCCCTTCACCCGCCACCATCAATTGCCAGGATCCAGCGATGCCTTGCCCTCGCGAAGTGGGATAACCGGAGCGTACAAGCGAACGTCGGCCGAAGAGCTTCGTCTCCTCTAAGAGAACTCATTCGGGAGTCTGGTCAATGTTCCCAATTCCTCGATAGTTTCCGCCCACAGCTTCTTCTGCACGGCTTGCCCCGCAGGCGACAGAAGATACGGAGATGGCCTGATCACAATGGGTCGTTAGTTACGATTCCTCTTTATGGGCTGATGGATAGGTAACACAGGGGATTATTCGTACTCAATGATCTCCTTGTCTCCGAGGAATCCTCCATGTGATTCTGGCCCTGCTACGACGGCCGCATTGACAAAGAGCTGCCCGCCGACCTCTACGGGCCGTGCGAACAGGGTCTTCACGACACCCATGACCATACGCATATAGAGCGGCAGAACATCGGTCATGTTGGTGTTGACCAAGCCTGGACAAACCATATTCAAGACCACCTTGGATTTGTCGAGTCGCGGAGCGAGGCTGTACATGAACATGGCACACAGAAGCTTGCTGTCATTGTATCTCTCATTTGGAAAGAAAAATTCCTTCGAGTCCACATGCTCAAGCACCAATTCGCCGGCCTTCAAGGGCGCCTTTTTCTCGAGAGATGTGGTAAAGTACATTCTGCTACCCACCCAAGTGATGCGGGACGGTTGGCCAATCTTCTCCGCGCTTGCCTCGAGGTATGGCAATAGTTCGGCAACCAGGAGGGCATTTGAAAGATAATTCACTTGGGTGACGCGTTCGTGGCCACTTGGGCTTCGTTCGAGCTTGAGAAGTCCAATACCCGCGTTGAGGAAGAGGATATTGACCGAAGGCACTTCGAGCTGCAACACTTTAGCGAAACTTTGCACACTCTTATAGCTGTCCATGTCAAGATCTAACACGGTGATCTTTGCGTGGATGTTAAGTCGCTGAAGCTCCCGTTTGCAATATTCGCCTTTCGAGACGTTTCTCACCGCGAGAACGAGGTGAGAGACATGCAGCTTGAGTAGCTGGCGGGCGGTCTCTAAGCCGATACCTGCAGTAGCGCCGGTGATCAAAGCCGTTTTGCCATGGAGGTCTATATTCGGAGGCAGCGACGTGACCTTAGGTTGAGGGAAATTCATCTTGGATGGAACGATTTAGACGGTGTTAGTAGTGGGAAGCGCGAAAGGCACCCTTCACCCCTTATATACGGTTGGCAAGTAATGCGTACTGCACTTGGTGAATAATAATTCATGATGGGACTAACGCGGAAACATGTTTCTAGATTCTCATTACCAACATGTCTTGTTACATCGGGAGATACTTCCAATTCGGTGTTGCTGCTGCCTAATAATATTTCTCTGAAGGTAATGATAATACGACTTAGCTAGCTATTGACAACTAATAATATATCAGTCTCCGTTCAATCGGAGTCTAGCTTCGTAGTTCTCTTTGCCACGGGCTCCGGCTTCCGTAGGGCTGTGGTATACGCCGCCCAACAGTCGAGCTAATTGACTGAAAATTCAGAGTGGACCGAATAAGGAAACTAGTCTCGTATTCGCGGTTTTATCTTTATTATGGATCTTTTTATGGCGTCACTTATGCGGCCGATCTGGTCCGCATTAGGAAGCCTCCCTTCTATTGGAAGATCTTCAAACTCGGAGGTAGCTTAATTCTCATAGCCGTTTCCTAATTGGTCCAGTCGGCAGGGCTCCGCAAAACTAACCAGTCCTGATTAGGAAGTCTCTCTTCCATTGGACTGTTTCTGCATGCGAGGAAAATCCGAAACCTTATTCAAGTTCGCTCTCATGGGTCACTTAGTCATTTCTCCTGACCCGCTGCGCACGATTTGCAATCATCACTAACTAACTCCGGCCGACATAGTTCGCGTTTATGGCCGGAATGGAGTTAGTATAGACATTTGGCCACTGAGGCTGAGATACGGTAAGTCTTGTGACGTTATGGCGCGCTGGCTCCGCCGAATGTTCTGGGCGTGGTATCTTAGAGTCTTCGCCGGCATCGTGAGCATCCGGCAAAGACAAAACGGCACTACAAGGTTCGGACGAAGTTCGTCCGGTACCACCGATGGTATGGTAGGCATGAAGGGTTCTTGTGGTCTCTCTTTGATCTATGTGGCGTTAACATTGCCTCTGTTACCGGTCGCCTGCTTCTCTCACTCTCCCACTATTCCCTTCACTTATTAATTGCACCACGTTTGATATAACCCAACAATAAGATCACATTATGTCGGCGCCTCTCTATGATTTTAGTGTCCCCACCTTTGTTAAAGGACTGAAGGTGCTAGCGTACATGCTGGAAATGGGCGCGGATCACGCCAGGGAGAATGGCATCCTAATCGACGATATTGCCGGCTAGAAACGAGCCGAGGATATGCTCCCGCTATCCTTCTAGGTGTAGACAGCTAGCAATACGGCCAAGAACTCACTCCCTCGCGTTGCTAGTACGGAGGCAGTTCCTATGGAGGACAACGAAAGGACCGTAGCCGAGCTCTAGAAGCGGATCACTAAGACTGTCGAGCTACTCGAGGCAGTGGAGGTAGTTAAGTTTGCCGGTACGGAAACAGATTAAGCTCTAATGAAAGCCGGCCTAAAGGAACTCGAGTTTATAGCGAAGACTTATATCACTAGCTTTACCCTACCTAATTTCTATTTTCATATTAATATAACTTATGCTATCCTTCGTGCTAAGGGCGTTAACATCGGCAAGTCCGACTACCTGTCCCTTTTCCTTCCGAACCGAATCATACCAAAACAGCATTCGTCAGAGTGAGCGCTTAGCAAAAGTCCTTACTATGATTATGCTGCGTAGATATTGATCCTTCTGTATTATCGTAAACTTGCTATGAGGTGACCTATTTGTTGTCTATTGTTATGGGGGAACCGTTGACGGGTCAATAATAGGTTGTTAGCACTGTGGTCCTCCTTAGGTTTTCATGAAAAAGGCCAATGGACAGCGAATGCGAGCTATACTATTGACGACGCTCACATCCACTACATTTTGCGAAAGTGGAATCCCGAGATCTATAGCAACACCAACCTTCTGAGCCATTGCTGCTTAAGGGGATTTCGGTGGTTCACAGTGAGATAAATATCAGCAGGTACAAAGCGGTTGTAAACATAGGAAGAGCACCAATACGAAGGGCGGAGGTTATTTAAGTAATTTTGTCCTTCTCATTTCTAGTCCATAATCCGAAGGGATGGCTACAGACCCCACACACGGCAAGAGCGGGAAGCACGATCCTAGACAGCATTGATCCTGTGCCGTAGGGTTAGCGGCGTACCGGTAGCAATTAGCCTGGCCTAGCAAATCTCCAGCAAGGCAGCCAAATAGCAGCGCAGGGGGCAAGACAGGCAATATTAACTCCACATAGATCGAAGAGAGAGCACAAAAACCCTTCATGCCTGCCATATCACCGGTGGTACTGGACGAAGTTCGTCCGGAACCTTGTAGTGCCGCTTTGTCTTCGCCGGATGCTCATGATGCCGGCGAAGAGTAAGACACCACGCCCAGAAAATTCGGCGCAGCCAGCGCGCCATAACGTCACTAGAGTTACCGCATGACAGCCTCATGGGCCAAATGTCTACGCTAACTCGGCTCCGGCCATGAACGCGAACTGTGTCGGCCGGAGTCAGTTGGTGATGATTGCAAATCGTGCGCAGCGGGTCAGGAGAAATACCTAATGACCTTCTTGCCAGACAGCCAATAAGAGCGATCTTTCGTAAGGTTTGGGATTTTCCTCGCATGAAGAACAAACAATCCAATGGGAGAGAGACTTCTAATCAGGACTGGTTAATTTTGCGGAGCCCCGCCGACTGGGCCAATTAGAAAACTGCTGTGAGAATTAAGCTGCCTCCGAGTTTGATTGGAAATCTTCCAATAGCAAGGAGACTTCCTAATAGGGCCAGATCGGTTGCACACGCCACCAAAAGGCCCACAATAAAATACCCAATACGAAATGAGTTTCCCTATCCGGTTCTCACTAAAATTTAGCTGGACTGTTGGGCAGTAAATACCACAGCACTACGGAAGCCAGAGCCCGCCGATTCCCGCCAGTACTGAAAAATCACTTTTTTGACTACGGAACTAGAGGATTCTAATTGACCGGACACTGATATATTATTGGTTGTCAATAACTAGCTAAGTCGTATATTTATTACCTTTATAGAAATATGTCGGAGCAAGCTATGACAGTAATGGCTAGTATTCCTAATAGGCGAATGAGGTCGAGGATAGGAGTAAGCGGAACTAATCTTGGATGCAAAGGTTGATTGATTGAAGAAAGAACGAATGCCATGGCCTTTGGCTGGAATTCAGGCTGTTATGTCGATACTCTCGGGATGGTTGATAAGCCATTTTAAGTTGTATAACCTTGTCATTCGCTTCGGTTTTGCCATGTGGACATTGTAAGTCTTCAAAATCTCATAAGTGACCAGAGATGTTAGTCATTATTGAAACAATAGTGGAGCAGGGCTCTCTCTCATCTTCAATAGACAAACAGAACCTGCGGTGTTGGTCATTTGCCTCGTCGTTATTGGAGTTGGTGTGGGATGCGTTTTCCAGCCAACACTGGTTGCTCTACAGAGCCATTCTGTGAAATAAAGACGAGCTGTTATAATATCAGCTCGCAATTTCAATCGTAGTGCTGGGGGATCATGTGGTCTTGCCATCTCTGCCACAGTCCTCCAGGCAAGCCTCAGGGCTCGCCTCCCGCCAGATCTATTAGATTTTGCCAAGTCTTCGTACACCCTTCCTGATATAGAAGGTGGAGTACTAACGGCTATCATGGACGCATACATGGCGGCCAGTCACATGGGATTCATCATACAGGTACCATTAATTGCTGTATGCTTTCTAGGTTCGACTTTCATTCGAGAGGATCGTGCCATGCGAGTTGAGGAAACACCAGTCGCAGGAAATATACCCCTAGCAGAGAGGGTGGCTATTTCTACAACATGGCAATGGAATTGATTGCTAGAGAATGGACAATGACGATGGATACTGCAGAGATATTCGACTAGAAACCTTGAGCTGCATTTTAATGGCCGTAAAGCTGTGCCCATATCTATTCAAGAATAGATTCAAAGTATTGTGAGTGGTTGACATGTACGAATTTATAGCCGTATGTTTCATGCCGCGATTTGGGTCGTACGGAGGCGTGCACGCTTGACTTGGATGGTAAATAATGTTTTATTATGTTCTTTTAGATCGCCAATTAATTCCAATTATGCTTATATGGGAGTGGAGGGAGCAAGGAGACACGAAGAGGTATTCTACATCAGGTTATCGGAATTTATCGCAAAGCTTGAATATTCTTTTTAGTACATCTTAAAATATCTTTTATCCACCATATCCCAAGGTATCTGCCCGTCATGTTCTTGAAAAGAGCCCTGCTCTATGTCCAAAACTAAGCACGATCATTCAATTGAATTGGCTCCCTCCTATACCTTGATCAAGACTAGATCAAGTCACACTCAATGTTTCAATTGGTATCGGGGAAGCAAATTTGTGAAACAATTAGTTAGAATCCGGAAAAATCGGAATCGACAACAATTTGGTAGTGGCTTTGAACGACGACTTTGCAGGTATCAATGGCTTCGTGCTTCATTCTGATGGATCTCCAAAAGGTTGATATTTGACTCTTGAAGTCTCCTAGCCCTCGCAATGTACCTGGTGCCTCATATTAAGCTGAGATTGGCGGGATCACCATGTTAGTTCCGGCACTTAGGAGCTGGCAGGAAAAAAGATGAACTCGATCGGCCCATTCCTTGCTACTCCCTAGGGCCTTTATCATCTGACTGTACTTGCGTACCGACAACTTCAATTTCAGCACATGACGTGTCGGAAATTCAATAGATGTGCATTTTCATACCTACCGCCATTTTGCAGATACAAGGCAGTTGCAAGCTTAGCAATGGAGGATGAATCGAATTCCCGTCACTCCGAATGTTATATACTATGGGGTTCAGGTTAGCCTCCAGTAGATGGAAGCAAGCACATATCAGAAACAAGACTATAATATAGAGGATATAACTAATATCACTGTAAATTATTTTCGTAGCACTATAAAAATCTTTTATGGTACTTCAGCGCTAAGCCTCAGCGATAGCAGCGAGTTCGCGATAGGTATCACGGTAGCCAATAGCAAAGGCTGATTCCCTTTACACCAGGTATTATCCTATCGCATTCGCCCATTCAGAAGACCACTCGACGAAGAAACCATCATAACGGGACTTAAAGTCTAGTTACTACTTAACGCTAAGATAGACACGATTAACATATAAGCCTAGAATAGAACGGGCTTTAACTTCGCCGTTGCCGGGAATATCTAAAGTACTGAAGGTCTTACTCTAGTAAAGGTCCTCCTAACCGCGAACCTATAACCGATTACCCTTAACGCTAGCTTTTCTCCTGTTGCAAAGCATCACTTAGGAACTAGCATCGACGGATCCAGCGAGACTAAGTTTAGCAGACAAAGTAAAAGCCCAGAAGTAAAACGATGGTAAGCGGTAGTTGATCATTCCTATACCCTGGTAAAAACGACCTTTGTGTACCAAAAAAGAAAAAAAAGGAATTGCAAAAATCGAATTAGGAATCGAACCCAATTAGATAAAACGATCATCTCCTCAGCCCTACACGTCATCGGATTGATCCTCTTGATTACACATGCTGGCGATGAACGGTACACATGTGTGTCTGTAGTTTATCAGCACGCCCCATGCCAAAATTCTTTTCACAGTGAGGGCACTTTATCGCATCGGGCGAGAGATGCATAGACCTGATATGTCGCCAAAGAGATGAGTCCATGGAGAAGGTGCCACGATAGGAACAGTCTTTCCACTCGCACCAAAAAGGGCCAGGCGGGCTCGTCCTGGAAGGTTTCAAGAGGGAATTAGTTCCCAGACTACAATGATAATCAACCTGTATAGCGACTTACACTCTCCTTGCTCGTCGGCGTGAAGGATTTGGAGCCCCACGATTGGGCTCGCCATCTTCATGAGGAGTGCGGATTTCTGGTAGACCAGTGATGCTGTGGGGAGAGGTGTGTATGCTCGCTCGAGAGCTGAGAGCGACTTGAAGGGCGTCATGTGCTGCCAAATGCTGGGGCTGATATGGGCCTGCGTTGCGGCCTTGGTGCTTTTCGACAGGAGCGGATTGAGCATACGGGAGGTACGGCGGGTTGTGGGTTGGCCATTCCGATATCTCTGGGATCAGTGAGCCACGAGAGGAGTTTGTAGACGACTGACTTTGATACCAAGTCGTGTCGGGCGGCGATCCGAGTTGAGATAGACTTTGATCATGAACAAAGTTACTATCCATCCAGTTCGTGCTAGTCCCAGACTTGGAGCTGAAGCCAGGACTAGTCCACGATGACGCCATGGTTGAAAGCGGAACGGTTGATTGGATCCGATGGAACTGAGGAATGAAGGGAAGGAACTGGAGGCGAGCAAGAGGAACACCTGGTAATACAAACGAGCTTTGCAGTGATCTTGAGATTAGTACTTTATGAAACAATATTCATAGAAATATGTAATTGCACTAGATATATACTTGCGATGATGGCAAGAGGCTGAAAGCCGGAGAACTCTGGAAAGTCGACTTATTCGATTGGACTTATTGTAATGTAGGGGGGAATGGGGACAGGCCTTTCTCCCTTACAGTCAGGGTTCTTGAACTATTTAGTGAGAACTCGACATCGATAAGCACGGCCCCGGCCACTGGATTTACCCATCACCACCCAGGTCGTAAATCACCAATTAACACTCCTTCGACTGCTCAAGCTGACCCTTGGAGAAAGTCCGTAGCTTTTTTTTCCCTTGCCCCGTGTTTCAAGGTTGCATTCTTCAACCTTTTCTCGAGGCACCTTCCCCTACATTCTACAGAGGAACGGAAGTGTGTGACTTCTATCGGAAATTAGCATTCCAGATGGTGTTAGAGTAACTCTATTTCCTGTTAGGTGCTCAAACCACTACAATCTATGGTGGACAATTAAATTATAGTTGGACTCCACTGAAATAATCAAGGCCCACAACGTTCTAGATCAGATTAATTCAATTAGAGATTTTATAATCAATTTATAAACACTTAAATCCCCCGATCTGCGGATGTGCTTGATGCCGCGTCATACCCTTTCCCCACGCTCGGCAAATCCCGAACATCCACGATTACGAAACTCACGAGGTCGTCGGGGCGTGCTGGTCACCCCCTTTTCTGGAAAATGCGTTGCCTGGTCATTACACTGAAGGGAAATGGACAAAGTTAAAAGAACTTAAAAAATTAGAGCCGATCAGGCTACTACGTAATCGTTGGCTGATGAACTATCATTTCAAAAAGTGTGATCGTTGAATTCCTTAGCGGTCTATTAAGGTCCTTAAAGAATATCATAAATTGTAGATTGAAGCTCCTCTTTCTATCCGCTATCTGTGACTATGAATTGCTATTGATGACAATTGATCCAAAGATTGTGTTTCAAGTTTCAAAAGCGCTGAAAGACACAGCCTCCGCCATTTGAGTCCTTGCTGGGCAGGACCTCTATTTTTGTGATGCAACAAATACGCAGAAAGATGCAGTATCGAATGGTTGGTATGTGACTATTGCAGAAAAAGACGCTAGATACTAGACACCATCTCCTAAGTATAGTTTAACACTGCGAAGTAAATTAGAAACCAATACACCCAATCCTAGTTAATGCAGGGTCCATATAATGCAGAGTCCATAGGTTTATGTACATATGTTCAGCTTGAGCCAATAAGCTTAGCATAAAACCATGCATTAAACGACCGACCCACTTTCGTAGTTTCAACGTCCCTTCCCCTTACGTCTCTTGATCCTTCATTTAGTTCCCCAATTGCACCACTTTATACTGGCCAAGCCTTAAAATGGCATATAAAGCCTACTGTGAGCCTGTTCAGAATGCCCCGACCTACCGCCCGTGATATCCTCTCCAAACGAGATCCCCTTATACGGCGATGGCTACAATTCCCTTCTAACAACCATAATCACGGCCAACGACTTGACAAACCTGAATCTCTATATTGAAACACATGGATCCTTTTTCTTCGGTGAACACGATATACCCATTGTTATTCTTTCTCCATAGTAGCATGAAGTGGCAGTACCGATGTCCTCCGCCCCCTTGTCAAGATTTATTAGTCTGAGCCCAATCAAATGGAGACCCTTGAAGAACGATTCGAAAGAAAAAGGATCTCGCTACTAAATACCGCTTGTGGATATGCTTGTTTCGAGACTGCGGATTATATTATGTGGCATGGACCTCCTCTGGCTAAAATCAATGAACTGGGAACTACCGATGAACCTTTTATGCGCGCGGTGTCTACGCTGCAAGACTCTGGGGAGCTCGAAGCAAATGCCGGACACAAAGTCGATCATTTTGATATTGAAACTTTGTTCTCGGTCTCCTGGACAGAGGTGCTCCGGTGCGTAATCCCGATTGAAACCGTGCCGCTGAAAAGATCCCGTTCAGCTCCATGAAACCGTGCTCGGGTCTGCAGCTGCTATGGGAAGCTCCAAACTAGTGACTCGCCTAATTACTGAAAAAACCAATATTCATGCTACACAGTCATGGCAAGAGCCATTGAGCGGCGTCTTTCACAATGTCACAGCCCTACACATCGCCAGCGCTCCACAAACTCGCTCCCAGCTTCATCCAACGACCCTATTAACCTCTCTCTACCAGAGGAATTCATTCCACACTGATATCAACAAACCCGACATCAACGGCTGGATGGCACTCCATTTTATAGCGAGGAATTTACGGCAAGTCGGCGCGTCGCGGTTACTAGTTCGTCGGGGTGTGGATGTTCATGCTATTAGTAGAATGGGAAATACGGCTGTGCATGAGGTTATGGGTGCTGCTAAGCTTCAACGGCGCGAGATGGAAGATGGCACGCTGGAGTGTCCGGCAGCCTCAGAGAAGATATGGGCTGGTGAGGAGGTTGTTTCGGTGTTGAGGGGTGCTGATGCGAGGATTGATGGGCCGAAGTTGGCGGACGCCGGCGGAGTTGTTAGTTGGGAGACGGGGGACAGGGGACAGGGGGGTTGGATAGGTTAACTAAATCTAGAGGCGGTTAAATTTGCTAATGAAGCTAACGGTAGTGGCTAGGCTTCACTAATTTGGCTAGCTAGATCGGTATATTATGATCTCCACATTCTTCAGATCTAGTATTTTCCTAGGTTTAATTGAAAATCACGTGTACATGGTTACTACGCCTCGGCAGGATGGAGTGCTGCAGCGGTACGCGGAGAACAGTGTATCATCCAGTACCATCTCGGATAAACTTAAAACAAATAATGGCCACACTGTTAGGAGATCAAGTTGGCTTGCTAGAGATAACCTTAGAGCGAGGCGTACCGTGGAAGCTGCCTAGAAAATACCTAAAGCAAGGTTTCTACAGATTCAAACACACTACGGAGGCAAAAGCTATACATCACTCTAGAAATTGTATTTCGAGAAAGGTAAAGGGAAGTATGATATGTTACAAGACCAAGACACCCCCAAAACATAGGGAGGTGCACACATATATCATCAAGTCGGCTTCCAAAACAAGCCAAAAATGAAGCAAAAAAGACAAGATCGACAGGACAGGACGGGGGCGAGGGGGTATGTAATTTAGAAGGTCGTTAAAAAGGGAAGTTGCAGACGCAATTCACGGTCTAGCTATTTATATGCTAAGACTGAGAACGCTTACAACTCCAGGCTGGGGGTCTGGCCCTTGACGCGGCCGATGACGGTTTGGGCGGCGTACTTGGGGATGACCTCATCGTCGTGGAGCATGGCGAATTCTACAAGAGGAATGTTAGCGATATGTTATTATATGTAGAGAGATGGGGGAGTAGACATACCCTCGGTAGCATCACGACCCATGAAATTGAACAGAGCGTTGGCACCGCCGGGGTGCTCGTCCAACCAGTTGGTCACGTCCAGGACAATACCCTTGACGACGATCCACAGGTCGTCCTTCTTGTTGTGCTTGGCAATCTCCTCCATGGAGAACTCCTTCTCGGGGATCTTGAAGCTAGCCACGGGGTCGGCCTTGGCAGAGGTGTCCTCGCCAGCGGGGGTAGCGGCGGCAGCAGAGGCAGCAGCGGGGGCAGCGGCGATGCTGGGCAGGTTACCGCCAGCAGGGGCACCGGCCCACTCGACGGAGATCTTGCCGGGGGTGGAGGGGTCAATGTGCAGGGAGATCTGGCCGAGACGCTGCTGGGCACCGGAGGGGCCGGAGGAGATGAGCTTCTTGAAGAGGTGCTGGGAGGCAGAGTCACCGGCGACACGACCGTAGACGACACAGCCCAGCAGGGAGGAACCACCGAGACGGTTGGCGCCGTGGACACCACCAGCCAGCTCACCGCAAGCGTACAGACCGTTGAAGGGCTTCTTCTCGCCGTTCAGGACCTCGGCGTGCTCGTTGATCTCGATACCACCCATGGTGAAGTGGAGGACGGGCTCCATGAGAGCGACGTGGAAATCGTCGTCGATGGAGAATGGGAGGTTGTGGAAGAACTTCTTGTTCCAGGGATCCTTCTTCTTGCCATCGGCAATGAGGTTGTACTCATCGAAGGTCTTCTTGAGGGCAGCCTCGCCGCAGCCAATCTCGGCAGCGAGCTCCTTGCCGGTCATCTTCTTCATGAGACCACGACCGGAGTAGTGGCGGGTGTGGAAGTCCAGGACCTTGGAGGCCTTGCTGTTCAGCACCAGGCGGATGGGCCACTTGCCCTTCTCCTTCTCCTTCCACATCTGGCCGGAGACGTAGTCACGGTGGCCCAGCTCGTCGGAGAAGCGCTGGCCATCCGAGTTGAGCAGGAGACCACCCTCACCACGGAGGGCCTCGGCAGCGAGGAACTTGAACTTGGCAGTGGGGTCCTTGGGGTCGACCAGACCGGTAGGGTGGACCTGGACCTTGTCCATGTCAATGCCGTTGGCACCGATCTCCATCAGCATCTTCTGACCGTCACCAGTGGCGTGAGTGCCGTTGGTGGAGGACAGTCCGTAGGTATCGGGGCGGTGCTTCTTGAGGAGAGAGGTATCGCTGAAGTCAGCGGCGTAACCACCGGTGGCCAGGACGACGACACCGTCGGCGGTCTTGGTCTCGCCGTTGAGAGTGTAGGTGACACCGGTCACGTCGTTGCCGGACTTGTTCACGGCAGTAACGTGGGCCTTCTTCACGATCTGGACACGGGTAGGCTCGGACTCGGCGAGCTCCTCGAGACGCTGCATCAAAGCGTAGGTGATGGCCATACCGGGGAACTTGGCATCGTGGCCACGGTGTGTGCGGGGGTGGGAGTGGCCGCCCAGACGGGAGACCAGAGTGAGGTCGAGGTTGAAGACATCCTGCAGCCACTCGACGGCGGAGGCGGACTTGTAGGTGAGGACCTTGATCAGGTCGGGACGGGCCTTGTCACGGGCGGACTTGAGGGTATCCTCATAGAAGGCCTTGACGCTGTCGCCAATGCCGAGGTCGACCTGGGTACGAGTGAGAGCACCGTTGATGCCGGAGGTGGCCTTGGTTGAGTTGCCACCGAAGAAAGCTTAAAATGGGGGAAGTACGGTTAGTGACATGTGTGAAATGTCAGGAGACGCGCGACACCGGGGGGGGGGGACACGGTCTCTTGAGACAAGGAAAAAGAAGAAGCCGCTGAACATACCCTGCTTATCGAGAACGAGGACATTGCCGCCGTTCAGGTAGACGGTATGAGCGGCACTCAGGCCAGACACTATTCCGAGAGAAGCTGTCAGTCGAGAAAGTCCGGGGGCAGGGACAATAATGCGGGGGAAGACAACTTACATCCACCGCCGACCACAATGACTTGAGGGGCTGCCATATTGTGTGGATGGCTAATGTGTGAGAGGGTAAAGAGGGAGGGGAGGGGGCAAGGAGGAAGAGAGGAAGAGTGGGGGGAAGAAGAAAAAGAATGTTCAAAGATGAAGGGGGGCTTGTGATTTTATGGAAAGGGAAAGGGAAACGGGTACTGGGGGAAGTATCGAGAGGGGATCCGGGGCAGCAACTCAGAAGCCGACAGAGAAGTCTATCGGCCGAGGCACGCGTGGAGTAAAAAGTGGATCCGTGAGGAGTTGGTAATGGGACAATTACGGCTGGTTCAAAAGAGTGTGGGACATAAGCTGATCACTTTGAAACCTGGGGAAGGGATGGGAAAGCTCATGTTGGTGAAGAACTAATCAGCGTCGCTAATTAGACAGAGTTACAATCACATGCTTGATCGTAAGACTCATGGGATCAAGGGCTCATCTTCACATGCACATGCGTCATGGGTGGCATTCCAGTAGACGGTGGTATAGTATGTAATAGGAGAGCCCAAGGACACCGTCAGAAAGCCAACGATACGCATAGACAGTTCTAGATTCAAACGAGAATACAAAGCATAAAGTCCAGCAACTCAGCCAGTTCGGCAAGCATCTTTCAAGAATATTCCGATCTTTTGATCAATAACCCGCGGGAGTGTCGGTCGGCGGCCCTGTGAACCTCGGAAGTACAAAAAGTCACAAATGGCCGAGTCTCCGAAGAATGCAACCACTGCGTTAGTAGTTAGCCCCCTAGAGTCAGGGGTCATTGAAAGAGAACAACTATCCATATACAGTACTCTCTATATTCATGTTTATAGAATCTATCTCGTATCAACCCCGTAAATAATCCACTCTCTTCATCAATACCCCATTCTCCCCTCCAACGGGCAAAAGCAGTTGCCGACCGCTGACCGATTCTCCATCTCTGATTGGTGGAACAAACCACGATAGACTGACATAATCCGGGGATCGGAATTGCCCTGAACAGTCCAAATGACATCACCCCCTCACTCCAATCCACCCTCGGGTCAATTGCCGACGGAATTCATCTCTCGGTCGGTCGGAGAGCGAAATGCGAGACTACAAAATGACCTCCATCCCCATCCCTTCACCCAGCTAGTGCTGGCGTCTAACCTCTCAACCGGACGCGCAAGAGGGAACTCGGGTTCGTGTGTCCCGGCCAGCACGTTTGTTGGGTCGGCGCGGCTCGGGGTAATGTACCCCGAGGCCAGCGAGGTTGATGTCTCGCCCGAAAGAGGACCGAAGTTGACGATTGTTGGGGAATTGAGGGAGATCGGGTAAATGAGGTACGAGGTTTGCGGAAAGCCGAGTTTTTTCTCGGTCATCGATCGGGATGGCCTGCATCTCTCGGCATCGTCGGGGTGGCATGATGTCTTTAGACACGCGACTCGGATGTTGGCAGCCTCGGAGGACATCATGCGAGAGATTAATGTTCTCGAACCACCGAGGGAAACTGAGTTCATGGGGCATTTTAATATCCACGAAGCGAGTTGCAATTTGTTCAGACGCTCTCCTAGTCGTGAAGACTACCCAATGCACGACGAAGAAACTAACCAAACCAAGCTATATACACAATGCATATGTAAATCACCACAACTGGCGATTCAGACTGGTAGCACTAACACAACTAATCCATCCAGGTCACACTCTTCGTCACCAAGAACTCATTCAACCCCTCATCAGCATTGAACCGGCCCCATCCACTATTCTTCACTCCGCCATGAGGCAGCACAGGTTCATCATGAATCGTCATACTATTAATATGCACAGCTCTGGGGAAGCAGTTAGCATAACAGATCACTCAGCCGCATCCAGACCGCAGGATTCCTCTCGAAAGTTTCACTCACCCAGATTGAAGCTTCTTCGCAATCGCAAACCCCTTCCTCAAATCCTCGGTGAACACACTCGCCGACAATCCATACCCACTCCCATTCGCCAACCGCACTGCCTCTTCCTCACTCTCAAACTCCATAAACGCTGCCACCGACGCAAACGCTTCCTCCTGCCACAATGCCATCTCCTCCGTGACTCCGCCCAAAATGGCGGGGGCCATGCGCACGCCTGCGTCAGCAGGCAGTGGAGTCTCCGCTACGCCAGAGATGAAGTGTGCGCCGAAGGCGAGGGCGTTGGTGATTAGGGTTTGCACGCGAGCCTTGGAGGCTACGTTGACGAGAGTTGGTGGGAGGGGAGAGGCTGACGCGCCAGCCGCGAGGGCAGATTTCAGTGCGTTCATGAATTGGGGTGCGATGGACGAGTGGACGAGGATGCGGTCTGTTGCCATGCAGATTTGGCCAGACTGCGAAGAAGAAACGGGTCAGATATTTGACAGGCTGGCGACCAGACCTAACGGGCCTGGGTTCAATGTACTCACATTCAAAAAAGCACCGGCCAGCACACCCTGCACCGCGACATCCAAATTCGCATCCGCACATACAATAGAGCTATTCTTACCACCAAGCTCCATCAGACAAGGCTTCAAATTCTGACCACACGTCCGCGCAATTTTCCGTCCGACCGCTGTGCTGCCGGTGAAATTGATCTTTCGCACGGCTGGATGCTCGATCATAGCATTGACAACCTCGGGCGCATCCTGTGGTCGGCAGTGTAGGATGTTTAGGCAACCCGCTGGTAAGCCTGCGTCTTCAAAAGCCCGGCCGATAGCCCAGTAGCAGCGCGGTGTGAGTTCGGAGGATTTGAGGATTGTCGTGTTGCCAGCTGCAAGGGCGCATGCGGCGGAGCGTATACCGAAGACATACGGTGCGTTCCTAGACCCTCATTAGTTGTCTCGATCAGATTAGATGATAGCCGTAGTGGTCGTAAGCATCCACAAAGAGCAAATACTATCACTACCCCATCACAAATAACCAACCATCAAGAATCAATACATACCAAGGTACAATCCCCAAAATAACCCCCACCGCCTCCTTAAAAACAATCGCACTCTGCCCCTCCCCCTCAACAACCGGCACACTCCCACAAATAGAACTAATCCTCCCGGCAACATCCCTCAACATGCGAATCGCAAGTGGAACCACAAACCCCGCCGACGCCCCCTCATCCGCGCCCATCTCCGTCCGCATGTATAACGCATTCTCCTCCAGTCGCTCTTCCAGCAAGTCGGCCGCTTTTAGGAGGATGTCGCGTCGGGCGTTGGGCTTTGTAGAGGACCAGGAGGGGAAGGCGGCCGATGCGGCTTCGACGGCGCGCAGGGCGTCGGTGGGGTTTGCGGATGAGGAGGTCCAGCAGGGGGTGTTTGTGTAGGGGCTTGTGACTGGGAAGGTTGTGGACGTGTATTCTTCTTTGCCATTTATTAGGAGGGGGATTGTTGGGAGGGTGGTCATTTCGTAGGTTGGCATGTAGTTATGTATGGTAGGTGTAGGAGAGGGGAGTTGAGTATAGGTGGGAAAGTGTAGGAGGGCTAATTACAGTAGTTAACTTGAGGGGAGGGGTGTAAATATTATCTGTTGGAGTCGAGATACTTAGCCCCGCCATTCCAGCTTATCTCCAATACGAGTGGAAAACTACGTTAAAGTCTTGGAGTCGTGAATGGATTCTAAGGGACCATGATGATCCTTTCCTAACTGTTGAACCGAGGCCCCGATAAATTCATACCCACTTCCATACCGACAATCCACAAACTATTTATTTTACATCATCGCAAGGTCCTCATTACCTCCATGGAAAAGAAAAAGCCTTCTTTGGTTCTGAAAATATGCTATAGAGCACCGTACCTGTCGAGGGCTTGAGGTACCCATCCCGAATGTCACACCCCGCTGTGGCTGAAAGGCCCGCGCTCTTGGCCCCGTATGTCATTTAGAACACAGTAGTGGCATTAGGAAAGTGCGGCAGGTGTTAGTACTATTGTAGTCAAAATTGAGAGATAAATGAACGGAAGTAGTGATATAATGATAAAGACTAAGATCGAGCTATGGCCAAAAAGACTGACTGTGTATTCTGCCAATAGTTTACCCCACTACCAACTTGTTCTCAGAACAAAAATCTTGACGCGTCGGGCTCCACGGCCCCAAGTCTCTGGAAGAGGGCGATCAATTCTCTCTACAATGCATGCACGAAATCATCTCACGCTTTCGGTGTGGGTTAATCTAAATTCAAATAGATTAAAATGTCGAAATACCAAAGGTAACAACCATGGAGTATATATCCATACGCGGTCGGACCTCTACGAGTGTTCTATTTTGGAATCTGCAGAAGCTTTCATGCAGCCGGGATCCCCTGTCCCTGTCAATTTTCGTCTATTCTGGACTCGAAAGCTGGATAGACTTCGATAAACTGCACATGCCGTGTACTCGGGTATATTCCTCTCGTTTGTTACCATGGGCGAGTAGACGACTATTGACTCGGGATCTGCACGGTCGACCTGTCACTGCGGATCAAGAGTGGATTATCTGGATCAGTGAAATGGTGCAACGTGGTTTATGGCCAAGATTGGGTTGCAATAAATATACATGTAGAGGTTGTAAAGTAGTTGGATCTGGAATGCCGGTTACTTGCATGAATCTAGGACAGATCCCGATCTATAGATACCACTCTTGTGCAAAGCACCAAACATACACATCTGGTAATAAACTACCATGTATTAGGATACTAGGTAACCGGTCACTTCTCTATCTTGAACCTACATGACTGGCTTGGTCCTTTTTTTCAGCAAAGCAAATCATGGCACACTCACCATATCAGATGGCGATCACAGCCCCGTCCTTCCCGATTGAGCCTGCAGAACCCACCCACTAGGACAAACTGGACCCAGTAAACCCACCTCTATCTCCACTCAACATCTCCAACAAAAAACATGTGTCATTCCAAATTCACCACTGCCGCAGCCTTCCCTTCTCAGTGAAGATGTGCAGCACTAAATACCGGCGAACCACAAATTCTCGCTCTATCTGACAGGGCCCCCAACCAAGTCAGCGCGGTACTAGCACGTATTTACCTAGCTCCATCGGTCAACCTGGAAGTTGGAACGATAGTGGCCTCCACTTTCGCGGAGATCTCCTACGCGAGGCGCACATCTTGGATGTGAAAGGTCAGCCTGCTGATAATTATTGACGGGTACGGTGGAGCAGTGCGCCTTTCAGATTGTTCCAGGATGGACAGTACCGAAGCGTGTCGGGTTGGAGTGTGTGGTATAGAGGTTGTGGTGGACTCGGCTTTTACATATCTATGGTGGAGGACGCTTGGGAGATTTACTTCCCCGGGAGTTTCGTTCTTTCCTGTGACTTGCACCCTCCTGCTTTGTGGATTCCATTGAATCTTGTCATTCATTTTGTTTTTGAATAAGGGTTGGCTGTGAACACTATGGCTCCGAGTGCGCGAGGCTGGCAGATGATCGAGATCGTCACCGTTTTGGTGGCCATGTGTTTTATCTCAGTCGTGTTGAGAGTTGTCGCCCGTTTGCAAAGGAGAGTTGGATTTGGTGTGGATGACTATCTTAGTGTCATATCCATGGTGTTGATGATTGCCATGCTCATAGAGCTGGGGCTATGTGAGTTATTCTCCAGAGGGGTTCATAGGTTTTTGTTCAAGCTGATGGTATTCAGGGTGCTCTATCGGAGGAAACGGGGCCCACGTTAAAGATCTCGATGCCGATACCTTGATGAACTACTATAAGGTATCAATCACCTACTTCCAGCGTGCATAAACCCATCTAACATCTTCTAGATCTTCCTCGCCAACCAATTCACCTACTTCCTCCTCTGCCCCGCTATCAAAGTCTCCATAATATGCTTCTACCGCCGCGTATTTACAACCCCACGCTTCCAAACCTTCACCTTTGGCCTAAACTGCCTCATCGGCGCATGGGGAACGGGAATCTTCCTCGCCTGCGCGGGCCAATGCCGTCCACTACGCGCATACTGGGACCACAGCATCGAGGGCCAATGCTTCGATGCAAACCTCTTCTTCATCGTCAACCAAGCGTTCAACGTCCTCATGGACTTTGTCATTCTCGTCCTCCCAATCCCAATGATCTGGAATCTACATCGTGCCTGGCAAGATAAGCTCGCGCTGAATGGTGTCTTCGCGCTGGGTACCTTTGTCTGCTTTGCCAGTATCTACCGGATCGTCGTGCTCTTCTGGATTAGTCCGTCTGATCCTACGTACACCGTTTACCAGGCTACCCTCTGGACACATGTTGAGCCCTCTGTTGGCTTGATCTGTTCTTGTCTCCCGATTATTCGTGGACTCTTCCCGGCTCTGAAGCTGAAGAATCGATCGAATCGCAGCGATCGCCCGTATTATATTAATACCGATATGAGCAATTCCAATTTCCTGTCTAAGTCGAGTCCGCGATCCCCGGATTTGGAGTATGTGAAAATGGAAGCGGGTATGTATAATGCGCGGATCGAGCGTACCGGCGGTGTGATGGGTCGTGGGAGGCTTTTAGGGGATGATTTGCATCCGTTGAATATCAAGGTTCAGACTGATATTGCGATTACACCGGAGAGTGACTCTAATGCGTCTGAGGATGTGCAAGTCCAGCGAGAGTGAAGCTGTGCTGGGATTGGACAATGATACGACGTGATGATCTATTTATTTTCTGGGGAGATTCGGAGTTTGGAGGTAGTCCATAGTGGGGCGTTTTGTTCTTCACTACTCCGGGAAGCAGGCTAAGCAAGTGACTGAGCCTTGAGATGTATAAAGAACAGTCTCCAATTTGCTACTTCCCTATGCAGCAATCCCCCTCAATCGAGGCTATAGATGACCTTCCCTTTGGCGACTCCAGCAATCCATCCCGAGAAGACCTACTTGCTATTCCTATTAACCCCCAGCCACACCTCCCTCCTCACAATCCACAAAAGATTATTCCCAAACTCATCCACCTCCCCGTTTACCCCCGCATCCCTCGGTCTAAATCCAAACTTGCCCTCCATCAACCCCCGCATCGCAACATTCCCTGAATAACTGCCCACCCGAATCTCCACAAGCCCCAACTCGCGTAACCCATAGTCAAAGACCATCCGCAAAACTTCGTACCCGTATCCCTTTCCCCCCGCGAAGGGTTGAAGTATTATACCTGCTGCACCAGCTCTTCCTTGCGGCTCATTCTCGCTATGGTCATCTTTGTCGTCATTGCTATGAACAGGCCCAATCCAACCTAACCCCGCAATACCGAGCGGTTCCTTGAATTCATTATGAAAAATGAGAAAATTGAAGTACGTCAATGGTTTGGTGACGGTTGTCCATCGTTCAGCAATGGAAGCTAATTCCTCGGGTGTAGCAGTAGAGATGGATTTGTCGAACTGTGAGTTTGCTTTGTTGTTTAGGATGGCTGTTACGCTGGGGATGTCGGATGTGGTACGGAGGCGGAGATTTAAGTGCGGGATGGATTGGGAGGTGAGGGTGAAGGTGGGGTGGCCCGAGTGGCTGGTAATGTTGTAGATTGGGGAGATGTTTGGCATTGTAATACTTTAGATTATACCTTCGGCATTGTAGTGCGGATGGAGAGATGATAGAATGGGGTTGTTAAATTGAGGATTGTAAAGTGGGGGAAGGAGGGTTCTTAGAGCGAGCCTCGTGGGCATTCAATCATGACTTATCAGGCTGCAGCGTAAACTGAGCTATACTACTTATTTGAACTTTCCTTCGCATTAATATCGTGGTTTGTCACTTTCGTAGATCCTTCATCAGTAAAATAGGTAACGGTAAAACTACCGCCTCGGGAAATGATCGGCTCCCGGAGCACAGAATGAGTTAGTCGCCTCGCCGCCCTGAGCAACCTGATGGCTCACCTTAATGCTCAGACTGACCGGCACCTTTGGTCTTAATTTGCCTCCCCGTTTGATAAAGGCCTCCGATGCTAGCTGTGCTGCTCCTAGTGCTCCTGGAAGCGAAGGCTAGGATATAACGTACTTACATTGCTATGGTAACTTCTTTCGCCTTTCCAATTAGCTAGTACGTATATCTTTTAGCATACCTAGCTACCCCCTTACGGAGTATAGCTCTAGGTTACCCCTCCTCTAGACATACTCACCATGACCTATAGCTCTTTTGGTGACGATGCAGATCAACCTCGGATAATCGACCCATCGGAAGCAAATTGGCAGTATGCCTCCTCTCCTAGAAGTTTCGCATGTCCATCGATCAGTGCGACGAATACAGGGAGATCTCGGTGCCAGACCACAAGCACTATGTTAACTTGTCAAGCTATGAATAATGTATGCACTAGTATGCGCGTGGCAGAAGAAATGCTAATTGAATTGTGCAAAATATTGATTGGATAATCATAAACGAGCTGAATAATGGATACAGTAGGGCCTCCCGCATAGGACATTAAAACAAACGACGTTAATATGCGGTCGTTGTACTAACAAGAAAGAACCCACTTTTTCTTGGCCGAAGCAAAAGTCACATAACATAATCCCTCGCATCCAAACCGTGAAACATGATGTCATTCATTCTCAATCATTTAACAACAGATGACATGCACAGCTTAAACTAATACCCCATATTTGCTGCCGAAAAAGCTTCATAAGTGGTTCAGGTTCAGGGGCAATGACCTGGACCTGTGATACCATTGTTATAATTGTCCAGCGTGGTGGCCCAGCCATTCACTTGGCTTTTGACAGCATTGGAGAGGCTGGCCCAGTCAGCGCTATTTGTATTGGCGAGGAAATTATCCGCAGCCTGGATGGTACTTGTCACAGCGGAGCCGTCCGCGCCATTTTTGATGCTGAGCTTCGCTGCGAGCAACTGCGCATAAAGCTTATCGATTCCGTTGCTAGCGGTGGGAATACTCTCGATTGTGACGGCTTGACTTGACGTGGTTACCTTGACGCTCTTCGCCCCGCCTTCTGTGCCGAGCCAGATCGGTAGCAGCGGGGTGACGGCGTCGGGGTGAGTCTTCCAGTAGCCGATCGTCCGCGTGCAACCGCCGGAGGCAGTGCACTTAACTGTCACCGTCACCAATGCAGACGGCCCGGCCGTGCCGTCGTCGTAGGTGATGGAGGCGGTGTTGGGATTGTCTCCTGCATTACCACAGTCGAATGTATGGGTGTAGGTCACCGTATGGTCATCAGAGAACTCCCCTAGCGGGCCCCCGAGGGTATCGGAGACCGTTACGGTGTTATGGACAAGCGTCTCCGTCGTTGGAATCGTCGTGGTGGCGGCCGCATTCGGCCCAAACGGCTCTCCTAAGTGCCCTGAGTGATTGGTAATCGTCGTATCGGCGTTCACCTTGTAGGTGTTGCTGTTTGCTGACGGGATGTCGATGCTATAGGGGTAGCAGTAGCTCTCCCCGGCAGCTAGGACCGGTTTAGCCGACGTGTCAAGCGGCGTACTCAATATGACCACCTGGGACGGCGGCTGCGTCACCTTAAGGGTCGATACGAGGTTCTCAGTTGGAACACTGCCACCGTTGGTAATGCAGACCTCCCCGTCGATCCAGGTGTGGACAGTGCCGTCGTCCTTGGTCAGTGTCACTGTGTAGGTCACGGTGCCGCTGCCACCCTGGACCAGATCGAGTGTGGTTGGGTTAGCCACCTTGTTGATTGACCACGTGAATGTCCGGGTCCGGTGCCCTTTGGCTGTCACTTCCTCACTCAGCGTTGTGCCCGCCTGGCCTTGCCTCTTGCTGAGCGTTATGCCCGCAGCTGAGGCTGGTGTCGGAAAGGCGGATACGCCCGCGACTACGACGAGTGCCACTACTAACACCCAGCCGAGACGGAGTATCGATGGTGCTTTCATTTTCATATTACCCCTCGAGGTGTATGTAGTACCCACGAATATTCAAGAAGAGTTTGTATATCTTAGAAACGAAGAAATCCTCTTTACGAGTTAACTTTTAAGGTGGACACAGAACGATTATTTATAACTTCTAATATCGCTTTCAAACCTAATCCAGAACACCTGTTCCTTCGAAAACATATTGAGCTATCACACCACTCTCGCGCGTGATAGGAGAGTGGCCAGAAGGGCCGATTGCTCATACATTACCGGCATCATGGGCACAATGGTTCGAATTTTCTAAGTGCAACTTTATTGTTTGACATCCGATCTATAAGTTTCGGCGGTACACTTTGAGAGACGGCACCGATCATGTCGAGGCTGTCTGCCACCAAAGCCTACTCTGGCCAACATTTGGTCATGTCCGTATCTCTTGTCACTCTATGTTCCTCTATGTTTCTTGACCGGTTATCTTAAGAGAATAGGCCTAATTGCGAAAGTGTCGCCCCTATGACTTAGACTCATGCTGCTAGCGGGGGACTATAGAACTCGTGGGGCACGACTGCAATACCTAGGCTACACCAATTATAAGTGCTTGTTAAGCGGGAAATTCTTGGAGGCCTATTCGTTCACGCTACAGAGCAGGAGGTCGTCATTCCTTATTAACGGGCGCATCATTTCAACTCGCCACATTCGACCGGGCTAGAATTACCGCGTGAGCCACACGACTATAATCATAGACCCCGTATAAGCCCCCGCCTCTAGAAAACTTATTTTTATACTTAGCTACTCGGAAACCATCGATCGGCCTAGTCCCGTAAATCGAACCGGTATCCCGGGTTCCGGCACTAAGATTACCATGGTAACGGTGCCTTATTGGATGAATGGGCCGCCAAGAATTTTCCGCTTTACGATGATCATGTAACGTCATACACCTGTGATTAGCACGCGATGCCCCCTAAGTTGATAAGATACATCTTGAACTTAAGTCACAGGGACGATAGCTAGATATCTAGGCCTATTTTATTAAAATAACCGGTGGAGAGAGATGTAGCGACTATAGAAGTAGGGACGACGGGATACGGCCAGATATGGCTTTTGGATGGCTCCGAGTCTCGACCGAATCAGTACGGTACTATCTGCACAGTCGCTGATTAGTCGAACCAAATTATTCTGTAGCTATAGCATAGACGTTTCCGTTTGCCTCTTTCTGTCTAGGGCGACAAAAACTAAAAATGGCGGTGGTTCGTCGGTTCAGGTTGATCCCCAGATTTTAACCTACCATGGATGATGTCGATGGCTTACACCTAGCTTGCCATAAGTATATGAGCAATTGAAATCTGATCCACCAAGAGAAAGGCAGAAGAAATTGTACGAATAAGATGGCTTTATATGACCAAAAGTTTAAGCACAGGTCAGAGAGCCTAGATGAGGCCGCCTCAGCTCAAATGCCTCCTAGCTATCTTATTTATACACTCGTTAGCGCAAAGGCTAAGCTATTGCGTAGCCAAATCAGAAGATCCAAATGACAATCAGCCATAATAGAAATATGTATTAAACGGTTTAAATAACCGAACTTTAGAGCTCTGTAATTGACTCGGCTCTGAGGGCCTTTCGGCTTCTCCGAGGAAGCCTATTACAGGTGGGATATATCTAGACCAGATAAAAGCGATTTATGTGAAGGGCTGAAGCAAGACTTGATTCAATCTAAGTAGGCCAACATGCTGTTTACAAAAAGCTTAAGGAGGGGAAGTTTATCCCGCGCGTTCTCCACGTCAACATGCCAAGGTCGCGTGATACACGTTACCTATATCGGGCACTGGCCCGTGACAATTTACACTATATAATCAATTAGCCTAGGTACTTTCACAGCCGATAGCTCGCTCTTATCATACCACCTCTTCCAGAAATGCCCTATTTTGATTTGACCTGGGTCAATCATCCTATTCCAATTTCGAACTCCTTAAGCGAACACGGTTAAGATTGTAATGGGTTAGACCCGCTTCTCACTATACGGCCTTGCGATATAGCCCGCTCCTGTTATACCACCGAGGTTGAGGCCCCGGAGGTTGGCCCATGCCATGGCCCGTAAACCGAGCGCTCCGGGGTTGAGTGCCCCATGGGTTTGAGACTTCTAGGTTGGAGGCCGCCCCCGCTTTAGGTGGTACTCCCGGGATTACACCTTTAGAGTCTGGTAGTGGGCCCAGTGTTGCTGAGCCGGTTTACGGTGCGCCTGACTATGAGCCTAGATATAGACCTGGCTATTCAGCGCCTGCATACAGTATGATGCCCCGGCATACACGACGCCTATACTAGATATGCCAGAAGCTAGTGCCCCAGAGCTTCATGTACTGGCTAACACCGGTTCAGCTACTGCTGAAGTAGTTACGTCCGAATTCCCTGGGTCCGAATTCCATACGCCAGAACCTTTGCCAGAACCTGTGCCAGAATCTCCTGCACCCGAGATAATGTTTATGAAGGCTACTCGCACCTCAATTTGCGCGTCCGCACAACAGACTATACCAATTTCAGATATAGTGGATAAAAGGTACATCGAGCACCTTGATATTGTTAAGATAACTGCTTGAAGCGGAGAAAGCCTGTTGATCAGGTAAGGTGGAAAAGCACCAAGTCAGATCTGTGTCAAGACTGTTTCTTGAGGAGTTCGAAACCTACTCCTCACGTTATCATTCCATATACAGTCTTCTCATACATAGTAAGGCAATACTAGAGAGATCGATAGAGAGATTGGACGCCTGAACTGAAAGGCCCTGTAACCTGTTGACGTATTCCTGCATGTGGGTGTATCCCCCCCGCTAGGCCATCGAAAGGCTGCCGGTTAACCCCCGAATGGTTACTACCCTATTGCGGGTTAGGGGGAGTTTAGAGGGGAGCGGTTATTTTGGATACGGGTTGTATTTAGACATGTAACAGTACATGACTATACAGTTTCATCCTTCCATTCTTGTTACCATACAACCCTAGAACAAATCTGTGTTTACGGAAATAGCCATATTAGGCTTAGCGTATCCCGTGACTAGGGTTTGAAAGAGTATGTCGTGGAAAAGTGGAGAGATTCATTACAGTGACCTCGGATTGGTCACTTCCATCCCAAATTTCCTATGTATTTGTATGTAATATACGGGTAACCTTTGACCATCGGTATGGTCACTTGAATACCTAGTTACACCGCCATGGGACAGCTCAACCTGCCCCTTTTCCCATTCGTTCGAGTCCTTTTCCTTTCTTCAATCAATCAACCTTCTCTGTATGATTCCGATAGTTCTCATTCGTCCATATGCATACTAGTCTATACCAATCCTACATATCTTGACAGAGTATCTCTATGTTTCTAGAGATGGAAGGCAATTACGGTCGGCACTGTACTCATTAGACACTCGTGCAATCGCAATATTCTAGGCAACTCTACAGTAAACCAGATTAGCGAGCGGTTACACAGGGCGGGAGTGTTAATTTATCAATCGATCTGTTAATTAGAGAATTAAATGAAATTATCGTAGTTCTACAGAAGATCATGCCTCTTCGGCCTATTACACTTCGTAGGAGAGAGCTTTAAGGAGAACACATGACATGAAAGCATCTTGTATTATAGTAACTTCTGGCTATTCTTGTCACACTTGAACAGCAGTATCAAATGCTAGAATTAGCTTCTTTCATGTGTTTGCTATATGCTGTCGATCTCTTGCCGTACGAAGGCCGAGCAAACATTCTCCGAATTCATGCCAAAAGCATGTCCGTCGAGAGGGACATTCGATGGGAGCTGTTTCCCGTTTGTACCCGAAGGCTACCGGTGCTAAACTAGACAATGTCACGACTAAAGCTGGTATTTCTACTATCCATGAAATGACCGAAGATTTAGGGGACCACTTAGTTAATCATTCGCCACAAAACAACCCATGAAGAAGAGAGATGGCGGGATCAGTATTCAGCTCTGAGCCTTGCCACGTCTCTGCCAGTGGGATGCTCCTGAAAATGAGAAGATACATCCACGCCGTCGACATTCTTAAACTTTCCATCATGCAACCACAACATCGCCCGACAAATTTGGCTGTTCTCTTATGCCGGTTCTTTGACATTTCCGTGAGATACAGTCCGTTTTAACAAAATAGTTCTCGCAGTCATAGCTCTTGGAGCAGCTCTCGCCAGGACAGCTAATCTGGGTTTTTGTTGAAATATGTCCGTTCATATTGGCAACTCCCTCAGATTTATCAATGACTTGACACCTGATAGCTCTTACAAGTCCACCGATTTCTTCTCTCCTTTCTCATTGTATCCCGCGAACATGGAAAGATGAGAGTGATCAAATCGAACGAGCTCATCTCGACAGTTGTCTCCACTGGTTTCTGATATTAGTACCCTAGCAGACCAGCGAATTTCCGCAGTCAGCAAGACTTGGCTTCAAATAATACACTATTGAGTCTATCATCGATAGCTCCGGCTGACTGTGCTTGCCAGGATCGTTATCTGGCTGCAAAGCTATATGGTTTCACATCGAGAAAAGGTTATCATAAGTCATGTTGCGCAGCATATTCTGAATGTCAGCTGAATCCTCATCCCATCTCTCCGAAGCAAGGACTCAGTTACCATTCAAAAGAACGGCGTGGATACCTATAATTCATATGCTATGGGTCGTCAGGGAGCCTGAGATAAATTTTGCGCACCTACAAGTTTCCACTTTATACCAAGAAACTTCATTGAATGTCTTTTGTCATTCCGTGCCTCTAAGCTCTGATTGTGCCTCTCAAGGTAATAACGATCGTAGAAATATTTGAAGGCGGGATGTTTCCAACCCAAGAGAAATAGAGACTCCCTCTAGGTACTAGAATGCTCACCATTGTTGTAGATTCTTGATAAATTGAAATAAGTACGCGCTGATTTGCTCAGTGGATGACTAGGGTCGTAAATATTGCCAAGTTCGCTATCGTCTGGTTCATCAAAAGAACAGTATCCTGGAGTGTAGGCATATTGCGAATCCTGGTCCGATGCTTCCACCTCACAGGAGGATCGAAGATCACACTGTTGTAATACAGGTCAATCGTCATGGTCGCTGTTCTATCGGTTCTAATGTCAGCATGATCTCAGACATACAGTCAAGCGGGTGCTGGTCCTTAGTCAGAAGGCCAGCATTGTTACATTGCGCATAGGGAATTGCGCATAGGGAATTGCGCATAGGGAAAATTTGTATCTATATACGTTGCTCTTCCGTAGTGGTAACTCCTGTGAAGGATGGGTGGTTACTAGAGGAAGTGAATTGATTTCTGGCCAGATAGTTAACCACATTGACAAAGCAGATTCCCTTTCTATCTATCTGGTTTGCAGGATCAACGTTCTAGGCCCTCAAGACCATACAGGCCTATTACGGATGCTGTTTTTACGGTATAATCTTAGCTCTATTCTACAGAGTTTGACGGATAAAAGCTTGTTCATCTATCATATTCTCAGTAAAATAGTATCATCCTAAACATTCAAAGCATCATCACTCATTTCATATATCAACCTTCACATCTCCATTACACAAACGTATCCACCAACTCAAACATAGGCGGCCCCAACGCCTTCGGCGGCCAATCAACCTGACTATCGTATCTCGACTCAAAAGTATACCTCCCCGACCCAACCCACCGTCCCTCCCCATCACCCTCCTCACCCGGAACAACAACCCTCGCCCACGAATTCGGCGGAACAACAACCAACATCTCAAACCTTCCCTCCTCAACCTTCCACGAACACTCCAACCGTCCATAAACAGTCTCATAAACGGCCTCGGCCTGAGTAACCGTCCCCCCAGGAACGGGATTCACCAAAACCCGCCTCCACCCGGGATCCAACGGACTCACGCCGGCCACACTCTTATGTAACCAGTTAATTATCGAGCCGAGTGCGTAGTGATTGAAACTAGTCATTTCACCGGGATTCACGCTCCCATCCGGACGCATGCTATCCCACCGTTCCCAAATAGTCGTTGCGCCCATGGTGATCGGGTACATCCATGATGGACAGGTCTTTTCCTGGACCATGCGATACGCTAGTTGAGTGTATCCGGCCTTTGTCAGGGCGTGCGTGATAATCGGTGTCCCCGCGAACCCGGTTGAGACTTGGAATTGGGCGCGGCGGACTAGTCGGGCGAGACGGGCGCCCGCGTTGCTGATTTGTGTTGGCGTGACGAGAAGATCGAAGACTAGGGCGAGACTTAGCGCGGTTTGGGTGTCGCCGACTAGGTAGCCCTCCGGTGAGATGTATTTTGTTTGGAAGCGTTTCTTGAGAGTGAGGTAGTCTGCTTCATAGCGGGTTGCGTCGGCTGTTTCGTTTAGGATGGTCGCGATGGAGGAGAGGGTTTTCGTGACGTGCACGAGGTAGGCGTCTGCGACGAGGGTTCCGTCTGTACGGGCGTTGCCTGGTTGATCGGGTGGTGCGGTTGGATCCAGCCAGTCGCCGAGTTGGAAGAGGGTATCGTCCCAGAGTTGGTCTGGTCCGCGTTGCACGCCGCGGTCAATCCATGCTGTCATGCTGGGGTACTGACGACGCAAGATATCGGTGTCGCCGTAGTTTTGATAGAGAGTCCAGGGTAGTAGGACAGTGACGTCGTCCCAGATCGCTTGGGGGAAGACCGGCCAGAGCTCTTCGGAGATGACATTTGGTATGACAAAGGGCGGGATGGCATTTGGTGCGACAAGTTGTTCCGCTGAAAGATCTTTAAGCCAGTCGCCTAGCATACCCGCTGTGTTGTAGAGGAAACTAGCTGATGGAGCAAATACTTGGATATCGCCCGTCCAGCCTAGGCGCTCGTCTCGCTGGGGACAGTCTGTGGGGATGGAGAGGAAGTTGCCACGCATGCTCCATGTAGCGTTTTGGTGCAGCTTGTTGATCATTGGGTGTGAACAGTTGAACCAGCCTGTACGTTTGAGATCGGTGTGCATGACTTCGGCGTGGAGACTGTCGAGGGTAAGAGGGTCGGTGCTATCCTGGGGACTCCATCCGTCGATTTGAACGTAGCGGAAGCCGTGGAACGTAAAGCGTGGTACCCAGTTTCGAATCTCAGTGCCTGTGGAAATGATCGTGTCGGTACATTTGGCTATACGGAGAGGGCGAATGCCCAGTTCTTGGTCTTCGAGGACTTCGGCGTGGATGAGGGTTACGGTGTGGTTGGCTGGTTTGATGAGTGATGGGATACCGATTCGCCCAACGAGGTTCTGGCCAAAGTCGACGATCGTCTTTCCCGAGGGTGTCGTGATAATCTCGACTGGCTTGACGACCTCGGTTACTCGTACGGGTGGTGCGTTAGGCGAGACGAGCTCCGTTTGAGGGAACTCGGTCTCGCGCACGGCATCCCAGGACTCTTCGGCGAAGGGGCTGCTTTGCCAGCCTTCTTGTTCTTCGCGAGCATCGTATACCTCGCCATCATAGATCTCACTGGTAATCAAGGCTGAATCATGCGACTTCCATGTGGAATCAGTCATGATAGTCTGCTTCTCCGTTCCCGAATCAATTTCCAACTGTGCAAGTAATGCCATCTCATCGCCGTAGAGGAATCTTCGACCACCCAGGAACCCGAGTCTCGTGGCGTACCATCCCTCTGCAAGCTCAACGGCAATGGCATTTGGGCCATTCGCAATGAGCAGCGATGAGACGTCGAAGGTTTCATAGTTCAATCGGTGCTTATAACTCGTCCATCCGGGCGCCATACAATGATCACCCACGGCAACACCATTGATGTAAGTTTGGAACACGCCGAGACTGGTAATATACAGGCGTGCCTGCTTCACCTCGGCAGAAAGGGTGAACGTCTTTCTGAAACGAAGTGGTCGCAGTGGACCCTCTGCTTGCTTGACTGGGCTGGTAATTGCCTTTGCAGTCCAATCTTGCCGGTTCAACAGGCCACACTCGACAGTTGTCCATTCGGACCATTCTGTTGCCTTGGCAGAGCCACCGTGGGCGCGAACGCGAACTCGGGCGGCTTCGCGAGACTGGAGGGGTTGGCTGGGCCAGGGGACAAGGACGGATTCGGATGACTGGACATGATATGATTCTGGAGATTCGGACTCGCGAGAAATTTCGAGGGTGTATGCCGTTTGCTCCCAGTTGGGGATTGTGTCGTTGGTTGCCGCGAACCTCCAGGAAATGCGGGGTTTCGACACTCCAATGGCTAGTCCGGAGGCATGCTGTTCGAAGGATATGGACGCGATAGATGGCTGTGAAGACATGGCGAGTGACTCTAAGGATCTAAGGGGAATTGTAAAACATCTAAATTCTCATGATTGAAAAGAAAGGAAACAATTTTGGAACACAGTCTTGGGGGTCAGGTTCTGTGGACATTCTCGTGGATTCGGGACAATCGATGCCGACGATGGCCCCCCGCACCTCCATTCTACCCCGAATTCCATTCTACTCAAGTCATTAGGGCACTGTGTCAAAAGATAACATGGTCAGGGGGACTTCCGACGGAGATCGGACCGATTTACCGTGAAGTTCCACCTCGTCCTCTCCACATTGCGAAAAACGTGGAGGTGTGGATACAATTCGGGAAGAGGTTGGAATCGGTTAGGGTAGCCGAGTTGCAGGATTCTTCTGCTCGTATGATCTTATCAGTTTTATAGCAAGTGTGCCGGAGATCAGCCGGGCAAGACTAAATTAGTAGTTGTAGCCACCCGATCCTGAATAGTTGCTAAAGAGATATACGATCGACTGAACCTAGCTAATCATCAAGAATTGCAGACCTAGAACTACCAGTTACTATTGTCTAAAGCAACACTCATCCCTATGCCTATCCCAAGCTAAACTCATTATCAACCTGCTCTTTACTCTTGTCATATATACAAAAATCAAGAACAAAACCCAGCAGAGGCCAGTGGTTAGAACTGCCTAAATCGCCAGGGCTCTTGATTCTACCCCTGTGATGCCTCGCCCAAGCGCCACAGTCACCACAGACATCCAGAAGCCAGCCACATTCCGGAAAATGCTTCCGGAAAATGCTTCCGGAAAATGCTTCCGGCAAATGCCTCAAGTAAAGAGGGGTTCTCGTTTCCCATTGAACGGCAGAACTTCGGCTGATTATCCAAAGGGCGCGTATCCCCCTAGTCAACTAGTTTAGCAAGTCAGCACTCTATGTACCTGCAGTCCAGTAAATCGGGCAGGGATTGTTAGTTAGTTAGCTGACTAGTCGGTGACTAAGTGACCCCGGATGTCGACCCCAGATTCTAATCGGCTTACATTTGCGGAGAGCGCGATCGGCATTGACGCTATGCAGAGTAACCTACCCAAACAAAAAAGAGGATATTCAACCTTCAATGCTAGCTCTACCATATATTCATTACTATGGTCCATATTCTTCAGAGTAATTCCATGACTCGTCCCGAAAAGAACACGATCGGGCCGCGCATGACCGAAAAACGGAGAAACGGGGAACTCCCACCGCCACGACCAATCCGGGGGTTTACGCGGCCACCATTGGCTGGTTGTAGCTGGAGTCTCTTAGGTTTTTGCCTTCCTCGCCATTTTCAAACCTTCTAGGCCCTTTTCTTTTGCCCCCGCCGAACTCGGTACGTTTAGCCTTTTGTTGATTAGCTTTTTTCCCGGAGCGCTGGTGACTGGACTGGGATCTTCTTTCTGGGGTCGTGCAACCCTCCGCATTTTCCCTTTACCTTGCTCCATTCCAATCAGAGTTCCCCATCTTTTTGCCCGGGGAGAGACCAGCAAGAAAAAGTATGGGCTGGCGTGGCATAGTCTAACCTAGTGATGGTCCCATTTCTACCTCTGGGGTAATAGATGCCATCTTGAGACACGATCTGGAGAGTGAGTGATACATAAAGACCCCCTGTCTGCTCTGTCGATCACTTGCTTCACTGTGTGTCACTGAATCATCTTGACTCCCTTCCTACTTTCTTCAATACCTCTTTTTATATACACTATACTCCTCCTTGTCAACGGCACAATGGAGAAGCCTAGTGCGGACTTTGTCGAGGATGCCGATAACCAGCAACTGGGTCACATCGCCAACCAGGAAGACCATGAATTGAACAAATGGCAGAGTCTGAAGAAGTACCCCTGGACATTCTTCTGGTGTACCTACGCCGTCTGGTGCATTCTGCTCGTCAGTTTCGAGAATCAGGCTTCCGGTAACGTCACCGGTATCCCGGAGTTCCGCAAGGACTTTGGTCATTACTATGAGGGGAGCTGGGTGCTGGATGCGAAATGGCAGTCTGCTTTCAGTGGTGGTCCCGTCGCATCTGCTGTCATCGGTGCGCTGTGCTCGGGTCAGATTGCCGATGCTATTGGCCGTAAGATGACCATTTTGATTGCTCTTGCTATCAGTGTTGCAGCCATCACCCTGGAGTTTGTCTCGACTACCAATGAGATGTTCTTCGGTGGAAAGTTCCTCAATGGCTTTGCCGTTGGAGCTCTGGCTTCGGTCCCCGTTACCTATGTCGGCGAGGTATGTATCTGCTTCGAATATTGCGTTTTTCATATTACTCACGCCTAGCTTGCTTCTATAGATCACCCCCCTCGCTCTCCGTGGTACCCTCACATGCTTGACTGCCCTCGCCTATGTCATCGGTCCTCTCGTAGTCGCCCTCATCACCAATTCAACCGGAACCTATTCCAACCGCTGGGCCTACCGTGCCGTCTTCTGCGCCCAGTACGGTTTCGCCGCCATCGCCTTGGCCGGTATCGCATTCATGCCCGAGTCCCCCTGGTGGCTCATCTCCAAGGGCCGTGAAGACAAGGCCCGCGTTTCCTTCCGCAAGCTGGGCTACAACGAGAACGAGAGCGCCAAGAAGCTCGCCTTGATCAAGACCACTCTCGACGAGGTCCGCCAGGAAACCGAGGGCGCCACCTATCTGGAATGCTTCCGTCGCTCTAACCTGCGCCGCACTATCATCTCCATCATGCCGCTGAGTATCCAGGCTTTCTCCGGTGTTGTCTTCGCGGCCGGTTACTCCACGTACTACATGCAGCTGGCTGGGTATAGTACCGCGATGAGTTTCCGCCTTCAAATCGTGCAGCAGATTGCCTCGCTGGTCGGTAATGTCATGTCCTACTTTGTCATTGACCGCGTCGGTCGTCGCAATCTCATGTTCTACGGTCTGGCCATTCTTACCGCCATCCTGATGCTGACAGGTGGTCTGGCCGTTGTCGGATCCCAGACTGGTAACCCCAACGCTGCGGGTGCTGTCAAGGGAACCGTTGCTTTGATCCTGATCTACTGCTGGTGGTATAACATGACCATCGGTGCGGCCGGATATACCATCTTGGCTGAGGTGTCTACTTCCAGACTCCGTATCAAGACTATTGCTATCGGTCTGGCCCTGCAGAATGCGCTTTACACTATGTGGTCGTTTGTCTTGCCTTATCTGTTTAACCCGGATGAGGCGAACCTCGGTGCTAAGGTTTCTTTCATCTTTGGTGGTCTTTGTGTTATTTGTCTTGTTTATCTGTGGTTCTTCCAGCCTGAGACTACCGGTCGGACTTATGCTGAGCTGGATGAAATGTTCATGAAGAAGGTGCCTGCGAGGAAGTTCAAGACTTACAATACTGATGCCGAGGCTATGGGTGTTGCTGCCAAGGGTGATAATGAGATGGGAGTTTAGTTGATGGATGGGGATGCCCGTTGAAGTGTCACTCTCTTCAGAGTGGCAAGGAATGAATCTATGTATCTATGTACAAACTAATTTTTATATGCAACCTTAACCTTGCTGGTCTTGATCTGCACCCGCTCAGACGAGACGACTGGGAATATGCTGTTATTGGACGCCCATCGCTATGATTATCCGAATATAAAGCAAGCTACATTCATAACTTTCATTTGTTTTATGTCGACTATACCTTGTTCCTTTGCGCGGGAATATTCCACCACTCTATCCCTTTATTTGTCTCCTTGGCTTACCCCTTCGGGCTCTTAAAAGCAGCTTTGACATTGCCAGTCTTCCTTCTTTCTTTTGCTTCACTACCTAATCCTCTATACTACTTTACACTTATCCCGCTCCCTCCTTAGATCCTCTCCCACCTATATACTAGCCTCTGCGGCGCTACCAACTTATATTCCAGGTCATGGCCCTGAATCATGCTGAGTGGTATCAGCCAAACCACCCGGTCATGTCTTCTGACCTATGGGCAGGGGAGAACATGCAAAATCCATGTCCAAATTCGGGGAATCAACATCCTAACTTTGTTACTCTTCTCTTCTCTTCCCAGACACACTGAACCCTGAGCAGAATCGTGGGCGACGATACAGTCAACGCAATCCACAGAATTCCCACCTTCGAACACTCACTCGTCTCCCTCCACCTCGCCACTGGATGCAATCTTTGGCGAGACATCCCTCTAGTTGTGTAGACGGGAGGTCGTATCTGGACATTCTTGGTAAACCAGTTTATTACCCTGAAAGACGAGGATTCAACCAAATTGCTGGGCGCTCTATGGATATTGCGCAGCCACCGAAGACAACTGAGAGGAAGACGTCAACTGGAACACCTGTCATGGTAGGCATTCGTTCAACGCCAGGAATTTACTGGCTCTTCGCGGGGTAAGAACAAGATCGCCATGTCGCGCTGCGGATTCGAGCAACGAAGAATCCCCGTTATCAGAACTGGCGTATCCGGACCATGACGCAGGATAGCTATTGCCGTTTTTTGCCGGGATATGGGCGACCTGTGCCGGCCGCTGATCGCTGGTGAGCGCGAGGTGGCATGGGTAGTCTAGATCCAGCAGTACACCGTCGGGCAGGTGGCTCTGCTTCGGAACATGTTGGATGCCAACCTCCAGGCATAGGACGCGCGCTTTGCGAGTGGTACAGACCAGGTCGACTGGATTCGAACAACGAAGAATCCCTGTTATCAGAACTGGCGTGTATCCTGCAACTCTCGATCTTAACGGGCTGCGCCTTGATGGCTTGAATCCAGTGGCGATATCCCGGGGTTGTTCTGCACAATGGATTATTCTGCTACTCGATGTGGAGCTCTATATACATTGCTTGGATGCGGCGATGTCGAGCTGGAGTGGGCTTCTTTACCTACGAGCGTCGGATATGACGTCTTGCGCATGGTCTGTGGGTCTTGTGTTTGAGGGAATCAGAAGGCTGAAGAGAGTGGTTTGGGATCTGGATTGACTATGCAAAGAATCTGCAGTCTTCTAGGATATGGGTCATATTACCAGCAGATCCCTACTCAATAACACTGGAAACAGATGAAGTGACCTAGTGAAGACTACGGGACTTTTCGGGCTATGGAACCTTGTGGCAGACGGGAAATAGCTAGGTTGTTTAGCAGCAGGAGTACACTGTCAGGCAGATTGCTTTGCCCAGAGAATATTTTTGGAACTGCACTGCACACATAGACTATTCAACCAGGGTACTGAAGAAGTGAACATGTGCGAGTGGTTCACACTAGAGCATGTTGGGCGTGTGACATGGTCCTCGTAGATCTTCATATTCTTTTCGCTAGAGAGTAGACAAATCCTAGCAACAACTCTACTAGAGACAGGAGAACGAAAGCAAGCTACGGGGTTCTTGTTTAGATTAATTTTGGGGGGCAATGAAACTACCGTTTACAGAAAGAGACGCGCGAGGTGCCCGATGAAGTATCGTCGGGCGGCTACTATTTACGGTCATGAGGGTGTGGAGTTGGCATCAATTCGTAGCATTTCGTCAAAGTATCTGGTCTATCAGTGCACCATCTGGCTAGTAGCAAAATCCTAGGAGAAGGTCAGCATAGGGTTCATGTTTCATAGATCAGGCTCTACTGACCGGGAACTGATCGGCAATGCTGGTAGCAACACGTTCAACATCTTCAGCGAGCTCCTGTACTCCCTGATCCCATTGTCGCAGACTCGCCCCATTTGCACCAGATCCAGCCGCAAGCTCCGAGTCAAAGGAGATAATGCCATCAATCTGGTCGATTCGACCCCGAAGACGACCCTGCTCAACCATACGCGCGGCATACGCCTCTGCCTTTTCTCCAGCGGAGAAGTCACCTGATGACTTGAGTCCCAGAATCTCGCCAAGGGCATCGACATTGATGTTTTCGTAGAGCTTGCTTGCCGCAACGAGGTTGTGTTCGATGACCGCCTTGTCGAGAACGGTGGTGCCGTCGGCAGTAACGGCAAGTTGGTGAGGAGCAAGCTTCTTTGAGAATGCGGCGACTTCGTCGGCATTTAGAAGTCGGTCGAGGAACATCTTCTCCAAGATCGAGAATTCGTCTACTGATGATGCACGGTCATCCTTGTACAGGCGGGAGAGGGAGCGTGAACGCTGGGGACCGGCGGGGGCCAGAACTGCGCAGCGAATGGCGGCTGAAAGTGCGGCGAGTCGGTCACCCTCATCGACTCCAGGGGCCAAGCTGACGTTAAAGTATTCCTGTGCGGCGTCTAGGAATCGCCGACGGGCATCGAGAATTCGGGCCTGCGAGAGCTGGAAATACAGCTTGGAATCGTGGTCTTCGAGCTTGCTGGGCAAGTTCTTAATGCGATTCAAAAATCCTTCTGCGCTGGTGGTATCGTCGTCCTCCAGATAGTATCGCACGATGCGAATCCACAGTCGAGCCTTGGCCGCATCGGAAACCAGTCGCTGGGAGCTGTCAATGTTGATTCCCGACAGCGCCCGCGCCGCAGCACTATATTCTTCCTCTGACTCATATGCTGCGGCGAGAATCTCGCGGATTTGTGAATCTTGTTCCTCTACCGATGTAGCGCGCGTCTGTAGCAGTGTGACAGCGTGTTGTCCGGTCTTGATCTTGACTTCGGGTTCGAAATTTTGCAGGGCAGCGATGAAGGAATCGAGTAGAGGACGAACGGATGCGATGCTGATATCTTCATTCAGGATAGAATCCAGGTAGTAGACAATATCTTGGGCAAGCTCATCGCCGGATGACCTAGAGACGATGTCGTTAAGGAGGTTGTTGTATTGTTCGAGCTTGGTGGGCTGGTGGGAAAGGGATTCGATGGACGCTAGGGCGGCAGCGAATTTTTGAGACGCCATGTCGGTTAGGAGGTGTGTGTCTTTGAAAGGAGAAGGGATGGGCGCTGCCCCGCGAAACTCAGACCTGTGAAGCTCTAGAGTTGGGGAATGCGGTGGGTTGGAGATGGAGAGTGGATGGTGGGCTTATCGATAAGCAAAGGCGGAGAAGACGTTTAGCATTAATGGCATCAACAGGGGCAGGCATCAGCAGAGCTGGTCGCTACTGGACCTGAGGATGCTGCTTCTGATTTGATGTAAAGTATTATTTGCAACTATTTCGTTTTGAAACACCCGCGGGTGAGTAGGTTTGGGTTTCTTTGTTGCAAGTCGAGTTTGACTTCGGTGCAAGATATATATAGTTGTGACTCCAAGTTTCAATTGCGTATCCTCGGTACAAATATCGACATTGGCGCCAGAGATGCTAAGACGATTAATGGCAAGCCTGGATAGTTACTACTGGCTGGCTTACATTTAGCTTCGTCTTAATAGCGATTTTCATTTCGAAAGAAACAAAGACATCTCCAATGAAGTCATCGCAGACAAAGTGATAGAGCGGCTCTTTCACTCACCGCCTGCCCATTCCAGCTGGCCAGTTGATTCCAAATTGGGAGCTCTCTGCCCGCTTTGTGGCGTAACTTCAACTTCACCCTTCTCACTCCCATCTCTCTCGTTCACTCTCTCTTCTCGTCGCATATACCAACTCTGTCTCTGCGTGATCGCCAACCCGATTCTTTTCCTTTTCAAATCCCAATTACGACTGCGCTCGCTTTCTTCAACCGTCATCATGGCCCAGGTCAAGCCAGACCCGGATGCTATGTACATCAAGCCCGACCCCGACAGCAAGGAGACAGTCCTTGCAGACCTGGAGGATGATGATATCTACGAGGATGCAGGAGATCTGGACTTCTCAGCGTCAGCACAGAACGTATGGCTCTCACGACTGCCTCAGCAGCTGTGGGACCATTGGGCGACAATGGATGAGAATGCGGATGATGACGAAGAGATTGAAATCGGAACGATCAGGATAGAAGGTGAACCGGGAGATCTCAAGCGGGTATGTTATCTTCTCGGTCAAATCTCCAAGCCCGCGCATTCTCACACTGTTTGGATACTTTAGGTCAGCTTGCGAATTCACAAACGCGAGGGCAACGAGGACATTCCCAAAGACTACACACTGCAAAAGCAGTCCATGTCCACAAACGCGGCACATATGACCCAAAATACCTTTGTTTTCACGGAAAAGGATATCCCCGGAGCTGAAAACCGGTTGGCATCGTTTGGAGAGAAGCGCTCAGCCTTATACGAAGCTATGAAGCGTGACGCGCGGAGGAGGCAGCAAGGCAAAAAATGGGAGCCCTACGTCCGCAAGACAGTTCCAAGTATGTTGGGCCCATGGTTCTCTGACTGTGGCAGCTTTATTGACATTTCTTAGAACAAACGGCCCTGGTCGGACAAGTCAGCGAGGAGTTTAACCTCTTGCCGGTCGAGAACGAAGAACTACGACGGATTTCCGAAAAAGCAGCTATTCAAGCTATGAAGCCGAAGGAGAAGGTCCAATATGTCGACGATATCAGCCCTGACATTACCAATGCAGCTATTCTCCTGCCCACGAACAAGGGTCACTTTGTGGTAAGTTTTGAAAGTACCCGCTGGTTGCTTCTTTACCTTCTAACAATATTCCCAGCAACAAATCAAACCTACCAAGGCCAAAGCCCAAGAGAACAAGTCTACTCGTATGCCCCAAAACGAGCTTCTGGACCGCATCTTCGAGTGCTTCCGAGAATTCCGCTACTGGCCATTCAAAACTCTCAAGGCCAAGCTACAACAGCCCGAATCCTATCTTAAGGAGACTCTGGAGATGGTTGCCCATCTGGTCAAGGCGGGTGACTTTGCTATGACATGGGAGTTGAAGCCTGAGGCTCAGCATGCTAACTATGCTTCCATGTCCTATGACAATGTCAAGGATGAGAAGCCGCCAGACATGGACGACTATGAAGATGCTTCGGAGGAGGATCCTATGGCTTCGGGCATGATAACGGATCATGACTAAAAGAATCTTTAGTGAAGCTATCCACAATTTGTAATAGATTTAGAATCTATCGAGAATAATACATGTGACGTGAATGCACATTTGTGTTAATGCAATATGCTATAATCAAAGTGGTGGCACTGTGCCTTGGAGAGAGGTTGCCTGTTTCATTGTAGATTTTGACGAGTAAATGAGAGATCGAGGATGCCGACAGGATATAGCTCAGTCGAAGCTCAGTAGACATAGCTATTGGGTTGTACTTTCTCGCCGTGTTTGTTTCTATATAAAGTCACGTGACGTACTGGGTAGGGAAGGCCCCGCACGTGATGAAATACGCCACTGGCGGCTATGGGCGCGAGTCGTCATTCAAAGCTCCCAATTTCTCAGCAGCTCACTCATTCCCCCCAGCTTTTCTCTCATAAACCCCAGTCACGTAGACTGAACTTGAACTTCCCATCTCCCTCCTACACCGCTACTAACCACCCAGTCCCTTACTTCAACGGCTCACCATGACAGAAAATGATGATCTGTTGGCCAAGATTGGCCAGCTCGCTGGTAAGCTCCCCTCGCCCTCAGTTTTGTCTCAGAGGTATCACTGACAGAGCACTGTCGCAGGTCAAATCAACAGGCACAAAACCCAGTCTTCCCAGCCTTATCAGCCTTCCTCCCACCAGTCGCAATATGTTTCTCGTCACGCACCCTCTCATCCAGGATGGGCACCTTACTCTCGAGGCAGAGGACGAGGTCGTCATGCGGCGCCTCATCGGAATCGTACTTTGGTTCTGAATAACGGAACCCCTGTATCTGCCCACAGTAATACCTCTTCTCCTGGCCCATCCAGTGACAACGACGGCGAGGCGCGTCAACCGACAACCTCCAATGGCTGGGTTGCAAAGCGCGATCGTCACATGCAGCTGATCAACTCCGCCGTCTACGACAAGGAGAAACAAGCTCGCGCCAAGGCTATGGAAGAAACCCGCAAGTTCAAGGAACAACGACGCGCTGAGCGCGAGCAGACCAAAGTTCTTCGGTACGCGCAGGCTGCCGGAACCGGCGCGACTGTTTCGACAATCGCGCAACCAGCGGCTGCTCACCAGATCCTTGTGAATGATATCCCCTTCAAGATTACACACGGTGGCAGCAAGCTGGTTCGGATATCAAGTACGAGATCCTTGAATCCTCTGTGTGTCCCTGGAACTGGCTTACCTGTCTTAGATGATCCAAACACAGCCAACACCACACCAAAGCGAGTCAACGTGGCTGGTGTGACATTCGTCCGAAGCAAAAATGGCAACCTCCACCGTCTTGGGGCCGTAGCCTCGAAAAAGTGTGTTATCGACTCGTTGGACCCTCGAGCCTATGCTAACCGCCACCTAAGACATCCGACTACCGTTAAGAAACGCAACGAGCTCTGCAAGAGATTCACCACGACCGGTATTTTATTTTCCAACGGACCTCGCCCTGCTCCGCTACCCCCTCCACTCCTTGTGGATACTAACTTATACTCACCCTTTTTAGGTACATGCTACAAGGGGCCAGCGTGCCCATTCGTCCACGACCCCAACAAAGTAGCCATCTGCAAGGATTTCCTTCAGACAGGCCAATGCAGTGCCGGTATGAGCTGTGACCTTTCCCACGAGCCCTCACCCCATCGCTCTCCCACTTGTATGCATTTCCTTAGAGGCCGGTGCTCCAACCCGGATTGTCGCTACTCCCATGTGCGAGTGACACCAGGCGCCCCCGTTTGCCGCGCCTTCGCAACCCTAGGATACTGCGAGAACGGTGCTTCCTGTGAAGAGCGCCATGTGCACGAGTGCCCGGATTACGCCAACACTGGCTCCTGCCCTAAGAAGCGCTGCCAACTGCCCCATGTCGACCGTGCTGGCCAAATCCGCAAGGCTGCTGCCGCCGCGGCAAGAGCCGAGGCATCGGCTGACAATGAGGATGAGTCTGACCAGTCTAGTGAGGAAGAGGATTACGATGCGATCGACTCGGATGATGTTGACTCGGACGAGTTTGACGACGTGTCTCCAGAGCTCCTTGAAGGAGTGGATAGTGGTGAGATGGCACAGCAACATGATTTTATCAAATTCTGAGCAGCAAGATCCCACGATCACGGATCGGACATAGTTTTCTGGCGATTTGTAGTTGCCTGGATAGCGTTGTTTTGTCCCCTTTTTCTCCATCATTCCCTTGGACGGTTTCTATCAAATACCTATGATACCCTGGAAGAACAAGAGAAATTGAGCAACAGAAAGAAAGAAATGGAAAGAATAGAGAGAAAGAATGGAATATTATTAGTACATAACATCCTTCCCAGTAGTTCATGATGAGCTGCTCGTCAGTTACGTTACATCGTAGTGCTGTTAGCGAAGACTCCCCCAGAATGGTGATGGACGTATCGCCGCCCCGAACCCGGCGGGAGTCCTGTTTAAGCTTGATACATCCATACCGACGGGTACTCTCCGTGAAAGCCTAAGTAGTGAAAAGAACCGCGTCTACGAATGGGACGATGAATAAAGTGTCTTGGAAAGAGTCGCTCTCGCCATGAATCGAAGCCCCGACCTCTCGCTCCCTATATACTTCATGATGATGCTTCATGTACAGCCCGCGGCTTCACGTCGATACCGCACCCAATAGCAGCACATAATATAATCGCTAGACTACCTTTTAAATAATTTTAAAACAGATTATTATATTCTATCAGATTTAGTGACAAATTTAATATAGAGAAAGTATAACAAAAAGGCTGTAAAATGGAGAATATCGTAAGATAAGTTGGATATCAAAAAACCTCACCCGCCGGGGGCCGCACCTGCTCCACAGAAGCTTCCTCGCAGTTACGACCGCCGAACCCACCGAAGTGGCTACAGCAGCCAGGGAGTTAACCCACTAGGCTACCGGGCAGGATCAGTTGCTGACTTCAACTGGAAGTAAATGATAACACCTCATACGATTCCTACCTTGTTTGGGGGGAAAGCTAACACTAAAACCCGCCTTTTTATATTCTAGTAAATACATAGCACGCCCTCCTTTCTCTTCCCTACCAACTCTACACATAAATCCCCTATCAATAACCTTACCAAGAAAGACTGTTACGGAGACTTTGGTCTCCTCGTATATGGCTTTGATTCAGAAGATTGTCTTGCGTAGGAGCTAATATAGTGATGATCAGAAGGATAACAAGGGGATGGTCAGTACGCTCAATAAAGCTTATAAATTCTAGATATAGACTCAAAATTTTAGTTGAATAGAAAATTCTCGTCGACAGCGGTCCAAGTATATCACATTTTGGGAAGGATGACACGAGTAAGTATTCCGCTTCTAATACTATCGCAGTGCCCTGTTTTCTATAGACTCTCTTACCCTGACAAAGTTCAACGAACACAGACATAGTTTCTCTGATTTCTACATACGCTGCAAGACATGCAGATCGTCGATCATACCCTTGGCATCGTGATCATTTCCTTTATTTAGGTCTAAAATGAAAGTTCAAGACAAATGTCAACCCCCACGAACACGGCCGTCACCCCGTCCCGTCTACATAATCCAACCATCCCGACACGGACTCAATACCCGGGTAAAGTCCCCGATCACAACACCCCCAAAATTCAGTCTTACTACCAAATGACTTACGATGTGATTAAACTGCAGCGGTCCCGTCCGGCTGACCGAGAAGTCTGCGACGGGCTAGACGGGATAAATTAGGTAACTTTTTTTGCTTGGTCGTAGTCGTAGTCTACTACTCCGGTAGTTCCTCCGGTAAATCTGGTCATTTTGCTCTTGTGACTGGATGACGTCCCGTTCGCATGTCCTGCGCAGCTCGTTCCGGTCAGATGTTTTGTTCTTGGATGATCATGATACTTAGTATGAGCATGAGTATGAGTATGCGTATGATTTTGATCAGGATCAGGATCAGGATCGTGCTATTTACTTTTCCTTCTGCCTAAGCGAAGTGTATGCGTGCGCAGCGCTACATATGCGTATGCGTATGTATGTTTATGCTCGTTCTCGGCCGTAGGTGCGGGATGTGGGTGGATTTGGATTTGGATTTGGATTTAAGTTTTGTGTATGCATTTGTAGGATTGATTCGCGTGAAGAGGATGCAAAGGGGGAAGGAGATAGATTTGACCGAGACGAGACACCCGCGGTATTGTTGATGTGAAGCTTATGTCTTGTGTTTCTGATGCAGGATGTAAAGGCGATCATCGGGTAAAAGGATTTGCTTGGAGATGTATGTGTATGTGTTGGGAATAGTTCCGATGCCTTTTGCGTTTGCCTTGTTTTGCTTTTGCCGTGCCTAGATACTCTGGTCCCGCCTGGGCGGTTCCGGTCAGCTTGGGAGGTCTTGGGAGTATGGGATATCCGGGATGGTCCGAGTTTGAGGATGTCTGGATGTTGGAATTTGATATTGTTTGGAGTACTGATATTGGATACTTAGATCTGTTTGAGGAGGATTCGGTTATGCGACGTGTCCATAGACTGGCTGTTATGATGGGCTACCGAGGGCAAGAGGGTCTTCTGGGATTCTTTTCAAGCGCATTAGCCTTCGAGTTAAAGTAGATGCAGCAGATAGTTGAGTTACCTTTGTAGATTCTCATTGTCACGATGTGAGTCCACATCTGAGACCAAGATGTGAACAGAGAGTATAGACCCGGAGGCATCAAGACAAAGATTGAGTATAGAAAAGAACAATAGGAAGAAAACAAGTTTCAAAGAATAAACAACTATGTGGAACAATACCGCTCTACCTTTCAATCTCCTCTATAGAATTCCCTATAGACAAACAATTAAGGAAAACATCCAAGACCCCCAAACCAACCCTCGAAATGAGTCACACAATCACAAATCTAGAACGACATCAATTATCAACCACTCCCTCTCCAGAACAATAGCGGTCTACAATCAAACAACCCATCACCATCATCAACCTCCTCCCATAGGCCCCATCATCGCCCATCCTCATCAAACATAACCCCCCAAAGTGGAAACACTCATCTCGAATAGGAACTCCATCCGCTAACCACCCAGCCAAACAAGTGGTCTATCTGTATCCCCTTCTAAACAAACCCTCCAGGCCTAAGTCTAAGTCTAAGTCCAAGCCTAAGCCCAAGCCTACCTAACCCACTCATAATCTGCCTGGCCTGCAGTACTCGCGTAAGCAGCTTAAGCATTTCCCGGGACCCCCCTCGTGTGCCCGACTCTGACGTCCCGAGTCCCCCGAAGCAACGACTGGATCAGATTCAGATCACGTTAGGCAGGGACGGGGATCCCCGTAAAGGGGAACGGGCTAAAGTGAGGCTGTGGGACGAACGTTTCAGAGCGTTGGGCCTCCACTGTTTGTGGACGGGATCGGGGGTCCCCTTGTACTTGAATTTTGGGTGTATGAGTGTTACTATTGGTAGGGAGGAGCTGTGAGGGAGTACAGTAAGACGTACAGACTACAGTACTGTAGGTGACGGGAGGAGTTAAGTGGGTTGTTTAGAGGTGGGGGTGTTGGTGGGGGAGTTGTTTAGAATTGCAGTGTACTGTACTGAACATATGTGAGTCATTCTGGAATAGGATATCGTGAAGATAGACATCTTCTACTGTTGGAAACCATATCGTTGTCTATCTAGATTGTAGTCAAGTGCTCTCCAAACCGTATAGACTATAGACAGAACTCTGTGATATTGCAAACAACCATGTCCATCAGCCCAAACTACAACCAGAAAAAAGGAAAATCCGAGATCCCAAGATCCAGGCCCATCACGAACTGGCCAGTCACCTACCAACTCTCCCCATCAGCCGACATCACTGACAGCCCCGTTCATGCCAGAGGGAGTCAAGACGAGGGTCTAATCCAACCACTTACCCATACGAACGGGACTACCAGTAGCCCCCTCCCATCTGATTAACGCCCAAGACCAAAGTACGTTTCCTCGAGAGGAATATCACACTCTCGACGGTACCACCCAGTCTCCCTATCATATGTACAATACTGTAGGTACAAGGTTCGACGCGCATGACATTCTCTTCACCCCCCAACGTACGGTACTGTAGAACACGAAGCATGAAGCACAAGGCACACAAAACCTCCCATCTAGACCGACGACTGGCTACGGGGGAAAAAAACCACAATCAGCCAGGCCAGCCAATTTTCCTCTGTCCATACAGTCCTCTCAGTCAGGGTCAGCAACCCCCGACCGATCTCGGTCTGGATCTCAATTGGATAATCCGGGCGCTTTCACCGCCATCTGGGATGCTGGGATGGGCCCTGGGCGATTCGCGGTGATTTGCGACTTTCCCAGAAACGGGTGACGGGTGACCTCGGGTCCGTCAGCGGGGCCCGGACCTATGAGCGTGTAGAGATGGGGAAGGTTGTGAGTTTCCCGTTGGTGGTGTGGTTGTGATGGTGGGGTGGGTGAGTGGTCAGTGGTGCTGGGTCTATGTATAGAGTGCGAACGGACGTTGGATTTGATTTGGGAGAGTAGTACGTAGTACGTACTGGAGGATGGATGGGATGTACAGTGTCTGAGCGTGTTGGAATGGGACGGGTAGTATTGTGCGCTTGGGGCGGTGGTTTTGTTTGGGGGGGTTTAGGGGGGATAGAATTTGTCTTACTGGTAGTCTGGGTTGGTTTCATTATGGATTTTGGAATGGGGTTTGTTTGGTGTGAATCTTCTGGATGGTTATTACTAGTCCTAGGGAAGGGGTTCTTCGGTCAGTCCGAGATAGACTAGAAGACTAGATGGAACTGTGACCTTCGATGGCATCATCGTTTCATCTAGGAATTTTCTAGCGGTCCTTGGCTGTTAGTAGACTAGGGAGTAGAGAAGAGGAGGCTCGTCACCAGAGCCATCGACTTGGGGAGGGGGAAATAGGCGAGTCTAGGGGGCTTGCGGTCTTGCGGTCTTGCGGTCTTGGGTCTTGGGGGCCATGAGGGCGGCCTTGAGGAAGTATCTCCGGGGGCTGAGCCTGGACCTGGAACCTGAACCTTGACCTGACCTTGGCTGCAGTAAACTGGGAGTCCTGATCAGGGCGTCATCCGGAGGGGACGAGTGATCAATGCAGAACATCCGTGCATCGCAGGCTGCTCTTCTCGCGGGGGGCGAAATCATTCTTCTGCAAGGCGGAAGGTTGGAACCTCAACCATGGGAAGGAGAGTGGATCATCAGCGGGCCGGACCCGTTTGACTCCATCGGACCAGTACAGACTTTAGAGAAGAGAGTAGAGAGTACAGTACAGAGTACAGAGGACTGTAGTACAGGACAGAACGACAGGAAGCACGGACTCCAGTCTCAGCGGGCCGTTCAGGAAATCGATCGATAGGCTCTCGTTTATCGATAAGCTGGGAGGGGTCTGGGTTAGGTAATCCATAGTTTTTCAGCGTAGAGCCCAAAGACTCTAGTGACTACCATAGTAAAGTACTATAGTAAAGTACTATAGTAGTAGACTGACTGGATCGTATATCCTATCAGATCTTCTATCACATTGGGCTCCAGAGTCGAAATCTCACAAAAACAAATGAAGAAAAAAAAATCAAAATCAAATAAAATAAAATCTCCTCCAAAATGCACGTCTGCCCAAGAGGGGCAAAGCAGCCAATCGTAGCCATCGAGTCTGCCCGGGGCCCTGCCCTCCATTCCCGCGCAGACCGCTGGATGTACCGAAGACTTGGAAGATACACTCGAGATACTTCGATAACACCAGCAAGAGTCATACTCAACTCCAGAACGGAAGCAGGTACCTGCTACGAGATCCCTCTGCAAGATTTCTCCCGGGCATGCGCCTGCTACAATTAGCCTGCATCTCCCCCCTCTGTTAGAGGAACTATACCAACTACTTGACGATCACTGTACACACGAGCCTGTACAGTAGTAAACCCATCTATACACTCCGGCCCCTCCCCTCCTCGGTCGGCACATCGTGATCTTGATCTTCTTTTTCCACCTTTCGATTCTCCCTACTCCATTCATCTTCATCTTTTATCTTTTTACTTTCTCCTCCCCTTCACCTTCTTATCCCATCTTTTTTACTCTCTCTATATTCTCCCCGCCTCTCATCTTCTCCCACACTCCTACACTTCACACCGCCTCTTCACCATGGCTCGATACGCGCAATACGATTTCTACCAACAATCCCCATCTACACTAGACGTGCCTCCCTCCGAAGAAGATGAAATGAGTGTCCTCGACGATAAAATCCTCGACTCAACCTCCCCAGGTCTTTCCGACCCCCGCCGCCCCTCCTACGACACAGACCCAGCCGCCTTCTCACATCGCAACTCCGTCTGGTCCAACTACTCCCATGCCAGTTCTGACCAGGCCCAGTCTCAGTCCCGATCATCTCATCTCCCCCACTCCGTTCTCGACTCAACGGGCGCCCAGTTCATGACTGTCGACGGTCCCCAGCCCTACGCCCAGCCCCAGCCCTCATCCTGGGCCCTCTCCCGCGACCCTTCCGGCTCATGCACCCCAACCGCCTACGACCAGTACCCCTCCGAGGCAGAGCAAACTACTACCTCGGGTGCGTTCTCTGGTGGTGCCGTCGGTCCCATGGGTGCGATCCCGATGGGCGCGGTGTCGTATCGTGGCGCCGTGAATTTTGCCGCGCCGCCTGGAACGGGCGGGGTTGCCATGTCCCCGCAATCGAGTCAGGGCTGGATGCCGGCACCTATGGATTTGGCGGATGCCGCCGCCGCGGCCAAGAGCAGTTCGTATCGGAATGGGTCGCCGTTGACGCTGCGCAGGGATGGGATCCGCAAGAAAAATGCGAGATTTGAGATTCCCGCCGAGCGCACGTTGAGTAATATCGACCAGTTGATTAGCCAGTCGAGCAATGAGGAGGAGGTGAAGGAGTTGAAGCAGCAGAAGCGACTGTTGAGGAATCGACAGGCAGCGTAAGTCATACCCGGGAAACTCTGTTTGCATCTCGCTCTTCCCTATCTATAACCATTACTAACCGCTCTGGTTCACAGTCTTGACTCGCGCCAACGCAAAAAACTGCATACGGAGAAACTCGAAGAGGAGAAAAAACACTATACCCATACCATCACTCAACTCGAGGATATAGTCTCCAGCCTGCAGAAGCGGGAAGCCGAGTTGATGCGCGAGAAGAGCGAGTGGATCGCTCAGCATCAACAGATCACCGCCTATCTGGAGAGAATGCACTTGGAGAAAGATGAGATCATCCGCGCGCACACCCTGGAGACGGCCGAACTGCGCAAGAAGAATAACATCTTGCTGGAGACGGTCGAGAAACTCGAGCACGGCGTCAAGCCCACCATGGCCGATCAAGCTCAAGCCCATGCCCACGTGCAGGCTACCGATTTCACCGGCTTTGAAAACCTGTCCATGGATACTACGCCTTGGGATGAGTTCAACATAGCAAATGGTCTTCCCATGCCGGATACCGTCCCTGCTTCTCACGGTCATGCCCATGCCCACGCCCATGCCCAGCAGCAGTCGCAGTCGCAGCCTCTCCAGGTTACCGAGCGTCAAGCGGACAAGCCCGCCTCAGACTACCCCTTCAGCTGGAATGCCTTCTACATGTGCCTCCTCTTCGGCGCCTTCATCGCCTCCAACGCCAACACAAACTTGGCCGGCCGCTCCCTCCCCCAGCTCTCGGAAGAGTACCGCGCCGAGTCTGCCAACGTCCTCAAAGCAGTCCTCGCTTCCTCTCCACCAGACCTCACCCACCCCGCCGCCCTCGCAGTCTCCGCATCCGCACCTCAGCCGTCCATCACCATGGACATGACCCATATGGGTCCCTCGCACGCCCGTCCCTCCACGCTGGACGAGTTACATGACACACTCGTCCTGCCGAGCGAGGAACAGGAGCGGGCGCAGGTGTTCGCCCTCAATGCGGATCAGTATAACTCGCTGACCACCTTTGAGGACGACGGTGCGCCGTTCAAGCCGCAGCCGTCGAATTTGCAGGCTGCGTTGGCGGCTATGCGGAATAATGCGGCGCAGCACCGTGTGCATGCTGGCGAGGACGTGTACTCGCGTAGCTTGATGTGGGAGCGCGTGCCCGAGAAGGTGATTCGTGATTTCCGGCGTATGGTGCAGGAGTATGGTGGTGGTCCTGTCAAGGAGGAGATGATGACTTTTTAATCTCGAGGGAGTCTAGTATGGCCTTGGAGCACCGAGTATTTGGATACTCGGGACTCTTTTATGGCTATTGCTTAATCCCGTCGAGGTTACTCGTCATCTCTGGTCTTCACTTGCCATCTCCGCTCTCAACTCCCCGCCTGATGCCTCGTCTGGCCTTGCCCGACTATTTCTTACGACAGAATCAGCAATGGTTTTCAGTTACGCTGGGCAAAACCCGAATAGAAAACCAGCATCCCTGACGAGCCTACAAGCCCCATTTTTCCTTTGTACTCTGATCTGATTTCCTCATGATTTGTTTTCAACACAAACCCTTTCATGTGTTTAGCGACTAGCGATTTGTCTTTGTCTTTTTTTTGGACTTTTGTTTTCGATTCTTCTTACGATGCCTGTTTTATCATTGTTTTTTGTTTTGTTTTTCCAGCGTTGTGTTTAGCGTGGCAGGAGCGGCTTTTCGTTTTTATTATTTTCCTTTTGGGCTTGCGGTCATGAATATCATACGGAAATTTGGTTGGGCGGTGGCATTGGATATGAGAAACGAAACGAAATGTGAACTTGAACATGTTTGAGCCTTGAGTTTTACTGTCAAATTTGGGACTTGGTTATTTGCTTTGGGATTTTGTGTACAGACAGACTTTTGCCTTGGTGATGATGTGCTATGAACATGGTTCATGTGTTACGAATTTATGAAGATTCGATTCGCTGTTTTGATGCGATCATGTTGCTTCTGATTTTGATTCTTCTTCTTGACTTATTTATTCTCTTTGCTTCTCTGGTTGGGCTTTGGCTTTGGGTGGTCACCCTCCGAGGTTATGGATGGGAATTCTTTGTGGATGGTTATTTGTGTCTACTTTACGTTTACATTTTCTTTTTTTTTGTTTCTTGCCTTCTCCTCGGACCTGTTCTTGTCTCTTTGGGGGCCGAAATCGCCCTACAGTCTTGGCTCGGAATGTGGCGTGGACTTGGCTCCCGAGGTTGATGGTCTCTTCCTGGACTCGGTGAAATCCTTTATTTCTTTTGTTGGTCTTTTTCGCACTGCATATTGGTTTACTACACGCCCGTGGAAATGGCGGCGACGCCTGGATGAATGTTATGAAGATACGATATGACTATGCAATTATTATGCTACGAGAGTTGATGACATGAATCATGACCTTGACCTTGACCACGGTTTCTAGTGCTATCCTTCCTACCCTATACACCCTGAACCATGAGCTAAATCATTGCTTACTCTCCCTTTGCCGACGACTTCATCTATCTTTTTCCTTTTCGTCGTCCGTCATTGGATCAATCAACACCCGCGGTTCGCGCCGTCTCGGCCATTTACCTATTACGATACTAGGTCTGGCTGGCTGGGTGGATATGAACGAATGGAGATTCCGGGAAATAAAAGAATCCTGGCATCGGATGTCTCCGACAGGCTCGTGCGTCATATTGTGGATCTATTCTAATGCTGACGCTGATAGTGGTGGTGGTTGACTCGGTCAATATCCTCCTCTCCAGGGCTCGAACTATAAACCCGTAATCACAACACATATCAACCTTGTTAGCAAACTATTGACCGGAAATCGAAGTGACCAAGGTTCCCTCCTTTCAGAATCATCAATTCGATGTGGCCTGTTCCCTGGTTGACAATCAAATTTGCCCTGGCACGCCTTTTCTCCACGTGTGGTCTTGGCCCGGGGGACCTTGGGGGTAAGTCATTTTGATGGTGACATCCAAGGATCTTGTCCAGGACTAGGTTCCACTGTTCACTCTCTGGGTAAGTTTGAGAGGTACATCCAAGCCTTTCAAGCTTTTTTCCAAGATTTTTTAATGGGCGTATTTTCCTAGGCATTGTCGTTGGTAGTCTTAGCATGCTTAGATGGTGGTGGTGGGTGTTGTGACTGCGGTTGGCAGATGGAGAATGGGCTTCGCGATACTGGGAACTATGCAACAACCAACAATAAAAGTGAGCAATTTATCTTGTTCACTACACTAATCCTCAAGGACCCATTATGAGTACCATCACAGTGTTCGATGTGACTAGACCATGCGACGGGGGCCAAAACTCGTTCGGTTAGAAACTAACCTCCCAAGGTCCCCAGGACGACGGCATCTCGCCCATCCAAATGGTTTATAAAATGGACATGAAAATCCTTTCCCTGTCAGCCTTTCTTTCTCAATCCATGTTCCTTTGTTTCTAGCCTTCTTTTCTGGCTTGCGCCTATCCCTGGCTATCGCCCTCAATCCTCTATCAAATTAGGGCTTGATCAATACCCTCCAAGCTTGGATAGTCACATCACAACAATCTCATCATGTCTGACTTCGACCCTCACAATGTCGACCTCGACACCGTGGACCCAACCCAAATAGTCTGCTACCTCAACAGCGAAGGCAACGAATATGACGGCCGTCTAGGCGCCCGCATCTCCGCCATCTTCGTCATCCTAATCGTCTCCTCGGCTGCAACATTCTTCCCCGTCCTCGCCAAACGAGCCCCCCGCCTCCGCATCCCACTTTACGTCTACCTCTTCGCCAAATACTTCGGCGCAGGCGTCATCATCGCTACGGCTTTCATCCACCTCCTCGACCCGGCCTACGATGAAATCGGCCCCGCCTCCTGCGTCGGCATGACAGGCCACTGGGCCGATTACTCCTGGTGCCCTGCTATCGTGCTCACCTCTCTGATGATGGTATTCCTCCTGGATTTCGGTGCTGAGCGCTACGTCGAGAAGAAATTCGGTCTATGCCGTGATGACCCAGAACCAATCATGGCTTCCGGCGTGGAAGTCAACCAGCTCGGACTGCGTCGGTCAAACTCGAATTCGCACTCGAATTCCATGTCCGCGCTCGACACCAAGGATAAACAGGCGAAAGAAGTCGAAGCCCAGTCTCTGGACGAGGGCGAACTCGAGCGCTCATTCCGCCAACAAATCGCCGCCTTCCTGATCCTCGAATTCGGTGTCATTTTCCACTCCGTTATCATCGGCTTGAATCTCGGCGTTACAGGCGACGAATTCGCAACGCTCTACCCAGTCCTCGTCTTCCACCAGTCCTTCGAGGGTCTCGGTATCGGTGCCCGCATGAGTTCCATCCCCTTCAAGAAGGGCAGTTGGTTGCCCTGGGCGCTTTGCACGGCGTACGGTCTGACTACCCCGATCTCTATCGCTATTGGTCTCGGTGTGCGGACGACGTATAACCCTGGCTCGTTTACGGCGAATGTTGTCTCCGGTGTGCTGGATGCTGTTTCCGCGGGTATTTTGATTTATACGGGTCTTGTGGAGTTGCTTGCTAGGGATTTCTTGTTTGATCCCCATCGGACTAGGGATGATAAGAGGTTGACTTTTATGGTTGTGTCTTTGTTGTTGGGGGCGGGTATTATGGCGCTGCTTGGGAAGTGGGCTTGAGCTTGCTGAAATGATATTGCCATTGCCTTCCTTGAATTGGGAGGGATGTTGAAAAAAGGTGGAGTGGTGGTTGAGAATTTGAGATGCTGAGCGGTGGGTGTGGTGTGCATCGCTGTTGCTGTCGCTTCTGTTGCTCTTGTATGACCATGCTACGATACCCGATACCTGATTCCTGATACCTTTGCGTTGGATAGACTGGGTTTATTTTCCTTTTGCGATTTGTTTGTGATATGGTTGTTTTATGTTCGCTTTTGTGTGTAGGGTTGGAGGATGTAATATCTGGGAATGGAGGATTCTCATCCTGTCGTTACATTTATCAAAATTGCTAATCAATGTTGCTATATCTTGCTTTCTGAACCTTTGCTTGTCACGTGGTGTTTTTAAATGTGTTTCTTATACCCTCGCTTCGGGAATTTCTAGTTTTTCAACACTATGGAGGCAGCGCTTTATAGTAAGTATAGACTCCGGTCTATTCGTTTATGTCTCTGTCCATGGGAAACTTTACAAAGTGCTACCAAATTAGTAACTGGATATCGATGGATAGTATTTAAAACTGAATTCAATCGTATATTATAAGAAATCATATGTCTAGCACAAAATAAAATCAAGAATAACATTGAATTCCTTCAACCTACCTACCTCTTCGTCCTCGAGTAAGCAGGCGGCGGCTCATGCCCTCCCAACGACGGCTCCTCCTCCGAACTAACCCCATTCGCCCTCGCCTCCTTCATCCGACGATAATACCCCATTCCAAAGAACCCCAAGAACCCCAACAGCGCCACGGCAACAGGCACACCAATCCCGATTCCGATCTTCGTGTTCTTGCTCATTGAGTGATCGCGCGGCAGATTGAGGGAGTCCGTCACAATGGGCACGACGGTGGACTCGGATGCTTTGAAACGTATTTGGATTGCTGTGGCGGTTATCGCTCTTACTGTCGTTACGACGGAGAGAGTAGCGTCTGTGTATGTGATTGTGGGTGCGCTGTTGAATGTCTTGCCGCAGTAGTCTTTTCCGTTGCAGTCGAAGCCGCTAGAGAACATGTATTAGATAGATGGTCTATTTTTTCTAAGGATGGGTGCTTTGGATCATGATTACTCACCTTGGACAGCAGATGACGGTTGTCTCGTCTCGTTGTGTGGTTGTGGGTAATGTGCACGTCTTATATCCCAATGGACACTGTCCGGGACTAAAGTACATGTTATACCGCCATCCTTCAGGGCAGCACTCATCACCGTATGGACCCGCGCATCCCTGGATTAGATCTGGTCTTCCATATAATAGTTCTGTGTGTGGAGTGGCGCATGATGCCGGAGGTGTGAAGACGGTCGTAAGTGGCCCGGCATTGGTTTTGGTTGTATCGAGCCGGTTGACGTAGGAGGTATCGTAGTAATAGCCAAGTGCACCAGTCAAGATGCTAGACAGCGCAATTGTGCGTAGAAGCGTGTGGATTGGTGCTGGATTCCTCATGCTGGTCCGCGTATACTTCGTGGCCGCAGAAGGTAGAGTCAAAGCGGAAGTTGATCGATCGATAGTTGGTAGTTCTCTTTAGACAAAAGAATATTCTAAAATATTGTCTTTTTATTAGCCAGCCCCCTGACTCTCGAATATTTATACCATCGCATCCAAGATCCATCCCATCGCCGCGCGACGATCATCATCAAGCGCCATGGCGCCAAGATCCGCCTTGCCCACATCTCGTATTCAGACCTCCTTTTGTCCCCTCGGTTGCAGGAGAATAAATCTTATAGGTCCGGGCTCGATTTCAGGGTCTCCGTGCCCGACCATCATCGCCCTGCTGCGGACGAGGGTGGAGAACCTAAGAAGATATTAAGCTCGAAGGGGCTTTATTCTACGATCCGTGGGCGCTCGCGCTAATTTTGTACGATAGAGGACCCTGCATGGTCATAACTCGGGCGTTGTGTTAGTTTCAGGGACATCGGGGGAGGGCTTATTCGTGTGGCTTAGTCTGGGGGTTTGTGATGTATTGAAACGGAAATCGATGCGATAAAGGGGATTGGAATGATTGGCTTTTGAGATTGTTATTCAGGAACTAGGTAGACCCTGGATGGGCGGAAGATGCCGATGGGGCTGAAAGGAGGTCGATGCGTTCACGAATACTTCGCCACGATGATCAACCTTGTCATGGGCAGTCCTACGCTTCTAGAACTACGTTGTGCTTATCCCTCCTAGTTTCTAGTCCAATAGAGCTTTTTTTTCACTCAAATCACCATCATTGAAAGGGATTCCATCTTTCAAAATGGGTTAATATTAGAAATTCAGAGATAATACACTCAGAAATCCCCAGGGCTCTGATTCTTATGACGATATGCCACTATCGAAAAAGGCAGGCAAGCAAGGAAAATGGTGCAGCGAAGTGTTTGTTCTTCTCTCCTTGAGCCGACTCAAACAACGTCAACGTCAAGACTATAGGCTGTGGAGTAAACTGATATATTAGCACGGCTTCTCGAATTTAAAATGATTCACGACCTAACTGAAATGTGCTTTCCTCTTGCTATCCCAAAAGATTATGAAACTGGCTTCTCTGTGACATTGTTCAGCTTACGGGGTTGGCATAAGCAACACCGCCGCACAGGCTGCCTGGCACTTCCCGAAAGCCAAGTTGCAACCAACGATGGTTGCAGGTGCTGTTGCGCCCGCAGTGGCTCCCCATGTGAATCCAGCCGCTGAATAGCAGGCCATCGTCACGCCTGCACATCCAGCCTGGCACACTCCATATCCCACTGGGCCAGCGACGGCGGCGGTGCTGAAGCATAGAAAAAGGACATGTATTGGCAGCGATAGTCTCATTGTTCCTGTTCTAATAATTATTAGTCGGCTTCTATGAGTAGTCTAGGCAAAGGATCTTCTCACAGGGTAGAGGGGTAGATTGGAGTGATTTCGAAGGATTTGAGGTAAAGTGAAAGGTAGAGAAAGGTTTGTTGTTCTCTTTGGGAACGAAGTTGGATAAATCTGGTAGTTGTGGTCATTAAGAGAGCAAACATGGAAGTTTCCAAAGACCGCCTCTATCAAACTGGATATTCCAAAGAGTCGCCATGAAAATGAACTAGAAGGGTCGTCTCTTTGTACGTGTCTCTTTGGACTTATTCTAGACATGCTCAGCATGCTCACTCTTCCCAGTGCCCTCATCCTCCATCCTCTCCTTAACCTTCACCACATCCGTAACCCTCGCCTCTTCTCCATCAAAAACGACCGCAATCTCTTCCAACGAATACCCCTTCGTCTCAGGGTAATACAAATAAACAGTCCCCAAGATAACAATCAATGTCACCAAAAACACAATATAATACTTCCACGCAATAGCCTCCAGCGCAATAGGATTAATCAACTGATTAAATATCAGCGCCACATAATTCGTCGTCATGGATATAGCAACACCCTTCGCACGTAGCGAAAACGTCCACATCTCAGCTGGATAGGCGAGCAGTAACGGTGTAAACGCGATGTCGTAGCCGGCAAAGTAGATAAACAGGAATGGGATAACTGCTGTGCCGATAGCTGCGGTGCCGGTACTGCTGAAACTGCCGGATAGTGCAGTGATGAAGATGTAGCTTGTTAGCATGATTATTGTGGATGTTATGAAGAGTTTGCGACGACCAGCGCGGTCGACTAGGCAGGCGCCGGCGATGCTCATTATTAGGTTCCAGAGTTGGAGGAAGCCGTTGATGAGGGTTTGTTCTGTGACAGAGGTTACGCCGATTGTTTGGAGGATGAGGGTGAGATAGTATGAGACAACGCCGCTGTAGAATGGGTGCGTTAGTATAAACTCATTCGAATAACTTGCGAGATCAAGACTGACCATCCATTCCATTGCGCAAAGAATCCCAACGAAACACTCAAGAAGAATCGGTATCGATTCCCCTTCGTTCTCACACAGTCAATCCAGCGCGACTCTTGCTGCAAACTCTGCTCCATAGTAATAGACTCAATAATCTCCTCCATCTGAAACGCAACCAACTCCGAATTCCGATCCCCACCAGCATGATAGCGAACCAGAATTTCCCTCGCCTCCTCCTCCCTCTTCTGACAGATCAACCAACGCGGCGACTCGGGAATCAACAACGTACCCGGCAATGCCAAAAGCGGAAGCGCAATCTGCATCAGCGAGGGGATACGCCAAGCCCAATTACTATCGATATTCCTAGTTCCGAACGAAATCCACGCTGATAGCAAGGAACCCGCGTAGTAATGGCACATATAAGCCGCCGTCACGAACGAGCGATGCGATGGATACGCAATCTCCGTGACCAGAATGACGGACGCTTGGAACCAGGTACCAGCTATTCCGATGAAGAATCGTGATGCGATGAACCATTTCAGATTTGGTGCGCCGGCTTGTAGGCCCACGCCTAGTACTAGCCAGAGATACCCAAATAGAATAGTGCGCTTGCGGCCGAAGCGATTGGCTGACCAGGCAGTAATGGGTTGGAAGATCATGGCGCCGATGGATTGGATGGCGTTGATGAAGCCGAGCCAGGCACCGGTTGGGCTATCCATGAAAAGTTGCCATTGGTTGAGGGATTGGAGGCCGTTCATGAGAGATATGTCGTAGCCACCGGTGGATGAGAACAGAATTAGGCTGAAGATGTATGCATTGAGGATTAGCAGGTGGGACGTTTGCCACCATGGCTTGTGGTTTACGGGGAGAACCTGGGGTAGACTGTTAGCATTGAGCAAGCAGATGGAGTAGGATGGGTTTTGTTTGTACCGAGGCGAGATCCCGCACAGCTATTGAAGCAGAAGCCTTGTCCGACATCGTGATGGTGTCTTGGTGCCTGGAATTGACCAGGAGTGAAGAAAATATCTTCGTTTGCAATCGACTGCTATACAGTGATCCAGGGGCATATAAACTTTTTACACCGGCCCACTGCAACGAAGCCCCCGCATCCGAAATTTGGTATCTCCCGTAGACGACTCCCGAAAATGTTTCACTCTGCGGGACAGGACTATAGGATCCAATGATTCATGCTCTGGGGTATGTATGCCAAGCAGGGAGCTGATCTACGCGGAGAAAGCGCGGGGAATTGAGTGTGGGGATATACGGAGACAACCATGATCACGGCATGCCTGATGCCGACTAACCATAAACGATCCATTAATCTGGAGATCCTGGAATATCAGTCTAGCCATAACTTGTTAGAATGGCGGTTTCTCCCGGAATCAAACATGTACATTATCTTACACCAATCAAAAATACATGACTAGCTTGGGTTGGTCTTGGAGTGGAGATCACGATGATCTGTAAGAAGTGACAAATGCGGTGCCGAACCACCCGTAGAGCCGAAGATTAGCCGGTCTAGTGAGAAGCCAATGGACTGCGGGACTAACGATTTGATGAAACATGGCGGAATGCGGGGAAGCTTGGGATATACTCTCGCTTTGAGACGAGCGGATGGCACTGTTTATGGTTTGAAAGTATATACCCTTTTTGACCTCGGCGTAGGTGTGGAGGAAGCCAGTAAATAACAATTCCATTCAGATTCGTGTATTCAAACAGATTAGAGGAAACTATTCATCAGATACTCTCGTGAACTTCATGCAATTATATGTAACATGTAAGAAATTCGTCAACGTGATCATAACCGAAAGTTCATTAGAGCTCCTAGAACTCCAAAGAGGACCTCAAAGACCATTCATGTCATATAATCCCTCATTTGGGGTTGTACTTTTCCTTCCAGATCCTACAAAACAACGTCAGCAAGGCATAGTCCTAGGGATTGGGTTCAGATGCACAGGTCGGCAACATACCAAGAGTTCCCAACAGTAGGACTCCCATTCTCCTCGGCAAGTCGATAGTATTTGGCTGCCTTGAACTGTAATCCCATAAGAATCAGCACAAATCATAGTTTCCATTCCTCTCATCATGTCTCATTCTCACCTTATCCTTCTTCCCGCCGAATCCCTCGAGATAACACCACGCGACCTGATCCATCGCATCGGTATCCCCTAGGTTCGCGGCAGTCTCGTAATATTGCCTTGCAGCAGCGGGATCTTTCTTGACGCCCCAGCCCATGCGGAAGCAGTTCGCGAGCTCGAAAATGGCGAGGACCAGCTCGCCTTTTGCAACGCCACCCTTCTTCATACCTGCACGGAGAGCCTCGGACTCTACGGCGGCCGAGTTTGTAGCCGCAGCCGAGAGGTATGTTACTGCGCGCGCCTCGTCTTTCGTGCAGCCCCAGCCGTGTCTACGCAGCGTTAGAATTCAAAATAATAGCTGCTCCATTAGACAATGTCTTACCTTAGAGCTAAGCCGTAGAGAACTTGGCTAAGCGGGTTATTGTGCCCGTTAGGGTCGGCTAGTTGGCCGAACATCATAGTCGATCGTTCCAGATCTGAACACCAAAGTTGTTAGCAAGAGTTTCATAATCAACTTCTCACAATTGTGAAAGCCATGAGTTGTACTCACCTCCAGCTTCGTGCAGCCGAATGGCCTCTTGGATATTGATCTATCAACCATCAGTAACCCTGCACACCCTCAGATAACCTTCCCTCCTTGCATCCCAGCTTACATCATCCTGCTGATCCCCAACGCGACTGTGACTAGAACTTCTTGATCTCCCCTGCCCACCACTGGGCAATGACAAATCCCACGTCGACTGTGGCGGCGACTGTCCAAAGTGCGGATTCCGCTGCACCAACACGGTAGCCCTTTTCTCCCATTGCGCCTCACGCTCTTGTTTATCGACGCCCTGGTCGTCCTCAATCTGCGGTAAACCCTCGGGGATATTCGCAGACGACTCTTGTGAGTTACTGCGGCTGCGGCGGTGGAGCAGATTCGACAGGCGACGATCGCCGCGGGGACGGGGTGGAGAAGGGCTGGAGAGGGAGCGCGAGGAGTTGGAGCGCTGGAAGAAGAAGCTGCGGCGGGAATTGGAGGATCCAAGTCGGGGTGATTCTGGCGCTGCGCTTGCGTCGCTCGTGTACTCGTCGTGTGGGTGTGCTGGCGGGGTGATTACTTCTTGGCCGAAGGTGTCGGAGCGTAGGAAGGTGATCTCGGGATGTGGCGGAGATAATGGGGGGTTATGGGGCGTTGTTGTTGATGCAGAGGACTTCTCAGTGAGGTCTTCGCGTTTGTGTAAGATGTTTCGTAGGGAGGGCATCTTGAGTGTGGTTTTCGATCTGCGGATTGAGATCTGCGGTATGCGATATGCGATGCGGGTCGAGTGTGGAGGGCGTAGAGATGCAATGGTGAGTGGATTGATTTTGTAGAACGAGGGTAAAGTAGTCTGGGGTAAGAGAGAATTCTTCTATTCTCTGGGCAGGAACAAGGCCAGAGTCAGCCGCATCAAGAATAGCAACATCAGCTTGGAGTTCGGGGCTGTGCGGAGAGGCTGTTCGATTGGGTCGCGCCCGGCGGCTAAATGGAAAACGAAGCGCTTAAAGAATGCAAACCTAGACAAAGGGAGACACATCAATATAGAAACAGTTTAGACCTGAATTCTTTGACTTTAAATACAATTTGTGACATGCCTCTTGCAGTTCTGATACATCTTATACATGCATGTCCCACATGTGGCGTGCGATATCGGTCCCTGCGTTTTTTAGCGCGTGACCGACTGATTGATAACCACGTTGGCATATCGAAGGGTCCCAGAGTATCACCGGATCTATAGGCTACGTATCTCCGGTTATAGCCCACGTTTATTTCACGCAGTCATTTGCTCGGCTCTCGAACAATTGTGTTGGTTTGTGTCTTCTCAAACCTAAGTGTCATATACCAGATACCGACAGTCCAAGAATGAAGCCATACATACTTTCAACCCAATGGGGACATGAATCCAATGTCCAGACTGCCGAACAAGTTGAAATAATCCAGTCAGAACTTCAGCCTCATGGCCAATGACAAGAAAGCCTAAGCGTAGGGCTACTACGTATACAAACGGAAGAGGACTATGAGGCCCACTGGACGACTACGACTGAACGGGGTATGGACCAGCTCAGGCTCAACGATGGCCCAAGTACTCCAACCAATAGATAAAGGCAGGTCGATAAAAGAAATGGTATTGCAATTCTAACTTAGCAGATGCAAATGACCCCTATAGTTTTGTACACATTGGCATTCGCCGAGGGAGCCATCAGAGTCTATCCAATTAGGCCTTGGACGCCATGATACCTATAAGATTGTTAGTACATACTCATAATGCCAATTGACATATCTTGCGGAAGAAGCACTTACGCTCAACATCAGCAACGCTCTGCTGGAGGATCTGCTGGAGAACCTTGGGGTTCTCGAGCTCCTTCTGGATCTTGCCGATGATGGACTCGGCAAGCTCACGCTGCTGGCGCTGCTTAACCTGGCCCTCGTAGCGGACCCAGGAGTCGAGGACAGTCTTGGCCTCAGCAGCAAGAGCGGTGCGCTGCTCGAGCTCGTAGGCCTGAGCCTCGAGCTGGGCGGTCTCCTATAAAAACACAGACACGGGTCAGATAAAAGTTCACCGACGGCCCGGAATATATTTCCGTTCAACCACAGCGTTGGCGCATTCGTACCTTGGAAACAGCGAAGAGCTGCTTGGTGACCTCGACAACACCGGACATCTCCTTAACGTTGTCGATGCGCTGCTGGACAGCGTTGGTGTGGTCGGCACGGGCAGCGTTCAGGATGTCCTTGTGCTTCTGGACCTGGCCCTTAGCCCACTCGCCGTAGGCGGGACCACCGTACTTGGCAACGGCAGTGAAGACGGAGAGCAGACAGAAAGCAGCGACGGTCTCCTCGTTCATCACGTAGAGCTCGTTGCTGATGGCGGCAATGGACAGACCGGCGACGGCGGACAGAGTGGCGGTCTTGGACACCAGAGAGTTGCCGGGAACAGCATCGAGGATCGACTGAGCCTTCTTAGCAGGCTCCTCGGCGGGCACACTGGAGGCCGCGCGGATCGAGGTCAGAGCAGTGACGGCAGGGACACGGGCGGTAACGGAGGGCCGCAGCCGGGCGGCGCCTGGAAGGGAAGAAGCGAGTCAGCTACCTGGATACATTCGATCAGACGGAGAGGGTCAGTAGATTACATACCAATGGCGCTCTTAGCAAGACGCGAGACCATTGTTGCGGATGGAAAGATCCTGTGAAATAGGGTGGGTGATTCGGAGAGGAGACTTGAGGTCGGGACGGCTAGGACGGGCTTGCACACGCTAACCGCTTTGGGTGGTGGTCCAGTGCGGCGGAAAAACTCGGGCTCCGAGCTCCAAAAAATATCCAAAGGTCCAACCAAAAAAAAAGTTGGCGATAGTGAATCCGAGACCACGCCAGGGAAATTTACGTGACATTCGCCCAAGATGCCCGCAGCAGTGGACGCTTCCAGCTCAAAGAAGCGCAAGAGCACCAAAAATGCCGGTACCCCCTCCAAGCGCCGCGCTGTGGCCGAAGAAGATGGCTTCGCCGAGACCTTGTCTAAAGTTCAAGAGCTGGAGAATCAAATTGCGGAGTCGCGCAAATACTACAACAACATTGCCACTCTGATTTCGATGCTGAATGTGGAACCATCGGTGAAGAAGCCAGAGCTGGCAGTGGCCGTCTCACTATGTCGAGTGTTCAGTCGATTGATGGCGGCTGGCAACTTGTCCGAGAGCAGTCGCGATGCCGAGAATGAGAAAATCGTGGTGGCATGGTTGAAGGAGCGATTCTCAGAATACCAGCGCGCATTGTTGTCAATCATTCGTGAGGCTGATACTACCTCCCAGGTGGGTTCAATTCTGTCTGTTATCCATCAATTAGGGTTGCGCTAACCAGAACACTAGGTTACGGCCCTTACTCTGAGCATGCGCCTCGTGAAAGAATACATTACGCACATTCCCGGAGCGGACAGCAGTATCTGGTCTGGGCTGTTCAAGGATATTATTGAGGCTCTCGTGGAGGCCCAGGATGGCGAGGAAGTGCGGGCTGAATTTGTCTCAAAGTTCATGAAGGAATATGAAGACATTCGCTACCAAACCTTCACGCAAATAGCGTATGTCTACCAGCCTGTTGCACTCCCTTGATCTCCGACTAACTCAGTACAGTGAGTATGCCGCCACTCGACGAAAGACCGACATCATCGAGATCCTCATTTCCCTCCTCTCGGCCTGTGATGAGGCCCCGGCCTCGGATCACGAAATCGACACCGAAAACTTCTTCGCAAAGCCCGACCCATCCAACAAGCGCCTCCGTACTGTCCACGGCCACAAGAGGCGAGCACAAGACGCATGGCTGGCCATCCTTCGGAATAACCTCTCCCAGGCGCAGCGGAAGGCCCTTCTACGGATTATGGTGCACACTATCGAGCCCTGGTTCACACGACCTGAGCTCCTCATGGATTTCCTGACGGACTCATACAATGAGGGCGGTGCCATTTCTCTCCTCGCTCTGTCCGGTCTTTTCTACCTTATCCAGGAGAAGAATCTGGACTACCCGCAATTCTACGCAAAACTCTACTCTCTCCTTGACGCGGATCTGCTGCACTCCAAGCACCGATCACGCTTCTTCCGCCTGCTCAACACTTTCCTCGCCTCTACCCATCTTCCCGCCACTCTCGTGGCAAGCTTCATCAAGCGTCTTTCTCGTCTCGCACTCAATGCGCCTCCCTCGGCTATTGTCGTGATCGTGCCATTCATGTACAACCTCTTCAAGAGCCACCCTACCTGCACATTCGTGATGCATCGTGAGATTCGCGATAAGAAGTTTGCCGCTGAGATTGAAGCCGAAGGCATGGAGGACCCCTTCGATCCGAAAGAGACAGACCCTACCCGTACCAATGCCATCGAAAGCAGTATCTGGGAAATTGAGACCCTTCAGTCCCATTACCACCCCAACGTCGCCGCCATTGCCCGAATCATCTCCGAGCAGTTCACTAAACAGGCTTACAACCTAGAGGACTTCCTTGACCACACCTATCAGGGTATGGTGCAGGGCGAGCTCGGCACTGGTGAGAAACCATTGCGGAAGGTTCCAGTAGTCGAGTACCAAATCCCGAAGCGTATCTTCACCGACCGATTGCTGGAGGAAGATGGTGGTGTGGACTCTGGAGCTGGGTCATTCATGCGTGGACTCTGGGACTTTTCGTCTTGATTTTTCCACTATCTCATGTTTACTGAACGCCCTAGGGCTTGACTTTCTGATGTACCTTAGCCTTTAGTTCTTCGATTCTTTTGCATCTATATACCGGAGAATATCCAGCAACTCTTGGTTGCCCCTTTTCGTTCTAGGCCCACCTTCTTGCTACTTTTGCTAACCAAGTAGCATTAAGCATGCTCCGAATCTCAGCTGGCCAGTGATCATTGCGTAATGTTCGGGGTGATGAGTTTCTCTAAACATTTGAACAAAGTCTAAGGCAATTATTGTCTCTACCTCCGGGTCGCTTCTCGAAAGGGTTGGCCTGCGCCATGCTGTTTACATGAATTGGGATATTCTCGTACATGAGCCCATCACTTCTTCCTCTCTAGGCCCAGTTCGCTCACTATTTTATTTCTGATTTTTGTTTTTTATTTTATGCCAGCCCGCAGCCGCACGCGCAGCCGCATTATTGTCGCCACTAGATTTAAAACGAACCCTTTCATGTACAAATACAGTGCAGCGTGGCCGGCGATAAACCTTCCAGTCGCTTTACCCTAAATCTAGTGCGGAACCCGGAGTTTGCGGATATAACATTCTCGCAGTGTATAAAATGCTCATGAAGCAGTGCGTTCAGATACATTCGTAAATTAAACTAGAAGAAGAAAGAGAAGAGACCTGATAGATCAAATCTTAAACATCTTCGGTCAAAATGTCGACTCACAAAGCCCTGGTGCTTCACGCCCGGGACAAGCCACTCGTCCTTGAAACCGTCCCCCGCCCCGTTGCGACAACCGGAGACGCAATCGTTCGCATCCTAGCTGCCGATATCGTTCCATACATGGGAGAAGTGATCAGCAACAAACGTCCCTACCCGCTTTCTCTTCCCATGACACCGGGAAACACCGCCATCGGGCGAGTCCACGAAGTCGGACCGGACTCCGTTGCTCTCACGCCAGGCCAGCTCGTCTTCTGTGATATTACCATCCGAGCCCGTGATAACCCCGCTGTCTCTATTCTCTATGGCATCCATGGGGGCGGATATCCAGCGGCGCAGAAACTCATGGACGGGGTTTGGCGAAACGGGACATACGCCGAATACACACGGTTCCCCTTGGAGAATCTGTACCCCCTTAATGAGGACCTTCTTCTTGGGAAACTAGGTTATACCATCAACGATCTCTGTCTTATGCCTGTCTGCCTCGTTCCGTTTGGCGGCCTTTCGGAGGTCGACCTAAAACCCGGCGAGATAGTGATCGTGGCACCCGCAACGGGGCGATATGGTGGTGCCGCCGTTGGAATTGCATTGGCAATGGGCGCGACCGTTATCGCTGCCGGGCGTAATATGGCTGCGTTGGAAAAGCTTAGAGAAACCTATGGCACCAGTCGGTTAAGGACGGTCCAGATCACTGGCGATGGTGCTGCTGATACAGAGTTATTCCGTGCAGCGGCTGGGAAACCGGATGGCGCAGATGTATACCTCGACCTTTCGCCACCAGCGGCTCAGGGATCGTCGCTGCTAGCATCTGGCATACGGGCATTGCGTGTATTTGGTCGATGCGTCGTGATGGGAGGGAATTCAGGGAATATCGACTTTCCTTACCTTGAGGTCATGTTTAAGAGCATTCGGATTCAAGGGCGGTTTATGTACGATCGCCGGCATGTGTTACAGATTATTCAGATGATCGAGTCCGGATTGTTTCCTCTTGGTAAGAAGTCTGGTGTCACTCAGACGGAGGAGTTTGGGCTTGAGGAGATCCAAGGGGCACTGGAGGCAGCTGGGAAGCTGAGTGGTTGGGGTGGGCATGTTGTACTGAAGCCATAGGCCATGCAAATCTGTTTGTCTGGCAGTCGCTTTTGTGTTTTGCTGTAACTTGAGATAACTAGGTCGGGAAATATCTCTCTTGCCAATCTAGAAAATACCCTAGAGAGTGGGGTTATTGCCTCTCGTGCCTTTCTAACAGCCCTAGAATGTAGTATGTGCTAGCTATAAGACACCGAGGATTTATTGGCCAATCAGAGCAGCAGAAAGGGAAAGGAGCAGAACAATTATGGAATAATATGACTGCAATATCTTTTCAATCACATTTATAACCTTAGGTGGAGATCGAAACAAAGGCCCATGAGCTCATCTTACTCCAATGACTCGGAGGTAAGCAACAAGTCCGAGGGGACCAGATGTGGCAGAAGTATGCGTGAATCAAACGAGGGAGCTATTTTAAAGTTGTTAGACCACAAGGTTCACGCAGTAACGGAGATGCTTGCCTTCATAATGAATACAATGCCGATCTCCATCTGTAGTTTCTGTCACTTTTTCGTCTCGTGAGCCTATGTCTCCATTTTCGGAATCTAGGCGGCAGGGCGTCGCATGAGAACGTAGGGAATCTCTGAATTTTTGACAACCGACTACGACCGGTGGCAAGTTTCATGAGGATAAAAAGTTCCACACAAGGAGCTCAACCTTCGTGCGACAGGTCCAATATACCTTATCCCGAATAAAGGTTCAAGGAAATGCGCTTTAACTCCGGACACCAGACCCGCACTTGCATATGCGGGCAGCGGCCGCACCCGCACGTCGTTTTTGAATCCCTTGCGCTCGAACCAGAAGTGGCGCACCTAGAGTCACTTCTCGGGGTTATTGTCTGCGGCTGCCTGGTCTAAGAGTCATTATAAGATAAAAGGGACGGAGCAAGATGTAACATAGGCTAGATACAACCCAGCACTATCCTTCTCCCCACAGCACCTCAAGGTCCAGCCATGAGCAATGATTCGCACGACTTCATACCCGACCTCGCTGGAAAAGTCGCTATCGTAACGGGTGGGTACACTGGACTGTATGTGACTACCCCTGAGTTGATTCATCATTTTCTCCCCCTGTTAGTGCCGAATTCTCATTTCTTCAACCCCCGGTAGCGGTTTCGGCACCAGCATTGAGCTCGCAAAACATGGCGCCCGGGTGTATATTGCCAGTCGTTCAGCTGCAAAGTTCAAAGATGCGGAACTAGAGATTATTTCTGAGTGCCCACAGGCAGACGTGCGGTTTCTAATGTTGGACTTGGCCAATTTGAATAATGTACAGGAGGCAGCGGAGAGATTTGCTCAGTGAGTTGTATTAGCGAGGCTTGGTGTTTGCTCAGGTTATTTCTGATCGGGATTGGTGTAGACTGGAGTCAAGTCTTCATATACTCGTGAACAATGCTGGCGTGCGTGTGGTTCCTCTCTTTCTTGGACATCGCTTACTTGTTTAGGTTATGTGCATTCCGTACAAGGAGACTATAGACGGCTTTGAGACGCAAATCGGGGTAGGCACACCTCATTTATAGCAGCATTGTTGAAACTATAGCTAAATGCAGTCAGGTGAACTATATCGGCCATTTTCTATTCACCAAATTACTCATCCCGATACTCCAAAAGACAGCAGGGATAGCCGAAAAGGGGAGCGTGCGTATTGTGAACGTATCTAGCAACGGACACGCCAAACTCGCACCGAAGGAGGGCATAATATTCTCAGATATAAATATGAAGAATAATTTCTCTGTCTGGGCCCGATACGGCCACTCCAAACTTGCCAACGTTTTGCATTCGAAAGTATTAGCCAAGAGGTATCCGAACATTCTTGCGCTGTCGTTGCACCCGGGAACGGTTAAGACGTATATGATTGTCTCCTGCCTAACCATTCAAAGTACGAATCTGACGGGTTCTTAGAAACTTATCCACAGGCCCTATCTCGTCAACTCCGCTTTATCGGCTAATAAAGCCTCTTGTCGAGCTGGGTGCGCCTGGTCCACGAAAAGGGGCAGCAAATATTCTTTTCGCCGCTGTATCGCCGAGGCTAAGGTTAGAGTTTGACAACGGAGCATATCTGCTACCGATTGGAAAGGTGTCAGCACCTAGTAAAGCGGGATCAGATCCGCAGATGGTGGAAGATCTCTGGGAGTGGACGATTAAGGCCCTTGGAAGTCGAGGGTATGAATAGGGCGAAATCATGCTATATCTCATTAGGGAGACGATTCATACCGACTGCCACCTCGTATAGTAAGCAAGTTATCATCTCCACTTAGTCTTTTTAGCAGACGGAAAAACCTCCATCCTTGCCGTATAAGAGTCAATTCCTCATTGTCGATAGCTGTCAATATCGTTCCCGCTTTGCCAATGAAGGTTACGCGCGCATCTTGATGGTCCGATGCAGCAGCCCCGGTAAAGGCAGCCCATGTGAACACTTCCGGAGCGTTTCGGATCCAGTATAATGGCTCTATTTCTGAAAGTTGTTTCAGAAGTTGTTGAACTTCATGATTTCCAGTCGTGTCTTGGGCTTCTTGCGGGTGCGATTGTCGTCGAATCATCTTCCAGAATATTTGGCAGCATATCTGACAACATATGTTAAGCCTCTCTGGAATAGTAGGGAGGTCGCCATATTCGGCTCTGTCAGTCCAAGTCCTCGTCGCCGCAAGGGAGAGCACATGCCCAACTTCAGCGGAAATACTATAGCGGTCGGCGTGGACTAGATGATCCAGCCGTGACATAGCTTCGTACACGTCTAGAATTGCATCCGTAGTCTCTTTCTCAAAAGATGTTTTGCCGTTGCCAAAAGTGGCCCTCGACACTACATTTCTGAGGATGGCGTTTGGGCGAATTGATTCAGAGTATAGGCAGTCCCAGGTAGGAAGCACGTCGTAGATGCAGGCGAATGAGAGCATAGCCCTGGAAAGATGAGTAACAGATCAATCAATTTATTAAGGAATAATAGCCTGGACTTACACCTTGACAATGGCAATCAGAGGTCCTATGTCGTCTCGAATGGATTGGGGCGTCGCAAGAAGCATCTTCACCAGGCCTTGCTGGTGTGCGACCGCAGAGTCTCGGTCAAGTGCGACCATCTATCAACTGTTAGCATTATATATCCAGTTTGTGTGTGGTATTCTATAGAACGTATACTCACGTTATAATACAGCAAGGGTATTACCGCGCCCAGGGTTCCATAGTTTAGGACCGGTTCTGTTTGTGCTAACCGTTCATTGATCAAGCGCATAGCCCAGGTCTGGTGGTACAGGGTTCGTGCGGTATTCTGTTGACCCCGTAGCATATCAATCGATGCAGATGCACTGAATAGTGTGGCATGGAATAGACAGGGATCAGACATGGCGTGTTGAATCCATTGTGAACGGAGATGGTGTGCCAGACTGTAAGCCACCACTGTATCCGAGGGTAACGCTATGGACGTGAGAACTTTTGTGTTATAAGTGGCCTGCGTATTTTAATGGGGGTCTGTGACATAACCCACAAAATTGTATCAAGTGCGACATATAGGAGCGACTCTTGATGGGAGGTTCGAGCGCCAGTCCCTTTTCTGTCCGTGCTGATGGAGCATAATCCGTCGTTGATTGGTCCCCAAAGCTGTCTGCTTCAGTATCATCAAGCACAATGACTGGAGATTGCGGGCTCGCCGCTTGGTATGTACAACTGGCTCCTATCCTAAAGATGATCCTCGTCAGTCACAATTTGCAGTCCAATCATGCACGCCCTTGACCGTTGCACCCGGTATTTCGAACGTTTTTACGTACCTTAGACAGCGGGAGCACTTTGGAACGATGCGATCACATCTACGTTTATGCGCCTTACACCGTGAACATGCATTGGGCCACAGCCTAGCTATGAATTGGCCCGATTGAATCGGCCTAGTCACAGGTCCCGGTTGTGAGGTCGTTAGATATTCACATGGTCTGTCTAGTCTGCATGATTGAATTTAGTCTCCATGGTATATTTAGCCTGTTTTGGCTTAAATATTAACGTTTTCATTGAAGGTCAACCATACTTCTTGCATCGAGAGCAAATTGGGAGCCGCTTGTCGCATTGTCGCTTGCCCGACTTGCAGGTCAGACAAGCCAGTGCAGCTCTATCCTGTTCTTGTTCTGCAGTTTTTCCTCTGGTGGACGACATAACGTTGATAGGCAATTCCGGAGAGCCCTAGTCGGACCAAAAGTCGAATGGCTCCTTTAGCTAAATATTTCAACCGATCAGAATGAAATCTGCTTAGGACCAACGCCAATCCAATAATCAGTTGTGGGACTCCAAGTAGGTGTACGGATCAGATCTGCTCGTCGAACATAACGGGAGAGGGGTTCGTCTCACTCTCAATGTTTCTTGGGCCCCACCTACGGCGGCTGATAAAGATATGCACCCTACACGCCCAAATCGGTTTTAAGCAGTTCAAGTTTTTAACTCCGAGACAAATAATAATCTCCTGCAGCTATCTCAAATATGTGACACAATCAAACTACGCCGGAACAGCCATCCCGTCAGCCCTGAAGTCACTCCCAGCTTCAAGGACCTGTCGGGGGCCTTTATCATGGAATGCCCGTATGATCTGCCCTCTCCCAAAAACCTCCCTATCCCACCCACAAACAACCTCCACTATATGGCCCCGTTGACGTAACTCGTTCACAACTAATGGGTCTACCCCTTCTTCCACATAAACAGTCCTTTCCTTGGCTCTGTCTATATACTGATGCCCCATCGACCCAATGCACACTCTCGGCGCATCGAGGGCCTGCTGCGGATTCATCCCGAATATAAGCATATTCATCAGGAGCTGCATATGTCCCTGCGGCTGCATAAATGCACCCATAATCCCGAATACGGTATTTAGCGACTCGTCCCCGGGGTTCGTAGCTATTGCAGGAATAATTGTGTGGTATGGTCGCTTGCCCGGCGCAAGTGCATTCGGATGGCCAGGCATCAGTGAGAAATTGGCACCACGGCTCTGCAGCGTGAAGCCACACCCGCGCGGGATGATTCCGGTTCCGAAGCCGTGATAATTGCTGTTTACGACCGATGCGGCGTTGCCGTGACTATCGACGACGGCGAAGTAGACAGTGTCGCATGAGTTCAAGGCAGGGCTACCGTGGGCAATGATGCTTGAGGCCGTGGATGGGTTGAAGAGGTGTGCCCTTTCCGCTATGTATGATTCTGACAAGAGGTTTGGAATATCTGAGTGGGCTGGATCTCCGATCCACCAGGAGGCGTCTGCGAAGGAAATGCGGAAGACTTCAACCAGGGCGTGTATGTACTCGGCGGAGTTGTGCCGGAGACTGAGCAAGGGAGGAATTTTCTTGGCCCGTTCCAATTCCTCGAATAACTTGATTGCCATGAGGGCTACAAGGCCCTGCCCGTTAGGTGGATGCTCCCAGATGTCAACCGCTTTGTTGAATCGAACACAGAGTGGACTGGTTGCTGTGCTTCCCATATCCGCATGATAGGCGAGATCTGCGTGAGTGAGGAATCCACCGCGCTCTTTGACCGCTTCTACAATAGCATCTGCAATATGACCTCGATAAAATCCATCCTTTCCTTCCAAAGCGAGCGTACGAAAGGTTTGCGCAAGACCGGGGTTGGTCATGACTTCGCCGGCTACAGGCGCACGAACCGCTTCATTGGAGTTGGAGCCGGTCTTCAGCAGTTCGCGGTAATTGGGAGATGCCTCTCTAAGTGATTGCTCATTTTCTTGCCACTTTAGACTGTCAGCTTCCATTTATTAAGAGATGAGTCAAGAAGAAAGTTACTAAGCGTGCCGATATCTCCGAAACGGGAAACCCATCGTCGGCAAGGGAAATTGCAGGCGTCAAGATCTGTTCAAGGGATAGTTTCCCACTCCCAAATCTCTCAATAGTATCCACCCACCCAGCCGCAGCCCCTGGTGTCGTGACTGCCAAAACACTGTTGAGTGGAATATTCCCGGGCTCACCGTGTGGAATTGCCAACCGTTTTCGAGCCGTATCAAGCGTAAGACTCATCGGAGCACGCCCAGATCCGTTCAGCCCATGCACTTTCCTCGTTTGACTATCATAGAAAAGACAAAACATGTCCCCACCGATACCCGTCGATCCAGGCTCAGTCACATTCAGGGCAGCGGCTAGAGGCAGCCTTGTTAATAAACATCAGGTCTCTGCCCACCTGGGGAGGCAACATACCCACTGCGACAGCGGCATCCTTCAATCGTCAGTGAATACAGTAAATAACTTTATATAGAGTACCCACCGCTGCATTTCCACCATTTTCTAGAATGGTCTGACCAGCTCTCGCAGCTAGGGGCTGAGAACATGCTATCATGCCCGTAGTACTGTATACTGCACTTCGGCGCCCGAGGAATGAAGTAAAGCGATTCTGTTGAAAAGGGAAAGCCATGTTTGCTGCAGCAAGAAAAATACAAAGAGCAAAGGATGTCACAGATCTTACTAGCACCTATCTTGTTCATTTATACCCCCTATGGTATACATATTTACTACGAGGGTGGTATAGGCGCTTCGAAAGTTAGCCAATGATAAGTGGTTGACGCATGTCCCGGAGTTGACTTGGTCCTCCCCGGCTACCCTGGCCCACCCGCACTCAACTCATGCGCGTGGGTATAAGAGGATTAGCATAGCTATAGGCAGTAAGATTTGAAACAAGTTGACCATTCATGTAGAAAATCCCAATGATTTTGATTCTAGATCTACTCTGCCCAGCTACATACGAAAAGTCCCCCGCGGATGGCGCCACTCAATAAAAGCCATTTTGAGATCTTCCATTCTGGGCTTTAGGTCTTGGTAACAAAATAAAATAATTAAGGCTAAAGTGAATCCAGTTGCTTGAGTGGGACAGCTTGTCATTCATCCGTGCTCCTTTTCAGCAAGGCCGTGTCAAACGCTACATACTACCTTGGCAATAAAATCCTGATCAACGTTCCCACCACATAGAAGGATGACGCTAGTCTGACCAGTCAATGTATTGGCAACTTGATTGAAGCCAGCAAGAGCAAGCGCCGCGGAGCCTTCCACAATAATATTCTCTTGAACCGCAAGAGCTTTCACAGACCTCAAAATCTCTGCCTCGTCGCACTCAACAACATGGTCTATAACCGAGGTTGCCAGAGAAAGTGTTATCGTGTCTTCATCAATACCTCCAGCCACAGCCTCAGCCAAGGTAGGTAAATGATCGGTTTCGACCACATGACCAGCAGCTATAGAAGCTGCCAAGGCTTTGGAATTGCTGGCGCAAACTCCGTAAATCTTCGTTTGGGGACGATAGGCTTTGAGAACAGATCCGAGGCCGCTAAGAAGCCCACCACCACCCATAGAAATGAAAATATTATCCACCTCATTGAGCTGCTCCAAAATCTCAAGTCCGATTGTTCCTTGTCCGGCAATAATTTCAGCGTCGTTGTAAGGCGAGATATAAGTATAAGATCCCGATGCAGCAAGCTGCTGCGCATGCTTTTCGGCTAGGCCAGTTTCCGCCCCGTGTAGGATCACATCAACACCGAACATTTTAATGTTTTCCAGCTTTGCTAGCACCACTGTCTCGGGAAGGACGACGGTAAGGTCCTTGGAGAGAACTTTCGAGGCAAAAGCGGCACCGATACCATGATTACCTGACGATGCCGTAATAAGTCGCCCCTGTGCAGTTGGAGACGACAGCTTAGAAAGTGCGCCTCTGAGTTTAAAAGACCCGGTAAGCTGAAAATTCTCTGCTTTGAACAGGACCTTTGCGTCATGTTCTTGGCCGATTCGTCTGGCTGGTATGAGCGGGGTTTGGTAAATGTGCTTTCGAATCCGACTCCTGGCTTGGACGGCTCTAGCCGCGATGTCTTGCAGTGAAACTGGCATTAATGTTTTCCGGGTTTGAAGTAGGTATGTATGATATTGAGAGTTCTTTTGGACGGCTAAATGATGGCATTCACTAAGATGCTCTTTAAAAATGGGACAGAGGCAATAGTAAAACCAGTCAAAATGCTTCACCCGCACCAGCCAGAGAAGCGGGAACCCCCAGTCTTATGCCACCAGGATATTACAATTTCATCACAATTACATGCACGATATTTATATAGAATAAAATCAAAACAGGATCAAAATAACAGAAGACGGCAAGCTAGCAGGGATTCGCCAACCCCAAAATCGAGCAGTCTAATCCGTTTCCGGACCCGCACCTACGCCCGCACCCGCATCCGCACCTTAAATCTAGTGCAGATCGACCTGTGCGGTGCGTTAGTGCCGTAAAAAGTTCCAGTTGTATATGTCCTTCAGAACGATCATTTTTGGGCTGTAGGGATAGGGATTCTCTCGGAAAAGCTCCATGTGCCTAGACGACAGGATTAAATTCTGGTTCTACTGAATCCATCAATTCTCAAACATGTATACCTACGCCGGCTTGGATACAGGACTAATTTACCGGATTATAGATTTCCTTACAAAAGGCAAAGATATATAGAGCTCGCCGTAAGCCAATTAGAGGGACTTGTAGGAATGCTCTGCCGGTAGTGATCGTGGTAAAGCACCAAGCCATTATAAACAAAGATAATTTCAATGGAGATAGATCAATGGAATTTTGGAATTAGAAATGACATGGCTTCTCAGCATGATTCAGGCTCACTAACTCACTAACTGGCAGCCTTTTTGATAGCAGCTGCCATATGGTCTGGCGCTGTATAGAAAGGACTGTGCGATGCATCCACAACATCGGTCTGGATGTTGACCCCTTTAGCGACCTCCTCCACCATCATTTTCTGTACTGGAAGTGGGATCGCCTCATCCTTCAGGCAGTACAGGTACGTGGAAGGCACATGTCTCCAAGCCTCAAAAGTAATGTTGCTGTGAAATGTCTGATAACTATGCGGTTCCAATGTCTCAGCAGCCCTCTTTGCGTCAATCTCATTCATATCGTTGTAGAAAGTTTCCTTAGGGGTAGCCGGGGTCACAAGGAGACGATCATCCGAGACTTGGAACCAGGGAAGGTCATCTCCACCAAAAGAACTGATCAAAGATTTTCCCTCGGGGACGATAAATGAACAGCAGAAGAAAAGGTGAACCACTCCACCTGGTTGACCCTGGCGTTGACGAGTCTCCCAGTCTAAGCCGCGGATTGCCTCACAGCCTGGAATGCCACCGTATGAGTGCACCACGACCACCACTCTTTGCCCAGCATCGGCAGCAATCTCGATTTGCTTCTTGACCTGATTCACATCTTCAGAAAAATCTGAATGGGGTATAACAGGGCCCACCGAGGGCAAGTAAACGACGTCGGTATTGTATCCGTGAGTCTCTAGCTTTCTAATGACTTTGTCGAAACATTGAGGGCTGTGCCACGCGCCAGGTATGAAAAGTATCGTTGTTGAAGAAGCCATGGATCGATATTTTCAAAGTATGGGGTAAATAAGGGCGAATTTGTGGAAGATGAACTGATTTATATCAATTTTTTTGGACTTTTTCGAGTTCTTATACATTTTCTCCCCCTCATCCCTCTCCTAATGAAGTTAGAGAGATGCAGTCATGTTCATATTGGTCCAGTCTTTCTAGGCCCGGCCAGCAAGAATGATGGCGCACAGATTTTAGGGCAAAATGCCGCTAGACCAAAAATGCTTCATGCACAACATTCTTGGTTTATACGGTCATTTATTTCTTCGACAAATGAAACGAAGGTCTCGCTTGAAAATTGATCAGAGTACCTAATAGGCTAGTATAAATGGCCTAATGGTGGTCGAATTATTTGCAGGTCTTATCTCAGAGGATACTACGATACCTGACACAAGGACGGAGATGACTCGGCAAGCTTGAAGTCCGTCTCAAATACCACCCCCCCCCTCCTGTACCGATGCACAAACGCGGATCAGATGCAGTGCGGGTGCGGCCGCAGGTGCGGTGGTGGACCCACCGAAGCCACGTTATGGCGTTATGGGAACAGAATTATTTCGAGCAAATTTCCTGGGGCCGAGATCTACTCATAAAACAGTTCACCAACCTGAATACTACTTTCAAATCAATGGACATATCAAAATCGAGCATTTATAATCGTCAAGTATCTTGGCTTGTCGGATGGATACAGGGTGATTTGAAATCTGATGGAGGTTACGCTGTGCACAATGAATAATCATCCATACTGCATTGACAAATCTGATTTCTGAATTCATTTGAGTCGAATTCCTCCTATAATCCTTCCAAGAAGATAAAAGACCCTTTAGGCCTCTCTATGATGCGATCAATCCGATACAGAGACCCAACTTTGGGTTAACTAAAGCCCGTTGCATTCGCTCAAGATATTCCCATCTTTGTTGAGACCTATGGCTCTATTAGAATTACCGGACTATAGGGACACAACCGTGGATGTGTCCATTATCTACGGAGGACGAACAACTGTGCCCGCATCTTACGTGGTTAAAACACCAATTGCAGGGCATGTCTTGCTTGACATGCCTTGCTATAGCTTCCTAATCGAGAACAAAAGGATAAACAAAAAGGTTCTCTTTGACCTTGGGCTGCGAAAAGATTGGAAGGAGAAACTTCCGCCCCCTAGTAAGCAACATCTCTATCTAAAACCTGCATCTGGCTATTCATCCATGCAGAACATGATGCGACATATGCTGACCGCGATTGAACTGAGAGTCCTGAATCAAATCGAATCGGCTAAAGCAATTATGGACATTGAGCAAGACGTTGCTGACCAACTTCACAACGCCAGTGTGCCTCTCGAATCGATCAACGCTATTATCTGGTCCCACCACCATATAGACCATACAGGAGATCCGTCACTCTTCCCTTCGTCCACGGACTTGGTCGTTGGTCCGGGCTTCAAGCGCGACACAACGACGTTTCCTGGTTATCCTACGAATACGGATGCTCTGGTGACTGACGATGCCTTTTTTGGCCGTCGATTGGTTGAGCTTGATTTTAGTGATGCTGTCACTATTGGTGGCTTTTTGGCCATCGACTTTTTCCAAGATGGCAGCCTGTACCTGCTGAAATCAAGTGGGCATAGTGAGTATCTGTACTTCTTATTGACGGTACTTAGAAATCCCTTCCTAAGTGGTAGATTGCTAATAATTTCATAGCGCATGACCATATTAGCGCTCTGGCCCGTACCTCGGAGAACCACTTCATCTTGCTTGGAGGCGATATCGCTCATCACCCGGGAGAATACCGACCAACCGAACACCTCCCGCTTCCGATCGAAATCAGTCCGTCACCCCTCAAAGAGGATACAATCTCGATCTCTACATGTCCCGGTTCCATATTCGAAGCCATCTCCCCTGCAAATTCAAGAGGCTCGGATGCCAAAGTCACCCCATTTTACGAGCTGAACGCCGGAATGAACGAGGATCTGGGAGATGCCGAGGTAGCTCTTGAGAAAATGCTACCGTTTGACGGCTCAGCTAAGGTTATGGTTATCATTGCGCATGATGCGAGTCTCCTGGATGTTCTTCCTTTCTTTCCCAATAGTATTACTGAGTGGGATATACAGGGATACAAGGCGAAGGGGGCTTGGAGCTTTTTGAAGGATTTTGTTGGGGCTATTGACAGAAGTGCAGACGGAAGTACATAGTCATTCAGTGAGGTCAGAAGCGGTGGCAGCCTAGACAGGTAATAATCCCTACCTGGCAGACATTACCCATTGCATATAGGAGCATATACTAGAAGTCATGGGCGTTTGAAAGGAATCCTATTTTCTGTTTGTAGTTTTAATTCCCCCATCGACAAATAAGCGGTCTTCTGCTGGCATTTCATTTTGGACAGTGCTAGAGCCACTTCCATTCTGGGTATAAGGCAATTCAGCTGTTTTGCGCCCACGCGAGGCAATCTCAACAGTGGAGGACAATGTGTGGAGTTTATCCTCAAGCCGATCTTGAGTCATGAAAGGGGGATCGGCTCAGGGTATATGATGGTTCAGGACACTGGTCACGCGATCGTAGATAATCAATCCGTCCTGGCAAGATCATATAGAACTATTAGAGTCAGTAAACTAGGTGTGCTCAATTCGTGGAATTCTCCTTCTAAATGAGATTCCTAGACTGTTGATGTCCACAGACGTCAAGCCGGGGTGGGCAGCCGCCCTTGCAGACTATATGATCGACCGAGCGGCTATAGTGTAAACACAGATTTTGGACACTGACCACCCCTTGGTATGGTACTCAATGTCCAGAGCGGTTCTTAGAAATGCTTGTCGAAATGCTGTGTTTTCAAATTGCAGCCTGGGACGATGCTAGCTCCAACCCTACCTTGATTTGTGTCTAAAGACTTTGCGAAGGGATAACATTCCTAAGGTTCCATGGAACTATTCTTCTGCTGGTATTGAACGCGCACTTCTATTACACAATTAATCCTGAAACTTTCCTCTTCTATTCTATTAAGGATTTGGAAAATAATTAGCGCCGACGTCGGTACTTCTCTGTTAATAGATAGAAGCCCATTTGACCACTTCCTTCAAGCGTAACTTGGTGCGAAATAAAGTAAATCTATCAAGCGGAAGATTTTTCCTACGATGATCCGATCGCCTATTGGTTACGATCCTTCAAGCATTTGAAATCGCATACTTCATTGGGCAGACCTTGAAGCCCTCCACAACCTCGGAATGTCGCATTCTCCCAGACTCGCCAAAGCATCAACAATAAAATGTCAACGCACGAGAACGAGAATTCAGGTCCAATTTGCGGGGCTGGAAGAGATCAAGGTTCCTCTTGCAGCAGAATAAAGCATCGTGATGCGCCACCGGTATCTCATGCTTTCTTCTACCCTATCCGCCTTCGACGTTGACTTCGTTATACGCCATTACCCTTCTAATTTAACAGCTTACTGTCCTTAATATCCGAATCGAATCCATTCGCTTCTTTGTCTTTCATCTGTCACCATGCATTTCACCGGAGTCCTCGCCGTCACGGCTTCCCTCGTTGCTGTCGCCTACGCCAATGACCCTCTTGCCTTCACGTCCTGGCCTAAGGACATTCAAGCTGGCAAGCCTGTTACTCTGACATGGGAGGGTGGTGCTACTGACCAGGTAAATGATTTTGTTTGAGGCTTGGGATATGAGAAGCTGCTGACTCGGGTGGCTGCATTTAGCCCGTCACTCTTACCCTCCGCAAAGGAACCTCTACCGACCTTAAGGATGTTGAGATCATTACTGCTCAGGCCAAGGATGGCACCTTCACCTGGACCCCCGGTGACAATGTCAAGAGTGGAGAAGACTATGCTTTCCAGATAACCCAGGGTGGCGAGCGCAACTACTCTGCTCTTCTCAAGGCCGGGCCTGCCGTGCCGGCTTCGGAGTCTTCACAGACAAACACTGGCACTGCTACCAATACCAACACTGCTACCAATACCAACACTGCCACCACTAGCAATACCAACTCTGCTCAGACCAGCAGCAGCTCCTCCTCTTCTTCCTCCACCACTGGCAGTGAAACCTCTGCTACCCAGACCACTGCCACGACAAGCAAGCCTTTGATCAGCTCGTCTGCTGGCACTACTCCCTCCAGCAGCCCGATCTCTTCAACTACCGTCGTCCACTCCGTCACTGCTGCTGAACCCTTTGAGACCAGCAATGTTAAGAATGACAAGGCAGCCTCAGCGACCGGTAGCATTCAGAATGGCCGTGCTTCATCTCTGCAGTCCTACTCACAGCTCTTCATGGGTGCTCTGGGTATGCTGGTGTATCTCGTTCAGTAAATTACCGGGCTTGATGATGCTTAGTTGGGTACACGGTTACCTTCCATTCGTTCTAAAATAGTCTTCTCCTTGTTCATCTCCGGGTCCTTTCCTATGTTGAATTGGGCTACCTTCATGTATATAATCCAATACCCCCTTCATATCACTGAGAGGCGGCTTTGGTGGGGCGTTGTGGAGGAAATTTGACTTGGTTTCAGGATATTTTGACGGATCTCTCCAGTTTCTTACACGTATGCTAGATGATCGTGACTGATGTCATTAAGCATCCTTTGATATGACAGGTTCACCATAAGTTTGTGACCACTTTGCAGTAGTTAATTGCTCTTTGCCACTCGGCAACACCCCGGAGATCAGCTTACCAATTGGGTTTAGCGGCCGAGTTAGCGCGATCCGTGCCTGAAATAATAATCGATAAGGGAATCTTGTCAACCACAACTCCCTCCACTCCCACTTTCTCTTTTCCATCCTCCTCCTCCTCTCCGTTCACGCTCCCGTTAATTTTGACAACTCGTTCGGTATTCCTTGGACTGCTCTGTGAGCATTGACGACTATATCATAAAATTCTCGCTTTTGCCGCGCGGGCAAATCGATCCGCTGACCTCCGGCGCGCCCATCATCACTTTGATGTCGAGTGGACTTCCCGATTAAGCCGCTGCTTCGGCGATGGTCAGACTCCGCGACAGGATCGCATCGTCGCATCTGGCCCTTCTTAAGTTCGAAAACGGTACGTGATCTTCTTTCCTCCTCCCCTCTCCTCGTCAACAACAGTCCATCACGCGCACCCCCAACGCCTGTCACCAGAATCCCCTGACAGCTTCAACATGTCTTCCGTGGGGCGCGTGATCCGACAACTGACCTCCTCGAGGAAACTCGAGGCAGCAGAGATGATCAGCACTGACTCGCTGATCTCGTTCCCAGAAGAAGCACCGCAAGTGAACCTTGCGGTGGTGGACACTCAGTTGAACATGCACCGGTTCAACGCACTTTTTGAAGAGGAAATGGCGCTAGAAGGCCCCAAAGGTTGGTTAAAATCTAATTGTACCTACTCTCATACATGGCACGTACTAACCATCACTCAATCGCTACGCAGACTCTCACAATTCGCCCGCGCCAGCCCCCACCTCGGCGAGTCCGCGCCTCGGCAATGAGGCTCCAACAGAATGGTCGGCGGTCGGCCATGCAGCGGCGACAGGCAAGTCCGGCCGTGTCATCCACAACCTGCAGGAGGAGGTTGCTCGTCTGAAGCGGGACTCCGCCCTCTGGCAATCCAGAGCGGAGGAGTCTCAGCGAATCAGCGAGGCTCTCAAACTCCAACTGCAGGACATGGCCGACCGCCTCCAGCACCAGGAGCAGGTCAATGACACCAGCCTCAAGTCCATCGACCGGAAAGACCGCAAGATCGAGGACTTGCGCGCCGAGCTACATGCGGAGCGCACCAAGCGCCACGACGCCCAAATCGTGGCAAACGAGACCAATGAGGCGATGCGCGTGGAACGTGAGAACCACCATCGCGAAATGGCTCGGCTGCAAGAGGAGGCCAAGTACTACAGCAACCAGTACGAGGTCCTGAGCAGTGCCACGAAGCGGGAGAAGAACGACTTGGGCCGCCGGGTGGATGACGCTTGGGACAAGGTGCACTCCATGGCAAAGGCGCAGGTCACCCATGTCGAGTGCTCTGACCGGCTGATGGTCATTGGGGACCAGAAGAACCGAGAGATTGAGGTCATGAACGAGCGGTACGAGAAGGCCGTGGCCCTCCACAGCAGCTACAAAGAGACCAAGGACAAAGAGTTCCGCGGTACCGTCGATCGGGCCCACGCCAACAACGAACTGATCGATGCAACTCTCAGAGAGCTCAAGGAAACTCAGGACAAGATGAAGTGGGTGATCCGGATGAGTGAGCTCAATGAGAACAAGAAGGCCAAGGACAAGGCCGAAGAGCAGCCAACGCCCGAACCATCCTCGTAGATCCTCTGTCCTGTCCTGTCCCGTCCTCTCCTGTCTTCTGCTCCTCGAATTCCGATACCTCAACCCGTCTTTCCTCCGCTCGTGCCCTAACCATCTCGAGGCCATCCGACATCCCATCATACACGCCGCTCCTCCCTCTACTTCTCTCCCGACATATCCTCTCTTGCCTCGACCATCTTTTCTTCATGTTCATACCTTTCGTGGTTCCTGGCGTTTTGGCAGCGAAGATACCCATTGCCGCAGTTCGGTCCAGACCTCTTTTCTGTCCTCCTCCTTCTTCTACCATTCTTTGCCGCCGCTTCCCCTGCCCTTGCTCCTCAACCCTATTTTTCCTCATTTCTACTCTTCCTCTCTCCCCCCTACCTACCCTTCCTCATTGTTAGAGTTGATGCCGTGATGACCCTGCATGATCTGGTTCGGTTTCTTTCTTCTATGTTCATGCACATTTGCATATGGCCTTTTTGTTCTGTGGTACACCCCATCAATGGGCGATATTCTTATTCTTTCTTGTACCAATACCCTTTCGTCTGATGTTTTTTATTCACATATCTTCTATCCCCGTTCCTTATTTTGGACGGGTTAATTGCATAATATTTTTATCACCAGATGCCTATTTGCCTTTCACTATGTATGCCTAGCAGCCTCGTCATGCCTTGATGACGAGGCATCCGGGAAGTTTATTACTGGGAGCGACAACTATTGTATGCTGAGAAGGGGATTTCCATTTCGATGCATACTTTTATGTGAGATGTTGCCGTACTAATTGTTATGGAAGTTCCCGCTAACCTTGGTCATATTGCTTCCACTTTGGTTAGATATCCTTCCCTACATCCAGTTTTCTTGTCGGATCTTCTCTGTCTCCCTTAAATCCATCTACATCTTTGAACATCTCTTACGCAATTTTTGCTTCTCCTTCCCACTCTCGGCGTGAAGCTACGTGAGTCTCTCTCTCATATTCTATCATCGGAAACTATTTAGTTCACGATCTCACACACTCATAGAGAACGACGCTTGGGAGATCATCGTATGGTCCATCAGTCTTGGCTGATCACATCACATCATCATGGCGACCGAGCGTGAGTTGCAAGTTGCCTGTCTGTGGGGTCTCCATGACCGTGGGGTAAGTTCTTCTTCTGGACCTGAGCAGCTTAATGTCAGCCATTTAACATGATGATATATAGGTCCGTGAGATACGGGAGGAGATCATGTATGGAAGCTCATTTCCTTCAAAGTATACCAGCTAATGAAGTGCAGAACACAATCTCCTGATACGCAAGTTACCTATCTTCTTGATGAAGATGTGAGTACCTCTTTCGATTACAATTCCTTCTAGTTCTTTCATACTAATCAAGTATCTTTCAGGTGCTGGTCGTCAAAGGCTCCTTTGACGATTCAATTGAAGCCGCCGTGGTAGCCTGCATCAAAGCCTATGTAGAGAAGCACATGCACCATAACCTACTTGATGTCAGTTTCTCTCCTGATACCAACATCTCCCCAGGCCATTGAGCACTAACCCAGTCCTACAATGCAGGAGGAGCCACGAATCCGCCAGATCGTCAAAATTGACGTCGGGGCCGCCTTAGAGAGCCGAGAGGGTCAGAAATATGGCACGGCGCCATCTCTCATCAAGGAGATAGATGTCCAGAGCAACAAGAGTTCTTTGACTTCTACGACGACATCTGCACCCTCTCAAGTCTCCCGGAACTGGAACCCATCTATCGTCAGAGTCAAGTACTTCCGCAAAGACCAACATCGCATGCTTGGGCGAGTCGCTGTGGCTACTGGTGCGAATATCCGTCTGGGACACTCCGAGGCCAAGGATATATTCATTCGTGTGTCTGCGGATGTCCCTGAAAAGGTTGATGATGCATTTCGAAAGCTCGAGAAGCTAGAAAGTCTTCTGGTAAGATTTATAGATTCCTACTCCAGTCACCGATAGGCATCTTACTTTTGCAGGCCTTGTTCGACATCCCCTGCCAAGCATATACAAGTTTTGTCCCGGATACCAACGGTCTACGCTTCTGTCTTCTGGAACTCGCGCATCTGAACGACATCGCACCCCGACGCATCCTCTTGGATCCAGGTTCCGCTATCAAGAACAATATCGCCGACTCCACACTCCCTGTCTCTTGCCGTATCAATCCGTCTACGAATCTCTTTCAAGTTTCGGAGCACCTTCGTAATCCCGGTGAAATCGACTGTCCGTGGTTCCTTAGACATCGTGAGACTACTAGATGTTGGTCTAGCTTCCATTACCCGGAGATCGGCGAGCCGGGCGAAGATAGAGGGGCACAATACTCTAATCTCGATTTTCTGCGTCAGCAAGCCACACCGGTGGTCAAGCCTGTCCCTAGTGGAAATTCACGAGGTCATGGATTCAAGGATGTTGACTCGAAGCTCATCTATGCAGTATCAGAGAGCACAGGGACAGAAAGGGCCCAGTCCGATAAGGGGGCTGTCCCGGTGTACCGACCCGAGTCTACTCCGTCGCCTTCCATCAAAATACCGGGGGTCAAAACTCGCAGGCCAGTCTTGCCTGATGATGGCGAACCCTTGCCGAAGTCAAAGTCGCCTGTATTTACTACGACTCGGGAAACTTCCGGAAAGCCTACGCAGTCTGATACATCTGCAAAGTCCAGAGCGTCTGCAAGTTCTCAAGCAGCTGTTGCTAAGTCTGAGCCTCAGCGCTCTGAACCTCTTGGAATACTCCATCCTGCAGTATCCAGGTCTGTGGAACGTCGATCTTCTTCCGGCGTACATAACCCCTGGACTGTCGTTCCGAAATCATCAATTCAAGGCGTGAAAGGTCCTAAATCTTCACCAGAGAAGCCACTGTTGACCGGTTCTTCCCCTGTTTCAAGTTCCGGGTTCCCTTCTACATCACAGGCAATGACAAGATCTCCTCAGCCCGTCTCCCATTCTAGCACCGGACCCGTCGCCGACAATGCGCAGGATGAGCTCATCGACTTATCTGGTAATGAGCCTGCTACTACGAATAGCACGATCACCATGGGCTCAAGCTTGCAATTTGAACTTGGAGAATCATCATCCGAGCGTTTTTCATCGTCATCTTTGTTTCAATCAACCATTTCGTCAATGAATGATGCTCGCTCCGAGTCAACTGGGCTTCAATCGACGAGATCAGAAATATCGGATGCTCCATCTGAGTATGCAGCTTCGCAGAACTCTGAATCATCGGGATTACCACCTGACTCCAACGAAATTACTGCTTTGACAGGTCATGACGGCTCAGTTGACGACCAAGAGACCCCTCGGCCGGCCAAATCGATCCCTCTTGCCTCCCAGAACCCAGTTGCCCTACCAGATGACGGTCAGAGAACCCCTCGATCATCGGCTAGTCAACATATTGTGGCTGCTGATGAGTCAGTTACTCTACTGGGTGGAAATCGAGAGGCTCATAGGCCGGCAGATGAGCTTTCAGGTAGGGCTATCAATAGTCCAATTGTCCCACAAATTGCCGGTTACGGAGCCCCGGCCAGTCAAACATATTCAGCTTCTTCGTATGCTTCGTTTCCTCACCACATGAACGTGAGCCCCCACGATCCCTGGAGTCAGGGCAGGGTCTTCGGTACACCAGGTCACGGGGCCCAGCAGACCGATGGCCAGGGCGCATCCCCTCAGTACCCTAGGTGGAGCACTTACTCCAGTCAGACCACTTACTCTAGTCACTTCAGTTATGAAACGCGCTTTCATGGCGTCGGTGCCACGCCAATGCATCCTGCAGGGCCTTATTGGCCTACCAACTCTGCCACTCCAGGACCGTCTATCTTTGATGTCTACCTGTGGCCTCTTCACCTGGCTCAGACCATTTTGCAGCATCAGCAGCCTTTTCATGATACAAATTTCCAGCAGACACGCGCTGATTACCAGCACCCGGCGTATTACTCACACGAGCGCATTGGAAGTCCAGAGACTATCGTATCCTCCCCCAGCGGTACCTCTGGTGATCATCCACAGACTTCTCAGGCAATTTCCCGGAGCCAGCGTGATGCGACTAGCCGACCTGTTCAAGAACGACTGGCCGATCCAGCCAACCGTGACAGGAGAGAGTTCCATTCAGCGATGAACCAACGAACCCCAAATCCCAGTGGCGATGAAAGGAAAAATCTCATTGCCAAGGCAAATGCTAAAGTCCCCAAGAAGTACTGGAGGGTCTTCGATGAGGCTGATACTTCAACAAAAGTTCGCGTGCCTATGCCAGCCAATCCTCAACTCCCCCAGGGCCAGCCACAAAAGTGTTCGATACATCCTGAACTCACCAGAGAGGTTTACGAACTCCTTACTCCCTGTTTCACTACTGCTCAAGTCTTCCCGGGACCTCTGGAGCTAGAGATCCAGATCGGCATCATCACTATCATGAATAAGTTGGGAGCCGCAGAAAATAGCTTCATGAGCTTTGAGGAAATGAAGGAGGTGGTCCGTCCGCGAGGAGTCCTCAATGGGCCCAGTACAGTCTTCTTCAATAGACTCACGACCTTGCCCGCTGACATCAGTCACCTTATTGACATCCACGCCAATGGAGTCCGTCTCTTCGAAAGCGAAACGTCCTCTTTCAACATTGAGTATCAATTTCACTGCGTTTTGAAGACAGGCCTGCCCCTCGTCATCTCTATCGATGAGAAGGGCAATCCCACAATCAAGATTCCCAAGGTGACCCTAGGCTCCGTTCATATCAGTTATCCAGACCGTATCTGGGACGCTGCAGCGGTACTGCGCGGGTGTATGGGTGCCCATGGAAAACCAGATCCAGAAGTCGAGCGTGCCGTGCAATACATAGCAAAGAACTTATGGGTAGAGCCTGGTCGTACGCACCTTCGCCTACTAACCCGCTTCAACAAGGATTTCCTAAGCGTAAAGAAGGTCGTGCTCAAACGCACAACCTACCATCGCTGCGCCAACGATCGGTATGTGAGAAACATCGGAGGTGGAATCTCGAAGCGCGGCCTTCAACTTCGCGTCACTGAGATCCAAGATCTGGTACTCACCGCTCTTCCATCAAATTGCGACATCTTGGAAGCAACCTGCAAGTCTTTGGATGACATGACCAAGGCTCATCGGCAGTGGTGGGAGATTGCGTTGATAAGCCCGGCTATTCAAACAGCTCTCGGTGGTGTTGTCCCCACCACCATTGGAGATGATCACCGCGATTGGTGTCCCATCGACATCTTGGGAGGCGAGACTGGACTTATCACCAGTGCGCCCGCTTCACCGACTGCTCAGTCAATTGGTCACTATGGTCTGGGTGCACTGGTGGGCCTCGCTACTGCTGTTGTTGAAAATATCGATTCAGTTGGGTTTTCCAATTTTGGTCCAGCTGGGAAGGGAGACAACAAGAGGCAGTCGATCAAATTTCTAGAATGGAAATCGTCATGATGAACAGTCCCTCTCAGTGGTGAAGGGCAAAGCCTGTCTTTGACGGGCTGAGAACTTTTGATTTGGTCATTCAAGTCATGAGAATGTGACGCGAGCTTAGGGGTATTTGGAGACTTGGTTTGGCATTGGAATTGCCATATTTCTCGTTTGGAAAATTGGGAAAGGAGAGAAACATGGCGAGTGCTTTAGTGTCCCTGACTGTGAATTAGAATACCACTATGGCTAGAGAATCAACCATCGTTATCTCTCCATCTATAAATGCCTAATAATATAGAGAGCGTCCAATCTTCTACTGTGGCACTCGCGATCCCACTTTTTGCCAAAACTTGCACCTCTCCCCACGACCACCCTCCCACGCCCTAGCATCTGCCAGCCCAAACTCATTCGTAATTCCTGATCCTTCTCTAAGCCAATATGACAGATGATCAGTCACCGTTTGCCTAACCAAATTTCCACCCGTCGTATTCAAATTCATCAGCACAGGCGAGTCCTCTTTCCACCGCGGCCAATCAATATCACCATCTGTGCCCTCGGGAACGGTGGCATTAGCCATTCCAGCTTTGGCATCGCTAATGGATATAACGGGTGTATCATTTATGATAAAATTCCCCAGTATGCGTTGGAATGCATCTCTAAAGCCGGCATTTGGCACAGATGCTCCCACGGAGAAATAGGATGTTAGATCGGCCCCGTGGTATGCTGGTGTCACTGAGTACTGATACTTCCAGCTTTCTTTCTCATCGTTGGGCTCTTCATTAGCTCCGGAAGAAAAAGCATCTGCTAGCCAATGTGAGGGACAGTCAAAAGCTGTTTCGGCAAAGATGTTGAAGGCGGTTTGTTGGAGGCCTGTTGCGAATTCGGATTGATTGAGGGCTGTTGGGCCACTGTTGCCGAGTGTGTCGTAAAGAGGGCCAGTTGATTCGGGAGATGATGATGGTACTTTGTATATTTGGAGGAGTTCAGCAAAATCTGCGGGCGTCAATCGGGGAAATGTCGATTTGAAGTATTGTATAAAGGTGGCCGTAGTGTTCAAAGTTGGAGGACTCAAGGGGACACCATCATTGGCGTTATTCTATATGATTTCAGCACGGGCCCTAGGAATGTGGTAGGCTATGTCATGTTGACTTACTCCAGACAGAATCCGCTTGCCACTGACTTTCTTCTCCGGCAGTTGTTTTGATGGAAGGTCCTGAACGAATTCTCCATCTGTGACAGGCAAAAAAGCCCAGGTACCCCATGCACCTGATGTGGAAACCTTGCCGCTGGCATATTGGAGTGTCTCTGTGTCTGTGCGGACTAAACAGTCAAAGGTAGACGGGTCATTTGAGCTCGTTTCTTCATAACATCCCGCTCGTGCTGCGAAGTCGCGATAGTGCATCGTCGGGATCTTGTCGTTATACTCGAACTGCGTCGCAGTGTATGGACTCGCAGCAATAATCTAGCACGAAGTCAGGTCAGTCTCAGGATTACCGCCCATCAATGGTCACATTTACATTGTTGAATAGCCCATCTTCTCTTCCACCATACGCCATAGCCTGCAGCATCGCAGCTCCAGCGCCTGAAGACTCGCCTCCGATGGTCACACGAGATGGATCTCCACCGAACTTTGCTATATGCTGCTGCACCCATTCCAGGGCAAACCGCATATCCAAAAGACCAGCATTGGTCTTACCATATGTGTGCACGGCCTCAGATGACAAGAAGCCAAAGGCTCCCAGTCGATATTGAATCATGACGGAGATGAAGCCATTGTCATTGGTCTTCATCCAGTCACTAGGATCATAGGTCGCGCCGAAAAGCCCGTAACCACCGCCGTCTATAAATATTAGCATGTGGTTCCTTTAAATAAAGTAAAATGGTAGGAGACTCACGAATCCATACAAGGATAGGCAGATCTTTTGCCCCTGCAGGGGCGAACACGTTCAGGAACAGACAGTCCTCGTCTCCCAACGCTGAATTGAAGCCATAGACTTCTGGTAGTTCTGCCGCTCCTGACTGAGGACAAAGAGGTGGTTGCTTCGTTGCTGATAAGACGGCTGTCCTGTTCACTGATGGTGGCTGGGGAGCTTGCCAACGTAGCTTTCCTACAGGCGGGGCGGCATATCGAATTCTACCAAGTTGTTAGCTCGAGTATATCCATTGACTTGCTTGCGATATGACCGTAGTCTGTCTCACCCTTTGAATATATTGGTACCATAAGCGCCATTGTAGACGCCTTGGTATTTGGCGTATCCCAGGTCGACCACTGGACTGGCGGTGTGGATGGGATTGGCAAGGGAGGCCGGGGGAAGGGATAACGCCAGCAGCACGAGGCTGTAGGTTCCAAATATCCAGCCCATTTAGAGCGACGCTTACTGCAGTAATTCAATTGACGGAAGGACAAGGAGAATAATATTCGTTCACGGGTGTATATGAGTCGATAATTGACGTCGGTCGCAGCTGCCAATATGCAGCTGCCCGAACACTTCCTTAACTCGGGCATATAACACGTGCAATATCTCGTTTCCGAGCATTGGTAAAAGCAAGGACATCCAATTATCAGCGAGCCCGATCCTTTTTAACCAAGTATCACCATTGGCCTAGATATGTAGTTGGTGGGCCTGTACAAAGGTCCCAGCCTCGGGGGGCCTGACACGATGTAACTCAATGCTAGGGCAACGTTTGTTAATGGTTGGCAATTCAATCGCTAGAGTCTAGATTTGGATGATGAGATCCGTTTTTATATTCCTATAGAGAGGAATTTTACTGAGAAACGGAAAGTCGAGGAATTTAGTGTGTATTACTGGAAATTAGGTAGTGTCGCAATATATCAGACTACACTACCCACGCAAGATATATATCCCCCTCAACTCATCACTGCAGGGAGTCGTCACTACCCTTTGGGTTGATTGGCCTTCCTTGTAGGTTCTACCAAGGTTTCTGAGAAGGGCAAAAGAAGCAAAAAAGAGAAAACCCACTAACTAATAAACCTCAAGATTCAAGTATATTAATTGGGTGTATATAATGAAAAAAATAAAATCAAAAAGAATGACCGACGCAGGGGTCGAACCTGCAATCTCTTGATTCGTAGTCAAGCGCCTTGCCATTGGGCCAGCCGGCCGTCACGTGAGGATCCGATGTGGTCACACGCTTCTGGATGATGTTCAGGCGACTTTTTGGCTATATTAGCCAACGGCAGTGTTATCGCACCTATTCCACCACGGTGGAAGCATCACACAGAACAATACATCCTTAGGTGTAGGTAGCGTCTGTCCAAAGGAGGGGAATATGTCAAAGTAGTTTGAAACATTATCGTATGAAAGACATGAATGACACGTACATGAAACAGATCATGTATCTCTCATTCCTTCAGAGGTATTGCTATCAATGGAATGTGAAGGTTGGGAATCGGAGATATAGGATTTTCCACCTCTAATTCCTAATGGTTAGGAGAACGTGATTTCGATTGGTAAATTTTATCTACTTTGATGAGAACTATTGAACTAAGTTCAAGTAGGAAGTAACTGCACTTGAATGAAGCGTGGTGAGAAAGTGGGTGACAACCAAAACAAACGGCGCTTGCACGTATATTCACCTAGCGAACCTTCAAGAGTTTAATCTACATATTTAGGGTATTGAGCCTTTGTTACCAGTGAAAGAGAGTCTATCTTCTAATCATGATTTATTTAGGAACTATATATTGCGAGCGGACATCAAGACGTACTTCACGGCTATACCACCGAAACAAGTCGTCCTATCTACACGTGCAGTCACTCTGTTCAATCCTCCTCCTCAGGGGCATCGTCTACACCACGCAACCACGCGCTGCGAGCATCGACTGCTGCCTTGCGCACATCTCGCTTGGGATCATCCAAAACAGCATGCAGAGAGCGCAACACCTGCGTCTTCTCTGGTAGAAGCGGGGAGATAGACGGTGGTAGGCGAGAGTTAGTTTCACCAGGAGTTTGTTTAGCAGCCAAGAGGTAGAGACACTTCAGAGAATCAGCGCGGAGGCGAGGTGGGTTGACGACGTTGGCATTGATCTCAGTAGTCTTGAGAAGTCTCACAACGAGGCTGTGGACATGTCCGCACTTGTCGATCACAGCGACGCCGTTATCGCGGATGATTACAGCTAGGGTGTCGAGTGTAGCTGCTCGGACAGCGACAGAGTCGGATGTTTGGAGGTCAAGAGATTGGAGGAGGAGAGGGAGTAGAGTGGGAAGTTCAGGCATGACTAGGGCCGTGGAGATGGTAGAGAGGATACCGGCAAGCGCGGTTAGATGAGCCGGCTTGATGTGGTCCAACCCCTTAGAAGATACATCACTACCAGCAACGTTGACTTCGCGAATGCGAGAAGAAATCATCGGGATGACGGTTGTGAAGACACGTTGTTTGCATAAAAGGCGGATTGAGGCACCGTTGGCCGTGGAAAGTACATCATCGTCACCGAGAAGGATAGAGAACCCGCGAGCAGTAGAGGTGCTGGTCTGCTGGTCGGGTGATGAGAGAAGACCCATGAGCGAGGTAAGAACATGGGTGGTGGTCGGGGCAAGCCGGAGGACTAGAGCCTTGGACAGCCAGAAGATGGTGCGGATTGTAGCAGGGCTGTAGCTCTCCTTCTCCGAGGAAACGAGAGAACCAAAGAGTTTCTCTGCAATGTTCAAATCTTCCTTGGACAGGAACTTGTTGACAAGCAGAGCTAGATGACGGAGGAAGGCGAGATGTGTAGCCGGCTCTGAAGTTTCAGATACACAGCGCTGCACTAGATCTGAAAGAAGCTCGGACATGTTGGGAGAGGTATAAGGGATATGGTTGCCACAGTCTTTAGACAGGCCTGCGAGAAGATAGGTGGAAATTATGATGGTCCGCTCCTGATCGACTGTTGCGTCCTGTGAAAACGGAATAGGCACGAAATCATCGGTCGCAGAGAAGAGCTTGTACACATTCTCTGCCACCTGCTCCTGTTTCTGGACAGTGACAGATCGCACCAGCAGGTTGCAGAGCCGACCAAGCGTATCCAGGATGGTGGCATCGTTGAGGATCTGGTTCTTCCCCTTGCCCGACGCTGACTCCGAGGCACTGCGGCAGAGACCGACCACGATCTTGTCGAAGTAGAGATCCACGCTCGGATCAGAATCCATCTTCCTTTGCTGCATGACATAGAGTAGGGTCATGAGAATGGCCCTTGGATACGCAATGGCACCAGGTTGCTCCTTCTGGAGTAGGATGGTCAACTTGCTGAAGAGACGTCGGAATAGAGTCTCAAAGATGTCCCTCTCAACGCTGATCTGAGCCAAGGTATCTAGGGTGGAAAGATAAGTTGAGTTTGTGCCATCATCCTCATCTGGAAGTGTCGCCACAAATGCAGGGAAAGTAATATCCATGATCAGACGAGGCTTGTGCTTGGAAATTTCAGCCAGTGCCGCAATTGCTTCCTTCTTCAGGTCACCCCTGCCAACAGACTCCTCCTGAAGCAGAATCTCATCCAGGTACTGCACGAACAAGCCAATCTCATTATCCTGGAAGAAATCCCGCAGAGTGGAAAGACGAAGGAATCCCTTCAGAGCAGTCACTCGGAAAGAAACCTCCTCCTTTGCAGCACCCATCAATGCCTGACCCAGCACGTCCGAGAATTGATCCTTGAATTCGAGCAATGGATTCTCGAGAGTGATCTCATCTCCTCGGGTTGTCCATTGGCCGAATACTTGAATTGCAGACTCGAAAAGTACTGACAGGGTTTCAAGAAGAGCTCTTTGTTTGGCAATACCATCTGCCTCTTGGTAAATGGTGAAGATAGGGGCAACAACAGTTTGAACGATGAGGGTAAACGCAATCGGTGAAGCAGATGACAAAGATCGGAGAATCTGTTGGGCGGGTTTCGCCTGCTTCTGCTGGGGCTCTTGCAATTGTTCATTGCATTCCTTAGTGATTGGGCGCAAATACTGTGCAAGAGGCAGGTCCTGAGAGACCTCAGTGACCCCTTCCGAGAGGCGTTGCGCGATAGACTGCAGAGCTTGGAGAGAAGACTCGGACAGGAACTCTTCTTGGGCATTGAGAATCTCAAACTTCAGCACCTCCCAGATGGTGATGGAATAGCGAGACACAGTGTCGGGATCGTATGAATGAATGCAGGCGATCAATGTGTTAAGGGCATCTTTCTGGAAGGGTATCAGTTTCTGTGAAGGTTACTGCTACAAATAAGCACATACCTTGACATTGGGTGAGGTAGAGTCAAGCTTATCGAGCAATGCTGGAATAGAGTGAGGGGCGAAGTGTCTAGTAGAAGAGATGCAGTCTTGCAAGCGGCCTTTCAAGTCCTGGGCAGTAATCCCGTAGGGGTCGTTTGGTGGAGGTCGGAAGGTAATCGGGAAGTAATTGTACACCGAATCAAAGAGCAACTACAATGGTCGATCAGTAAAGGATGCAAAAGCTTTAGTGGTATTGAACATACCTCAACGTGGTTTGTGATATCCCATTCCATCATGACGACCTTCAAGATAGAGAACACCATCATCAAATTGCGTGGGTCCTTTTCGCCTGTCATGAGATCCACAATACCGACGAGAGATACCTCGTCCATATCGAGCAATGCTATTGGTTTTTGATCAGATATGTCGAGATAAAGGGATTGAACTACCCAACATACCCGCACGGTGTGATGACATCAACTCGTTAAGCAATTGGTAAACTTGGAATCGCTGCGATTGGGATCGGGATTGTAGGTCTTGGAAATGGGAGAACAGACTATGAATAAGTTAGCCTCAAGTTTATCAAGCCGTACCACGTGCCCCAATTGCATATAACTGCTGAAGCATATCTCGAAATCAACATACGATTGGGCAATCTCAGCAGCCAATCCCTTCGTAAACCGATCCAGCTTCTGCAGCGTATCCAATCCCGCAACCGCACCTCCATCTTCAATCCGATCACAGAAGAACGACGTCAAGACCTGGATCTGTTGTCGCGACAGGAACTTGGGTGGCAGCGCCTTGATGACCGAAGTGAGGAAGGAGACGGCCTTTCCACGCAGTATAGGATCTTCATCATTGATATATTCGCCAAGTTGCTGAACAATTTCTATGAGGGTAGTCTTCTTGCTTTCGACATCTGCATTGGAATCCTCGATTAGAGTCACACGAACGTAGTGAGTGCGGGGGAACGTGGGCCGATGATCGGACTGACCTTGAGCGACGCCTTCAGCGATGCGTTTAGCTTCTTCTTTGTCGTGCTCCACAACTAACATGAATGTTTGCAGGGCCGACATTTTGCCAATTAATCGGCCGGGTCAGGCCAAGCTTGTGAAGAAGTGCAGTGAGCTGGGAGATAAGACATTCACCGGGCTTCCTTTCCCCCTCCTCCCAATTTCTTGTGGTCCTTATCGATAACAGTCAGGTGATACCAGGCCACTCCACATCACGTGCGGATGTTGCGTCATGGCTGGGAGTGGCATGCGAGTCCTTGATAACGACTGCATACACTCAAGATGAAAGACATAGGATCTCTTGCATCGATATTTCTGCTTTTAAACCTTGCTAGCTCTGCTGCTGCACTCTGGGGCTTATCTCTCCCTGTTTCACAACAGCAGCAGCCGCTAGTTCCTGCGCAGGGTCAGCAATCCATCATGGACAAACTCATCCCAGATATTCTCAAACCCCAGACGACGGAACCGAGTGAGGATGTCGTTGGTGGAGCAGATCAACCAGTTGTCTCCGATGTTCTTCCAAAGACCAAAGGCATCAACATCTTTGCCCAGATGACCCGAGATTTCGACTCGATCTCCTCGCGCCTCAATGACGCCTCCCGCAATATCACAGTCCTAGCCCCTCGTAACAGCGCCGTGCAAGATCTACCGCGCAAGCCATGGGAGGATCCCGAAGACTACGCTAAATTTGGAGATTTGAGTGCGTATGAGGGCACTGATGGACAGGAGCGGGCGAGACGCAATCTGCGGCGTTTCGTAGAGGCCCATATCGTTCCTGTCAGCCCGTGGCATGCCGGCGAGGAAGTCGAAAGCCTGGGCGGGGAGAAGCTAAAGTGGACAAAAGAGGGTGATAAGATTATTGTAAGTTCTACTTCAGTAGTCTTCGCTGCAGTGGTACTAACTAATCGGTTACAGCTGCAACCGGGAAACATCGAGGTGAATTCTATTGCCGAGAAGGTCGCAAATGGAGAAGTCTGGGTGTTGAATGGGGTGATCAACTACCGCTCGGATTGACCGTACATAGCTATGAGATTATGAGATGAGATGCTTCATGATGAATGAGATGATAGTTATTTGAACGACTTTGACACATTTTACAAGTAAATTGACATGTAAAGGCTTTGCCTATTAAACGCCACAATGCCTTTTTATCTATTCAGAGCCAGTGAGTTGCCCTCCATTTGGGCGGATATTTACACCGACACTGAGCATGAAATACTCCCACCATATCATCAATTAGTTCACTTCCGGCGCATAGTTCCGCAGAACTCGCTCCTCAACACCATCGAGAATGCAGAAGTGCTCCATGACCTCCAGATTCTCCGCCTCACTCAAGAACAGCTTGTCAGGGTCCTGACCAGGCTGCATGGGGTTCATCATAGCGGCGGGGTTGGCCATACCCATCTGCTGGGCCATCTGGTTGGCAGCTGTGTAGAGTAGGGATATCAGCAATCAGTCCAGATATGAAAATAGCATCCTCATTTCCCGGAAATAGCCTACCGTTGTCACTGCCCAGAATGAATCCAAAAACGGACTGCAGGCCCATCAAGTTAAGGAAGTACCACGACAGACTGGACACCCATTGGACATCCAAATCACGGGTCATAACACCGGACTGCAGCATAGACTTGAAGCGAATAGTCAACGGGAATGGCAATTTCACTGTGTTCCCCTGTCAGCACGTTCTAATGCCCATCGTGATTAGTTGTCCACCTACAGATCACGAATCCCGAGAAGAAAGCGTTGATCCAGCTCATGATCAGCGTCTGCGGAATCATCATCATCATGTTTCCCTTGAGCATGCCCATCATTGCCTCCATGCCTGCTGGATCCGTCATCGGGTTCGCCGGCGGCTGGCCACGGTTGTTGGGGTCCTTCAGGAACGCGCCACTCCGGAAGCCGTTAACGAGGTAGTTCTTGCGGGCCTCGAAGGACTCGCGGTCCAGGACGGAGCATGCATGGTTGCGGAGGTTGACACCGCGGAGGAGAGCATGGCGTTCACGAGACTCGGCCAGGGTGGAGGCGGGCTTCGGGGGAGTGTTCATGAGAACAGTCGCATAGTGGCGGAGGATACCGGTCAGGATCTGATCGGACGATAGATTAGCGATTGTCTCTTCAAATTGTTCGAGTCGTCCACGTTACAAACGTACCATAACCACCGAGATGGGGAAGAGGATCCAATAGCTACATCGTAAGGGTCAGCTCGGGTGTCGTGACAGCATCGAATGGGGGTCTCACAAGAGAGCCGGATCCCGAAGGATAGTCTGCTCAACGCCTTGGACAGCCATGGCGAAAGACCAGGACGAAGAAGGAATTGCTGGTGGGATGAGAGTTGTCCGTGGCTGCGGAGGGGGATGGAAGGCGAACCCTGACGGAGGTACGGCAGCGTGTCATTGGCTCCGCCTTAGCTCCAGCTCTCTCCAAAGGGCCACGCCGCATCTTGGGGTCCTTGCGATAAACACGGCGATCTTGTCTGCGACACAACCCTGTCTCTGCTTTGTTTATTTACCAGACTTGCAGCCATATCTGAAATTTAATTTTCCACTTGACTTCTTTTGATTTGAATTGCATCCATGGCGGACCACAAGGTGCCAGTCTATTCTACCAACGGTCCGTAGCGCCCTCGGTCTACTCCTTCGTTCGAATGCCCTTGTCCTCGCCAGCAGCAATACCCAAGTCTCCGAGTCCAGGCTAACACGATTCAAACATGCAGACCTCAAGTCAACCAGCGATGATGCTCTACTCCCCTATCTAACGAACCTTCCTGCGCCTTACACCTTTGCGGTAGACAACACCAAGAGCAACATCCGCTTCGTGCTAGGATACAGTGCCGTCGCAATTGCAGGTTTCACCTTCTATGCGGACCGCAAACTAGGCTGGGAGGCGACCACGTCACCGTGGATTATTGCCGCTGTGGTATCATACTTCATCCTTAATAGCGCGTTGACGTTTTGGATCTGGGCCGTCGAGGCTGGCGAGGTGTTCTACGGAAAGCGCAAGACTGGAGAGACTGTAAGTGATACAATGTCTCTGCTAGCCAAAAAGCTCAGCATAGGCACTGCTGTTAACACAATCGACTAATCATCTCTACGCAAATAGATCTCCATCTCCTCGTCCGTGCAGAAACACTCCGTCCCATACAAGCTACACGTGGTATACAAGTCGCCCACCGGCAAAGTCCTGCAGGATAAGAAGTTCGAGGCACCCTTTACCAACTGGTTCTCCGCCGACGGCGTCTTCCACCCCGAGCCTTACCGCCGCTGGTTGGCCAGTGAGGTTGATGTGCTGAGATTGGCAGCCAAGGAGAACGAGAAGAAAGCAAAGTAAGAGGAAAGCACCGGAAGTGCTGGCAAGAGACGTTAGAAGGTATTTGGCTGGTTCAGAATCTCATATATCAATCTTTTTGGCTTTTGGTGATGTTACGACGGCCAATTGAAGGGACAAAAAAAGATGCATTTTGTAATGCGAGAGCGGGTTTGCATGTCTTAGTCAAATGTGACAATCTCACGATCTTTGAGAATATCATCCTCTGCTGTAGTCAGGCGTAGGGGTGGGAAGAATACAAGGATGGAACAATAACAACGAGAATGGAGCGATCACATTCCCCAGTGTACTCAAAATGGCTAAAAACAAAAGAGTCTATATAGATAATTTTTCAGACATAACAACCTCGTAACATCCATCAATTCGATTTTGGCTTCTAAGACGACGCCTCCAAAGTGCCCGGTCGCTCGGTGGCGGCGGCAGGCTGGACGTTGTCCACCCGGCGGTTCTGGATGAGTCTCTGTAAAGTTCTGTTAGAAAGCCGAAATTCGTCTCTAGTATTGGGACGAAACGATGGTTACTTACCAGCAGATTCCGCAGCAGGACGACGATAGTGACCTTGCCAATGGAGGGAACAAAGAGGGAGGCCTTCTCCTTGACCTCGGGACCGAAGTTCTAGAGAAGCATGTTAGACAACGCACAGCTGACAAAGTTGGATATTGAATGATTCCTACCTTCTCGCTCGAGAAGTTGATACACACAGCACCCTCGCGGAGCAGGCTAGTATCAAACTTATACTTGTCACCGGGCACACCGGAGATGACAACATCACACAGCGGCGCCACGTCCTTCAGAGTAGCACCCTCCATATCGACAATCTCGTGCCGGCGGTTCTTCAGACCCTCGCCACGAGTGAACTTTTGCACACCGGTAATATCAACACTGTACACGCAGGCGCCGTCATTGGCCAGCAGAGCGGCCAATGGGCGACCAACGACCTCGGAGCGGTTCACCACACAGATGGTGTGGCCGAACAGACGGTTACCGTAGGGGAGAATGGTGTTGTAGATGTTGAGGTACTCGAGGATCTTGATGTTGGCCAGCGGGGTGCAAGGCAGGATGCACTTTTGGTGCTTGGTCTCGGGGTCCAGGAAGCGGATGTTCTGGTACATGTTGAAGATGTAACGGTGGCTGAGACCCTCGACATCCTTGCCGACGTCAACGATCTGCTGCAGGTATTGGTCGTGACGGTTGTTGAAGATGGGGTAGTAGACGATAATGCCGTCAACATCCGAGTCGGCGTTGGCAGAGATGATGGCCTCTTCGATGTCGTCGCGGGAGACTTCACGGAGGGAATACTTGAAGCCACTGTAAATAAGGATACTTTATTAGCTTAGGATCTTTATTGCTTGAGAGTCGCGGTGCATGTGGGGTTGTATATGGTGTTCCTTCGTCGCAATCTGGAGGAGGGGCAAGTATGAATCATACCCAGGCCACCCCCACCAAAAACCACATTCAAGAGCCATTGACGCCGCGAAACAAGGAAAAAATAGAAAACTTACTGTTCCTCACAAGTCTTCTGCGTCCACTGCGCATACATCAGCGCAGCAGGGTCATGGTTTGCCAGGAAGCCGACCAAGTGCGGCGGCTTCTCGAGGGTCTTGAGCCCCTCCTGGACCTCCTGGAGCAGGCCATTGGCGACGTGCTTGGACAGCATCACCTTGCAGGAGGACTGGGAAGATGGTGCTGGGGCCGACATGGCGACTGGTATAATTTGGAAACGCAAGAGCTGGGCGAATGACTCTTCTGGTTCACGCGGGGGACTCGTAGTAATTCTGAGGGAAAAAGATTGTTCGCTTATCGATAAGAGATCGGATGCCGCATTCGGCCTCACTTGCCGAAGTCGCTGCGTGGGACTATGTACTCCACAGATTTCATACTTGAACTAATCTGTGGGATAAAAAAGCACTTTGTATTTGATATCAAGGCTTGAGGAATTGTGATTTCATACATCTATAGTGCCACAGCATTAATCTTATTTGCCACTCGCATAGTGAGAAGGTCGCATCAGAACACCCGCTTCCCATCCTAGACGAAAGTCGACATAGTATAGATGCACGGGGAAGGCTCCATGGAAAAATTATCCCCCAACAATACGGCTATGTCGTTATAAGCTAGCTGAGTTGAGTATTTTCGCACCATCTGCCTTTTCACCGATCCCTACCTACATCGACTATACATCTCATTTGTCTTCCTCAAGATCCTTGTCCTGCCTCCCCATGTCCGCTAAGTAGTTTTAACGCCAGCCTTCTCATCATTCCTTTCAAGCTGAAATTCCATGAGCAACCTCTTCAAAAATATTGTCCTTCGGTCTATATTACGCAGGTAATATACTCACGGTAGTTAACTTGGAGCCAGTACTCAATAATAATCAAGTCAAGCGCTTCCTAGTCGGTATATCGATTATCAAACACGCCGATGAAAGACGAAGCTATCGTTCCCAGTAAACATCATTAACAATAGTACTGCCAACACAGTAATTCAAAAACTGCGCCACCAAAGCCTTACGTGTATTAGGGTGATTAATGTCTTTGGAGGCACTTCATCAATCCTCCCTCTACGACCACCCCCAGTTTCTCTCCCAGGACATCACAGAGGCTCTTTCCTCCAACCCCGGACCCTCCCACGGCCCCCACAGGGCTGTGAGAAGCATACCTAAAATGAAAAGCTTCCCAGACGAGATCATCCTCCACATTATCTCCTTTCTGTCTCCTGAATCCTCGATCTGGGCAGTAGCACAAACTAGCCGACGTTTCTACGCCATTTGCTCCCCATTTCTCTATCGCTATAACGTGGTGCATGGCAATAACACCGCCTTCGCCTGGGCAGCTAAACATGGAAATATGGTCACATTCCAAAAGGCATTAGACGCCGGTGCTCCTTTGCCTGCGAGTTCTGGTCCCGGTCCAACCAAATATGGCCCTGTTATCAATGCGTACGGCAAAACTATCCGAGAACGAGTTTACCAGGATTTCCCAACTCATCCTGCCTCTCTTGCTGCCACGGGTGGCCACGAGGCGATCGTGAGATTCATGTTTGAACGAGGAGTCAATGTTGACGTTAGAGATAGGGAAGGGTTCACGGTGTTGGCCCTCGCTGCCATTCACGGCCATACTTCGCTCGTTCGCTTCTTGCTCAGTCAGGGTGCTCACCAGAGCATCTCCAGTCATGGGAATCACTACCCTATATGGCTGGCAGCGTTCCATGGGCATGAAGGTATTGTCGCTCTCCTCGTCGCAAACGCTAAGGAACGTTGGGCAGATGGCTTTATCGAGCAGATTCAAGATGGGCTTTGGGCTGCCATGATTGGAGGTCATCATTCAATGATCCAGTAGTTGGTCGAGCGCCATGATGCAGCAGTAAACTGGTACTACGGGAGTCCCAACATGCCGACCCTCATCTTCCAAGTAGCTATAGATGGGAGGGCTGATATGGTTCGACTCCTTCTCCAGCTGGGAGCTGACGTCAACAGTGGTTCTTTACCTCCAGCAGCACGCATCCGGAAACCTCTCATGGCGGCAGTAAGACAAGGCCATCACGAGGTTGCCGAGATCCTGCTAAAGCGGACACCTGTTATCCGCACAAGAGCGTTGGCACTATGTATGACACTCGGCAACCATCAAATGGCAGGAATGCTACTCAACAACGACACATTTCCTGAGTTCCACCAGGAGGACATTCCCGAAGATGGAGAAGATGAAGATGCAGAGGATTGGGTACAACCATTACTACTGGCTGTACTCGAAGAGGGCCTGGACATGGTGAAAATGATGCTGGACAAGGGGGCGAATGCTAACTTGAAGTGTTCAAACGTGCCCAGTTGGAGATCTGCTGACCCCTACCGCTACGTGCTCTTCTGGGCCGTAGAGCTTGGGCATGAGAGCTGGCGGGACTTCCATAGAAAGGACAGCACGGAATATCTAGGAAATCCCGCTATGGTGAAGCTTCTCCTTGAGAAAGGTGCAGATCCTAATCAGGTCGACATCTACGGTCAACCCCCGCTTAGTTATGCTATCAGAGCAGAAGACGAGATCCTCGTGCAGTGTCTGTTGGATCATGGCGCAAAGTTCGATCTGGCAGTTGATTAGAAGCTCATATCCCTGTGCGAGATGAAAGGGTTTATTCGATCCATGTTAGAAGAGGGCGAGGCAAACCTAACCAGTAGTATGATCCATACGGTCTTCATATCAAGTCCATAGTCCCGTGAGCAAAGGGATAAGTGTAAGTCAAAGTGTAGGCAAAGCAGTTGGCAGTGCTTCTTGGCCTGGAGAAAAAGTTAGCTTACAATTTTATATGCGAACTGACCATGGTATGAGGCTTGTGAGCTTCTCAATATTCAAGAATGTAAGCTACAAGGCAGGGAACGAGGAGACAACCCAAGGGAAACACTCAGACCATAGGATTAATGGTTCGTAACGTCTACTTATCTCAGGATCAATCACGAAGTGCTGTCATTGAGAATACGGAAACAACTGCAATCTACAAGGGAAACCCAATAGAACAAAAGAAATAAATTGCGGATCCAACATGGAGAGACACATGGAGACCAGACGGAAGAGAAGACTAGTCTGGTCTACCTCCCATCTCGCGCCCCCCGCGCGGAAAAAATCTAAACGTACAGGATATAATCACATTTTGGCAGCCCACCCAATTCAGCACGTTGTCCAGTCCAACTAATCTTTTCCAGTAGGCACCGAGAAGCAAAGAGGGGAGGTTAAAAAAAAGATGAAATATAATCTCCTTTTCCCGGACCACAGTCGACGACGCAGATTTTAATTACATCGTTTCTACGATCCAGTACTCTGTGAAATCACATACATTTTTTGTTTTCTCTCTCGCTCAAGGGCATTGTGGAAGGAGAAGCCGAAAAAGGAACAGAACGAAACAAATGGGGTCAAAATTGTACAAGCTATCTTGTCTATACACATAGAGTCAGGGAAACAACAAGGAATGATCAACCTCATTTTTTGATGAGGAAATCATTCAAGGAGTTTTCACTGCGCATCTATGCGTTGAAAGAGCTGTTGAAGGCGCTGATGACCTCCTTGAGCTTGGCCTCAAGCTCCTTGGAGAGCTGGCCCTCCTTCTCGATGGTCTGCTGGATCTCGGGGTGGCTGCTCTTCAGGTGAGCGAGGAGGTCAGACTCCCACTGGAGGATCTTGGCGACGGGGATGGAGTCGAGGAGACCGTTGACACCGGCGAAGATCAGGGGGACCATGTCGGAGACGGCCATGGGGGAGTACTGCTTCTGCTTGAGGAGCTCGGTGAGACGCTCACCACGAGCAAGGGTCTGCTTGGTGGAGGCATCAAGATCGGAACCGAACTGGGCGAAGGCAGCGACCTCACGGTACTGAGCAAGGAAGAGCTTCAGGGAACCGGCGACCTGCTTCATGGCCTTGACCTGGGCAGCGGAACCGACACGGGAGACGGACAGACCGACGTTAATGGCGGGACGGATACCCTTGTAGAACAGCTCAGACTCCAAGAAGATCTGACCGTCGGTAATGGAAATGACGTTGGTGGGAATGTAGGCAGACACGTCACCACCCTGGGTCTCAATGATGGGCAGGGCAGTCAGGGAACCACCGCCGTGGGTCTTGTTGTTCATCTTGGCGGCACGCTCCAGGAGACGGGAGTGCAGGTAGAAAACGTCACCGGGGTAAGCCTCACGACCGGGGGGACGACGGAGGAGCAGAGACATCTGACGGTAGGCAACGGCCTGCTTGGACAGATCGTCGTAGATGATGACGGAGTGACGGCCGTTGTCACGGAACCACTCACCCATGGCGCAGCCAGTGAAGGGAGCGAGGTACTGCAGGGGAGCGGCCTCGGAGGCGGTGGCAGCAACGACGATGGAGTACTTCATGGCATCCTGCTCCTCAAGGGTCTTGACGAGCTGAGCGACGGTGGAACGCTTCTGACCGACGGCAACGTAGATACAGTACAGCTTCTGGGACTCGTCGCCAGTGGTGTTCCAACGCTTCTGGTTGAGCATGGTGTCGAGAGCGACGGCAGTCTTACCGGTCTGACGGTCACCAATGATCAACTCACGCTGACCACGGCCGATAGGCACCATGGAGTCGACACACTTCATACCAGTCTGCACGGGCTGGTTGACGGACTGACGGGGCAGGATACCGGGGGCCTTGAGCTGAGCACGGCGCTTCTCCTTGGCGTTGAGGGGACCCTTGCCGTCAATGGGGTTACCGAGAGCGTCGACGACACGGCCGAGCAGCTCAGGGCCGACGGGGACATCAACCTGGGGTAGAGTATTAGCATGATTGTTGCGAGTTTTGATGAATAGGAGACCAATATCAAACTGGACCCTGTCCCAAGGGGGGAACAACAAGAGGAGAAACTTACAATCTCACCGGTACGCTTGACGGTCTCACCCTCCTTGACGAGACGGTCGGAACCGAAGAGCACAACACCGACCTGGCCGGCCTCGAGGTTCATGCACATACCCTTAACACCGGAGGCGAACCTAGACATCCTGTTAGCTTTCCCGAATGCCAAGACTTTTTCGGGTAGAGAGGAGATATATCACGTACTCGACCAGCTCCTCAGCCTGGACGTTGGTCATGCCGTGGACACGGGCAATACCGTCACTGTGAAGCTCAATTAGTTTCTAATTCGTTGCATTGTCGAATGGATGGTATCGTGGGCGCGTTTGTCGAGATTGGATCGGGTAACCGAATTTTTCTCTTCCCGGGCAACCCTAGCGATTTCGGTTTTTTTGACGTACCCAACGGACAGAACGCGACCGGTCTCAGCGAGACCAGCCTCCTCCTGAACACCACGGATGCGCTGCTCCAGGATGGAGGAGACCTCGGTGGGCTGGGCCTTGGCCTCGGCGGCGTAGGAACGGACCTGCTTGGAGGCACCGGCGAGGGGGCCGGGAACAGCCGCGCGGACCTGGAACGGGAGCGAGAAAAACTTGTCAACGAGGTGCTCCTGAAGCCAACGTGCGATGAGGCCATCCTCAATGGGTGTGCGTAGGGGAGGGATAGGATCCGAGGACCAATCGAGCTCGAATTCGAGATGGAAAAGGTCGGGGATGATAGGGCGATGGCGATGGACGAAGACTTGAGGATGGCTAGAATGGGATTGAACTCACCGAAGCGACACGGCCAACGGCCGCGACGGAGCGGCTGGACTGCCGCAGAGCGTTCCTGAACATTGTGAAAGGGGGGTGGGTTCAGAGGATGGGGGAGGATGGAATTCTCTGAAGGAGAGATGTAATTGGGGAGAGGAGTTCGGGAGAGGAGAGAGAAGGTTGTGGACGGGTGGGAAGGGAGAGCTTTGTCGGTCGGGGGGAGGCCAGGATTCTCAGGACTCGCGCTAAACTGTTTGGGGCAGGGGACGCTCCGATGTGGCCCTAGTGCGGACCCTCACCACCGTGTCTTCTTTTCGGTCCTGCTCAGAGTGATAACCGGCCATCTTACTGTCTAGAACGAATAAATTTGATCTTGTATATTTACAACCTCTATTTTGACTCTAAATTCACCCCCTTTGGCCCCATCGGTGCTGGGTAGGGGGATTGTTCGTGGGAGGTGGAAGCGGCCCAGCCCTTTCCGTTTTTTTCTCTTCGTCGGATCGGCGGGATCTCAAGTCAAGTGATTTGCTTAGCTAATGCCTTTCGTCACGGCAACCATGGTGTTATCGAGAGTCGTATAGATCTGGAGAATTTTATACTTCTGTTTAGTTTTTGAAGCCTACCGATGCTAGTTTGACCCTGCTTCCATCGTATTCATTATCTTGATACAATTATTCCTCCAAAGAACCATCACCTGTTACCCCAGGGGGTCTTACTGTCGGGTCCTGCCCCAGCAACGACCAGTTCCGAGACCGGTCAGACAGATGCGCTCTGGGACAACCCGACGAGGGTCAATGCAACCCCCGCATAAGCTCACTTCTACCATCAATCCCAGTCCTTGAAAAGAACAAAGAACACAAACTCAGCGCTTGCTTCAATAATCTTCCATAAACCAAATTTGCTTCCAAGCAAAAGAACAACCCGAAAAAGCACCAACTACCGCACGGCCATCCAAATCCAACTGAGCTATATCCGCCGACCAGCGAGTTCCTCAGCCGTTCTTCACTGCGTCGCCTTATCCTTCTGCTCCTTGCGGAACTTGGCGATTTCAGTCTCCACGTTCTTGTCCATCCGCGCCTTCAACTCGGGCCGATAGCCAAAGAAGAAGAGAATCTCCATCCAGACAAACAGCGGCGCAAGCAGCAGGGCCTGGACGAGGTTATCCAGCAGCGCCGGAGCACGACCCTCGAACTTGCCGTGGCCGACAAATTGTGCCAGCCAGGACACAACGTGGATGCCGCCAGCCCAGTAGTTCACATCCATTCCGTAGGTTCCGAGCAGGTAGTTACCGCAAGCTGCGAAGCCAATCACCAACGGGGCGAGCAGGCCGCCCGCGACCGGTTCGAGGAGGACATAGAAAAAGGCGTAGATGAAGGCTCCGATGGTACCGGCATTGGCAGGGAGGTAGTTGGAGGAGAGAATATCCGGGGTAGGGAGGAGAGTAGGGCTGTTACATGCCTGGAGAGACGAGTCAATTGTCAGCTTAGCTTGTCTTGCGAAGATGTGTCAGGATCGGGGGCAAAAAAAAAATCTCACCAGCACAACGCCCGTAAAGAGCAAGATAGGCACACAAGTAATGTGAATAGCAACGTTCACCTAGATATTCTCATCAGCTAAAAGCTGGGCACCGTTGCACAGAGAGGGGCCACTATACGGGGTTATTGTGATAAGCTCCATACTGCGGAAAGTCAGCCACGGTCCCATGGTATAATTCAACACGGCCGGGTGAGGCCGGGAACTCACAAAGAGCAGCTGTTTCTCGAGGTTCAGCGTCATGTTTGAAGTGGCCGGGTGGGAGAGGTCGAAGTCGATGGTCGGCGGATGCTGGAGGGACAATGTTGGGGAAGAGCGTCGCTGGGCTACATCATCAATTATTCGGACGCGCCAAGTGGTGCAATCGGATCGTGCACAGCCGTCATGTGCTTGGGGCCGAGGGACGGATGGATTGTGTTTCCATACGGTATGGAGTGGTATATATAGCGTGTTTTATTGTAATGATACGTAATGCGTGACAAACCGTTGCACATCGACAGGACCACTTTTTAATGTAGTCAACCCTCTCATGAGAGACAACAATATTCGGAGAAATAAGAGCTCCTAATAACCTATGGCATATGAATATATTCAAAAAGATAATACAAATGTCCTGAACTGCACAGTAGTAGATCCCCCGGTCCAGCTTCGATTGCAGCTCAGACGGCTCCAGAAAACACTCATCATTATGACTATATCCATCAACCCGAACTCGAAGCATGTACATACCAAGTCCGTGTTCAATCCCCAAGAAAATAAACTCTCAAAAGACCAGCAGAAAGACGTTAGAACCTGTCCCCAGGGTATGAATGTCCTCCCTAGGTCGCTCGTTTCGTTACTTGAACCTCGACTCCTTCGAGGAGTACCAGTGCACTACATCATATTAGTTATGTCCACACCTAATGATGCCCAAAAATTGACAGGCTATGTCAGCTTACCCGCAATTTTCAACAACCTTCATTCCCTCTACGGGCTTGAAATCGTATCGCATGAGAAGAGTTGGAATGAGCTACATGATATGAATTCAGCGCGGGAGAACATGAATATTAGAATGCATATCACTGTCTTACCTTGGTCATCTCAAGCCAGCTAATGTCTAGTCGTATATTAGTCTTCCAAGTCTAAATGACTCTGCATGCATAAGACTTACTCTTTCCCAGACAAGTTCGAGATCCACCTCCGAAGTTGAAGAAGAATCGTTCTGGCAGCACACATCAATATCCCAATGAACAGTCAAAGATGTATCGATCTGGAAAAGCTCACTGTAATAACTCTGACGCTCCTGATCCAACCATCTCTCTGGACGAAACTCTTCGGCATCAGGGCCCCATATCTCAGGCAGAGTATGAATAACCCATGGAATAGTTCCAACGACCGTCTAAGAAGATCAGATATTGCAAAACAACTTGAGCTTTGGGGGGTCACTTACTCCCCCTGGAATAAAATCCTTGCCAATACTCATTCCCCCAGCCGGCACATCTCGATCCATGATCATCCCAAAAGGCGGGTGAAGACGCATCGACTCGTACATCACGGCCTGGAGGTACTCACAAGACTCTGCTTCTTCAAAAGTGATCGGATCACTCAGTTTCCCCTCTGCGTTTTTCTGCTTAAACTCATCCATCAGACGGTTGTAGGCATCCGGGTTCTTCAAAAGCAGTAGAAACGCCGCACAGAGCGATGTTGCGGTTGTATCGGATCCGCCAAAGACGTTCGATGTCATCATGAATGCAATGTCATGGTCAGTCAATTGAGGCTTTGCCTTTTGAGTTGTAAACAGCTGGCCCAGGATATCCTTGCTGTCGCCGCCACGTTCCTTGCGGGCACTAATCTCCCGTGCTGCAAGTTGGAAGAAATGACCATTGCGATCCGCCCCTGCAAGCCAGTTTCCAATGATCGGACTTAGTTTCTGGTGTAGTCGGAAGATCCAACCCGCATGCATCAGCCATGCAAGAGACGACATGGAGTTTTGGATGCGCAGGAACAGGCCATGATCGTTTGCGGCTTCGATATACCCGAATGGTTTTGAGAAGCTGATAGCACCGATAATATCTGGACTATGTCAGATCTGATTTGAGACGCATTAAATCGCATCTACATACCAAAGGCATAAAGCTGCAGCCACAGTCCCAGATTAATGGTCTGGCCAGTAATTTTGTCGAGCTGATCAACCATTTGTGAGATCACGAGATCAACTTTAGGTTCGAGATAAACCATGGAGTCCATGGAATAAGCTCGAGCCACGAGCTTCCGCTGTTCAGAGTGGATCTTCTCATTGCGCTGGCCAACGAGGTCAAATGAGCGAGTGCCTTGCACAACGTTATATGCTGCGGCTTTGTGGAACTTATTCCCAGCTTCTATTATGTAGTGGTCAGCAAGCTCGGAAGCTGAACAAAGTGGCAGAAGATGTTTAACTGACTGTAGATCTCCCGGAAGGCTTCTGGGTCTGCGATGCTCCTGTATACCAATTTAGAATCAAGTATGCCCCGCTTAGCCATGAATAGGGAAGGGTAAAGTACAGTTCATTTGGGGCAACTCTGACAATGCTGCCGTATTTCTTGTGCAACGCAATAAAGTCCCGGTGGGCATGTCCTCGAAGCGAAAGGGAAGCACGATATAGCTTGGTTAGTTTAGCCCAGAAAGGCCCAGGATATTTCGCCAACGGCGAGAAAAAGCACTGATAGATAACGTAGCCCAGAACAGCACAGACAGAGAGAATCTCAGCCGCATACAGGCTCATGAGAAAAGGAGACGTTGTACCAAGCATCGTGGCTGCGTCGACTGCCGACACACTGCAAACCAGCAGCAGCGAGTTGTGGAATCCGCAAAATAAACCTTGGACTCGAACAAACCGGATAACTCGGCCTATATGACTCCTAAATCAAGGGATGAAAGAGAAAGCGGGCTACCCAGCTAATTCCGGTGGTGTCCAGCCAGTATACAAGTTTCGAGGAGGGGGAAAGAGTGCTCTCGGACCCTCGGGTTCTCTGTGCTATTTACATTGGAGCTGCATGATGATATCGTGACCCCACCTAGGGTCACAGAGTAATGAATCATTCACTGCTGTACACAACTCGACGTTGTGCATAAATGAAAGCCAAACACAAGCTTTGACAGTTAGCGACTGCGGCTTATCGCGGACTTTGTGTCCTACTGCATCTGTAAGAGTTTCTTTGGAGCCTAACCTCTGCGAAGATACAGGATGTGGGATCGCGATCTTTTAGCCCCAGACACGTGGCTCGAGATATGCATGGGAGACCATCATGCAGGCTTATATCCACATCCCCGGCAATTCGCTTTTGCAGGAGACTCTGCCGAAATGATAGAATTTTTGCTTAGTAGCCCCTGCTTGGTAGAGGTGACTGTAAACCATTTGGACACGCGATTGCGATGAGTCCGAAGAATGGAGGGGCATCTCGGGTAGATCGGCCATTTGGCCGGTCACAGCGGGGTCCAGAATGGTATCGAAACACGGCTTGAGATTAAGTTTGACTTTATGATCTGACTGATAAACCTCCGTCTACCCAGAAGCTTAGTTCAGGATGGCAAAAGGGAAAGTTCCCTATGCCATCTAAAGTCCCCCTGTCGGGTAATTCCTTGGCCAGCACTCTTCTTTGTGGACGGCAAATACAGCAGGGGGCTTAGACAAGAACAACACCATGGTGCTTAGCACATCCTAGCTGATTGTTACGTGCCGGGGATAGCCCAAAAGAACGCCAGTTTTCCGGAGGTATGACCTATTGGACATTGGCTACGTAGGGACTACCGCGGGACCTAACAGATCAGCGCTCCGATGGCCTGCTAAACGGCGGCATAACCTATCAAATGGTCATCACGAGACACCTGCTCGTTTGACAGCTCCACTGAACACGTCAGTTTGAATGATTGAAACCTGGAGTTTGCTGGCACCTTCTGTCAGATAGAAATTAAGCCGTTGTGGCCCTGCGGGTGGTCTCCTAGGTTGCACACGATCACTCGTCCGGAAAAGAGACAGTATAGGGGGTTGCTATTTCGCTTTGTAACGGAGAAAAACACTATTCAATGACTAATTCTTGGTACCATCTCAAACTTGACCTTTCGAATAATGTAATTGAGCGTTGGCAAAATTAATCTGCGTCTACATGAGAAACGGGGACTTTCAGAGAAGATATATCTTTGAAGGAGGATCTTACTACAATTCCTATGGACTTCCTAACGGGCTAATTTTACTAGAAGCAGGTCAATACATGAAACCAGGTCAAAATAAGATTGCCTATCAAAATCCATTCAAAACTCGCACTTTCTTTATTCAATGTCACCTCCCATACCTTCAGTCTATCAATGTCGGGACATCCATCACGTGACCATGTTTCTCCATCAACTTGGGACCGCTGGAGGGACCAGCCGACAATCTCAGGCAAGCTCCGACGTCGCGCTGGTAGCATTTGTGTATCTGCCCTTTTCACCCAGGCAGAGATCGCGTCTGCTTACTAGAATCTTCGGCGGTCATTCGACGCGATAATCCCCCCAGTTTCGCCTCGCCCGCAGGTCATGAGCTAGCAGCTACCGACATCGACCTCTGACCTCCTCTCCGCAACCCATTGCTTCTCTGGGAAAGCAACTACCTCCCTTGGACCCTGACCACCGAAGCGATCACACGGAGGGCCATACTTGAAGGACTACGGGGTTCTTTCAGCACCCATCCTCCCTTCTTTCGCGCCGGCACCGCCAAGCGCTCCGTCCACTGTCCCAGTGAATTGAACGCGAACCATCGGCAACCGCAAAGATGTTTTTCCTCAAGGAAGAGACCAAGGTCATCACCATGCATCCGTCCTACTTTGGACCGAACATGCGCGAGTTCCTGATCGCCCGGCTGAACGAGGAGGAAGAGGGCCGATGCACGGGTGACCACTTTGTGATCTGCGTGATGGACATGGTGGACATTGGCGAGGGCCGAGTTGTCCCGTCGAGTGGGAGTGCGGAGTACACGATCAAGTATCGTGCGATTATCTGGAAGCCATTCCGTGGCGAGACGGTATGCACCCAGGAGCAAGGAGTAGGTGTTCGTTTCTTGGGGAGTTGCTAACATTTTGGCTCTTATAGGTTGATGCGATCGTCACCTCCGTCAAGCCTACTGGCATCTTCACATTGGCCGGTCCTCTATCGGTCTTCATTGCGCGGAAAGTATGGGCTCACTCGGATTTCTCTCTTCGAAGAGCGCTGCTAACGTAGGAACCAGAACATTCCGTCCGATATCAAGTGGGAGCCGAATACCGTGCCACCACAATACACCGACCATGCCGACCAGGTCATTGAGAAAGGAACGAGTCTGCGCCTGAAGATCCTCGGTGTCAAGCCCGATGTGGCGGCGATCAACGCCATTGGCACGATCAAGGAGGATTACCTTGGGTGAGTATCTCCGCATTTCCGCAATGTCTACCATTGGAGATCTAACCATTGTGCTTTACCTAGACCCCTGTAACGAGAAACGAGCCGCAACATACCCCATCTCTCCCCTTTTCATCTTATTACGATTTTGTACTCGATGCAGTCTATCTCTGTCAATGGCACAGCGAATGTTCAAGCGGTTCTTCTGACGAAGAAGAAATTCACCAAGAAAAAGAAGTTTATCGAAAGGACCCTCCAGGGCGTCTACAAGGATAACGAGGCAACGAATGTGTTCTAAGCGCGCGCAATCACATTTTACCCGACAAGCGCGAGCAGTGCATGAAAGGAGGAAGCTGCACATAGATAGCAGTCAATTTCTAGGCTGATGCTTGCAATCTCCTGTCCACAATCCCATCATTTCCACCAATTCCCCCAGGACTACAGTTGGGGGCCAGGACCGTGCTGGTCTGGCCCCGAGCAAATGGGGGTTCCATTGTGTTGTGCCTAGACTCGCTTGAGCTCTGTACCATATACCATGCATTTTGAAACTGGGATTGATAGCTATGCACGGAGTATACAGCCTGGCCAGCCTCAGCAGTCCCAAGTCTGTAGTCGTATATGCAGAACATACTGTAGTGCAGTAGTACTACTGTAAGTAGTCCAATCTCTGCATAGCTATGAACTCTAATCAGAAGACATTCACAAGTTGCCCGAGAGACCGAGCCAAGGGGGCTTAACCGTGGCTCAACCGGCGAACAAACTGGGGCTCTCCCGTCCACTGGTGAAACACTGGCGTGTTTTTTTTCTCGAGTTGGTGCGCGTTGTTTGATTTGGACCGTTATTTCCCTCAGAAGCACATGTACCCTGTACCCCATCTATCCTAGCCAGATCTATACCCACTCCTTGTACCCAGTACCTCGAAAAGTGGTCCTCGTCGCGTCCCTGCAGGACCCAAGCCTGGCGCATTTGGCACGTTCTTTCCAGGACTTCCAGGACACGGGCTTAAGACAGTTCGTCCCTAGAATAATTGTATCCGGATCTTCTCCAGTAGTCTTTTGAAGTGGCATCCAGTCCCACCTGTTTCTCCCTTCTCCTTCCCCCCCGGCAGCTTCCCCTCGGCCTGGCTCATTTCCCACCCCTGATATCCTGATATCCTCCCGTTCTCTTCCCCCGTTATCCCATCGTCACTCCCCAAACTCCCCTTTCCTTGCAGATTGTCTTGAATATTCCCACTGGGTCAATCATGACTTACCTCAAGGACAGCTATCAGCGGTTCCTGGCGAACCCCAGGAACGCGCCGTTGGCCGCCAATGCCTCGCTGATCTATGTCCCCACTACCACCAAATTCGAGGGCGCCGACGCGATCGCTACCCATACGTCACGACAAGCTGGAATTGTCAGGAAGAAGTCCGATCAGGTCATCAATGCGATCGAGAGCTCTGACGCGTTGTGCTTGGATATGGAGACCACCCTGGAGTTCCTCGAGGGTGGTGGCGCGTATCTCCCCTCGCTCGATGATAATTTCCTGGCCGACCGCGTCGTGACTTTCCCCACGGTAAACATACACACCCCCCGATCTCGTTGCATGTTGCACGGCGCATAACTGTTCCCCCGGTGTACTAATGCACGTTCTTTTGTTTCCCCGCAGGTCCACATCGTCCACTTCAATGCCGAACAACAAATCCAACAAGTCCGTATCTACTGGGACCAGGGCTCGCTGCTGAAGGAGGTGGAGGTGATTGGCGCGCGTGGCCGTTCCTGGCCAATTCGCCCAGCGCAAGAGCAGGTCCGTCTGTTGAAGTCTGCGATTGAAGGAAAATCCGCTGCTCCTGTCCTCGCCTCGTCCTCCGAGGCCAACAAGGACCTCCCCGCACGACCTGCATCCCCCGGCAAGCGACACATCAAGGACCCTTACGCGGCAGACTCGCTGTTCGATCTCCTTTCCCCTCAGAAGGGCGACGACGCGACCGACCAGGATGATGCTCCCCGACCTTCCTCCCCCGGCAAGAGACACACTCGCGACCCCTACGCTGCTGCATCCTTGACTGAGCTGTTGTCGCCCAGCAAGGAAGAGTCCGCTCCTCCCCGCCCATATGCCCCTTCAGCTGCCCAGCCTGAACCCCGCAAGTACGGCGAGCTGTTCATTGGAGACGATGATGAGATGCCAAGCACACCCTCCAAGGCCGAGAAAGTGGTTGCGCCCAAGGCAGGCTCTAAATTCCAGGGCAACCGCATCTTCGAAGACAACGACGACGCCACAGACGACCGGGCCCCGTACAAGACCAACCCTCTGAAGTTCAACCACTTTGAGATTGGTGCCGACAATGCCGATCTGGAGATCAAGGACCAGCCCCAGCGCAAGTCGCGCAACCAGTCGCAATGGGACTTTGGCGATTTCACAACCCCGAAGAAGCAGGCTCACCCTGAGAACACCGAGGAGGCCCGTGGTTTCGGATATAGCGATGACAACGCCGAGGCCGAGTCACCCCCAGCCCGTCCAGCGGTGCACAAGCCTCGTCGTGATGCGGACGTGCACTTTGAGATGACGGACGACAACGACGAGGAGGATGATGGCCGTATTATCAGCTCCTTCGGGAACCGAGGCAAGGGTCTGTACGAGGACCGACTCTTCAACGAGGATGGTACTCCCAAAGCCACCGAGGAAGAGAAGAGGAAGCCCGAGCCCCTCGGCGTGACGGGCAACAATGCCAGTCGCAGCAAGGACTTCGACCCTCACTGGGAGATGACCGATGTCTCGCCCGCACCTAATCGCAACACCCCGAAGCCTATCGCTATGGACCGTGCTAAGGCCGTTCAGATGATGGAGTCTTCGTGGGATAACTATGATCAGTCACCTGAGCCTAGTCGCACTGCTACCTCCCTGCATAACCCAGCTCGCCACAACCAGCCTTCTTGGACTATGGGCGATGACGAGTAAAAGCTGCACCGAAATATCCACGGAGTATCTCTTGTTGAGATGCAAAGAAACACTCGGAGCTGCTCTCCTGCTCTACTAAAACAATACCTTTTACCTTTCTGCCATGGCTACCCCATCAATGGCCACACGAGACTAATGTTCCCACCTCCCCTAAACCACCCCGATCACGAGCGACGTGTACCGATACCCACAACATGAAATAACCTGCGAAGGACAGACAGGCCGAAGGACGGACGATACCAAGTTGGGAGCTGTGTGGATGGATATGAAGAGTGTCTGGCCTTGATTATTTTTCACTATTTTCTACCCTGGGGGGTTATTGGTTATTATCACCATTTGTACCACTGTGTGCTTTTTACCTTGCCATTCTTGTGACTTTTTTTTAACTTCTTTTCGTGTGTTGCGCTGGATGTGTGACTCTTTATTTTTTTTCTTACGCTTTTGAGTGTCTGTTGTGCTTTTGGATTGCGTTGTACAAGATTTATTATTCCCAGTGTTAGTGTTAGGATTGTTATTTGATTGACTTGACTTGATATTGTGCTGTTCATTTGATGCTACGTAGAACCTGACAATCCGGCAATATATGCTCGACTTGAAGCTTTCGGCTGCGGTCTTTCTTAAAACTCGTCGTCTGCCGTATTGCACTAGCCGGAATCATCAGATTCCACATCTTCAAAGCCAACACTGTCGCCTTCGTCGTCGTGATCCCCAGAGTCGGAATCCCCAATCTCCGTATCTCCAAAGTCAACACTGTCACCTTCGTCATCGTAATTATGTACGCTTGAATCCTCATAGTAGGAGTCATCATAGTGGGAATCCTCCAAGTCGGAATCACCAAGGTAAATAGGTAGGAACAACTCCTGCCGAATGGCAGATTTCTTGTAGAGGATGTTGACCTTCCACCCATAAGACTCAATCTTCATTTTGAACTCATCCCTCGCCAAACAATCGCAGTCGGTGAACATATTAAACTCGACCTCCATCTCGGAGGAAATCGCCCTAAGACAAGCAGCAACCAAATCCAACACCTTTGAATGGATACGGCCCGAGCAAATAAAGTAGTGCGCATGCACGTACTCTCCAGAGAAAATAACCGACTCGCAACCCAGTCTGAGCTTTTTCAGATTGGGGCAGTACACTTGAAGCTTGTCGAAGGCACGAGAGGTGAGACTGTCAATTTCAATCCTGTCACCTTCCTGGAAAACGGACGGGAAGGCGATTTGAATGTCCTTGATGCATCTCCCGTTACCGGGGCCAATTTGTTCCAAGAAGGCGACAAGCTTATTGTCTGGGCTGTTGGGGTAATCAAATGGCATTCCGCCACCGTAAACGACGCTGTGCCCTACATGGACTTGTTGGCCCGGGCTAAGGGTGTCGGCCATTTTTAGAACCGCGCCATCATGAAAGCTGGTGAACTTGAACCGGGTCTGCCCGTAAAGCAGGGAACGTGTTTCCTGGTGGATTTGGCGATTTATGAGAAGGAGATTGGCGGGGATGAAGTCGGAGTCTGTGTTCGTCGAAGCCCGCTTTGAGGTCTTCATGAAGTCGTAGACGAGATTGCGAATCTCGCCAGGAAGGTCGAGCAAGGACTTGCCCGGTGGCGCGGTGGAGGATTCGACTGGTGGCATGGCTCGGTTAAGTAAAGGTGAAAGCTTGAGCTCGGTATCGCTGGTGTCTTCGAGAAGAGGCGCGGAAGGGAGACGGTGATGGAGGCTGGAAAACAGCAAGAGATGGAGAAGGGGAGGAAGTTCGTTGGTCTGTCTCGGAGAAGAAGGAGATAAATGGGAAGAGGCGTTTGTCCTTTGTTGTTTGGAAAGAAACGAGAATACAAACGAATTCAAGAGGGTTGCAGCGGGAGTTCGCGATCTTGAAGCTAATTGAAATCAATCTGATATTGCGATGGCCGGCACTACTAATGCTGGGGTTATCCTTGGATGTCGTTTTGATTGATGCCATGTTTACCGGATATCGTTCCTATCAATATTAGAACATTCATAGCCTTGGGTAACCTATCTATGACTGTATCCGTAAACTACACTATATCATGTATGGAATTTACGAGGCATAAATATGGTTTGAGCAGCGAGATTGCATTGACACTATGGCAAATTTAATAGGCATTCATACAAAAGGTGCGAGAATCAAAACAGAATTGACAAGTTTTGGGCTCTTTTCGAGGAATCGCTTCCTTTGTAGACACCATCCATCACATCATCTCCTACATATTCATTTCCATAGCCTCACACTCAGAACCTCACTCATGGTCATCAACAACATCATCAACAACATCATCAACAACATCATCAACAACATCATCAACAACATCATCAACAACATCATCAACAACATCATCAACAACATCATCAACAACATCATCAACAACATCATCAACAACATCATCAACAACATCATCAACAACATCATCAACAACATCATCAACAACATCATCAACAACATCATCAACAACATCATCAACAACATCATCAACAACATCATCAACAACATCATCAACAACATCATCAACAACATCATCAACAACAACATCATCAACATCATCAACAACATCACCAACAACATCATCAACATCATCAACATCATCAACATCATCAACAACATCACCAACAACTATCCTCAACACTATCATCAACATCCTCAGTCTCATTCTCATAACCGCTAACATCACCCTTATCGTCAACCTTAACGTCGTCACAACACTCGTCCTCCACATCTGAGATGAACACTCATCACAGTCTGTCAAACGGGTCATCCAACCATACTTGGCTGGGAAATTGCCCAATTCTTGGGCCTCACACTTTGTGCAGACCTCCATGATGACGTCGAGTTGAGCAAAAGTACGTTTGAGGCGTATGTCAAGGAGGTCTCCAACTGCGTGAATGATCATGTCACGGACGATTTTCACGAGCTTGCGGACGATATCGCCTCCATCTTCCATGGCAGGCATTGTGAGGGGCATTCTGTAGCTTTCAAAGCACAGGACGAGGGTTTTGGTGTGGGGGCAATTTGTTCTGGATCTTGTCTAGGACAAGAGAGCTTAACGGGTCCATTTCAATAGCTTGTTCCTGGGGGCTCATGCCAGGGAACCGAACGCGTAGACTCTGAATCAGACTGCTGTTGATGGATCCGATTTGATCGAGAAAGGAGATGGCTGTCTGCCCCCCATCTCCACCGAGATTAAAAGTGTTGTTTCGGTAGATTATGGAACGTGCCTCCAGGGAGATAGCCTTACTGACCCGGACGAGCCCGAGAGCCAGGTGGGGGTGTTTCTGCCCAGGCCGGACCGGGTCCTCGCTCACTACGGCGTAGCTGTAGATCATATTTCTGAGCTCTCCTGGAAGATCCAGGGAAGATCTTCGAGATCCCATTATGCACACGTCTACGGCTTCGTGTACTGCTAAAGACGAAAGCGTGAGAACGAGGTCGATATTTTTAAAGATATTGGTGATGCTTACCAATAAGAACGATAGCTGAAGATGAACGATGGTTGAAGAGGACAGATGGTTGAGGGGGAAAGATGGTTGGAGAGATAAGAGGAAGAGGTATTTATAGGGGAGGATATGGCTGACGAAGCAGGCGTTGGATTATTGGAAAGGAAGATACCGGTATAAATTAAAAAAAAGAAGGAAAGGTTGCCCTAACGAGGGAGGAGATTGAATAGCAAGAAATTAAAAGCGTGCCCCAGAAGTGCCTAAGAACATGAGGACAGTAAAGCTGAGGAGTAATATAAACCTTCTATATTAGGGCTCCATCCACCCCTGTACCGGGTTACGTGAACTACTTTAGCCCAGGTATCGGGGCATTTTGATACGAATGCTTTCGATATAGTTGGAATTTTGGCGGCCAACCTGGTTGGAGAATGACAAGAGTTTGCCCCCGGCGTTGTCGATGAACTCAAAAGAGTTCTCACTGTAGAGAATTTGATGGATTTCTCGTGGGAATGACGGAGCTTGCCAGAACAACACCAGCAGCCAAGCCCTGAGGATGGCTAGGCTTGACCGGAATGGAATCATCAAGAGTGTATCGGTAAATAATATTAGAGAGGGTCTGACCGGGTCGAATGAGCTCTTCGCTAACTAGGACATAGCTGTAGGTAATAGTTCGAAGTTCTCCTAGTAGATCCAGGAAGCAGCCGCGGGACTCCATCGCGTACGCTTATGATTTTGTTTTCTGCCAAGACAAAATTTGAGAGGGTAGTAGATGCTTTGAAAGAATTTGTGATGCTTACCAAGATGGAAGATGGCCTTAGAGGATAGATGATCGAAGAGAGAAGATGGAGGTACGAACGCCAGTCCGACTCAGAGTCTTCGCATCCGGTTCCCTGGCACTAGGGGTATTCTGAGAAGATGAACGAGTTCTTTATAATAAGTATGAGTCGTGGTGTCTCTCGCCCAATCCCTGGGACTATGATTGAGAGTATGATATCGACAACGAAAGGACTCTTTCTGAAAGGCAGGAGATTGGTGGTTCTGGATCGACCCGATATCGCTGGCTAGTTTGAATTCATGGGAAGTCATCCATCTCTTTGGTAAACATCATCACAAACACCCTATCTTGCCGTCTTCGGGGAGATTGTTTAGATACCTTCTACCAACCATTGTTAGGGCTGGCCAATCGTTGATTGAATCCTTCTAGTTTGTTGAAGGAGTAGACTGAGCCTCGTGATAGGTAGACCACCCATCGGTTGCATCGGTGAAGCAACTGTTGGGAGTAGGCTGCTTATGATTGTGTTCCGCAGTTAGATCAATGCAATCGGTAGTTTTTGTATCGGATTTCTCCAGGTAAAGCGAGAAAACATAGGCGTGGTGCCATATCGGTTTCGTTGGGAGTACGGGGAGCCTTCATTACCCATCAGTAAGAGAGCGCGAGAGGGAGATAGGTGATCAAGAGGCATTTCTGATGCTTACTGAGGAATCAATAGAGAAGGCGCAACTCCTGCGGAACCACAGATTTCTTGTAAAGCGCGTTGATAGTCCACCCATAACTTTAAATCTTCTTTTTGAAGTTGTCAAATCTCTCTGGGCCGACTCAAGAAAGCAGACTGCTCATCACCTCAAATGAGTGAATCTTGATAGAAATTTTTCTTATCGGTCGATATAGTCTATGTATATGTAGGAACCAAGAGCGTAAGTGTCTAGGTGAGAAGCTGAGAGATGCAAGATACTGGCTTAGAGGGGTTTATTGATGTTTAAAAAGGGCGGAGAGACAACGAGCCATTCGGCTTTTCCCATTACCGTAGGGAATGGTGAGCATTTAGACAACTAAGCCTGTGGTTTTCTGGGAATTGCCGGCAATTAACTTTCTACAAGTACGTTTCAATATTTGGTGGTCAAAAGATCTTCGAAAAACGAAGGATGGCATAGTAGAGAGAATGCCGTATGTTGATTCGGGACTTCATGGCATATGGATCTATGGGGAGTATGATCCTTGCGAGGTAATAGCACCTTAATCTGTATTTTACACCAAAGTGTACGATTTCTATCTCGAACGACGGAGCGCATTTTTTGGGCTAAGCATCAATTTTCAATTTCCATGCTATCTAAATCAACCTAACAAGAGACCCGATATTTGAGTATCCAAACTGTAGCCAAACATGCAAAAGAAATCGGAACCGCAAAGATGGCGACATCCAAAGCCGCAAAGATAATCGCAAAGAAGGCAAGACGGCGGTGCTCAGCACCACAAGGACAGCAGTGAAAAGACGAAGATGGCGATATCCAGTACCGCGAGGGACCGTAGCACCCAAAGGCAAGACACCGGCAAGCAAGGCCGCGCAAACAGTAATACCAGAAAATGAAGAGAGTTACCGTCCGATACCGCGCGAACTGAAGTTCCAAAAGACGAAGATCGCGGAGATTGCAGCATCCAAGACCGCGAGAATAGCAGCCAAAAGACGAAGACAGCAGCAACCACAGCCGCATGGACAGCAATTTTCAGAACAGTGAAGTAAGAAGCACCAAAGGCCGCAAAGAGAGCGGCATCCAAAGGGTCAAGAATGGCGCTAAAGGAAGCAAGAACAGCGGCACCCAAAGCCGCAAGGATAAGAACACCAAAGACGAAGATAGCGGCAACCACAGCCGCGGGACGGCAGTGTTCAGAACTGGGAGGCAAGAAGTACCAAAGACCGCAAATAAAGCGGCATCCAAAGCGTCGAGAATGGCGCCAAATGCAGCAAGAACAGCGGCACCCAAAGCCGCAAGGATAAGAACACCAAAGACGAAGATTGCGGATATCGCGGCATCGATACCGCGGGAACAGCAGCGCCAAAGACGAAGATAGCGGCAACCACAGCCGCGGGACGGCAGTGTTCAGAACTGGGAGGCAAGAAGTATCAAAGACCGCAAATAAAGCGGCATCCAAAGCGTCGAGAATGGCGCCAAAAGCAGCAAGAATAACAGCGCTAAAAGACGAAGACAGCGGCATTCAATACCGCTAGAACATAATCACCAATAGACAGCAAAACCCAAAGCCGTCAAAATAGCAGCTCCCAAACCAGCAAAATGGCGAGGTTCCATATCACGAGCATCAAAGCACCAAAAAGGCAAGAACAGCGGCATCCAAAGCCGCAGCAGCGTCCAAAAAGAGGACACCGGCCCCCAAAACCGTCAAGCAAAAAGCCAAAATGAACCAATATCGTTCAAGAAGAACGAACGAGGCTGCTGTACCACGTGCAGCACAGGAAGAAGAAACCAAGCGTCCAAACGCCCGAGGATAACCAAGTTCATACAAACCAAAATCATCCAACCTCCCGCCCGCCCGCCCAATGGTTGGAATGTGTTACTTAAATATAGAACATGGTATCCTTGACGCTGGCGTGAACAGTTGCCTGACTGGCCTCGGGCACACGGCCACCACTTTCTCCACCGACCACACTACCCGCGGGAGTTGCAGAGGGTGTCGGGTCGAACAAGTCGCTCATGTAGCAGCGAGCACGGGTGCAGACGAGATCGGCGTAGTAAGCTGGCGGACACACGCTGACGGCCTTGGTGGCTCGACCGAAGAGGTAGCACATTTTGTGTGTCAGGTCTTGCAATTTATCGGCGGCGCCGATGCCTGGCCCGACACCTGGGTGGAGGGGGTAGAAGATCTCGTCCCAGACGGTGAAGTAATGTGCGGGACGAGCGGTACCTTGAAGCGCGGAGTGTGCTTGTAGGTAGAAGTCCCAGTGGCGGGCTTCGGAGATGCCGCGGTCGACGACGGTGCCGGGTTGGGGATTGGCGGAGTTTTCGGCAGCAGCGTCGGTTGTGGGGTAGAAACGGGTGTTGTGGCGCTTTCCAACGACGACGATGGCCATGCGGGGAAGACCCTTCTTGGTGTCTGAGGCTGGGTAGATGGTCTCGCAGGCCTTCTTGAGGAGAGGGAGTTCCTTCTCGATGACCGTGTCGTATTGGCCCTCTGACACGCCGTCACGGTAAACGACGATGTTCTCTGGGAATTTGCCCTTGTTGTGGTTTGCCCAGATTTTGATGCGACTCTGAAGGAGCGTGTCCAGGTCAGAGACCATTTCCTGGCGTGCAGGCTGAATGCGGATGTCTGCAGGCCACTGGGCCAGCTGTGCGTCGACCGACGCGACAATACCGACAACACTAGGTGCCGCACTGGTGGAACCGGGAGAGGGGTGGGTGACGTCGAGTCCGACAAGCATGGTTTTGCCATCGGCGAAGAAGCCCATGTCCGAGGATCGAAGTGTTTGGTTGGCGCCACCCATCTTGAGATTGATTTTCAGGCCCACATTTGCCAAATATTGCACCTTGGCATCCCTAATCTTTTCGGCTTGCACATTGACATTTCGTACGCCACAGCGCACATCACAGACTTGCTTGACAATATTGTAGACCTGGGCGTCCTTCGCGAATAGGATACCCAGCACGAGTTGGGGGTTGTATTTGTCTTTCAAGCCACGGACGGCGTTTTCGATAACGGTAGCATTGTCGGCATTCCAGTTATATACAATCCTCGTTCCCGGAAGAGGCATGTCCGCCGCAACACCCATATCCCTGAGAGTCTGGACAAACTTGCCTAGGGAGTCATTCAGCCCTGGTGAATTGAGACCGTGTCTGCTTTGAGGGGTGTCGATGAACAGCCAAGTCCAGTTTTTTAGTGATGCAGCCTTGGAGAACTGAATGGACTGCATGTTCCAGTTGCCACCCCTGGCTTGGAGCTCTTTCTGCTTGGCGTACATAATGCGGGGAGCGTCCAGGACACGGCCCTGAACGGTGATGAGGTTGTCACCGAGGTTGATACCGAAGGAAGTCTAGTAAAGTGAGAGAAAGTGAACATGGTCAGCTCAGCTTGGCATTCTTCCATGGTGCGGCAGTCAAGGAAGCGAGGAAGCGAGGAAGTAAGAAATAAAGGAATGAGAAGATGACGATGTGGGAAAGCAGGTCGTTTACTTACCAGCGTGGTGTTCAATGGCTGACCGATTCCCAATACGCCCACACCTTTCGAGACGATGGACTGAGCATTCTGTGCTGGCATGCGGCCCCTGACTGCAAAGTTGAGCATGTTTTGTGTCTGCTTGGGGGAGAGCTTGTTTTTGACGGGCTGGCCAGCCTCGACCTCGCAGACATCCGCCGGAAGGTAGACAGGTTTCTCTCGAGTTCCAACGTTGACAACAGGGAGGTTGGGATCCACCGTGATGTTGTACTCTAAAGGAAATGATTAGTATCGGACAGAGTGCCTTCATCGTAAGCATTCATGCAACTCACCTTGCTTGAAGAAATCAGCAACGCTGATGTACTTGCCCGCCGGAGCCGGGCCAGCCTTGGCGGGGGTCTTCTTGCCCTTCTTACCCTTTCCTTCGCCGATTCCAGGTGTTGCAGGTTGCGAGTTAGATGGATCCAAAAAGAACTGGACATCGTGTGGACCAGCTCCGTGCTTGTTGATCTTCGGCTTGTTGGGTGATGCACCACCATCGCGAGGGGTTGCTAGACCGGAAATGGTCTTGACGCGAGCGGGCCTTTGCTTGCCACTCTTGCTTTTGCGCTTGAGGTGAGTAAGGCAAACTCGGATGCGCTTCAAGAAAGCCTCCAAGCGGTAGATATTCTGATTGGGATTGCTGGCTTTCCACTCGTTCAACATCCAGTCTAAGCGCCCCGATTGATAGCAAGCCAAGTATTTGACTTGGACATTTAACAAGACACGAGCTGTGGCAGCACGCACACTAACAAAGAATCCGCGTAGCACCTCAAGGCCACCCTCAAGACTGGCCTTTTCAATGATGCCGTCCTGTAGGCTGTAATGTCTGTTGCCGCCGATGGAGGCCACCGAGCGCTCCGTCTTGGGATGATGGCCAAGAATCACGTTCAGGGCCTGGACGATTTCGGGCTTGGTGTCCATCAAGGCGCCTGCATTGGTCGAGGTGAGATAGTTGATCAACTCGGCGGGGTTGATATCTCCGGTGTATTGGGTGGTGACCTTGAACACCTTTGGGTTTTCGGGATATTCGTCATCACTCTCGTCCTTGTACCTCACATCGAACTTGCCTTCAGTGAGCTTGGCGACCGAGAGGAGGGTTGAGCGGTAGTCCGTCGCAATGCTTGTCAAGTTGGCAGAGAAATGCTCCTCTAGCAGAAGACGCACGATGTGTCGTGCTTTTCGGCCAGCAGGCTCCCGGCCACCATCTGCAGCGATAGAGACATGATAGCGGTAGACTGGTTTGCCCACAGAGGTGAAGGCCAGATAGTTAGCATAGAGGGTGACGGGCCGACCGAGAGTGCCGTATCCTGGCCGGTCGGGATATGCCTGAGCAGGGTTCTTTGCATTTTTCTGACGACTCGCAACAAGTGCCTTGCCCATGGCATCTTCCGTCTTGCTGACGTTTGGATCAGGCTGAGCAACAGGCTTGCCCTCACTGCAAGGTCCGGTTAGAGTGATTGCTCATGATGTTTGAAGATTGGTGGACATAAAGATGTCATCAAAAGTAGAACTCACTTGAAGATTCGAGGGCCCTGAGGACCGCCGCGGCCCATTCCTCGACCGCGACCCCGAAAGTCACCACGACCTCGGAAATCACCACGACCACGATCACCACCACCACGGCCACCGCGGAAATTCCCACGAAAGTCACCACGTCCCCCACGATCAGAAGGGCGATAAGGGAGGTCTTGGAAATCTCCTCGGCCTCGGCCACGACCTCCACGACCACCTCCGCGGTCCCCACGGTCTCCGCCATACGGTCCTCGACCCCGACCGCCGCGGCCGCGGGGTTGATCTGCCATGATGTGAAGGTAATCAAGTAAAGACAAGCTGGAACAATAATCGAATAATAATAGGTAACAAGAGGACTGGGAAAGATAAAGAGTGATGGGGGGTGAGGAATAAAAAGAAGAGAAGTAGAGAAGTGAGGTTGTCTGTTCGCTGGCTCCGTTTTAATACGTTGATGACGGCACGTACCGTTTTGGTTCTGGGCGCTTCACTTCCCTCGCCAACGCACAAAGAAACAGAACGCAGGAATGTTCCATCTACCGTTTCAGGTGTATTTTAATTAGAGACTTGTACGTTCCAAGTCTCTATACCTGGAATAGTGGTAGGTCTTAATAATGCGAGGTGTATAATATACATTGCCCCGACCTTTTAGCTTCTTTCTGAAGTATGGAAAGTATGGAGTATACCAAGCAATACACCAGTGGGGCTGAAGAGGTGCGGTGTATCTCGCTGGATACATACACTCGGACATTTTGGACTGGTCACCTTGTCTTTTTTTTGGAGGAAAGGTTATTCTGTCTGGCAGTTCCAAGTACGGGGTACTTATACTTGAAGTATGTAAGCATAGCATTAGAAAGTTATAACTATTCTCTGGAATACTCTGCCCCGACCCATAGAAGTCTCATGGAGCATGGGTCTTTGGCTATAACTATTAGGCTATACAGAAGCCCCCATATAGTAAGTCACTATTCCTAACTAATTATCCCTGGCCACGTCTAGGCGCCTTAGTGACTCACTCAATCCCTGTCGTTCTGCCATGGCCAATCATAATCCCCGGCGGGGAGAGAAAGAGACGCACTTTCAGTATGGGTTTGGTGTGCTGACTGGCGTGGGATGACGATAGTCTCTGAGTGGATTTGAATCGAGCATTATCATTGGATGTCTTTCTATTTTCCACAAAAAACCCTGAGGCAGCAGTACACAGGATCATCAGCATCATCGCACTATTTCCCGAGGAAAGTATGGCGGTGGCTCCATCCCGACCCGCGTATTGGCTGAACCAAGAAGATTCCGTGAGATCATCAGTTTATCGTGGCTGGTGATAAGCCCCCAAAAACGGAGATAGCTTCGGATTAATCATCACCGTTCCGGTCTCAAGGAAACTTGGGTGCGCGGAAACTTTGTCCCCTCTTTATTCTCTGTTATCCTCAGTGATCGCAGACTCTAGGGGAACTCGCGACTGGTCTACGTCTTCAGGACCCTCTGAAACTTGCACTTGACCCCTCCCCCGACGGCTTCATCTGCACGAGGCGACTGGGTCCATTCTCTGACGACCCCTCCTATACCCGGCGCAAGCTTCCACCATCACCCTCGAGTTTCAGCGCAAACGGCAGAAAGTGTCCCAGCCTATCCGGATCGATCCATTTAATACTTCAACTACGTGTATTCCGACAAGCTGTGCTATCCCGACGCGACGTGAACCGTCTGGCGCAAGGCTGGGACTGACGCGACGCAAACCATTCACCGCAAAACTCGAAGCGACTATTAAGGGGCTATCACCAGAACCGTTTACGAGACAACCGGGGCCAGGCCGTCTGTACCCGACCGTAGACTCGGCGCACGGCTGAACGAAAAGCAGCAAGAGACAAGCGGGCTCGACAAACCCCCTCTCGGCCGTGCGCATTCAAGATTTGGCTGCAAACCCAGGCCATCTCAGCGGAGATTCACCGAGCTTAGGTATTTGGAAGATTTGTTGAACTGGAGCGGGGTCACGATTTCTACGCACTCGCTGTCAGCTCTAATCCACACCAACATATTTGCTCGAACCACTCAAACGACGGTCGAAACCATCTTCAACTCTTACCCCCCAAAATGACGCCGACACCTCCATCTACCACTTCATCCAGCGCGGGCGCTCATTCGCCTGAATTCAGGATTATTCGCAAGCGAAACCGAGTGCCTCTATCATGTGCACCCTGCCGCCATCGAAAGTAAGTGCCTGCAACAAAAGCAAACCCAAGAGAAATAAAGAAAAAGAAGAGAAAATGCTTAGCGCCCATAGAGGTTAGAGTCTAACGATGGCTTTACAGATTGAAATGTAACCGTGCCCATCCTTGCGAAAATTGCGTCAAACGAGGTGATGCAGCCTCCTGTAACTACGCCCAGGCCAGCACCCGCAAGAAGAACTCCCCACAGCAGGCCTCCCCGACCTCGCCTGATGATATGCAAAACCGGATTGACCGCTTGGAGGGGTTGGTCTTGTCATTGATGACCAATGGTAACCAGTCAGCTGGCCCGGCAGCTGCCTTGGCTGCGATCTCAGGGGAGAGCAGTGCTGGGTCAACGGGGCTGTCAAACGAGATCGATGTCGATGATATTGAAGATGATGCCGAGGGCAACCTGGAAGAGAGCGACACGGAACAGGTGACGAAATCATTCGGTGTGATGAAAATGGACAGTGGCAAGTCCTACTATATCAGTGAAGCCCACTGGGCTTCGGTGCTGAACGATGTAAGTTTGATGCCGGCACGATTCTTTCTCGGTCGCTGCTAACCAGAGTCATAATAGATCGCCGAAGTGCGGAATTTCTTCACAACGCATAAGAAGCAGTTCGAGGACCAGGCAGAGAAGTTGAAGGCCACACGGCCAGAAACGGACAACCCTGGGGGGTCTACGCTGCTCTTCGGTGCGATGAAGCCATTAAGTCGACCCGAGATTATGGCCACTTTGCCGTCTAAATATACGACGGACCTCCTCGTTGCTCGCTATTTCAACAGCTATGACCCTGCAACGCATATTCTTCACGGCCCGACATTCCAAGCACAGTATAACAAGCACTGGGAGGATCCCTCACAAACGGAACTAGTCTGGATTGCAATGCTCTTTGCTATGATGAGACTAGCAATGCTCTCATACTACCGAGAAGGCGATGAGCCTCCAGAGTTCCGGGGCAAGGCGATGGACATGGCAGGGTCCTTCAGGAACTCGGTAGCGCAATGTCTGACACTGGCTGACTACACAAAACCACATCGCTTCCTAATCGAGGCCCTCGTGTTCCATCTTCATGGTGACTTCTCGCAGACCCGGGATGCAGACATCTCAGTCTGGGTTCTATCGGGTGTAATTGCCCGTCTGGCGATGCGCATGGGATACCATCGCGATTCAAAAATGTTCCCCAACATCACACCTTTCCAGGGTGAGATGCGGCGTCGAGTATGGTCCTTTGTGCGACAGGCAGATCTCCTATTCTCATTCCAGGTCGGCATGCCGAGCATGCTCCGCACCACGGATACCGATACGGAGTTGCCACGAAACTTGTATGACGATGACTTTGACGAAGACTGCAAAGAACTACCTCCAGCTCGCCAGCTAACCGAGCCGACACCAATCTCTTACTTGATCACCAAGTCCCGTCTCTCGTACGCTTTTGGCCGGGTCAATGAGCACTATTCGGCTGTCTCATCCTCTTCGTATGACAAAGTCATGGAAATTGACGCTGATCTGCGGCGAGGGCGAGATTTGATTCCTGATCACTTGCACATTCGCCCTGTGGAGGAGTGCCAGCTTGACCCCATCAACTTGATCATGTCGCGCTTCTCAGTAAGCCAAACTAATCACTCTTGGTTTCTATACATCTCGCTAATAACTTTCTAGGTAATGACTGTCTACCACAAAGCACAATGCGTACTGCACCGACCTTATCTGATTCGCGCCCGCGAGAACCCCCGCTTCACATACTCTCGCCGCACCTGTATCGACTCGGCCCTCGAGATTCTCGAGTTCCAGGCGATCCTGCACGCAGAAACGCGCAATGGACGCCTCCGCGGCCGCTCCAACCTCGTCACCTCTCTCAGCTCCGCCGATTACCTCCTCGCCGCCACAATCGTTTGCCTGGACCTCTATCAGAGCTACCAGCTTCAAGCCTCTAACCGTCCCTCTGGTGACACCTACACATGGGGCCGTGAACGACGCGACGAGATGGTGGCGGTGGTCCAGCGCTCGAAAGAGATTTGGGATCAGCTGCGCGACGAGAGCATGGAGGCGTTCAAGGCGAGCTCCGTGCTCGGAGTTATGCTGACGAAGCTTCACGGCGCTGTCCCCGGGCTTGAGAACGCCCCGGGCGCTGGTGGTGCTATGTTCGAGCCGCAGGACGAGAAGCAAAACGCGGCGATGACGCTAGGCTTGCTCAGTAGCGGCATGAGCCCGATGAACCCGGGCCCGGCTCCATTCACGGATCCATTGTTCAAGATGAGTGACTCGCCAATGCCGAGTGGCATGTCGGCACCTGCGGCTGAAATGCCGGGGCCATTGTCGCCATTTAGCAGCATGTTCGGGACGATGCCGGACATGCAGGTCAATCTCGACTGGGTAGGTTGGATTGTTCCAATTATACTCAATATGATAGTAAACTAACCGGCGCGTGTGCAGGATGCATGGGATACCTATATCCAAAACCCAACCTTCGATACCACAAACCAATTCTGGCCCATGATGGACCCCCAGCGCCAACCGACGCCACAAGGGGTTGGAATGGCGCAACCTCCAGTGACGAGCCCATTGGGGACGACCAGAACATCGTCAATGTCGAACGGTGCTTCTTCGCAACGTCTTCCTAATATCTTCTCACCACCAGGCCCTTCGCCTGACAGCAATACATCCTCCGTACCTGGCTTTACTCCGATGTCATCGCAGTCAGGTAACAGCGGTCGTAGCCAGGGTTCGATGTGAGAGAATGCTTTATGTCGTTATATAAGATGATATCACGTTTCTTCATTCGAGCCTTCTTTGATTTGTCCAGCTTGTTGGATTGCCATACCTCTTTTGTTATGTCTGGGATATTGGTGTCTTGAGAAGGGATACAGGATGATTCAGATCGGATTTGTCGCGAGTCGATGTTTTCTGGCGGGAAATTCGTCCTTGGAAAAGCTTGGGTTTGATCTAGTTGGTCTTCGTGGGACGGTGCATTGCGCACTGTGTTGGGTTGGAATTTGGATGTACCATATTGTGGGAATTATGACAATATACAGACTCCTCTCTAAGAAAATCTCGCTTGAATTCTTAGTACTCTAATTCCATTTAGAAATGGCTATTAGTCGTCGTCGAAGTAAGGTTTCACAAAGTGCTACAGTATCGGCCGTTCCTTTCTTGGCCGGTGACGTGCGATACCGATCACGTGATCTATCTTATCGCTCCGCGGAACTTTTTGATCGTGGCGACAGTCGCGCATCGGATGTTCAGGTTGAATAACTACTCTCTTTGCAGCGGCGGAGAACTCTGCGCTACTAGCGTATATTCTGTCAAGATGTCAGTTCCTCAATCGATGCTACTTAAAAGGCTATCCCAAATTGCACGCATATTGTGTTTCTAATCAGACCATCGCTAACTCAACTCTTCCCTCAAGGCATTGTCTCCGACGAGCCTCATCTCGACTCCTGGGTTCGGCAGTGTCCTCCCAATATCGATCGGCAGCGCGGTACCAATGTATTGTCACACGCCAGTCTATTCAGAGACTTTCTCCCCGAAGCCCATACCCTACAGCCCTTCAAATCCGATGGAACTCAAACCAAAACGACTCATCACCGTCACCGGCCGAGAAGGAACAGAAAACCCAAGATATAGAAGCACAAAATAAAGAGACAGCGGTAGCAAAAAGCTCTGAGCCTTCACCCTCGAATGTTGGAGATCAGCAAAAACCGCAGGAGAAGGCAACGGAAGCCCTCAAGATCAAAATACCTCCGAATGAAACCATCTACATCGGCAATCTGTTCTACGATGTTACCGCCGAAGATTTGCGGAAGCGTATGGAGACGTACGGCACGGTGCTGAACACGATGATCGCCCACGATAACCGGGGTCTCAGCAAAGGGTGAGCAACACGAACCTTGTACCCCTCCACCTTATCTACCCAGATCAAACTAATCACATACTACTCTTAGATTCGGCTACGTCCAGTTCGATACCCTGGAAGAGGCAAAAGCCGCAATCGACGGCATGCACTCTACCGTCTTCGAAGGCCGCCAAGTAGTCGTGCACTACGCCCGCACCAACTTCAACTACAGACGCGTTTCCTACCCACCCACCGAAACACTCTTCATCGGCAACCTACCCCTCGAAATGACCGATCGCGATCTCCAGGATCTCTTCCGCGAGACCAAGAACTTGATCGACGTTCGTATTCCGGTCGACCGGCGCTCTGGCATGCCGCGTGGCTTTGCGCATGCGGAGTTTATTAGCACGGACGCGGCGATGCAGGCGATGGAGATACTGGCGAGACAGAGTCCGTATGGGCGGAAATTGAACGTCAATTTCGCGGAGAGGAAGAGGGTTGGTATGATGAAGCCTAAGCCTGAGCCTGTGGATAAGGAGCAGGCGAGGGCGGAGGCGGACGCTAGGAGGAGGGAGAGGGCTAGGAGGGAAGAGGAGGAGGCTGAAAAAGCATTGTTGAAGGAGATTGCTTCGGGCAAGGACGTGGACTAGGATGATGAGGATGCCACATAGCAGGAGAGAGTGTAGGCTCTCTCCGCTAGTCTTGTATTATACCCATATAACAGATGTATAAAACTGTACTATATCGACACCCAATACAGCCCCTCCCCTTGTACACTTGCGGTATGGGTGGCTATCAGGCAATGTCCATCGGATCAATTCCTTCTGGATCGGCAGATACCGCCACACGTGACCTCCGGGGAACCTCGGCTGACGGAAAGCGCATTAGTGAGCGATCGAACCCCACGTCTTGTCCAGTATCCGGGGCACGGCTTTCTTCCTCTTCACTGCTCGTGCTTTCGGTGTAAACTTGATTCTTAAACACCGGCTTCACATCCCTACTCCCTTATACCAAATACAATACAACCGCCGTCACTATGTCCTTCCTCGGCGGCGCCGAATGCTCAACGGCGGGAAACCCCCTCACGCAATTCACCAAGCACGTCCAAGATGATAAGTCCCTCCAGCGAGACCGGCTGGTCGGTCGGGGCCCGGGCATGCAAGAAGGCATGCGGTCACGGGGTATGATGGGTGGTCAGGACCAGGTGAGTTCCCTGGAATGCTGCAGCCAACCCTGGCTCTTTTCCGAGGAGGGGAGGGGTCGCAGCGGAGGCCTGTGTACCACCAAATTGATGAGTCGGCGACTAACGGCGAGGCCCTTTGGACGATTCCGTCCGAGGGCTTTCTTAGATGATGGACGATTTCATGCAGCAACCAGGCCAACAATTAAACGGCCCCTCGCCACAGCCCTTCGCTATGGAGCATATGCGCCGGGAACTGGAGAACTTCCAGACTGCGCCGCCACGCACAGGATCGCCCGGATGGGCTGCGGAGTTCGACCCTGGTGAGCAGGCCCGCATGGAGGCTGCGTTCCCCGGTGCCGCACAGATGAATAATAGTTCTGGGTTTACGCCCGCCGAGTTCGCGCGCTTCCAGCAGCAGAGTCGGATGGGTATGCCCCAGACGCAGAGCCCCACGACGGCGACCCCACCCCTAATGGCGGGGTATCAGCGGCCGATGGGAATGGGTGGATACATGGGTGGAATGGGCGGTATGGGTATGATGCGGCCGATGGGCATGCAGTCGCCGATGATGCAGCAGCCGATGGAGGGACAGACACAGGATAAGGGCAAGGGCCGGATGGTTGAGCTGGATGATGAGAACTGGGAGGCGCAGTTTGCTGAGATGGAGACCGCTGGGATCGAGACCCAGACGGACGAGGAGGCCAACGCGGCGATGGAGGCGGAGCTGAACGAGCTGGACAGGTCAGTGCCCACCACCGATGATGCCTTTGAATCCGTTTGGGAACGAATCCAAACTGAGACCGCTGCGAGTAGAAAACTGGTTGAGGAAGGTGGTGACTTTGAAGTCACGGATAGTGTGCATGTCGGCGATCTGGGTGATTGGGATGGCTTCGATAGCTTGAACACGCGCTTCCGGGATCCACAGCTGGGCGATTACATGTTCGAGGAGGATAATGTGTATTCGGCCGTGAACGACCCCTTTGAAGAAGGTGTGAAGATCATGCGTGAGGGAGGCAACTTGTCTCTCGCTGCACTGGCGTTCGAGGCTGCGGTTCAGAAAGATCCCCAGCATGTGCAAGCATGGACGATGTTGGGTTCTGCGCAGGCACAGAACGAGAAGGAGCTACCGGCTATCCGGGCTTTGGAGCAGGCACTCAAGATTGACGCAGGTAACCTTGATGCACTGATGGGCCTGGCCGTTTCATACACCAACGAAGGTTACGACTCAACCGCCTATCGAACTCTCGAGCGCTGGCTATCGAACAAATACCCCTCCATCATTGACCCGAAGGAGGTTTCCGGTGATGCCGACCTGGGCTTTACGGACCGTCAACTCCTGCATGACCGTGTGACGGAACTATTCATCCAAGCTGCACAGCTCTCTCCCTCCGGTGCACAGATGGACCCAGACGTTCAAGTCGGCCTGGGCGTTCTCTTCTACTGCGCCGAAGAATACGACAAGGCCGTCGACTGCTTCTCCGCTGCTTTGGCCTCCACCGAATCCGGTAGCACCAACCAGCGCGAGCAACTCCATCTCCTATGGAACCGTCTCGGCGCCACCCTCGCTAACAGCGGTCGCTCTGAGGAAGCCATCGAGGCTTACGAGCAGGCTCTCACCATCAACCCCAACTTCGTCCGCGCCCGCTACAACCTTGGCGTCTCCTGCATCAACATTGGCTGCTACCCTGAGGCCGCCCAGCACCTACTCGGTGCCCTATCCATGCACCGCGTCGTCGAGCAAGAGGGTCGTGAACGTGCCCGTGAGATCATCGGTGGCGGCGGTGCGCCCGACGGCCTGGACGACGAGCGTCTGGAGCGGATGCTGCACATCAGCCAGAACCAGAGCACGAACCTGTATGATACGCTTCGCCGCGTGTTTAGCCAGATGGGACGGCGTGATCTGGCGGACCAGGTTGTCGCGGGCATGGATGTGAATATTTTCCGCAAGGAATTTGAGTTTTAGTTATATTCCCCAGAGTTGAGGTTGGAATTTGCATATGTCGGATTTTCTTGTACTAGGTTCTTGGTTCTTTTATTCTTAGTTTATCTTTATGTTTCTAGGGTTGCCGGCTGGGTCTGGCTGCATCATGGATCAGTTGGTTTATTCACGAGGATAGAGCTGCATGGATCGGTCTTGGAGGATACCGGGACCCTTCTTCAATGTGATAGTATTCAGCCTATAAGCTCAGGCGATAACGACAGCTATATACTGTGCATTAAGATACCTCGGAAACCAGGTGGGAGGCCCCAGGGTGGATGGGCCGTGATGTCATGATCCAGGGCCTTAAGAGTTCTTGGAAGGACACGAGGTGTTATCATTTACTTCCAGTTGAAATCAGCGACTGATCCTGCCCGGTGGCCTAGTGGGTTAACCCCTAGTCGACTGTAGCCACTTCGGTGGGTTCGGCGGTCGTAACTGCGAGGAAGCTTCTGTGGAGCAGGTGCGGCCCCCGTCGGGTGAGGTTTTTTGATATCTAACATCCCTTCATGATTCCCCCCTTAAAGTCTTTTTTATTATACTTTATCTATATTCAATTAATCCCTAAATTTTATAGATTATAATCCTGCCTTTAGATATTATTAAAAAGACGATCTGGTGGTTATATTATGTGTTGTTTCTCAGTGCTGTATGGCGTTGAAGCCACGGACTGTACATGGAGCATCGTCATGAAGTATATAAGGAGCCAGAGGTCGAGGGTTCGATTCATGGCGAGGGCAACTCTTTTTAAGACTAGCCCGCAGTACACCGGCGGTACCGAGGTAGTGATAATGGGCGGTATTCCTTACCGCGGATAATCACTCAAGTTTCACAACATTCAGCACCTTAGCTCAAATTCTCCTTCCGAAACCCTTGCCATTCGTTGGCCGATCAAAAGACTTGGTACTCAGTCCTCGGAATCCGAGTTGAAGCTAAGACCCCTGAAAATAATGGCCTCATCCAACCAAACTCCTCGGACACGCCGCCACAGGTCCGCTGTCGCTTGCCAAGGGTGTCGCAGACGGAAAGTTCGATGCAGCATCACGGTCACTGGCGTTCCTTGCGTTGGTTGTGTCCAGGATGGCTCACAGTGTGTGGTCGATGCAAATAAAGGGAAAACGTGAGAGATATCTGTGCTGGGTGCTAGACATTGGATTCAACTAAAGCACGACGTTCCTCTAGAGCGAAACAGATCAGCCACACGGTTACTACTCGGGTTAGTCAAAGTCTCCCTGTAACTCGGGGATCAAATGCTATGCCCGAAATATCTTCGCCTGATCCACCGAGTCCTGGTGCTTCGCGAATGGGTTCAGAACTCCCTACGTCGAGATCTATAGGTGCCGAAGAAGCTTCCTTACCTGACAATCCTGAAGACGAAGAGCGCAATGGACTGGAAATAGCATCCGCGGCATTGGGACAGCCGGAGAAAATGGGAGAAGTGCCCTTTTATGCTGGTAAGAGAAAACAAAATGCTTGAGTGGGGCAACGCACCGTAACTTACGATCCGAACAGGTGGGCATACGGGGCCTACTTCAGCCCTGGATATTTGCTTTACTGAGCAGTCGTTGCCGAGGCATTTCCTCATCCCTCTTCATAGGACAAGTCTGTCCGAAGAGAATAAGGAATTTCTCCGTAAGAAAGGAGTATACACACTTCCCGGGAAAAAGGCTTGTGAAAGCTTGGTTGAAGCTTACCTTCTCAATGTCCATCCAATACTGCCAGTCATAGAAGCCGATGTGCTTTTGAGTCATTATCAAGCTGGACAGCTTGAGAGGTATAATATTTTGCTTCTTTGGAGTCTGTTCTTCGTCGCTGTCAACGTACGTCATCAAGTAGGCCACTCATCCTTTGGAAACCTAACAAGTTCTACAGTTTATCCCATCTCAAATATGCGAGCAAGAAGGCTTTACATCAAGGAGGGCAATTAAATTTGCCATGTACTCCCGAGCAAAGGTAAGGAATCGTGTCTTCGGCGAAACCTATTCAAGGTCCGTCAACTAGTTCTCATCATTTTGTTTTCGACAGTGCATGTATGAGAACGGAAATGAACGCAACAAAATCGTCCTGCTACAAGCCTCGCTCTTGATGGGCTTCTGGCACTCAGAAATAGATGAGCACGCGCAACCTTGGTATTGGACGGGTTCCGCAATAAGTCATTGTCAAATTCTCGGTCTACATCGAGATCCAGGAACCTCGGCATACAATCCGCATATTACCGACCGACAACGAGCTTTTTGGCGTCGTCTCTGGTGGTGCTGCTTCTTCCGGGACCGCTGGCTTGGTCTCACGCTAGGCAGACCTCTGCGTATCAATCTTAATGACTCTGACGTCCCCATGCCGCTGGTTGGAGATATGCTTTTTGACATTGAGAGCCTGGGCGAACTCGGTCTAGGTGGTCACTTACCAAGTGACATGCCAAGACTAAGTGAATACTGGGTGATGCTCATCGAAATGAGTCGTCAATTAGGTGATGTTCTGGTTATGAATTTCCAAGCTGCACGACCCAGAGGGACACTTGACGACGTCAAAAAGCTCGAGAAAGATCTTCTGCGCTGCAGACTCCCCGATTTGTATGAAGGGGGCTTGACGCGTATTTCCAAGTTCTACTCGAATCACGTTCATCTACACTACCAGTAAGTTCGCCTGAAATAATGCCTTTTGGCAAATGCTTCTGCTGACCTTAGAATGCAGGGCATTGCTGATTACCTTTTACCGGCCCTGGGGAATGGAGTCTCCGGACGGGATCGACCCTGGGGCGAAAGAAGACTGGAAGGAACGAATGAGACTTAAGGCTGATCATGCTGCCTCTCAAACGAACGAAATCCTAGACAGGCTTGTCCAGGATGGATTGATTGGATTGGCAGGCCCAATGACGTGAGTGACTCTAAGCATAGATTTCCTGAAACTGCAAAGCATATGCAAAGTATATGTCACAGCTAAATCGGGTTCTCTCTTCTAGACCCCCACTCTTAGTCCCAGCAATGCAAACGCATCTACTTCAATGCAAATGCGGCGATCCCCTTGCCAGGCGCATCAGGCTAAATAAGCTAGAAGTGTGCATGCTGGTGATGGAGGAACTCCAGAAAACCTATACCGTTGCTTCAGTGTATCGTGGAATTTTCACAAAGGCTATCCAACAAATTTTCCCGGATTGTCCTGATCGTGCGATGCATACCAGTCGTTCACCCACTTCAATCCCTGTTCCTCGAAGTGAGGGTCTAGCGAGGAATTTATCCAGCGACGGTCAAGATGCAGATGCTAGCGGTCAGCTTGGGGAGTCTGATTTTGGGGTTTTGGATGGGGATGATTTGATGGCTGCTTTGATGGATAATGCTTCCGTCTTTGATTTTTGGCAGGCTTGCAATCAAGTCTGATAGGTTGTGAATCTAATTCTGACACTCAACATTCTTCCTGGCCTCCTACATGATTTGAGTTAGCTCTGTGGTAGAGTAGCGGACCTAGCATATGCCGAAAGCTCCGACAAGGAGCATAAATGGCTTTGATGTAGTAGACTCAGAACAACGGCTTCAATTCGGAACTACCTCCATGACTTTGGAATTATATTAGACGCTGTAAATTTACTAGTAGTCTATAAATACGATCTGAAGATTGCCTAAATTTCTAAAATTGGAAAGTAGAGTTTAGCCCACCCCTGGTTTCAAGGCCAACAGAGCAAATCGCTGGACGGCCTTCCGAGCTTCAAAGATTTTCCGTTCTCGGGGGCCACTTGACTCGTCGCTGTGCACGAACAAATAGGTTGTTTGGTCGAATCAGCTGAAACATGGGATCGTATTCGATAGGCCCATCTCCTTCACGAGTGAACTTGTATCGATAGATGAGTTTTGGAAGGAAAACCTTGATTTCCTGGAGGGCAAAGTTGAAACCAATACACATCCTCTGTCCTGTTGCGAATGGGATATATGCTGCCTTGTGCCTGGACTTCACCGCGTCTGTATCCCACCTATCGGGATCAAACCTCTGTGGGTTGTCCCATAGGGCCGGATTGTTGTGAATATGGTGCAGCGCAGGGATCACAACAGCATCCTTCGGCAATCTGTAACCCCCAGGGAGAACCAAATCGACCTTGGCCGTGCGACCAGGCTGGAACGAAGGATTGTGACGACGTTGAGTCTCCTTGATGTACTTGTCCAAGAATTCCAGCCGGTCCGTCACATCGGCGGTAATTTCCGTCTTCTCGTCGATACCATGATCAATCAGCTCCTGCAAAAGTCTTTCTTGCATGCATGGATAGGTAACAAGGCCATATATAAGCCACGAGAGAAGAGAACTCGTTGTAGTGAATCCAGCACCGGTTGCGACGATAAGTGCCCATACTAAGCTAGACTTCGGCAGTTTCTCGCCTTTGTTGTCGGTCGCGCGAATGGCATAATCTGCTCAAGATTAGAGACAGGACACAATCTAATTAGGATACGGCAAACATACCAACCATATTAGAGGCCTGAAGTGCCGCATCCTGAAGGGGGAGATCCTCAACGCCACCTCGTGCGGCCTTCTGAATTGATTCTTCCACCATTTGCTCAATACGTGCCTTTGTACGCTTCAGCCTCTGAGGATCCCCAAATGGCATTCGTGCATACCAGTCACCTTTGGAGGTGACCTTTTTGTTCAAGGAAAGAACCTCGGCGATAAGATGGACCATTTCGTGCAGTGGAGCGTCGGGCTCATTGAAATGCTCAAAATCCAAACCAAGAGTCAGTTTGCCGACGGCTTGTGAGCCTAGTTTTAACATATAGCGATAGACGTTCCAGGCCTCCTCTTCTTGATCAAAAGCATCAAAGACACGGAAGGAATCCTCGACCGTCTTCTGCATTGTTGGAGCATAGTGACGAACTGCTTTTGGACCGAGAGCAGGAGGAAGAAACTTATGGGCAACCTTCCACTCAGGAGTATCGGTGTCACCGAGGAACACCCCGGCAGCTGGTTGTTTTAGGGCATAGAGTGGATGGGCTTCGTTAATCTTCTTAGTGAAGAAATCAGACTCGGTTAAAACGATGGCAGAAATTTCCGGATCGTTGGTCTGATAGGTAGTTCGGCCCATGTTTGTTGTCTTGATCAACGGTCCAAATTGCTCGAAAAGACGTTGATGATTACCAAGGTGGTCAGGGTAAACCTCGAAGTAGTTTCCAACATAGGGCAAGCCGGCAGGCCCGGGTGGATCACGAATTTCGTGACCATCGATGGTAATAGCAACCTGCCCCGGCGCCGTAATCACTTCTGTGACATCAAGCAATGCCCGATCTTGGCTCAGGAAGCCAACCCCTTGTAACTAGTCAGGAATTGAAGTCAGGAATAGGGTAGACGTGGTACCTACCACTCGGTTCAACAATAGCAAAATGCGCTGCTACAAGGCCCTTGAGGCCATTGATGTCCAGTGTCGATTCGACTTTGATAGACCTGGAGGATGAGGGATCATCGCCCAGCAAGTAGAACTGTTGTACAGTCATTGTAAGGGAAAACTTGACTTTGCAACTAAAGACGATTTTGACTCGAGGAAGACCATGACTTAAGTACTCTAGAAATGATTTTGTGCCTGCAATCTTATTCTATTTTTACGTAGCTATCGCTGCGAGCCGGACTAAAAGCACAAAGCCACCGAGTGACACCATTTGTCCTTACCTCGGAAAGGCCTACCTCGGAAACATACACACCAAGCATCCCGACCCACTGGCCTTCGGCTTCCCGAGGAAGACGGACCACGGGATAATCCCCCGTGCAAGAATCAACTCCTGAGGAGAATTCGCAAGCCTATTGCCTATTATTATAATGAAAATTCGTACTTTTTCAAAGAGTAATAGTGCGTAAGGATCAATTCCCTCCAACCTCGGCCGCGGTGGATAGTACTATATAGCGTGCACTTGCCGGCCTGAAATCAATCAACCCTTTCGTGTCTTTATTGCCCTTGGAGACACACCTTCTCATCTTCCTAACAAAAGACCATCGCCTGGCTCTGTAAGCATTATATCTCTAGCCGTCAAAATGTCCCTCTTCAAGGAGTACACACCAGAGGATCTTGCATTGCACAAGACAAAAACTGATCTATGGATCGCCGTGCACGGGAAAGGTGAGTTAAATTCGCGAGAGTCATTTGATATTTTCAATGCAGTTTCTAACATATACGATGTAGTTTATGATGTTACAAACTACGTCCGCGATCACCCTGGTGGAGCGGATGCCCTCTATGATGTCGCCGGAACAGACGCCACCGCCGCCTACGAGGATGTTGGGCACTCTGAAGATGCCGACGAGATCTTGAAGACTTATCTAATTGGCACCCTTCAAAGTGCCCGCGAATTTACAAGACCCAAGCCCATTCGGGTCATCCAGCAGCCACAACGACAAGTCACAGAAAAGCCGTCAAGCACCACTGGTGGCAAGATTGCCATGACTTTTTGCTCGGTTGGTGGCTTCACCTTTTTGGCTTTCCTCCATTATCGCGGTTATCTATGCCATGGAAAGCTCGATGCCTGGCTTTTCAAGAACTTGTCCAACTGGATACACACGATTCCGATGCCGAAACTAAGCCTCGGACAAGGGGGATTCTCCAATGGTTTCCTTACTGCCGCGAGTGTTTACACATCTATTGCTGCTGTCGTCGGCTCTAAATTGTTGAAACTTACTCAAATAAAGTCTGGCTTTACCCGTTATCCGTCGCACTTCAAGAGCAAACAACTTGCAGAAGTTGACCCGCACCTCGTCAAAGGGTTTCTGGAGCCTAAGGACTTCAAAGAGCTTCCACTCATTGCGAAAACGCAGCTTGCACCAAGTGTATACAGATTCATCTTCGCACTTCCTCATTCTGCGGATGTCATTGGTCTTCCAATCGGTCAGCATGTGGCCATCAAAGCCAACATCAAGGGCCAGTCCGTTTCTCGATCCTATACGCCAACATCGAACAACCTGGATCTTGGGGTACTGGAATTAGTGATCAGGTGCTACCCAGATGGTTTGCTTACTGGTTCATACCTTGCCGGCCTACAGGTTGGTGACAAGGTCCTCTTTCGAGGCCCCAAGGGTACCATGAAATACCAAAAGAACCTGTGCCGACGCATTGGCATGATCGCTGGTGGAACCGGTATCACTCCAATGTACCAACTGATTCGTGCCATTTGCGAAGACGAAACTGATACCACGGAAATCAGTCTGATCTACGCCAATCGCACGGAAGAAGACATTTTGCTGCGCGAGGAGCTGGAGAGATTTGCTCGCAGATACCCCAAAAATCTGAAGATCTGGTACATGCTAGACCAGCCTCCGCAAAAGTGGAAATATGGGAAGGGCTACGTGACACCGCAAGTTATGGCAGACAAATTACCGGCACCTTCTGGTGATACGAAGATCATGCTATGTGGACCACCTGGGATGATCAATGCTTCGAAAAAGGCACTGTGTTCTCTCGGATTTCAAGCCCCGGGCTCTGTCTCCAAGATGACCGATCAGATCTTTTGCTTTTAATTGTGGCCGTTGATTCTTCGGCTTTCGGAATTTGCTTCTCTTTCGCTTTTGAGTGATTTTATTTAATTTGCAGTCAATTCTTGTTCAATTAAGTCAGATTCATCTATCTTTAGACATCACTTAGCCTCATTTTCATTTCTACCTTTAATCTTTTGTAAAGTGCTATGAAATGTGCCCTCGACGGGGACGCAAGACCGACCAACAGACAACGAGCCTGCGATAGGCCGCTTCATTCCGCGGGAGAGTGATACGTGCGTGTATAATCATAGATAGTGATAGTAGTAACACGATCTGTTTTGGTATTTTAGTAACTTCCGAGACAGGAATCTCCCAGAGCCTCCACAGTGGGGCATTATAGAGGCAACGTCATGGGCGAGACAACGAGCTATAATTTCGGCACGACGCCGAGGGTAATCGGCAACCCGATAACATCGGGATCGGGCGGAGACGGTAAGAAAGCTTAAGGTTCTTCACCGATTAGATCTCGGTATCCTGTTCCTATTATCCTTTGGATCTTCCGAGGTAATGGAAAATCCCCGTTTAGTTGCCTGAAAAGCCGTGGATAACTCGGACAAGATTGTGTACTTGTTGTCCAACTAGAAACAAGCATAGCGACTGTACAGGAATATCTCCACAATGAGTATATTAATCGCCCATGAATCCACCCTTGGGTACCAGAATAAGATCATTTTCCCTTTCTTTATACTGCAAAATTCAAGTTGATTCTATACGAAATCCTGAACTGCGCAATGTCATCTTCATGGACACCTCCCGACGATTATAAGTCCAGGCCTGTGGCCATTCTTGGAGCTGGAGTTCTGGGAAGACGGATAGGTAAACGTTACTTGCTTCAGTAGATTAACACCTCCACTGACCATAATATTAAGGATGTATCTGGGCCTCTGCTGGCTTTGATGTACGGCTGCGCGATCCAAGTGCGCAACAACGGGACGATGGAATTGCCTACATCCAGGAAAATGCCATCCTTTACGCTCAGAAGACCGGCAAGAAAGTCGGTGCTGTGCACGCGTTTGAGAATCTAGAAGACGCTGTAGCCAATTGCTGGCTTGTGATTGAGGCTGTTCCCGAGAAGATCCAATTGAAGATTGATACCTTCGGGGAACTTGATTCACTGGCACCAGCCGACTGCATTTTGGCGTCGAACTCGTCATCTTACAAGTCGTCTGAAATGCTAGAAAAGGTCTCAGAGGCTGGCAAGAGCCGAGTTTTGAACATGCACTACTATATGCCGCCACAGTGTATGATCGTCGAGATCATGACTGACGGTCATACCGAGAGGAGCATCTTCCCTTTCATCATTGATCGCTGCAAGGAAGGAGCAACCTTGCCTTATGTCGCCCGGAAGGAGTCCACGGGATTTATATTCAACCGCCTTTGGGCAGCTGTCAAACGAGAGACCTTGACCATTCTGGCGGAAGGTGTCTCGGTTCCGGAAGAGATAGACTCTTTGTGGACTGAAATGTTCGTCAAGGGAGGCTCAACCCCTTGCAGGACTATGGATGGTGAGTTTTAACAGTCCATTGAGAGACATTGATGATTTGCTGACATTCCTTTTAGATGTCGGCCTCGATACGGTCGCTTTTATTGAATCGCATTATGTTGAGGAACGTGGCCTTTCTCCCAAGAATACCGTTGATTACCTCCAAGCATTCTACATCAACGATGGGAAATTGGGCACGAAAAGCTCTCAAGGTGGACTTTACCCGCCCCAAGTACCCGAAGAAAAACAAGCTTCCAAAGAGCCTCGACTCGTGGTTTTAGACATCGGGTTGTCTTCCGCTACACCATCAGCGACATCTGGTTCCATCGTTGAAATTTCAGCAAATGGACAGATTCAACAAACTCTCGTCGAGAATCAGGCTTTGCCTGATGGCCTAGCCATTGATCCCAAGACTGGACGACTATTTTGGACCAACATGGGGGTTCCTGGTGAGGTGGATGGGAGCGTGCTCTCGTACAACCCCCAGACCAAGCTTGTTGAGACCATCATACCATCGGGAAGGATCAATACACCCAAGCAGTTGGCCCTCGACAGCATTTCAAACAAACTGTACTTCTCCGATCGTGAAGGTCTTTGTGTTTACCGCTGCAACTTTGACGGTACCAGCTTAGAGAAGATCGTAGAAGCTGGTAACTCGCATAACCTTGAGGAAGCCCAAGATGCCAAAAATTGGTGCGTCGGTATTGCTGTTGCTCCTAAACTGGGAAAGTTTTACTGGACACAGAAAGGTCCATCCAAGGGCGGACAGGGTCGCATCTTTTGTGCCAATATCTCGACCCCAGTGGGTCAGCATCCTTCGACGAGGTCGGATATCGAATGTGTTCAGAATGGGCTTCCAGAGCCCATCGATCTTGAAGTTGATGAACCGAACGGCTGGCTATACTGGACAGACCGTGGCGAGATTCCTTTTGGCAATTCTCTCAATCGTGTTCGGCTTAACAAGCTTGGCCAGGGCTCGGCGTCCCAGAAGCCCGAATTATTGGCACGGAACTTCAACGAAACGATTGGACTGAAGTTGGATGTCGAAAACAACTCGGTCTATGTTACAGATCTCGGTGGCAGTGTATATCGCTGCGGTCTGACCGGCGAGTCAAAGTCACTGCTATACACAGATAGCTCTCGAGCCTTTACTGGGATTGCCATACTTTGATTTATAGATTGTTAGTCTAGATGATAGAATTGTATATTTGTATTTAGATGAGAATATTTTGAGTCAATTGAAAGAAATACGGCCAGCCGACTTGGATACTCTCGTGAAGACAAATTCCATTACCTCTGAATGCACCTGTGTAGACCACAGAGGGCAGGAGACAAGTAGCTGCTGATGGCGATGTATCGCCAAGCGCAAGGAAGTAGGAAGTAAAGCAAGGAATCAAGACCTCTATTAGATTATCTAGGCAGTGAAGGCCAGGAAGGAGAAAGGGAAAGGACCCTGGGCCTCGCAGACAGAAACGAGCACTGGTTCTGGAAACAACCAGGAGGGAACCTCGGACAGGAAGGTCCTGACTTACATTTGATGTTCGATGCCTTCCGAAGCTCATCTGGTGAATACAACGAAGGAGTCTTGAAATCATACACTCTGACTTCGAACTATGCAAGAAACAAAGTCCATAATCCTACTATTTGCGCTTCACCAGCTCTTTCGGAATTGAGCTTATTCGATGGTTACCGCACTACTTGGGAACCGGTAACATAATTACGGTACGGGTAATTACGAAATGATTCTGTGTATATCTTGCCAAGACTTATTACCTCGGAAAGAGTTACGTATGTTTGCCATGCCGAGGTAGGCTTTTCGTCTGGTTGCAGGTTCATTGTGTCATTGTGCAACTGATGAGTACGTCGCCGTTTTGGCAATTGAATTGCAATTTTTTGCTCTGTCGCCTCCAAACTTGCCAGAGATGAGCTACGTAATATCTTAACTGGAGGAACCTCGAATTTATCAACTGGGTTACAGCTAATTCGAGTGCTAGCAGACAAAGCTATGCCCGGGATCTCGATCATGGCGAGTACAGCGCCAGTCTTAGAATTCTACCTACAACAAACACGGTTACCACCGCATAATACAATAATTTGCCATGTTTACATATTCCAGCGACTGGATACACATTCGGCGTTTGTACGGAGGGCGGGCATGAGGAAGGCATCGATGCTACGTTGGACCGTGATTGCGAGTAATCTAGATATGGAGGACTTGCAATGACTTTTCATGGGATAATTTGAACATAAAGGTCAAAAGCGCAGACTTTGTCAAAATCATCTCTGTACTGTGCCAAAAGCAGCAAGCCTGAAGAGACGACGATGCGGAAGGCCTCGGTTTGACAAACACTGATATTTGTGCCTTGCTTGCTAGCCCAGTAAGTTACAATTAAATGACTTAAATAAGTGACAGGAAGCTTCCTAGAATGGTAATAGCCGCGAATTCAAGATGCTCAAGCTTCCCCTCCCTTCTTCTTCTCCTCCTCCTCCCAGGATCTTTGTCTTCCCTACTTTCCCCACCCCCCATCTTTTTCCATATCACCCCTCCTCCTCAGTAAGTCTCAACCTCGATCAATCTCGAATGCCATTCACCGGCAGCCTGGTTCATCGCAAGGAAAGTTATGTGAGGTGCTGTGCTCAGCCCCCAAACAGGTGATATGAGTGTGTCACGTACAGTGGTCTCGCACCAACACCCTTCTTGCTGCTACAAGTGTCTCTAGCTGAAACCGCGATGATCTTCGGCCGGCGAGAGAAAATTGAAGAGATGTCTGTATCCCTTGCTTGGTTCTTGCTGACACCCTTGGTTGCGTCTGAGATAGAACACCTTCAAGAATCTCACCTTATTTACGCTCCGATTCAATCCCCTTATGGTCATAATTCATGGTCCCCAAGAAAAAGAAACAGCCCACTACAGGTGGTAGCATGGAAAAGGATATTCTTAACCGGACAGACAACCGAAGACGAATCCGCAAAAAGTCAAGAGTGGTGCAGAAATATCAGAAGTTACCAGACATTCCCAGTCTCCCTGCCCCTAAAGACAATTCTCAACAGGCGGAGCGTGTGATGAAAGACCTTCGGGAGCACGCTGCGGAGATTAATTCGGACTCAGTCATGCATGTATCTCTTTAATGGAAGGCATCCGAACATTTGACTGATTACCTGTAGAGAATATTGGATCTGCGAATATCCATCACACATGGAGGACCCTCGTTACAACTTTTTCAATATGACTGGTCCTATTGTGAGTTTTCTTCTCCTTGAATGCTTTATCTTCCTTACCAATAAGCTGAATGAACGATACATGTTCCAAGAAAATTAACCATCGTTTTCAGGGTATTCCTCGGTGTGCGTTCAAGTCTCCATTCTGTCCATACCAACCAAGGTTATAGACTATCAATTACTTCTTGGTCTATACGCGCTAAAATGCCTTTCTAGCACGCGTGATGGACGCGAGATCAAAAGTGGCGTGGCAGCGGTCGTGCGGAGGCACATTGAGACCAAGCACTGTGTAAGTCCGTCTGCTTCCCAGTGGTCTCTAGTCGCTAAGGTGTATTGATCTAGGGCCAGTTTCAGTTCCGGGGTCTCTACGTGGTGAGCTACGAGGACTCTGTGGCCTGGTTGTGAGTACAGGCTCCCATTTACCCTTCTTGAGCCTCTACTGACACCGAGCAGCGGTTACCCGGCCGACGATACGGAGGGTTAGCATGAGATCGACGAAGAAGAGGAAATTCTCGGTGAGATGGAGGAGCTTCTACATAGACTGCGGGAAGTCAAGCGCCGCAGATAGCTAGTGGGAACGAGCCTGCCAGTCCAATTATCGGGTTCATGCATATCATTCCCTAAGAAAACTCGTCCCGATCCCCCCGTATGAGAATCTCAGAGGCTTTTCCCCTGCCAGTCTGGTTCTCAAAGGTTTCGGGATCAGATCCCAGAACGATAATATTAATTGTCGCTACAACTCCGCAACTACGCTCCAGTTAATTGTATCACAACAGAAATATGCTTAAATCATGTTGAAACCCTCCAATATTCTATCGAACATGCCATTTGAGCTGTCCTCGAGCACCTTAACATTGACAATCGACCGTTGAGTTACAAGCCGCTACTTTAATGATACTGTACAATATCACACAGTAAAATAGTTTCAAATACAACTTGCAATGGATTTTGTGTATTTTACTTCATACTGCTCAAGTCTTTGTGTGCGACCTTTGTCCACCGCGCCGTAGCAAATTGGCTTAACCCTCTCGATTATAGGGTCCATTATAAGCGGGAAAGTGCTACCAATAAGCGGTGCTCTCCAATTTTAAATTAAATATTGTTGTCTTAACCTCTTAATATAGATATTCCTCTTTCTCCTCGGTTCTTTGACATTGATGAGTTCGATCGTTGACACAGGAGACAATGCAGACCATGCCTTGAGATTTGAACACAATAGCATTCTTAACAAAGACTTACTTCCCAAATCTCCGGTATGCCCCCAGATAATTAGTATTTATAACAATCTATGGCTCTCTGGAAGTGATTTACTTTTTTATCGATAATCGTGGCACCTTGCGGACACATCCACCTGAGCAACGTTGTGCCGACCAGTCATCTTACACAATCATTTCGCCACCCCTACCACTATTTAGGGCTTGCACGCCTTGAAATTATCATGGAACCTTCAACTTGTCGCCCTGCCTCCTCTAAAGCAAAGGTAGAAGCTCTGACCAGATCGCTTGAGAAACTTCCACATGGTTCGTATGATGGAAAATGCCCAGGGAGTTTCAATCCCTTACAATTTCCCGGCAGCTTAGGATCATTGCCATTGGACATAATCTGGATGATCCTAGATGAGATTCTGATGGGAGATGGTCGACTGAGCCACAGTACCATTTGCGATATCCGGAAACTGTCGTATAGCACCAACAAAGCAGTCTCAATGCACATGGGCGGTTATCTACGAACCAGAAAAGCTTTGAGGTATCTCTCTGAGAGGCTGAGTGAGGTGAAGTGACACCCCTGGAGAGATACTATCTGGGGTCCTATGCCTTTGGACTCACGGCCAAACGTCGAACCTCGCGCTATCGAAGAAGATGTCAACACAAAATCTGATCTTCTTACGGAAATAATATGTGCTAACTGTCCAGCATGTTTTGAATGGATATCAAATCGCGTTCGTGGGCTGCAATGCTCTGGGGCCAATACAAATGGTTGGAACTTCGTGTCTCTCGCTATCGAAGCTGGGTCGCTAACCATGCTGAAATACTTCTTCACAAAGCAGCCTGAGACGTTGCCGTTGCTCTGGTCATTCTCAAATTACCTGTCTAACACTGTAGACAGGCCAATCGACTTCCTTGTGAAAGGTAGAAAAGTTCGTTTCATCGAAGAGCTCTTGGAATTTCTGGAGCCTCGGCTCAAGAGGATTAATTACCCGGAAGCATTTAGGAATGGAATTGCAGAAACCCCAGAGCTAAACGCTTTCAGTTGTGAACTGTCTAAATACAGATCCTCAATGTCCAGATTCGCATCTCCCTGTATGGCAGAGAGGTTGAAGAGTGTTGGTGTAGATCTTTGTACCTTCGAAGACGTATATCACGGGGCGATCTTCAATGGCCGAGACTTTCTGGATTATCTCCATCAGAACTCCCGTGTTTCCAAGACTTACGCGCATTGGTTCAATGGCAAAGCTCCCTTTGAGTTTGCAGTAGAGGAAAATTGCCTCGAATCAGTTCGCTGGCTCAAGTGTCATAGAGGTGACCACATTGGACCCGGAAATTGGGCCGCATTGCTTAATAAAATTGCTTCACGACTCACAGAGGAAGGCGAGACCATGCTCCAGGAGCTTATCTCTGTAGATGAGGGGGTAATTATTGGTCACTTTGAATCTGCAAGGTTGGTTCGAGCTGTCGTACGCGGATTGGTCCCATTCGTGCAAGCTGAAGAGAGGAAAAGAGATGCAGGGATTTTGACTGAAGACGACCTCCTGGCTTGGAAACACACGCAAGAGGACCGAGCTATCAGAAAGTGTGCACTCGTTCTCAGGGTCTCTTGGAGGGCCCTTGCAATTGGTAGTCACCCCATTTCTGAGGACATCGTTCGCCCATCAACGGAGCTTACCACGGATCTTGCGATCGCAGTCCAAAAATTCAACAAGGCGAGTGACACAGCTCATATAGCCAGGTTGCAGCGCTTGGCTAGTGCTATCAAGTGCCTTTTCCTTTGACCTCGAAGCACTGCCCTAATATGGGACTTGAGATTGTCTTGTTCATGTCTTTGACTCGGATCTACATTTTTTAGTTCTTTGGGTATTCTTCTTGGCTAAATTACCTCGGTTTTTATGAATTAGAGCACTTTCAAGGTAATTATGAGTAAACGCTGTACATAAGAAAGTAATCTAAAACCTCGTAGTCCTAGTCATGAGACCCTTCTACCTGTATCCGCGTCTATTAGATCTTCCCGGTTGGGGACAGAATATGTTCCTCGCTATCACCACCGTGTGACTGCGTCCTGTAATTCTTCCGGCCCCCGTCAGCCGACACAACCACTGTTATTTGCGCCCCCTCTGACTCAGATATAAGCTCAAAGTTACTCCTCTTGCGAGAAGCCGCCGACTTGGTAGTCGGGTGTATCGAGCCGAGTTGATAAGATCGTGAGGTGTCATTGTTGCGGTATGAGTTGACGGTGGATGCGAAGGCTTTGAACAGTGGACCGTAGGTTGGGATGCAGGAAACGATAACCTAGCAATCCGGTTAGCTCCATCGTGCTTTGGTCATTTGAGAAATATTTTCTTACCCCAAGGCTGACTTCAATGCAAGACCAAATCACAATGTTCTTACTATCGGTGTACGTTTTCAAATCCTTGACCGTGAAAATTCGAATAATTTGAATTACGGTCACAAAGAATCCGAGTGCGAAGAGTCCCGCGAGAATGACCTTCTGCTTCAAACGAAGTTGTAGTCTCCAAAGCACTGGTAGCGGTAAGGCAATGATGACGAGGTCCAACCCGATACTTGTACCTGCCAGGGCAAAGTAAAATGGAATTGTATCGATACATTTCCCTTTGATAGATGAGTCCCACTGCTTTGCAACCTAAGACTGTTAGATCCCGTCGATTGAGGAGGAAGAGCGAGCTCACTGGTATGCACGAAACCGAGATGATGACGGTAAAAATTAGCTGGTTGATGGCGCAAACCACAATGGCAGCAATAATGACTTTTCGGTACAGCTTAACTACTCCTGCAATACGCAGGTATGAAGTCAACAGGGCGACCTTGAAGCCGAGGAGTGCGAGACAGTAGACTGGACCGCCCACGTATTGAACCTGCATGTCGATTTACAATAAATCAGCCTCAATTGAGTCAATAGAAGATATCTCAAGACTCGCCTTGCTGAATGGGATGACATTCTCCTTTGGGAAATAAGCAGCACTGAGACCTTGGCCCCATCTTGTTTCTGTGAGGCCGTCAGTCGAATCTCCCTCCAACATTCAAAGTCCAGCACAGTTCTCTACTCACGAACTACCGCAATTCCTGCATATGCTAGAGCAAAGATTGAACTAGCCAATGCTGCATAGTCGTCTACCCATGGGGTTCTGTTCGTCGAAAGTCGTACATAGAAGCGTAAAATAATCGCCAGGAGGGCGCTGATGGAGAAGACCAGGCAAATTGCGATCACCCGAGAGATTTCACTGTGAGGATCTTCCCCATGGAGGTTGTATACCCAGCCCATTGCGTAGTGTAGACATTACACTACCTCAAGGGTACCATTTGAAGAGAAGAAAGAGGGTTCGTCTTGAGTATGAAGACAGTAGTTCTGTTCTTATTATGACTTACTCATCCTTTGTTTTTCAGGAGGTGGGCCTAGCGGCTTTGAGATATTTTGCACTGTCGAGAGGAATTATTGCAGGGATTAAAACTTTATTCCAAAAAAAAGGGCCTGGATCCTAGGAACAATAAAGTTACTCCTTCGGTGTTGCCTATCTTCGACTTCTGCTCTGCGACTCTGCGCCTACAGCGGTTTCCATTTACTAGTATTTTCGCTCTCCTATATATGGATGCTGATTCTGATGCTTGAGGCCATTCGTGAATCCAAGAGTACTTAAATCATATTTTCAGTCGAAGTCGTGGCTTTACACGGCGTCGATTAACGTTCTGGGTGGGGATCTGCATCTGTCGGCCTGGGCCAATTACTCCGTGCTGAGAGCGGTTAAGTTAATCGCTAATTTAGTTAGGCATTAGGCGAAGTTACGGCAGGCAAGACAATTTCTCTAGTGAGTTAGCGTATGCCAGGACAATCTACAGTAGAAGGAAAAACTGACCGTGTCGAAATAACCGCTGATGATGTGCCAATGGTGGGAACGGGTCTTATTTCCACTCTGAATTCACAGTATCCCATTGGTGGATGATTTACAGATCCACACAAAGACTATTCTCGTCTGTGGTACAGTCCATTCCTATTGTCTGATCCTCATCTGGCTCCACTAACTCAGATTCGGCCGTAGAAGATTACACATCAGGCTAGAGTACCGAGAAGAATTTAATCTGCTATGCGTGATTATCTTTTTGGATTATTTTAGGTCAAACCTTCCCACCCTCTTTCCAAACATCCTCATGAACGGCTTAATGGCCAACTCTTGGGCCAGCAAATAAAGTCTCGAGGGATCGAGATGCGCTTTGTTGAAAGCTTAAATATCGCGATCGTTATTATGGATTAGCGGTTCAACCAGAAAGCTTGCATCGAGTTGCACGTTCCTAACAAGATCCACACAGACAAGACTAGCGGTGCGATATGGTTTCTATTCAGGTCGTTCGGGTAAAGTGCTCCCGGAGTGTCCGTTGTATAACTAATATCCACATGCGAGCAGCATAATTATGTCGCATATTCCACATCGCTAAGATAATAGGACGTGTCCCTGACAAGGATGAACGAGTTAGTCGTTCGCAATAGATTGAGTTTGCGGGTTCATTTCCCATAAAAACTCTCGATGGGTGGAACAAGGTTAATAATTGGTCTCCACAGCGCACAGCCTACGGCGCCTACCAGGGCAAGTCTTCCGCTAAGCGGGGAGTTGACTTTAACTAAAAATCCTTCATCCCCACACCGCACCACAAGGTGTGGGCGGGGCTTGTTTAAGTTGTTGTGGTTGCAAATGCTCTAGTTTAGAGCGTGCAGTAGTTACAAAGCCTCAGAGTACTGTACCACCTTCTAGCCGGAATCAATGTCATCTAAGCGAAGCCGACCAACCCCCTGAATTCCATTGCCCCGTCTGAATAAAAGCCAGGGGATCTTCAGACCCATCAATCCGGTACAAGGTACCTTAATCGTACACAAATGGCTTTCTGGAAGTTCCTTGCAGCTTCGCTGTTGGCAGCTTCGTCTCAGGCTGCGGCCTCGACAGCTTGTCGCTGCTTCCCTGGTGACGCGTGCTGGCCGTCTCAGGCAGTCTGGTCTCAATTCAATCAGTCTATCGATGGCCGATTGATCAAGAACATCCCGCTGGGAGCTCCCTGCCATACGCCCAACTACAACGCCGATACTTGTGCGACTCTGAAGGCAGGATGGTTGCTTCCAGAGGAACAGTATGTTTGCTAACTCGCATAACTAAACTATCAAGGGGCCATCGAACTGACCTACTCTTCTAGTTATGATTCCTCGTCATCAGTGATGGCACCATTCTTTGCCAATGGCACCTGTGACCCATACCATGCCATTTCTAAGCCCTGTACCTTGGGCAATTACGTTCGCTACAGTGTCAACGTGACCTGTCCAGAACAGATTGCAACCGCAATTAAGTTTGCGACTAAGTACAACATACGTCTGGTAGTTAGAAACACGGGCCATGATTACAATGGCCGATCCACTGGAGCTGGTGCTTTGGCCATTTGGACCCATCATCTCAAGGACCTTGAAATCAGCGACTACAAGGACTCGCACTATCAGGGCAAGGCCATCACTATGGGCGCTGGTATTCAGGGTTTCGAAGCATATGAGCTGGCTGATGCCAGCGGCCTCCAGGTCGTTGGCGGCGAATGCCCGACCGTCGGTCTTGCCGGCGGTTACTCCCAGGGTGGTGGACATTCTGCGCTCGCTTCACGCTACGGCCTGGGCGCTGACCAAGTGTTGAAGTGGGAAGTCGTCGATGGTAAAGGAAACATCATTACTGCCACTCGTGACAATGAGTACTCAGACCTTTTCTGGGCCCTTAGCGGTGGCGGTGGTGGCACCTACGGTGTCGTCTACTCTATGACCTCGAAAGCTCACCCTGCAACCCCTGTGTCTGGCCTCAACTTGACTTACTACCCTACCAACATCAGTCAGGATACCTTCTACGAGACGATTGAGGTCTTCCACACCAATCTGCCGTCCATCGTTGATGCTGGTGCCATGGCCATTTGGTACTACACCAACGCCTTCTTCTCCATCTCCCCTATCACGGCCCCTAACATTCCAGTTGCTGATCTGGTTGCTCTGCTCAAGCCTTTCACCAACCATCTTGACAGCCTGGGCATTAGCTATACTATGTCAGCCAGCCAATACAATACCTACTATGACCAATTCCAAGCCATGCAAGGTACTATCGAAGTCGGCACTGCGCAGTATGGAGGCTGGCTCGTGCCGAGATCTGTCGTGGAAAACAACAACACGGCTTTGGTCCAGGCATACCGTGACATCACCGAAGCCGGTGCTACTTTCATCGGTGTCGGCTTGAACGTTTCCAAGAAGGTTTCTGGAGACGTGTACAATGCCGTTCTCCCTGCCTGGCGCGAGGCTCTCATCGATACTACCCTGACCACTCCCTGGGAATGGGATGACCCAGCTCTGATGCTGGAGCGACAACGCCAGATGACTGAGGATTTCCTTCCTAAGTTGGAGGCACTGTCTCCCAACTCTGGTGCTTACATGAACGAGGTACGTGTCATAACGTCTTTACCGATATTTCTCACGTGCTGTATGCTAACTATTCTTCATAGGGTGACTTCCGCCAGCCGGACTTCAAGACTGCCTTCTACGGCACCAACTATGATGCCCTGCGTAAGATTAAGGCGAAGTACGATCCGAACAGTGTTCTGTACGGCAAGACGAATGTCGGATCTGACGAGTGGCGTGAGCGTGAGGATGGACGACTTTGCCAGGTGTCCCAATGGCAGTCCAACTGGGTGGAGTTTGGCACCGTGTACTAACATAAAGCACATATAATGCTGAGGCATGCGCCGGGATTACTTCCAACCTACGGCTAGGGAGACATGTAAAGTGGAGGGGCAAGCAAATGGATGATGATGATTCTGTTTAAACCAACTATTGTACATATTTACACCGTCATCAACATACTGGCATTTTTGTACCATGTCAACAACGGGTTCTCCCCATTCCGCGTCTCCGTATCTTCGACATAGGCCCAACGGTCCACAAAGTCCTCGTGGCTCATGACCTGAGTCAGTTTACCAGTGACTGCACGGTACACGTCCTCGACGACGTTGAAGTCAGTTGGGAAGAAAATGTCAAAGTAACCCTGGTGAACCTATAGCAGAAAGATTAGCTTAGCAGGGGAAAGCGAATTTCTAACGTCGTAAAAACTTACAAATGGAGTTGTCACCGGAACAGTTCGCCGCTGGTATCGAGTCTGCACCACGGGCGCATTCAACCCAGGTACAGCGTCTGGCAAGGAACTGAAGTCACTTGCCACGAGACGATGTGCTGGGAAGTACTGATTCAGCACGTCGAAGAACTGCATCAACCTCGTAGGGATATATTCGGGCAGGGAGAACTCCTTGCGGAAAGGTGGTGCGGAGCGGATGCCACGAAGATACCAAGGACCAAGTGGGCTGGGGAATGGGCGCCGGGATGCAGCTTGTCGGACGCGCAAAAAGCGAGCGGCAACAGGGTCGAGCTGCGTATTGTAGTATTCGTGGAACTCGCAGTCCGCGTCGATCAGAACTCCACCTTGTTGTGGGAGCTCGGTACGGGTGTTAAAGCGGACGGTGTCGTGGGCGAAATTATCAAACACCTCGAGAGCAAGGAAGAAGCACGGGGAATGCACGTATGTGTCCCAATCGAAGATAGATCGATTAATGATCTCGACCCGGTCCCGGTGGCCCTTGGCGTTAAGGGTATCCAGCAAATTTTTCGTCTGAAGATCTGCAAGTGCAGGGGAAATCTCGATGATCTTGTACTTGGTGCGCTGGTACACTTCGTAGTCTGTATCACGGATGAAATCCAGAATGTTCAACATCATCGTTCCGTTTCCAGCGCCCATCTCGTAGATTATCAAGTCGTGGTATGGGTACAGCGTGAGCTTGTAATTTGAGACAAGATACCGAGCAATTGTCTCTCCGTAATATGGCCTAAACAGTTCGGTGGGTGTATGCCACAATTGTCGTGCAATGTCGGGCTTCTTCTCATCCAGTAGGTCCTCAAACTCTGTGTATCGCTGGCCCAGGAGCCGGTGAAAGGCAGGTCCGTCTTCGATGGTATTGAAGTCGAATGGCTCGCCGGGACTGAAAATGGTTGCATGTTTCGAGAAGTAACCGTAATGCGGGTTATAAAGACTGTCTGTAAGAGAGATTTAGAATCTGTTTCTCAGTCTCCCGAACAAGCTCTAGCTTCCCAACTTACCGTCAATGAATTCGCGCGTCAGCATCTTGACCTGCCGTGGGCGCTCGCGCCGATTGCGCAAGTCCTTCGCTGTTACTGTCGGATATGACCAGTACTCCTCGTCAATGTTCTTGGGGTAGTCTCCCCGCTTCGTCCAGAGCAAGCCATCGCCCTGGGATTTGCGCTTGGTGGGCGTGCGCCGGGTGAGAAATGTGCGCGTTTGGCGAGAGATTGAGGACGGTGGCTGCCGTAATGACTGTTGGCAGGCCGGGTGCCGGAAGAGCCGTCGGAACAGCTGGTTGAGGACGGGTGAGTCCATGATGCTTGAAGCGAAAGGTTGGAATCTCGGGGATCGGTGGATATGGGGTCGGCATGAGCATGGAGCTTTCTTGCAGCCTCAGGCAAACAGTTCACGTGCCTGAGGCAACAGATTGCATCCTATTCATCACAAGCAGGTTTCTAACGTCGAGTCGTCTATTTAGTATTTAATTTATGTTTGATTTAATCGTACTTACTCAATCTTGAGTTTGAAACAATTATCACCGTCTCATCAAGCTATCATTCCGAGCCGTTCAACTGGCCGTCAGTCAAGCACGCAAGTGGTCCGAGCGCCTGATCCCGACTTTCATCAAGTTCATTCCACCGACCTCGAGGTAGAGGGCATTCGGAGAAGTTAGTGCACAATGCCGGTCCATTCTGCAGTGTATATCGGTACGGCATTTGTGGCCGGTGTCTCTCTGGCACTCGTATGTAGAGAGGTGCTCTACTCCAATGATCGTCCCGAAAAACCAGCAGACTCCAAGCCAGCATCAGATACACTTGTCGCCCGGTCAGGGCCTCCGGCAATCGTCGAGGGTATTCAAGGATGTATTGGAAATACACCCTTGTTCCGCATCAAGTCTCTATCAGATGCAACAGGATGTGAAATCTTGGGCAAAGCTGAAGTATGTATACTGAACCTGGGTGTGGCGCAGTGAAATATATCTAACGATTCCATGATCAGTTTTTGAATGGTGCCGGGCAGAGCTCGAAGGATCGTGTAGCACTTAGTATGATTGAGATTGTGGGTTGAAATCATCCTTCTGTTCAGCGCCATCAAGTCGACCTATACTAACAAGATGTCAGGCCGAAGAGAACGGCATTTTAACGCCATACTCTGGCGACACGATTTATGAGGGCACATCTGGATCAACTGGAATCTCTCTTGCAACTCTTGCTCGTGCCAAAGGATTCTTGGCTCATATGTATGTTCCCCAACATGATTGCACTATCTCTCGATACTAACTCTGTCAAACAGCTGCATGCCTTCAGACCAAGCAATTGAAAAATCAAATCTACTCCTGAAGCTAGGCGCCATCGTCGACCGCGTGCCTCCAGCTCCCATTGTCGAAAAAGAGAACTTTGTCAATCGCGCACGAGCACTCGCCCAAGCGCACACGGAATCAACCACAGTCCCAGTGACCTCTGAAGACAACGGCCATCTAGAGACGCACGAGCTCAAAGTCCGTGGCCGTGGTTTCTTCGCAGACCAATTCGAGAACGAGGCTAACTGGCGCGCTCACTACGCCGGCACTGGTCCAGAAATCTATGCTCAATGTAATGGCAGGATTGACGCTTTCGTGGCTGGTGCAGGCACTGGCGGCACTATCTCTGGCGTGGCGCGGTATCTGAAGCCCCTGCTTCCTGATATTACCATTGTACTTGCAGATCCGCAAGGGAGCGGACTGTATAACCGTGTGCGATATGGCGTTATGTTTGATTTGAAGGAACGGGAGGGTACGCGCCGACGGCCGCAAGTCGATACCATCGTCGAGGGAATTGGCATTAACCGTGTCACTGCGAACTTCGAGGCTGGGAAGGAGTTGGTTGACGATGCGGTGCGTGTGACAGATGCTCAAGCACTGGCTATGGCTCGATGGCTAGTTGAGAAGGATGGAATCTTCATTGGAAGTAGCAGTGCCGTAAATTGTAAGTCCTCCTTTCTGCTCGGATAGTTATCATGCTAACATACTGACTCTTATAGGCTTCGCTGCGGTCAAGACGGCACAGAAGCTTGGCCCGGGTCACCGCATTGTGACGGTGTTGTCCGACTCTGGGTCACGGCACTTGTCGCGGTTCTGGGCCAAAGCTGGGGATGTTGGAGGAGCTGTTGATACGAAGTTGGAGGATGTGCTTAATGCCCGTGATGAGGACTTTCAATAGATGTGATATAGTCTAAGGTATGTATGATAGTACAAGAGGAATGATAACCCGAAATTGTCCAAGTCAGAGCAAAACGAACGAGCAGCCAGTAATTGTATACGCTATTCATATAAAGCTCCGACGCTTGAACGGCGACTTCTTGGGAGTCACCGAGCCGTAACGACTCGACATGGGACTATCCAGGAGAATTGCGGAGAGTTTGGACGGTGAGGATGCTCCACTGCTGAGCATGACCTCGTCATTTTCATTCTCACCATGAGCATCATCACTATCGACTAGATCCTCAAATTCAAACTGGCGGTGCTCCCGTGGGGGAGGCAGTTCAACATCATGCTCTTCCACGGCTGTGGGTTCTTCAACATCGTGATCCTCAACTGCTGTGGCCGATGTCTCAGACCTGGTTTCACCATCTTCGTCGTCACCTGGGTTAATTTTGATTACCTTATTCTCCGTTTCATATTGTACAGATGCAGAAAGTGCTGGGTCAGGGGCAGTTGCTCGTGAGTCACGCTGTTCGCCCTCCCAAATCTCATCCCCAGCCCAACGGCGAAGCAGTTCGAACTCGACTTCTGACTGGGAGCGTTCGGATAGCTCGCCCATGATTTCAGGCCAAGAGAGCCCCGTTCGACCAGCGAGTGATTCCAGGATTTCCAGCTCAGCCTGGGTCCAAGGGACTGAAAGTTCGGGCGGACATGCTCGACGATCGCTCCAGTGGACCTGGTTCCACTGATAGATTTGTGTCAAGGTACGACCAGGTAGGGCACCTAAAACCTCTTTCCAAGTTCTCTCTTGTACATATCGCATGCAGACTATCAGCTTGATGTCGTCGGGCGAGAATTTGGTATTGGCCTGGGTCAGCGAGTATTTTAATGGCGAGTGAGCGACGGTCTGGGAGTGAGGCGATACCGGTGAAGGTAAATCGCACTGTAAATTATGATATTCGAGTGGCACATCCGTCGTTGTTAGGCTTCGTTCCGAGTGGTCGCCTTGACCATCTTGTTCAGGATCTATACCCGATTGGTCGTGCACAGACGGATCCGCTTGGGTAGGTGATTCGCGGCTGGCATCAACCCGACTTGTAATTATTACCGACTCAGCGTGAAGGGTTTCATCAGCTGGTTTAATCTGACTGTCAAGGTCTCGCTTGCTCGTGATATTGATCTGGCGTGGGAATGGCAGAGGCGATGATGGCCATTCCTCTTGTAGCGGGTCGTCCGATTCGTCATCGTCGGCAACTTTGGCAAAGGACCAGTCGCGCGCCACAGGGCTTGACTGGTGTTTGCGCTTCGCCCGAGACCGGCTTTTGCTCGGGGTTGGGGTGGCTATGACTTTTCCATGCTTACTCGATTGTGGTGGACGTCTTCTCGGAACTGTCCAGAGAGACCCGGAGCCGGGTGGGGAGGGTTGTCGGGGGATGTTTGGGAGCTGAGGTGTTACGTTGGCGTGTCGCTTATCGACCTTGGGCGTTGTGAAGAGCGGTGGCAGTTCAGGGGCTTGCCAGAGAGGGTCTCTTGGGCCGGGGTCCTTCTCGATGTGGTGCAGTGCTGATGAAGGTTTTTCTTTCAACACCGAGGGACTGGATGCTGGAATCCCAGGCCCGAGGCCTGAGGACGCCACCGCAGAATCACAAAACGAAACACTCGCATCTCCATCCGTGCCAGAGCCCAATAACTCGGTTTGGGGACTGCGTCCTGAAGCATGATCGTGGGACTCGACTAGCTCCTCCTCATCTTGAGCAGAGGCCTCGTCGCCCGAGCCAAAGGGGTCCGTTTCCCAAGGTTTTTCTTTGTTTCCAATATCGGTTTCCTCATGCATGCCCTGCAAGTGGCCATTATTGACCACAATCTCCCCGGTTTCCAAGTCAATCTCATCGCCCACTTCCGAGAAATCATTGCCGTATTTTGCAAAAATCCCTTCGAATATCGACTTTAGTCGTAGGTCGTTCTGGGCGCGCGCGGCTTGTAGATCCCACTCCCCCGATACTTGCTCGGCGTCTTCAGGCGAGTCGGGGGTAAAGGAAAGGCGCGGTCGCTTCGTAGGACGGTCCAGCGTGTCATTCAAGGGGTCATGGTCGTCCATGATCGCGTCTAAGCTTGTGTTCCTCGGCGCGAAGGGAATAGAGCGCGGCTTGAAATTGGCTGTCAATTTGTTCGGCGCGGCGGGGGAGAGATACGCTAAGGGATCAAGTAGGAGCGCGGCATCGTTCGATTGATGAATTCAAAGTCTGGCGATTCTCTCTCATAGTGTCACCATGGGCAGATGAATGCGCGGAGAGAAAATAAGGGAGCTGGCATGTGCCACGCGCCGCGGTGAAGACGAAAGTTGAAAAACAAACGGCATGACGTGCCCGCCGGAGCTCTCCCGCTCGACCTCAACTTTCTCCCCCCACACCGCATCCTCCTTTCCCCCGCGAGAGGTCGAACTGATCGCGGCCTCAACGCTATGTATTGTCAAAAGTGTCGGACACCGCTCAAGTTGGATGGCTCCCTGGAGTCGCTTAATCCGGCTGCTTTTGAGCTACTCGTCAGTAAGCTGTGCCTACTCGCGCCCCAGTCGCTTATTGATCGCTAACCAAGCTCTCGGTCCCAGATTCTACGGGCAAGACACTCTCCGATCACGGCACAGCATCATCACCACGAGCTTCCTACCCTGCAGACCGTCGAAAACACTACGATCGAGCGTCTCAGAATGCTACGGCACCGGTTTACAGGAGATCTATCCCTGCCCCACGGTCGGGGGACCAGCCACATCCGCCTGGGGTTCCACGAGCCGATAGCGGAAATATGTCTTTCGTGATGCTCACAGAGTCCCAGTTTGTGCCCCCACCTATGGAAAGTGCTCTACCGACTCGGCCTAAGGGCAAGAACAATCAGGGTCCGGACCGTAACCAAGAGGATGGGTCATTTGCCAGCCAGGTAGACAAATCCAGCCGCTTGTTTGAGATTGTCTCGTCGCGTTCTGATATCGACCATCCTATTTGCGTGGAATGTACGGATCTGTTGGTAGAAGCCTTGCAAAAACGACTGGCGGGTTCGACAAAGGAGCGTGATGCATATATCTCATTTCTTCGATCCTTGAATGCGTCGGTTCCGACAGCAGAAGAGTTGGAAGCGGCTGAAAAGTCGCTCCAGGACAGCCTGAAAGCCGAGGAAACGATGTTAGCAGAAATAGAAGCTTTGGAGCGAGAGAAAGCCAAGCTGGATGAGGAAATTGGATCTTTGGAGGAGCAGTCGCAACAGTTGGATGTGGATGAAGACACATTCTGGCGCGCTCGGAATGGCTTTGCTTTGACACTGGGAGAGTTTCAAACCGAACGGGATGCATTGAACATGCGCTACGACCACGACTCGCAGCAGCTGGAGCGCCTACAACGGACGAACGTCTATAATGACGCGTTTTGCATCGGTCATGATGGATATTTTGGTACGATTAATGGGTTACGCCTGGGTCGCTTGGCTAATCCCTCGGTTGAGTGGCCCGAGATCAACGCTGCATGGGGTCAAACCTGTTTACTCCTGGCTACCATTGCAGAGAGGCTGGGGTTTCAGTTTCAGGGATATCGCCTTCGTCCACTAGGCTCCACCTCACGGATTGAGAAGCTCGAGTATCCGCCGCAACCGTCCGGAACGGCTGTCAATGAACGTGGGGCCCCCAAAATCACTGAACTGGATCTATTTTCGTCCGGTGACCTCCCACTGAATCTGCCTTGGCTTCATCGTCGCTTTGATAACGGCATGGTGGCGTTCCTAGACTGTCTACGCCAGCTGGGTCAGTTTGTTGCTACGACCCCCGTGCCAGTGGCATCGGCCCGTCGCGGTCAGGCCGGCGGCGCCACAGCGCCGGGGTTGAGGTTGCCCTACGAGATCAAGAAAGATCGTATTGGTGATGCTAGTATCAAGCTCGGGTTCAACCAGAATGACGAGACTTGGACACGAGCTTGCAAGTATACCCTCACTTGCTGCAAGTTCCTGCTTGCGCATGCTAGTAACGTCGCGAGTGCAGGCTCTAGTAACTCGGCAGCCGTTGCAGCTGCGGCCGTGGCAGCTGCCGAGCAGACTCGACAGACGTCTTCCAGCCCGGCCAAGCCTCGAACATGAAAAGAAACGAGATGCTGGCTGGCTGCGAATCTATTTCAATCAAGGGGGGTCATGCAGTGAGAATTGCATGCATCATCCTTTTTTTTCAAAGCCAACCATCGCCCCCTTCCATTTTGCCGTTGGCCCCCTTTAGATCAAATATTCGGGCAACTTGATCTGAAAGCTAAGCCCCGAGCTCGCCCGAAGCGAGTCAGGATCTGTACGATTTCCTATTTCGGGAGGAGACTTCTCTCGCGCAGTACTTTTGAGACGATGAACTATGTGGCTGTTGCCCAAGCACGACATGCATCTCATCCACCTTGCAAGCCTTATTGGTCCTTGGATCTGTCCTCGATCGACGAAGCATAACTGCCAATCTTCCAACCCCCTCCTGTCATCTGCCGGTTGGATGCAACACACCCACTCGTGGCCCACGGAAGCCGTTCCATTCCTATCTGGACAGATTATCTGGCTCCCTCGGGGTTACGAGGAATCCACTTCCAAGATGCTTCCTGCAGCAGCGTTGTTGCGCCTGCCACGGCCACGACTTCCTCTTTCTTTGGTCTACGCGCTACATCCTACCTGCATGCGATCCGAGCCGGTGAACGATGGTCCGTGGGCCTATCGCGATGGCCGCGGTAGATTTCTCCGGCTGTTTCGGTCGGCGTCTGAACGGTGGATGTGGAGCAGGTCCCACGCGGGTATCCTCTTTGTCTACTATCTTTCGCCCCCCTGCTTCCCGTTAACGAAATCCACTTTGTGTGGGTTGGGCTTTCGTGGGCGCGCCCGTGTCTTGTTCCCACTCGTCCACCTCATCATGCCCCCAGTATCATCACCTTTTCCTATGTAGATAGAACACAAAGGGCACGCACTACGCAGGATAAGAACCGATAAATAAAAGGATTCAAGCCACCCACGGGAGGACCGCTACTCGCGCGGCCCCGCATTTTAGCAGCGAACCCTCAGATCGATACCTGTTCGAGTCTTAGTCCCCGGAGCATGCACGCAGTAGGGACGGATGCCCGATTTGTTCCACTCGCCCCTGTACTTGTGCCTCATTCTCGTCATTACTGGCTAGTGGCCAGTGACCATTGAGCCCATTGAGCACCGACCACACAAGGCCTGGGCACAAGAGGTACTCCGTACAAGGCACAGGGCAAATGTACGAGAGCGATGCCCAGTACCTTTTTTTTTCCTACTACTCTCGCACCTTGTTCTTCGTCTCGACCCTTTCATGTATCGGCGACTAGGTTCATCCTCCCCGACCGCGTCGATCCATGCAGCCTTCGATGCCTTGCCACCTGACACACACTAATCGCATTTCATTCCGCTTCCGGCCTCCGTGCGTTCGATTGTACGAGGAAGTATGGAGTCGGTTCTAGCCCATTTCCAACGGGGCCAGGGCCGTTGTTCTTCTTTCATTGCTCTTTCTGCCAGTTTCAAGTGGGCCTCATAGTTAGCGCCCAGGCCCTATGTCTCCATCGTGCTAATCATTACTGTAGCTCGTTGTTATACGGAGGATGAAATCATGGATGGAGCCGTCCTTCCAGGAGCTCAACCGTTGAATTATCCGTACTTTTGTTGGCCAGACCAGAACAGGGGGAGGGGCAACAATGCCAAAAATCCACACTCCACACGCGATCACCATGTATCTCCCTTCCCGCCGCTACCCATGAGGTACCAGACGGGAGTACCCCAGTACATAAGAGTTCCTGGATAGAAGGTACCGTACTAACTAGATTATTCTTCCTTGACTATTGTCCTCTTGTACTTCAGATTATTCCCAAACGCCATACATATTAGTTACATCCACTTCCTCTATCTTCCCCCTCTCTCCCCTTTTTTCTTTCTTCCGTTTACCACTTCGTATTGAATTTCTTCTCGTTTACTTGCTACAGTTTAACCCTGTAACGACGGGAAAATATTTCCCTCGTAAGACGCAGCTGACCCCACGAACGATCCAGAGGCCTGAGTTTCGGCCGGCTCAAAGAGCCCCCCCAGTGAGAACGCGACAACTCGAGAAGAGACCAAAGCGCAAGAATGCGCGCGTGGGGATTCCCCGCCTGCCTGAAATCCATTCTGTCTGGGCATCTTCTGCGCCCCCCTTGATTTTCGGGTTGGATCTTGACTTGAGTTTTCCATTGAGAGGAAGGAATGGTTAGGAATAAGAAAGGTTGTTGTGGCAAGTGAGACCATGAGGGATGGCGGATCTAGTATACACTAGCGAAAGCGAGGTTTGTTTCCAAGTCTGAGGAGTCAATCTTTGGGGATTTACCTGGGATGGCAAAAGAAAAGTCGAACATTTTTTCTTGCTACAGACTGTCAAAAGAACTATTTTTCTTTTTTTTTGTTTCCACTTTTTAATTCTTCCGCCCATTGTTTTCCTGGGGATGACACTTGTCTCTCAACGGCGAGGCATGTTCCAACGGCTGTCCCACCCTTGCGTCTACTGTACAGAGCACACGAGGGCGAGTTGATCCAAAGCTTTACCCTTAGCGAGGAGTTCTGTAGCTCTCTCTTTCTCCAAGAACAGAAAAAAGCAAATATAAAACACCATCAAAAACCCGCCCAGGGATTTAGCTTACAGGGACCACCCTGGGGAAGGAGGATCGTTTAATTATGTACGGGAGGGCATTCTGTATGTATTCTAGTCCCTCTTCTTCCTCTTTCCTCCTCCCCTCTCTCTTTTAGGAGGGACCTGCTCAAGTGGCTTCAAAGAACCAGTGCATCGGGATCAATTAGTGTCGGGGAAGCAGAACAAAAAGACAGAGCTGTCAGGGAAGTTTCGGGCCGCTCCCGATTAGCACGGGTTGGGAGCCAAGGATCCTTTGCATGGGGTAGAAAGTAAAGTCCCTTCAGACTGTTATATACTACTGTCCCGTCTAGATGCTATATAAATTATGGCGCGCATGGCTAGTATAGCAGATTATAGTTATCATCATCAAGAAGGGAGATCGTCCGATCGAGTTATAACGTGCTAACCTTCCAACCGCGAGTCAGGAGACGGTCGGACTGAGCCGAGAGAGTTAAGTATGTTGATTGCTGACGACCAACACCTGCAGCCTGCTTATTGGAGCAAAATAGGGTATTATTGTCGGTAAAAAAAGAAATACAAAATAAAAAAGGACTAACTGGGTGGAACAGGCAGCGGAAAATGCATCCAATTTGCGGCCAGTGCACTGCATGTAATAGTTCAGTTAGCCTGTACAGTAGCTCCGGACAAAAGTACGCGATGGAGCTCAGCTCCACTTGCCCAGTCCGCGGGCCTGACCTTGACGTTGGTCCAGCCCCATGTTGGTCCATGCTGTAGATAATAGTGGCCATGGTTCCTCATCATAGTGGCCATGTAGGAAAATGGTCCCATCGTGTTCTTTTTTGGCCCCCATCCCATACAGGTAACTATGGGGCCCGCTTACCCGTCGATTGAGTTCCCCCCCCTGATGATACTGATGATGGCGGTCCTTTTGGTCAGCGGCTGATAACTGATTGAACTAATTTACTCGGTTTGCGAATTTCTTATTAGTACGCCGGAGTGGACTCGCCGGAGTTAGGCTGTCGTTACAAATGCAATCCCAATTTAGTACTTAAAATCATTGGTACAGTATACATGGAGAGTCAGCATCCTTAGTTTCCTTACAGAGGCCACTATACTTCGTACTTAGTATCGATGGGACTTCTGTACCTTTCGCGGATCTCCCTTCGAAAGAGTTTCAAGACTTCTCCAAATCCCGGCCCACACTTTTGTACCTTGTCCACTAGGACCACTAACTACCCCATTAGTATCATGGTCTACTGTAACTTCGTACTGTAACTAACTTCTATTTCCTAACTTTCCTGGTTTTACAAAGTTCAAGCCAACAGAGATCGTCTTCCGTGATGAGCCTATGCCCAAATCTAATACCACGATTATGATGGACAGCAAAAGACAGTTGCCCGTCACCGTTGACGATCATGACACTGACAAGCGCTGCAACAGGATGGGGCCCACAACCTAGGCCCCATACCGGGCGGCGCTGATTTGGTCGGGGAAGTAGGGGGTCGTGCGTCCGCGCGCCGCAGCTCGCCGTAAAGAGTAGTCGAGAGATTCCTTGGCCCCCTCGGCCCTGATCTGAGGTTAGAGGCTAAGAGGTCTGTGATTAACTAGTCAGCAAGAGAGAGGAAGAGGGATGATGGTTGCGAGTCAAGCAGTAGTTTCTGCGGCTGTAACAATAAGTACCAAGTGTGTAATGGGTATTGGGTCCCATAGGGAAAGAGCTTGCATTCAGGGTCGGGGAGATAGTTCGGTCCCAGGAATTGTACCAAATATTGATGGATTTAAATCAAGGATATTTTTATTTTCTTTTTTTAAAGAGGGGGATTTGTTAGGTGCAGTGCTTTATGGGGGTGGGAAGGGAAGGTGTTGCTAGTCTGGGGGGGGGATGGTTCTTTTTCATGTCTTTTTTAGGGAGGAGTCTCTCGTCTCTTTTGGGTCTTTTTGTCAAAAGTTGCCTGGTGATCGCATTCTTCTCTGCGTGCATTTTGGCACTTGGGGGTTTCCGGTCCTTTATATTATTATTGCCTCTTGATTATTATTTCCTTATTTCTTATTCCTGATTCCTGATTCCTTATTATTCTTGCTCTCTTTTAATTCTATCATTTCTCTTCCGCCACTCGTCACATTTAGGCCCTTTCGATTGTCGGCCCTCTCCTCCTCGTCCTCTCCTTCGCCTTTTAGTCCATGCTCGTCTCAATTTGGATCATTTCCTATTCTTGATTGACACATTTTCCTCCAAGCGCCTTTGGAAATCGTCTGTCATCATCAATTCTCCATCTCTCTCTCTCCGCCTTCAAATCATCAGCACCATTTTCCGCCTTCCTCCCTCCAATTCCGACACTTCCATTATTTACTATCCGTTATAAACATTCTTCCCAACTTCTTTCCTAACCGATTAAATTCCTAAGAGGGTCAGTTCGTCATGGACCCGTACCCTCCACCATCGTCCATGACCCTCTCCCCTCAATCGCCGCCCGTCGGTCAACCATCGACCGTTTTCCGGCCCCGCCGATCCGACGACTGGCACGAGTATCGCGAAATCATCGAGCAACTCTACCGCAACGACCAGCTCAAACTGCGTGATGTCAAGCGCATTATGGAACGGGACTATAAGTTCTATGCCTCGTATCGCTCCCAATTTCCTTGATTTCTATTCCCCTTATCCCAATTCTGTGCCCTGTCCAATTTTATAGATCTTCCCATTTGTCAAATATCATATGATAACTTCATATGATTGCTTCATGTTTGGCTTTATTCCATAATCCTAAGGAATTATTGCTTTGCCCTTTCCTTTCTGTTCTTTCCAATTCGTTGCATACTTCCCTGCCGCCCCCCCCTCATCTCCAATTAACGACCAGACCAACCTAACATTCCCGACCTCGCTGGCAGAGAAAAACAGTACAAAGACCGCCTCGCTGCATGGCATGTCCGCAAAAACATTAAGGCCAAGGAAGTGCATTTGATGATTCGCAAGCAGCAAAAACGCGCCGCCCGAGGGAAGCAGACTGCCTTTCGGGTAAATGGCCAGAATGTCGATCCTAAACGCATTGCACGCTTCGTTCGCCGTTACGGTAATTCATGGGATCAAGACGGGGATCGAGACGCTGAGGATCAAAGTCCCGAGCCGAGTATGTTTTATATCACTTACCTATGATGAGGATGAATGCTAATAATGCTCTTCAGAAACCCCATCTGATATGACATGTTATACGCCCGAACCAGAGGACAATGCTGCCACGCCAGTCTCTCCACCAGACATCCAGTCACCCACGAGGGAAACATCGACTTATCCACTCAACTACGGTATGCTCATACCTATTCCTACTCGAAATATGTACTTGAAACAAGATTAACCCTCCCAGACCCTAATTCCATCGACACCATCCCAGATCTGATAATGGACGACGACAACAACACTTACCCACTGCACATACCCCGACGAACATATCACCCAAGCCACCATCCTCATCCTTCTCACCCCTCAGCACACCAACTCCCCCACCCAGCAGTGTCACACCCACTAGTCCACCCAGTACCACACCCAGCCATCACCACCTCCCAGGATGCTGATCACCATCCGCCCGTGGCACTCCCACTCCCTGGATCCTTGCAGCAGCACCGGGGAGGCATGAACGGTCCTCCTGAAATGTTTCCACATTCTAGTAGTTATGCTAGTCTGGATGCGTTTCAGAATCGACTCGGTGAATTGGGCACTACGCTTAATGAGTCCATGGCTAAGTGGTCGCGTGAGCAGGATCCTAATCAGGAGATTCCTCATCATGAGGGGTTGGGATTGTGATGTCGATGTAGTTGTGCGTGTGCTGTGAATAACTTTGTTTTCTTATTTGTTCACTTTGATTTTTTGATTCTCTCCATGTTGGACTGGATCGTTTTTTGTGTTGATGTGGATTGATTCTTCTATGATGTATATGGCCCGTCTTCTTCTTCTTCTTCTTTTCTTCCCTCTTCTTTATATTGCGTGTTTTTCTGCTTTTGCCTTTTGCCTTTTTTTTCCCTGTCATTTTTTTTTCATCTTTTCATCTGGAGCGTGTGTTCTTTTTCTATTCCCCTCTTACCCATTTACCCATTTCTTTTCTCTTCATTTCTTGTCTCATTGGTTCCTTGTTCATTCCCCCCTCATCACGTATCCACGCATTTCAGACAGGGAAAGATTGAGAAAGATAAAATCATAGCAAGGGCGTTTTGTTCTCTTCTTTTTTTGGCCTGGTCGGTGCCATTACCTTCCTCAAGGTTGGCCATCCTGTTTAGAGTGGGAGGAATCCCTGGTTTGATCTACCCATTTGACCTACCCCGTGTGCATTACAAGGTTATATCACCGTGTATCTCATACCTTACCTGGGCTACATTCACATCTATTTCCACCCTCTACTCCACTCGGGTCGACCCCCTCGTTTCGAGTCTCGACTCTATTTATACATGTTGAGGTATATTCGCACCGCACCACCTGTCGGGGCCATGTGTCCTGGAGTTGGTATAGTTAGAACCGCATATTGGGTTTGGTCCATATAGGAATCCTCATTTAGAATACTGCTTCCGAGCTTAACTACGGTTCCAGGTTATCGAGACCTGCTGTAAGGCTCGAGTGAAGGCCTATCTAAAATGCTTATGTTCCACCGCCCGTCTTCCGCCACGATCGGTCCAGTGTAATCTTCCATATCGCGCCGTCTACATCTACGTGCAACCTGCTCCATTTCACTCCTTTTTTGTAGGTGCACAAACCCAGACAGCCACTTCCCATTGAGGTCCTAGCTTCCTAAACAAAGACTGGTTGGTTGTTGCGTTCAGAAAATCTTCAAGTTTATGCCACCGATGGCTATGTTACATGGTTGTATCGGCTCTCATCCCAAAATCTCTTACTGGCCCCCAGCGAATACCCCAACAATAATACTTATTAAAAACTAAACGATCTTGCAAAAGACGATGTTCAATTTTTAATTGCGACATGTCTAAAGACAAAAAAAAAAAAAAGACAAAAAGAAATGCTCACTGCCAGATTTGAACTAGCGACTTCGTGATTACTAGTCACGCACTCTACCAACTGAGTTAAGCGAGCTGGTTGATTGGCTGAAACTTCAAGAAAAGGATTCAATTGATCAAGAGTTGAAATCCCATAGGTAGAAGAGTTGTATTGCACCGGTAGATAGTAGATACATAGAAATCCAAGAGCATGACCATCGCTAAACCAATCCCAGTCCCCAAAGGAGGGCATAAATAAAAGATAAACAAAATAGATTGAGATAAAAACAAACAAGAAAAGCCCTGACCCCGAAAGATGGAGGGTGCATGGGCAGTGGATATCGGGTGTCAACGCGACTAGATCGGTAGATCGACAGGAGAGGATTCGAGACTGTAGCGTGCTCGTAATGTAGAGAGGTATATATATGAGGACTGAGAGGGTAGGTGGAGAGGGGTTCGTAAAGAGAGGGGGGTAAAGGTGGGAAAGCTTTTGGCGTATCGAGAAGACAGAATATGAAGGGCAAAAGGGGACAATGTCATCACGCTTCATACAACCTTTTTAAGCCCGATCCCCTGGCGGGAAATTCTATATCTCAGGAGTAGAAGGTGCTCTTCTGGAAGCTCTCTGGTGAGATGTCTCCCATCTTGCCCTTGAGCTCGGGCGGCTGATCGCCGACCGGCTTCGAGATCGACGAAAGGCTCTGGGTGCGCTCGTTGGCTGCACCGCCCTTCATCGTGCTTGTGCGAGTGACAGGCTCGCTACCTGCCGTAATGGCTTGCTGTGCTGGGCGTCGCTGGATGGTCTCCAAGTATGGGCCAGGCAGGTAACCAACACGACCGTCACGGGCACGGCAGCGCCACCACTCAGAGGCATTGCCCATGGGGTCGGACTTGCTGAGGACGGCAACGATGTCACCCTTCTTCACGGCGAGGTCGATGCCGTTGCTCTCCTGGGTCTCGGGAGCGTAGTCATACAGAACGCGGCAGAAGTCCAGCTTGGCCGGATCCATGGACGCGGACTGAGGCTCGCCGTTGGGGCCGATCAGCTGCTGTCGGCGCTTGGCCTCTTCCTCCTGCGACCGAGCCAAGGCCTTGATAAGCTTGCCCATCAGGTAGGGCAGACCGAAGACGGCAACCAGGAACATGAAGAACGGCTTCTTAGACGGCTTAGCCGGGGCAGGCGAGCCATCGGGAAGAGTGGCGGCCGCCGAGCGACCGCCCATGAAGGCTGCGAATGCAGCAGGAGTCAAGGATGTGGCATCCGCTGGCGGAGGCCGACCGGTGATTTTAGCGATCAGAGTGCGGAACCACCGAATGATTGTGAAGATACCCAGAGCCGAGCCGAGGGTGTTGCGCAGATTACCAAATTGTTCTGCGACCGAGACCATTGCTGTTGACACAGTTAGAAATCGCACTTCCAATATACCATAGGCTTGAAGAATGTTTTATCACTTACCGAAGAATGAGCTGTGGGTAGCCATGTATGTGCTCTCGAGCATCTGGGCAAAGCCGCCAAACGCGCCGACGATGCTTTCAATCATCTGGAACGTGGCCTGTGTGCTTTGACTGAAGGAGTTGGTCAGGCTGTTGGGGTCATTGGGATCCTGCCCAGGCATGCCACCGTACATCCCTCCCATACCTCCCATGCCGCCATACATGCCTCCCATGCCTCCATAGCCGCCGTACATTGAGCCCATGGAGCCGAAGCGGGAGTAGGGCGACGAGTAGCCACCATAGCCACCATATCCCCCGTAGGGCGTGGTGGCTCCAAAGCGTGACGCGCCATAGGGGGAATAGTTAGAGGCTGTTGAGTTGACGACGGAGTTGAGAGTGCTAGGGCGGGAGGGTAGATCGGGAACGGTGGATGTGGTTGTTGTTGCGGGGTTGACCGCGGCAGGTGAGGTTGTAGTCATGGCGGTTGAGGCAGCTGGGCTACCAACAGTGGGTGTAGAAGACAACGCAGACCCTGCACATCCCTCGGATATTAGTAAAAGGGGGTTATGTTTGGGATAGGATGGAAGATGGTTGATGGTGGCGATGACTCTTTGGGGGGTGTTCACCGCTCAACGGTCGTTCCGGGGGGAGAAGAGGAGAGAGAGATAGGGAAAGACTCACCAGCAGTAGCACCAGCTCTCTCCCAGGGCTTAGGAGGCGACACCGACGCCATAATCAGGGTCAACCTTGCATCGGGACCAGTCCAAGGGAGGGGAGATGATGAACTTGGAGACTGGGGGAAGAGTGGAGGTGGATCGAAGGATGGGGGATGAGCGGAGAAGAAGGGAAAACTGAAAGTCAAGTCGCATGTGGCCGGGAGTGGAGAAGCCGAGGATGTCGGCGTTTGCCGACCGCCGGGGAAGACGAAGCACTACTAAGTCGCCCTCGGCGATAGAATAATATGGGCTCGGTCACGTCGAGTGTCCCGAGGCTGAATTGATTATTCTATAAAGACTACTATATCTCAGTCTGTACTCTTCTCTTGGATGTTTCTTTTCCCCTAGAGATCTTACGGGCGCAGGAAATCTCTGCGGTGGCAAACTCTCTAGGCAAGATTGGCCGACCGCGGCAAACATTCCGAAGGTCATAGCAACACCGGGAAAGACTGTATAGTAGTTTTCGAATTCAGTTGGACTTCACACTCTCTAGACTTGATCACTGTAAAAAGGAAAGCTAATACTATAATAAGCATAAGGACACGGGTTACAAAATAACAAAGCACCGAGATATATAGTGGCAACCGTTATCGCCTTCCATATCGGGAAACATTAGAGATAGCCTAGTCACATGATGAGCTAAGCCAAACATGGCTCTGTATTAAATTGGAAGGTTGTTCCAGGTTTATACGGTAATAACGACGATGAAAGTTAGGTAGAAAACTGTACTTAATGTGTCCAGAAATACCCCCCACATCACCATAGCGTCGTTAGTTCACACTCCTCCCAATGGTCTCCACGCGATATCATCCCCGCGGCATCACATAAGCCCCTTCATTATCAAGTCGTAGAATACAGAACAATGGATAGGGACCTGACCCGAAACACATTTAGTAACACCCATATTCTTTTCGTACCAATCTTCGTTAGGACGGTAATAATGATTTTTGTGGAGCAGGTCCAAAATCCATGTATAATAAGAATACTATCAACTATGGCAAATGACACGAGAAGGCCCATAGCCCATGAACAAACAGGATGCTGTCATAGTTTGTGTATATAATAACTCCAAGAAATAATGACTTTTAACTGCATGAGAAGAAGTCATCAAAAGCATGTACCCGTCGGGTTCCCATTCAACAAGCATGCCTTGTATTCCGGCGAAACATGGCTGCAACAGAATTGTACGAAATTATCTACGGTGCATCCATACGTACCTATGGGTGCACAGCATTGCGAATACTGACATGTCAGAGGTGATGTGCACTGATATCTTATATATTAGTAAGAGGTCATACTCCAGGAGAAGAAGATTGACCTACAGCATTGTTGCACTGCCCACAATTTTTGTTATCGGAGGCCGTATCTGTACAAGCTCCTTTGCATAATTTCTGTGTTGGTGAGGTCTTAAACGGACCACAAACATAACATGGCCCCTTCCCACTTAAAGCAGGGAGTAAACAAGTGGTGGCTGGGTTAGGGTAATTTTTAAGACACCATTGAGTGCACTCCGCAAGCTTGACCACAGATGTCTGTGGCAGAGACCAAACAGGGCCGGCTTTGATAAGTTAGATATTTCAATCTCTGATGCGTGTTCATGCTCAGGCATTCATCCTACCTAGAGTGAGTAGAGTGATGAGCTTCAGGCTAACCATCTTTGATAGGACGTGGTGTGTAAAGTACTAAAAAGTAGGTGTTGGTGCTCAGCTTTTCTCCTTCGATAAGCTCATTTTAAGACTACAAGAACGAGTAAATATATCACGGGAGTGTTTCAACGATGACGTTCATGAATAGGTCTAGGTTTATCGGCGTGAGATTCAACATGGCCTCGTGTTCGACTAGGCTAGCTCCCGTCGCTTAAGATTACGACGGATGTGGGAATATCACCTGGTACCAAGCTAGCCGTAAGAACACGATTGAAATGTAGATTGACGATACGCACCCGAGCCTCCCCACTTTCTTCCCATATGGAGTCGCATAGAACCTTGGTGCAGAATAATGGCATTAGTGTCAAAGATGGGCTTCAAGAAGCGATTGCCTTAGTGTTTCCAGTCTGATATCTCACCCATGGATGTCATTTGCCTCTTATATGTAAAGATTCATAAATGAATTTTGGCATTTATACAAAAGTTTTCCCTATTCCTAAATAATTTTCTATCACAGATTCTCATCATAAACCAGGACTTCTTATCATAAAAATCCTCCTCCAACACATTCCTCACCATGAAAACCCTCATGTTGATTATTTCTTTCTCTCTTATCCTTGTCTCTTTTTCCAACAGCGTCCTTGCCGAGACCGTGACCGAGACCGATTCTGAAGGAAAGATCACCTTGGTCAAATATGTTCCTGACTCATAAGCCTGTTATACGAAGGAATGAGGATATTTAAATGACCAGTTTCTGATAGGTATCAATGATATTTTGAGGTGGTAAGTAATAGACCAAAGTAATATATAGATAAACAGCCTCTGATGTGGGTAATCATTAGAATCTAGGTGTTATTTCCGCTGGCTTTCAAAATGGGGAAATATTAACTATGGATCTTGCTCTTATGTATCAAATTTCAATTTCTCTTTTTCTCACTGTAGCAAGAAATTTCAGAACCAAATACGATGCGATGATGACTGAACCCCATTATTTGCTTATGTCTGGCCAGGGAGGCTCGTAGCAAATCTGGAACCTCAGGAATCATGACCTGAAGATTTCTAAGTCAAAGCAAGTTTGCCCATAAAACTTCGTCTTTCGGTATGATTAGCGCTGAGCTACGTCTTGCGAGTCTCCAGGGCCTGATTTCCTGCAGTCAGGGCGCTAACTTATTGGCAATCAACCTGCCCACAATCTTCCTCGCTTTTCAACATAATAAGAGGAAGGTGGGGTGAGTGGGACGTCATTTTATCTCAAGGGGCATTTTATCTGTTCGACAACGGGCAGCGTGTCTTTTTTTTGTTTTGTTTTTCCCCCGGAAGGTGACAAGGAGGAGAAGTAGAGGGACTTTGAAGAAGAGGAAACCGCCATTTAACACTTCACCCCAAGGCCCCCTGCTTAACGTACTAGCTAAGCGGATATAGTAGGCGGTGTGGACCGAGGGGGTTAAAAACTTATGGAACGTCACACTATCTCCCCGAGCTGGCAGAATATCACACGCCCCGACCGTATTGTTTGCTATGACGCCAGCAACCAGTTTTTTCGCAACCTTCCTCTCCCACTATGCTGAAGTTAACCACAAGCCTTGCCTCTTAAGATCAGAAATTGAATCACTTTGAGGCGCCTTCATAGGTACTCACCTACTTAATCTGGATATATCACGTCCTGCCATCCACGGCAAGAGTTTTACTGAGAAAAGCATCCGTATGTGGGCCTTGGTTCAAAATCGTCGTATAGAGAGGCTTGTTACCCATGAAATTGAGCCAGAGCAAACTACTGTATCATCAATTGATACGCCCGACACCACGCAACACTCACCACGTAAGCAAAAATCCGAAAAAAAAAAAAAAAGAGGAAATGAAAGCGCTAAGTGTATTCTAGCCGCCGACAGCCATGGCTGGATCTGGGTGGAGACAAGCGGCGAAGACGACCCACTTGATCCCAGGAACTGGACATTGCTATCAAGATCCAAGAACATCGGAATCCTCGTGTTTCTGATATTCACACAAGGATGGGCAGGCTCAGCCGACTCTCCCGCTAACGAGCGTTCTAGTCGCGAGTTTGGAGTGTCCCAAACTGCTCAAAACCTGTCAACCGCAATGTATCTATTTGGGATTGGCTCAGGCGCTCTTTTCGCTGGCCCATTGTCGGAATCTATTGGGCGAAATCCTACTTATCTGGTGCCAACCTTCATATACCTCCTTTTTGTCCTTGGGTCAGCCCTTTCGCCCACATTCGCCGGCCAGGTGATATGCCGGTACTTCGTGGGACTGTGTTCCAGTCCGACGCTATCGATCAACGGTTCCAGCGTCGGTGACCAATTCCGGCCCGTGAAACGCACTTTTGTGTTCCCAGCGATTGCTTGGGCTAATATTGCAGGTAAGTTCCCTGTGAAAGCTAGAAGTATCAATACTGACACTGGTGGGATTGAGGCCCGATGATTAGCCCCATCGTTGGCGGTTGGATTTCTTCCAATCCAAGCTTGAGCTGGCGCTTGACAGAGTATATAACTCTGATCATCTCGGCATGTGCCTGGATCGTGTCATTTTTCTTTCTCCCCGAATCATACCTACCGATATTGCTGGATTGGAAATCGAGGCAGCTACGACGTCAGACTGGCAAGGCGAACTACGTGTCTGCTCAATCCAGGAGCTCCTTTCTTCAACGTCTGAAACATGCCGTCCCCCTCCCGGTTATATTACTCACTACCGAGCCCGTGATATCTGTGCTCGGCGCGTATTTGATACTACTGTACTGTATCCTGTTCACTTTTCTATCTGGATTCGACTATATCTTCAAAAAGACGTACAACCTGTCTACAGGGCAAACTGGGTCATGTTTTGGGGCGGTTGCTGTCGGCGCGACAATAGCTACGTTTGCCACTCCGGGCCTGTATGTATGGGCCCGCCGAAAGACTAACTACGAACATGGCGCGACTGTAACTCCTGAATTTCGACTGTGGCCGGCGATCATTGCTAGTCCGTTCTTACCAATATCACTATTCTGGTTAGGATGGACAAACTACCCAACTGTCTCGATTTGGTCGGGCCTGATCGCGTGCGGAATCTTCGGTGCGGTGCTGATATCCATCTATATCAGTAGCTACGAGTATATTATCGACAGCTATGGAAAGCACGCCGCAAGTGCGCTAGCGAGCATTACGATGGCTCGCTACCTCGTAGCGGGTGGTATGGTAATGGCAGCCCGCCCGATGTACGAAGGAATCGGGGTCCATTGGACGATGACCATCTTGGGTGGGTTGTCAGTATTGTTAACTCCGGGACCACTCCTTTTCAGGATCTACGGTGCTAGATTGAGGGATAGAAGCCGATATGCAGACAAACTGAGTCAGTCTGAGCCCGAGCCTGATTACCCTCATTAAAGAGGCGACACCTCGGGCAGCAAAGTATCAGTGAACCCGGACACCTTCATTGACGAAGTGTAGAATGTAGTGTATTTACAAGGTAATACACTATTGAAATTAATATGCTTACTACGTACGTATGAATACATACGCAGCTACCGCAATAATCCTAAATACGGACTAGTGTGTCATGGCGTGAGGGGCAGGAAAGTCATTGAGAGAGTGGAGTTGTTGCACCGGCTTCGCGACGTATTGTATCTCTGTCGTTGCACATTCTAGTTTTCATTACTCTACAAGTCTCGGAGGCTCATATCCCAGGTATATTTAATCTGTCACCACAATCATGGTACAGTAGTAAGTTCCTTTTATTGAGCTTTCTGTAGTCATGAGCTGGAATCTAGAAAAGCAATTCAGAAGCTTCTGGGAAACTCGAGCCTTATAACTCCTATAATCTAACAATTTTTATGGTACGGTGAACTTCCTTATTTCTGATAACAATATGCTTTCGCCGCCGACTATATTCGAGAACTAAATTATTCTTGACTTGTTGATATCGGTAATTCTTCCCGATTCTCTTAGGTCCGAGAATATCGACTCCCGTAATATAAATCGAAGTAGCGGTTATTAGGGTAGGAGTGCTTCTAAACCACCCTAGCTAAAAGTTATACTCTATTAATAGATACCGCCGGGCTTTATAAGCGACGATTAAAATATAAACTTGAATAGAGAGAATCGTATCCTCCGTTATTTATCTAATATCCTAAATATTTTTTATATTGCCTATTACTGAATTTCTTAGTTCACTAATCCTACGAATAGAGAGATAATCCTAAAAAGTACTAAATTAAAGTTTTATACTAACCGGAAAACGTTATCTAGATCTTCTTACTCTTAGCTATAATAAGCGCGCTGACCTTCGAAGTAGTAGCGCGGTGCGAGATTCTATAACCTAAAAACTTCCTTTAGTAAGTCGAGCTAACCGACGTATATCGTGTTACGCGTTACGTCTTATTAACTACCCCTAAGGAAAATCAATCTTGAATATAAATGTCGCGGATGATTCAGTATGGGCCGGATAATCAAAGCTAAACGAGGAAAATATTACCAGTCCTAGGTACCAGCTTTTCAATTATTCAGCAGTAAGGATCAATATACCTCATCTATAAAAGAGGCGCTTGCCTTATTGCTATACAACTAAATCCAACCATAACTGTGTGATAGGTTTCCACAACGCTTCCTTCGAAAATGTCCACACCGGTAGGTTACCTGATCGAGTCAATGAAGAAAGCTAATGCTCATGATTTCCATGGGATGATTAGGTACAAAACCACGTTATCAATCATATCGGAATATCCGTATCCAACTGCGAAGCAGCGGCAGAATGGTACAAGAAACTGTTCGGTTTCCAGTCAATCGGTTCAATTCGCCATCCCAAGCGCAGCACGCAGCCAAACCACTGTGCTTTCGACATTTTCCCTGCCTCCCTCAAGGAATTCAAAATGGCCTTTTTGACTGCGGGCAACAGGGTGGGATTCGAGATCTTCGAGTTCATCGAACCCAAGACATACGTGCCACAACCAGAGTTTGAATATCATCGCGGCGGGGTGTTTCATATTTGTGTGACGGACGCAGACCCGAATGCTCTAGCTGATAGAATGGTGGAGGCTGGTGGTAAGCGGATTGGAGTATCAGCTCGTCCTAATTCAGAAAACACGATGGTGTACGTCTCAGATCCATGGGGTAATGCTATCGGGATCCTGGATGGTAGCTATGAACGTGTTATCGGCATGATGCAAATGTCGGCTTAACTCAACGGAGCCGGAGGTTATCCGAATGGAATGGCTCGAGTATTGTTCTGCGCTACAGGGATTAGGTCTATTTTGGAGACTTGAATCGAGGTACTTCGAGCTAAGGACTGTTGATAGTCTATAGACTCCTGCAGCGCCGCTCAAGCCAGAGTTGACCTTGTCTTTTTTGCTGCTAGTGGGGGTTAGGTTAGAAATTGTTAGCTGTGTGTATTTACCTTTCTACAGATCAGTTGGAAGTATTGAATATTACAAGCCCCGTGCCCTGAATACAGTTGGATATTGAGCAATCGGAAGTCATAGTAAGCCTGATAACTAATATTACTCCCCTCTCGTAGTCGAGTATTACTGTAGATAAAAATACGGGTAAATAGCAAGTTAAATGCGTATTAATAAACTGGACTACCTACCATACTGTTGTCTGTTAGTCAAATGCACATAGGACAAAAGACTTCCCAGAAGTATGAATGCTCAATCCCGAACAATACCATTCTGCAGTATAAAGTCGCCAAAGACTCTATAAAGACAAGCAAGTCCAAAAAGCCGAACCCCAATGTGATATAAAAACGAGAGGGTATCCAAGCTATCAACAAGGTATTAATAATTCGTCAACGTCAATCCGGAATAAACAATCAAGCCCTGATATCAAACAACCCCATCTTTCCCAAACGCCAGAATACAGTGATCGGTGTAGTGCTTATGTGCAGAAAAAAACAAATGCTGATGCAAGTGGTGTATAACAAGAGGAATCACAGTTCGCTGTGAGCCTTGGCAGGAGGTCGTCGAGTTCCTTCGGACGGTGGAGTCTGGATCTTCCAGGGACGAGGAGGCACGGGCAGGCCCAGCCAGAAGGCCCAAAGTCGTTGTCCTTCCCACATGGTAATTTCGATTCTGTATGTAAATGTTAGTACATGACGTTATAACAGATGACCGTAGTTTGCACTTACACTGTCCGAGGAATATCCAGCCAGCTCCGCAGGACATATGCAGTCACGTCCCAGACCATATCAAATTCTGTCTTGAGATCGTCATAGGCAGATGCGTCCGGCTTGCGGGGAGGACGTTGCCAAGGCAAGCGATCCACTTTCTCTCGTCCATAAATATAGCTCCCCTCGTCATTCTCATAGTAGAATTGTCCAGTACCGTCGTGGAACAACTTTCGCGGCTGTTTATTTTCATCCTTGGCCTCGGCGTGATTATGAGTCGAGGGCGCAGAGTGTCGAAGCGGGAATGCATTCTCTTGACCTGCTTCCAGAGCTTCGTGGAAGCTCCGTGCCGCAGCGATACTGTGCGAGATGCGGCCGAGAGTGTTGATGAGAGCTACCAGCTCAGTACGACGCAGCTGCGGGTTCTCTCCGTTCTTGGTCTCATCATACTCGAATAGCACCTTGAGGGCAGTCCCGTATCCGTTGACTTGCAGCTTGCCCCAAAGTCGGCACTTGTCACATCCAACGCAGTCCATCAGCCGGCTGACGTTGCGGAAGCGGTTGCGGAAGTCCTCCTTCAGGCCTTGGGTGCTAGGGTCCTGGAACATGAGGTTCTCGTCGAAGATTTGCGGCGGCCGCGAGAGGACCTCGGTGAGTTGGTTGATTCGCTGCTTGGTCTCAATATCCTGTTCAGGCTCGCTGGTACAGAATGTGTAGCCCTCCAGGTGCTTGCGCAGCTTAGCGACGGCCCGCGAAACAAGAGCGTAGTTGAAGTACATGTTGGAGATGCGCTCGGGATGATCGTGCAGCCGCTCCTTGTAGCACTGCATGTTGGGGTGCCACTCGCCCGTAGTCTGGTTGAGGTAGTCCCAGCAGAGATGCGTGGAGATGGAGGCGTGCATTCCACTGATGAGCCGGTGGAAGACCCGCTTCTCCAAGCACTCATTATCCAAGGGCAATCCATCCAGCCGTTGCGATTCCTTTTGCAGGACGTTTCGGAAATCGGAGACAGCCTGCAGACCACCCAGAGGGACATTGAGCGACTGCTCCTCCAGCTCCTCGGCCATGGGCTTCATGAAGCAGTTCTCGCGGTAGATCGCATCCCACACTTGGTGCGCACCTTCTCCAGCGTATCCGGTGAATCGCTCGGGGTTGTCAACCAAGCTTACATAGTCGCCCTTGCCGGCAGAGCCCTGGTCCTCGGGCACACAGTAATCCCGGTCGTCACATTCGTCGTCGTACTCGACCACACAACTCTCTCCAACACCTTCACCCAGCATACCCTGGAGCGGGCGCTCCTTCGGGCGCTCTGCCTGGACCTTGCGAGGCGGGTGGTTGGCCTTGGGACCTTCAAGCTTGCTCAACTCTTCCGACCGCCACACGAGAGGGATGTCTTCTTCGGATTCGATGGTATTCACGGAGCATGCGATGTTGCCGCACATGCTGTTCGAGTCTGACCAGAAGGGGCATTCTTTATTGAAGAGGTTCAAGCGGTAGTAGGAGAAGAAGTCGGTTTCGAGGGTGATTGATTGAAGGAGGGTGTAAACTTCGTCGTTGAGTTTGTTGATCGTGCCGTAAGAGACACACGCGTCGGAGACCATTGCTGTCGGGTCGATCTATATAGGAGAGGGATTTACCTTATTAGTATTGCAGATGCAGTGACAAGGGTTGTGGCTGTCAACGAGTGCTTCCACTTACCGCGCATTTGTCCAGCCCTGTTGAGCCATGGCTGCTTGCGCTGGCCAAATTTGAAAAGGCAAAGACTGCCGCGTAGAAAAGTCCTGCTGCAGATCGCATAGTGCCGACCATCTAAAGAATCAGGCTATAGCAGCCAAGAGGGGGGCGAAGGGAGTGTGGTTCAAAAAGGATGCGGCGAGGGACGGAGACGCGAGGTGGCGGCAAAGAGCGCAGAATCGGCACCGGTCGCAATGCAAAGATAACAGTATGGGACTGTTCTGGGTCGTTCAAATCAAGTCACAGTTAAGAGACTGCGAGCATGACAGAAAGTGTCGAGAGGTCGAGTGTCAAAAGAAAGAATGGACCAACACAACAAAGCCAAGTGGACAGATTGGCCTTGAGGGTCCTTTTCCTTTCAGCATGGATCGGCCGATCCGCCGCGCCAAGAAATCCCGTGGTCTGATCGGGTGGAGACTGCTGATTGGTCGGGTTATCTGGGGCTAAACGGCGGATTGTCAGTTTATGGGCCGATCGTCAATCATGTCTTACAACTACTAAATACTATAGATTTCAATTGAAGTTCTGTCGTACGACTTGTCCGGGCAATCTGATGAAACACGAGTCTTCAAAATATGAGGCTTACTGTACCTAACCCTAGTAGGTGCCACAGATCTCAATTGTCGATTTGATTCCGTCGTCATGTCTATTTATAAGCAGGGCGGAGTCCCGGGCTCGGATATCTATTCGGGATCACTCTATTGGTGGGAGGCCAAATTTACCTAGGGAATTGAATGGGTAGTTTGAAAATATCCCAATCCTGATTATCAATCACACCCGCCAGAGGGTACATATGCATAAAACTCGAATTACCGCATTAATCTCGGTCTCAGCCACAGGTATCATCCTATTCATCATCTGTTCTCAATACAACTCCCCTATCAAACATCGAGAAGCTTAAACGTAGATGCCGTGAACAAAGACTTGGATGCTTGTCTAAGTGGCTATTGAATGATCAGTTGCAAGTGTATCTCTAATCAAGCCGTCGAGCGCTCAAAGTAGCATCATTGGCTATTTTTCGCTCAAGCGTGTCATTCAATTCCAAATCCTCCGATATTCCCGGCGACCTTCTTGTAGATATCACTCATAAATGATAACCTATTAATGGATTGCCAAGGACATCCGCCTATCCTGTGATCGATAAAAAACAAAGAGTCAAGCACCGGCCGTTCAAACTCATATATGATATCACCCTCTACCACCTACATGACAAGGGACGATCATCCAACGGCGATAATTGATACGCTGCCAGACCCAACCGTTACATCCTATTGAAGCCCATTTTAGGTTATTGCTGTCAGCCGCACGGTTGTGGCTCGATCTGGCTTTTGGCTTCCACGCGGCACATTCTTTGTTCGAGGGAAAGGGGGACCAAAATATAGTCATCTCCGCCCAATCACAGCGAAACCTCGTCTGAGAAATAAAGTTTTGATCGGCGCATGAGAGCAGATAGTACCGAGCCTTATACTTAAAGTGTATCTCAATAAACAAAGTCTCCGCAGTTCAACCAGAGCATACGATGGGTGATGTGATATGCCGAGCAACATAAAAGGGACCCATCTGTCACTCTACATGAGCTCTATCATAGTGAGAATTCTTCAACCAAGATGCAGTACAGTCAACTGAGTTCTATTCTCGCCCTTTGCGGCATCATTTTTGTGGTGACGGCCACTCAAATCGAGCCTCGTGAGGCTGCGCCGCAGCCTACCCTGCCAGCATGCCAACCTAAGTGGGATACCAAGCCAGGAGGTGATGGCTGCTAATCCTAGAGTGCTGATTTATACAGTGAGTCCTCAATTACATCCATCTATCGTGTATATTTGCTTACAGAATCTACCTAGACCTTTCACCCTTCCTCTCCATCCAGCCGAAGGGGAACAATGAGCGCGTCCTATTTCATCCATGAGGCAGAAGGCTGGATTTCAGAAACTTTGAGATTGATGAGATCGCATCATCACTGTTGATAGCGCTGACAAGAGGATGTGGACCAATTTCGGTCAACGGAAGAAACCTTGCTTTTTGTATTATTTGAATTTACCCCGACTGTATTTGAAGCCTTCTCTCATTAGACGATCAAAATTTTAATCATTTATCTCTAATTGGCTGTTTAGAGCCGCTCCTCACATATGTTAGAAGGTAGACAAGTGCTTGCCGAGTACTTTGATGCACAGGCTAACTCTGATTAGCTCGGTATTGAGGATTGTCATGGAGCCTGATCAAAGATTCTGTAGCGCTGGAACAACGAGTCTTGAATGTAGCTACTTTACTATATTAAGTTGACACGTTAGATCAAAGTAATACCTACTTTGTTTCCATCCCTCACACTTATCCTCCTTCTATTTTCGTGGAATGTACTGAATGAAAAATATGGCTTGGTTCACTTGCCTTCTCGATGACAACCAGAAGGCAGATCTCGGACTACAGCCGCCATGGAAGACTGTTTGTGAGCCACGGATATGCCTTTTGCCATGTTCTTGCTGTTGGTGCAGTAGAAGCTTGATTGTGGTCGGGGTCGGGTGACAGTGCCCCGATAGCTTAGAGATGGGTGCCCGAACAAGATACGGCTCTCGGCAAATATCGTCTAGTATGTTATACTTTCTTCACGATATAATAGCAAAAATTCCGTCGCTGTGGGGCCCCGCAATCGGTCAACAACAGCGCGAGCTAGAATCGGACGCCCGTCGACCGACGAAGTTGACCTTAACCATCATACCTAGACTAGGACATTCTGTAAAGAGGAAGATGCCTGAAGTATTTAAACTTACCCCACGATGCCTTGCCCCGGATTTTCATTTTGCAGATTATTCAAAATTCGACTTCGAGACTTTAAACCAAATCCTTCAAGAATACAAACTCGATGGCTATCGCAGTTTCCGAGGCCGTCGTAGGCGAGAGCGAGGTGATTTCCTACAATTCACCAGGCTTTAAAGGACTCATCAAAGAGCCTTATATCTTTTGTCTGGCATGTTTTGCCTCTATTGGCGGGCTCTTGTTTGGATATGACCAGGGTGTTATATCCGGTGTGTTGGTAATGAGCAATTTCGTGAGTCTAACAAAACCTTGGCAGAGTTTGAAAGTGACGGGCTAAGGTTAATAAATGAACAGGCAAAAGAATTTCCAAGTCTGGCAAATGATGCCACCCTCCAAGGATGGATGCTCTCAATCCTAACACTAGGCGCCATGATAGGCGCCCTATTCAACGGTCCCATCTCCGACAAATTCTCACGTCGCTGGTCCATTCTATACGCTGAGATATTATTCCTGATCGGCTCTATCTTACAATGCGCTGCTATGACGGTTGCAATGATGTTTATCGGACGACTCCTTTCCGGACTCGCGATCGGGATGACCTCTATGGTTATCCCGCTCTATCTGAGTGAGATTGCACCGCCGAATATACGTGGTAGCTTGGTCACTTTGCAACAGCTCGGGATCACGCTGGGAATTATGGTTGCATTCTGGTTGCAGTATGGTACTCAGTATATCGGTGGTACAGGGGATTATCAAAGCCAGGCTGCTTGGCGTTTGCCGCTGGCGCTGCAGTGTCTGCCTTGTTTGATCCTTGCGATTGGGACGTTTTTTCTTCCGTATAGTCCTAGGTGGCTTATGCAGAAAGGTGAGTAGTTTTGGAGATTACTATGGTGTTAGTGTCTAATATTGGAAGGATAGGCCGCGAGGAGGAAGCTCTGCAGACGTTGTGTCGACTTCGTCGAGTTTCTCCCGATGATCACCGAGTGCAGTTGGAAATTCTCGAGATCAAGGTTGCGCAGAAATTTGAGGAGAAGACTTCACCTAGTACTTCCAAGAACCAATCCAGCATCCGAGCCGCGCTGGAGCAATACTGGCAATTCTTCCGCACAAGTCATCTCCGAAAGCGAATCATTATTGCCTGCGCGCTACAGATAATCCAACAATTCACAGGCATCAGTAAGCTCTGCATCACAGCCCTAAGAAGAACTACAACTAATTCACATAGACGCAATCATCTATTACGCCCCTCAAATTTTCAAGGCAGTCGGACTCCAAGGATCAACCGTTAGTCTCCTCGCAACAGGAGTCGTCGGCGTGATCGACTTCCTCGCTACAATCCCAGCCATCTTGTACATGGACCGCTGGGGCCGTCGCAAAGTCTTAATAATCGGAGGTATCGGTATGAGTATATCGCAACTGATTATCGCGACTCTCTACGCAGTATACAAGAATTCCTGGTCCGAGCATCCCGCAGCTGGTTGGGCAGCCTGTGCTTTCGTGTGGGTGTACATTGCGCACTTTGCGTTCAGTATCGGGTCTGTTAATTGGATTATTCCATCTGAGATTTTTCCTCCGGCTGTGCGGGGGAAGGCGGTTGGGTTGGCGATTGCGTCGAATTGGTTATCGAATTTTATTGTGGCGTTGATTTATCCTCGGATGTTGAAGGCGATTACGTTTGGGACGTTTTACTTTTTCCTGGCTTTTTGTCTGATTTTGATTGTTTGGGTTTATTTCTTTCTTCCGGAGACGAAAGGTACGTTTTGGATGGGATTGTCTAGTACTAAAGCTGACTTGAGTTATTAGGGGTCTCGATGGAACAGATGGATCAAATCTTTGGGGGGAGTTCGGCACAGGAAAATATCCAGCTTATGGCTGAGATTCGAGATGAACTTGGCTTGAGTGGGAGTGGAAAGGTCATTGGCGAGGAGAAAGTTGAGGAACTAGATACTAGCCATGTTGAGAAGGTGTAGAATGGGCGAGCTTGATATCAAGCCCTAAATGGATGACCATCTCATATTCAATAGCATTTTATTTCAAAATGCCATATTCTGAAAGGTGACTCAATAAAATAAACTCCATTTCACTAACTTTCCTCTCCATACTCAAATCAAAATAACCTCTCACCCCCCTCAAGATCCCTCCCCATCTCCATCTCCTTAACCCTCCCCTCCCTCTCACCAACCAAATCCTGACCAGCCTGCCACATAACATCCCACCCCAACCCCTCACTCAACCCCAAACACTTAACCACAAACCCAAAAAGCTTCTTCTCAACCGCAGCAGCATGCCTCGTCAACCCATGATCATCACCCGGAAAAAGCCTCATCTCCCGATCCCCATCACCCCCATACGCATTAAACAGCGTCTTCGAACAACTCGGCGCAAGAACATGATCATCCTCACCATGCAGCAGCAACACCGGCCGCGGACTAAGCATAGCCACACCCTCCGTCCTGGCTGTCTGCGACGCGATAGTCGCTACGCCTGCGACGCGGACGGGTTCCCGCGCTGCGACGGTGAAACACGGACTCCCGCCGAAGGACCAGCCCACGATGACAAACCGGCTCGCGCTAAAGTGATCGCGCAGATAGTCGAAGCTAGCTTGCATGTCGGCGACGCAGTACCCCGTCTGTGCGGGCTCGCGGTAGTCCAGACGTATACATGGGATGGAGAGGAGGAGGGCGATTTTGTCTGCTAGCGAGGGGTAGATTCCTGCTGGACCGGAGACGCCGCCTCCGGCGCCGGAGACGAGGACGACAGCGCTGGGGGGTTGTTTGCTTGTGGGTGTTGTTCGGGGTTCGTGGAGGATGGCGGGGGCTTCGTGGTTGAGGGGGTCGGTGACTTTTATGGTAATGCGGTGGGTGATGGAGGGTTTTATGGCTTGGCGGTCGACTTTTGGGGGGTGGAAGGGGCCGAGGGTTTCGAGGGGGTGGTTTGGTTGGTAGTCTGTCATTTTGAGGTGAGGATTATCTAGAAATGGATATAGGGAGAGGGTAACGTTATCGGAGAGGTTAATTGGGGTTGCGAATAGAGGTACTATGCGCAAGGGAGGCGGATTGTTTGAATGTTGAGATCAGGTTGACGATGGGAGGCAAATTTGATAGAGAGGCAAATCAAAGAGCCTCAAGTGAGATGACCGCATCATGAGGATATGTTATTTGGAGAATCGATTGAATTGCATTAGTCTTAAGTACATAGATTCCGATATCCGTAACATCCGTAACGCCGAATTCCCTATTAAACACCTGAGCAAGAGCGCGGTCGATACCGTCACAGAGATTCAAAATATAAAAAAGATCAAACCAGACCAGATTCCCAGTACCCCAGACTCCGGCTCATTATCAGGGTCTCATCCAGTCATAACAGAAAAGTGCGTACATAGTCATCGAATCATGATATAGGAAATAAGAAAAGTCGAGTCAAACCGAGTCACAAGCACGTTTAAGCGGTACTCCGCCGCTTCTTGTTGCGACGTAGACTGAGTTTCTTCTTCAGTTGAAGGAATGGGTTGGAGATGGGCTGGTTGTAGAATGGGTCATTCTTGAAATCCTCGTCGGTGAATTTCTAGTAAAAAGTTAGGTCTGGTCTCGAACTTGACGTGAATAAATTTACATACCTGACCGGGAAGGCGCATGAAAAGCCCATATTCATCCATCATATTCGATCCTTCTTCATACTCGTACGTCTGTCCATCCCGATCGGTCGTACCGGGAGGGAAATAGGCCGTGCCATCGAGTGGGCGGTGGCTGTGCAAGCAATCGATAATCTTATCGCGCGGCGTAGCACGCAGAGCTTCCTCATTCGACTCTCTGACTGCCTCGAGCGGACTGTGATGGCTAATGCGATTGCGCTCGGGGCAAACCGCATCGTACGGACCCTCGTGATGATAAGAGTAGGACGTCACATCGTCCAGCTCATCGATGATATCCGGATTCACCAACTGTGAGTTTCGCGAGTATCGCTGCTGCGAGCGACGGCGCCGGGTTCCCGAACTGTCTCGCTGTCTCGGGTACACCGGTTGGTGCTCGGGAGAGCCGGACCACCTACGTGAATCCATGGAAACGGTGGGTACGGAGGGGAAGGATTCCGAGAGAGACCGCTTGGAGTGGGAGTGGGAGTTCATTGAAGGTGCTGGTGACATGTATCGGGCATACGGGTTGTTGCTGCCCAGGGTGGAATAGCTCGAGCGGCGATCCCGATCCCGGCCGTGCTGGTGGTTGTAGGGGTGGTGGGGGTGATGGCGCGAGGCCATCGACATACAGTCGACAGCAGCCATTTGTTCCGAGTGTAGAGGGACTTGTTGAAGAGGGTTTCCGTGATGAGGGGGTGAAGATGGGAAGGAAAAAAAAAGAGGGGAAAAGCCCGAAGGATTGTGGTTATAGTTTAGTCCCCTTGCAAGGATCACGCGGTGTATAGAAAAGTATACTTCGGAGAGTGACCCGATGAGAAACGAGTGGGGCTGACGTAGAGAAGAATATGCAGTGTAGATCGTACAGAGTTGAGGTGTAGAGATACGGTGTAGAGGAAGCGGGGAAGAGAGTATAAGAAAAGATGTGAGGTGAAAGATGGAGAGATGGGAGAATAGAATCTGAAGATGACCGATGAGGCCTGGAGAACAAAGTTTCCTGGCTCTTTTAAAAGAACTAGAACCTTTTCCGAGAAGTACCAGGGAAGAAACGGAGGGTGACGTGACTGACTTGCGTATTCCTTCCACAGTTCACTGGGACTCGGCTTATCGATAAGAGAGGGTCCCCTCCACGCTAGAACTTTCATCGTCGGCACTAAACCCTTTTAGGAAATTCCTTGACCCAACTTAGCCCCACCAACCATCCCCCTTTAGTTTAGCTCGGGTCCCTGCGGATACGCTAATCACCTTGCACGACGATGACGATCACACTTGTGATATCATCCGGGGGCAAAATGGGCCCTGAAGGAGTCCACTATGACATTCCTCTCGAACAGAATGATAAAGAAGGGTCCTATCATCTCCAACATGCCCCGCGACGTCGACGTCGGGGTACCCAACAGCCCAGACGCAGCCACGCTGACTGATGGACAGGGTCAGGTGAGCACTGGCCCGACTCATTATGATTACTCAGAAATCGCAGTTACGCAGTCGCATCCACCAGTTCCGAGTCTTTCCTCCCAGTCATTGCGATGACGCTGCAGCCTTTTACTTCCGCGGACTTCCAGCGGGCCTTGCGATGATTCATAGGTACAAGATGCTGCTTATAGCGAGAAAAGAAACTTCAGGAAAAGTCTGTTCCTTGACCATGCTCTGGTTCAGCCGCGATGACCCGTGCACTACCGGTTAAGCTTATCGACTAGCGAGAATAGCGTGGGTGACCTTGCTGACTGGCTCATCTCTAGTCAAGGGACCCCAGCCGTACCATACCGGGCATTCCTAGATAGGGTCATTCGGTCTAGATCGTCGACGAGACTGCATGGATCCCTTGTGTGCCCTTGCATTGAGACAGGTCTATCTATAGATACGAAGATGGCAGTCCGAGACTGGTGCTCGTTATTTACGAACGAGAATCCATCAATTGAATATGAGTCACCCCAGATTATTAGATGAGTGATGGTTAATCGTCCATGGGCACGAACGAGACCCTCAGCAGGTACCAGTCTATGTCAAGCGAGGAGAGAGTAGAAGCTTGATTCTCGTAGCTCAGTTTTCTGGCGAGGAACCGGCACTCGGGCCCAATCAGTTCCATTCCCATGGCCCTCCCGTGCGCGCGGCTTTAGGGTTACATTAGAACCATCGACGGAGCTGTTAGGAATCAGCTACGTATGCTCAAGATCCTGCGACACCCAAAATTTGTCTGAGACGACAATCAGTGATGATATTCAGCCGTAGATCTCTTGGAAATTACCAGTAGCTACCAGTTCAAGCTGATATTTCATAGTACATTGGGAAGCTTCGAGGCATGAATTTCCCGAGGTGGCTGGGCCCAGCACATTTACATAGTTTATTGACCACAAAAATTCAGATCAAATTCCCGATCAATAAATCAATGCAAAAAGAAAGACGAAACATTACTAGCTATCAAAATTCGATCGCTAGTCAGATCCCTAAGTCCCTAGTGTATCCCTCGCACGGTCTGATCACCCCCAAGATCGCCCTAGCGCGTAGATCCTCAGGCTCTCCGCATCCCGAAAACTCCTTCCCCCCACACCAGAAAAACAAACCATGGACCAACCCCAGCATTCTGCACTCTCACTAGCAAGAGTCAATAACCCAAATTCATGTCCTTGGTGCAATATTCCGACTCTGAGTCAGATGCAGATGACCAGCCCGCATCACCTCCCGCCAAGAAACCCCGCCATGAAGCTCCCTCCAAAGGCCCAGCACTGCCTCCATTGCCAGCAGCCTTCCACGACCTCTATGCCTCGAGCACGCGCGTCAGTGTAAAAGATGACCCGAGCCTCCATGGTGGCCGGAAACGCGTCATACCCCATGTGGAAGGTAACTGGCCGACACATGTCTATGTGGAATGTATGTGCACTCATGGCCCTCGCGTTGTCTCATATTTTCATAGCTAATGGAGAGGAACAGGGTATCCAGCCAAGGATGAGCTCGCACTCCTTGCAGACCTCATAGCTCGCGCTCAGTATCCGGCGGATCTGTCCGACGACAATGCTAGTGAAAGTGCCGGCACCCCGCGCCTGCACAGTCTTTTGCACAGTGACCTGGGCGCCCAGCTCCCGCTGCACATCAGCTTATCAGCCCCCGTGGTCCTACGTACCGAGCAGCGTGCCTCGTTCACCGAGACCTTGACGAGAAGTATACGAGACTCGCACATTCCACCGTAAGACAAAGACAGACCGCCCATGCACCCGTTTCAGAACACTGCAGAAGCCCTTTTTTTTCACGAGTATCCCCGCTAACATACATCCTCAGTTTCACCGTCATCCCGGATACTCTCAAATGGGTATCCAATCATGAGCGCACACGCTGGTTCCTAGTCCTCCACGTTGCGCGACCAGCATCAGATGGTCTGAATCGCTTACTTGCGCTGTCGAATCGGGCACTGGCTGCTTTTGACCAGCCATCGCTGTATGCGTCCTCGCGTGGGGCTCGTCGGAACCGTGCGCTGGTCGCACATGGTCGGGGTCAGGATCTGAGTGAGTCTGGCGGGGACTACTCGGATTGCTTTCATGTTTCGCTGGCATGGAGCTTGGTCGAGCCTGGTAAGCTGGATGAGGAGCGTGTGAGGGGGTTGGACTTGGGGGATGTAAATAGTATGAGAGTGAGCTTTGATAGTGTGAAGGTTAAGATTGGGAATCATGTTGAGAGTGTTGTACTCCCGGCTGAGATATGAGGGTTTCAGGCGGGGGCTTGTCGCGATAGATTATGATTGACGATTATTTAGATGCTACTAATACCATCATAGTATGCGCGTAAATATGCTTACTGTAGAGCAGCTTCATTGCCAGCTTTAGATATCGAGTCTAGCATCGTTATTCGTCCTCAGGCGATCACAATACTGTATAATTGTTCTTCACCTGCCAATAAAAGATTCATAGCGTTTGAACTAGTCCTGTCAAGATGTCCATGAAGAATCCAATCTCACTCACGATTATCCCGTCAGATCCCAATTAGGAAATTACCGAATCCCGATCTTACGTAACCTTCTTGTCGCGCCCCCACGCGTCTTCCTTAACCTGACAATGAGCATCTCTCCTCAAACGCGATGCAGGTTCCAACCGTCACTCTTGTAAGCAGATACCAAGCCCCTTTCCTACCCCTACTCAAGTTAACAAGGAGTCCTTCCCTAGGAAGACCTCCAAGCCTTTCAAGCAGCCCACTTCCCCGGCCACCACCAACCTCTGCACGCGCCCACGGCAGAACCTGTCGTCGAAGACGAGCTCTACGCCGACGAAGATGACCTCGGCTATTATCCGGACGGCGTGAAGCGCACCTTAACGGACGAACAAATCCGCATCTTCAGACACAGCGAGATCCACGCCCTACTACGCAAGAGACAGCTGGAGCAGGATGAGGCGGAGTATGAAGCCCGGGCTCGGAAGTTATCTGATGATACTGTGAATGCTGAGGTAGAGACTCGCCGGGAAGAGCCAGTCCCTGATGAGGGGAATGTGGTTGATGAGCAAAATGTGCACCACGCAGCTCATGGCCAGGGTCAGGGCCATCGGTCCTCCGGCGGAGCTAAGTCGAAGAAAAGGGGTCATCGCGAAACGCGCAATGAGCCGGAGCAGACTCTTGATTATGAAGATGTCGATCAGAGCCCGGCTCCAAGGGCGCGCCCGACTGACCCGCGTGCACCGTATCCTGGACGGAGAATCATCTCGTACGAGGATTAAAGGATGCTTCAAGGAGAAGTGAGTTTGGACAAGGTGCCCGGTGATAGGGTACTCTTGTCGCAGAAGAAATTCCAATCGTCTTACGATGCGTTTCCCAGGTGCCTCGTACTGAAAATATGGTAAGTCATGTCCTTTCTTTCTGTCCTGCGACCCCCAGCATACCATGATGAAAAAAAACCAAGTCATCCTTAGTCGGAAGACCATACCATCTAGCAAATGTGTAAGGCTTTGACGACCTTAATCTTCTCTCTGAAAGGCTGTTTTTTGTCAATTTTGTCGTACTACGCTACATTGAATGATATACTGATGCCATTCTAGGTTCGATCCCCAAACCACAGGCTCCGAAATTGGAGATGTGTATTATTCCAACCTGAGCTGGTCAAGGCCGCCTTGATATGACCTAATTTAGGTCGCATGGTATCGACCTGGTGTCGCTTATCAGATCGTCGAGTCGCGTTTCCAGCGCGAACTCGAATCTCCCCGTTCAAGTGCCTTTGTTCCGGCGCGTCGAGAATGGTAGCTAGAACCAACAGAGCCCAATGATCACGGAGATAATTCACGTCTCATTGGGTGAACAAACTTTACACCGTCCTTGCTGTAGTTCCAGAGAGCCAGGAGCTACCAGCACCTACATTATCAAGTGGAAGCTGATTTTGAATGAATAACAATATCGAATTAAAGCCTCGGTATATTCTATAGATGAAAATGCTTTTCAAGAACCCCCTCTAAGCCAAAACGCCCCAGTAAATGCTAATTAGTGCGTAAAATAAGCAGTCAATGATGATGCCTGACCTCGATCAAGCATTATTCGCACACGAGAAGCTCGCGCTGCTGGGATTGTCGTGAATAGCCTTTCCAGAGACCCAAAGACCCATACCACACTGTAAAGAGAGTTAGCAACGATGTTTCCCGAGATCGAGGTAAAGAATAACTTACAATAGTCAATCCAATTCCAATAAGGATCAGGTTGATAATGCTGAAGATGATCATCCGCGGCGAGGAGGTCAGACGACCCTTGTTGATGTACAGCCAGAACACACCACCCAGGCAGTAACTGAACCAGGAGGCGAAAAGAGCAGTCTGAAAGCTTAGGTTAGCGATGAATAATGCAGCTTCTCTAGAACGAAAACATACAATCAGACTCAGCAGGTTGCTGAAGACGGGAATCGCAGCTGAGATAATCCAAGCAAGGATCCAAAGAGCAACGGCAATGCCGAGCCACAAGCTAATGGCGATCCAGTCACGCTTGTGCATGCGGTCTGTTCCAGCCAAAAGCCGGACGTAGACGTACTTGACTGCGACGTGGCCGTTGATGACACCAGCAATGATAATCTATAATCCATCAGTTATTAGCAGTAAATTCTCAGGATAGACGGAAACGCAGGATATCATACTGTAGGCAGGGCAATGCCGTAGCAAATCTTAGCCACCAAAGGAGAAGCCGAGCCGAGAGCAGGAGAGGTGACACCGTCACCGGCGTAGCGGTAAATCACCAGCGAGGCAACCAGGTACAGACTGATATCAATACCCTGAAGCAGGCAGAGAGACTTGGTGAAGTCACGGGGGTTCTTCAACTCGGCCATCAAGCCGAAGTAAGCAGCGTGGCCGGAGAAAGCGAAGACGATGTTGCACACTGCGGAGAAACCGTGGTAGAGGTCGGTTTTGGCGACGGCCACGACTCCACTGCCGGGGTTTTCGATGCCGACGGCGATCATGCAGATGAATACTGCGACGATGATGCTGACGAATGCTAGAAAGGGAGTTAGTATGGTTTCGATATCGAGAGGGTGGTAGGTATGAATATGAACTCACAAACAAGCGACAACCACGACATCTTCTCCAGGGTACGCGGCAGACAGCACAGGAAAGAGATAATTGTGCCGACAATACCGAAAACAAGCGAGCAAGTGCCGTGGCTGGTGATAGTGTTCATGGCAACGGTAAAGGTCAAAAGATGACTCGACATGATGAAGATGAGGAAAAGAATCTGGCAGACACCCATGAATTCACGGCCGAATGCGCCGCCGAGGACTTCTCCTGCGTCGGCCATTGTCATGATGTAGGGGTATTTCAGTTTCATTTGTCCAATCATGTATCCGGTCCAGGTAGCGAGCAGGCCGAGTGCGATGATGAGAATGATGGAACTATCAAAGACGTTAGTATGAATGTGTAGATTCTTGCTTTTCTTTTGGAAACATACGGGACAAGACCCAATGCTGCGACGGCGGCAGGGAGAGACAGGACACCGAGAGAGACGGTTTCAGCAACCATGACTAGGGATTGGTTAGATTGAGATCGTACAGATATTCAATTGTGCATATCACATACGTAGGCCGCATTGCCTAGCACCAGCGAATTAGTTAAATATGCCATGTTTGATGGGACCGGATTTTGTACATACCACCACTTCATGACTTTATACTTGACCTCAGCGAATTCCTCGTTGCCAAAGGCATCCTGCTTGTATTCAGGCGTGTTGTCCATCTTATCCTCGGGCTCGAACTCGACAGGAGGGACATCGACGCTCTTCTGGCGAGCATTTTCCAAATCCACAGCCTCAGCTGGGCCATCCACCTTAGAGCTCATAGTGGCAGTCGTATTTATTAGTCGTATATTCGATCGTCAAATCTCCGCAATAACCGAAAAGTCGTAGACAAGCTGTACAAAATATCAAAGTACCAGAACGCGCCAGTCGCGAGAGATATAAAGGTCGAGAAAAATCAAAAATACAAGCTCAAGAAATTTCAACAGACGATCGCTTGACTCAATTCCTACAGTTTCAGTTCTCGGCCACTCTTTACAGAACGGGGCCCAGTCCAGAGTGGACCCTACAGCCACCGATGGAACCGGCCTTCGGCCCGTCTGCACGAATCACGGCCCCGAGACGTAATAGAAACCACGCAAAAGGCAGCAAGACGGAGTCCAATCCTCTGTGAAAAACTGGGGAAGCCGATGAAAAAAAAAAGTTCGTCGCCGATGCCGGCGTGGCTACCTATTGACAAATGCAGCTTGTTTCAAGCAGGCTTTGTTATGGCTGCTAGAATGTTGAAAACAAATTCAACTTTGATATGGCGGATAAGCTCTGCAGATCTCTGCAGGGACTGGCGGCTCCAAAAAAAACTTTTAGTTCAGCCACCAGGCTAGAGTCTTGTGGGCTTGTATCGGCCTCTATAGTGTCGTTTGAGGCAGGTGGCTTAGCCGTAGATCAGCCGCTGCGAAATCGGCCTTCAACTTTGCGCGGTCCCCCTCCGAGGGCCCCTTCGGTGGCCACTTTTGGCGCGTCACCCATTTGTAGCGTGACTCAGTGGCCAGGCAAATTCTGCAATGGTTGTTCGTGTCTGTGGAATTTCGGCTCATAAGGCTGATTTGACGGCATTTGGTTGGTTGTCTTGATGGCTGTCTGCTTAAACGGATCTATGAAAAGGTCCCATGTGGTAAGTCCGATCCCAACGATATTCCATACTAAATAAGCGAGGAAAGCATCGACGGTTTGTAGATGTAGATTAAATGCCATGGTTGCAGTAAAGGCTTTCCTAATGAGAAGCCCTAAGAAGTTAGCAGCCTTCCACTTGAGAAGGGGAGATCATGGCCACCTGATGAAACAACCCTTCATGCCTAAAAGAGTTCCTTTTGATTCTTAACTCAAGATTCGGGACTTTCCTATAGTTCAACTCCCGCATTCAACGGTTATGAGAGAATACACTGCTAAGGAGGCAGTCTTTCCTTCCATGGACATAGTGTGTCTAGCCACTGTGCGAGTCTAATTGGATTCCATTCCGTGACTCCATCGTTCAAGTTCAAGCTCTAATTCATTCCATACTTGACGGTATTTATTGATCTAGTGCTGCTACATGATGTCAAATGTTCCGTTCTCTACTCACTTGGTATATAACGTTTATCCAGAAAGATAAGAGTCTAAGCAGATCCAAATTCTTTTCGAGGTTTATCTTGTGAACTTCAACTCAGTCTGTGATTTAGAACTGCCCCGTTTTCCTCAATTGATGATTTACCTCTTATTAAAGAATCCCAGAGTGGCGGTCTCAGCAAGGCCTTCTTACATTCCAACATGGCTCACGGAGAGCGCCGATTTCATACAAGCACGCTCGGAGTACTATTGAAAAGATATCCTCTCAATCCTTTTCTCATAATGAATATCCTCTTTCGCCGTTTATAGATATTCTCAAAATGATCTATATGGCATTGATTCTTATCTACGAACAGATTTCAACACACATCAACCGAAATTCCACCCTCACCCGGTCAAAATCTCAAATCTCAACCTTAAACAGATATCCCACCACCAACCCAGCCCCCAAAACGATCCCCGCCAAAGGCTGCATCCCAACCCTCTCCGTCAAACTAACCGGAACAAGCATCGTAAGTTCCCCGGGTAACTCATAAATAGGATACAAATACCACGTCGAAGCAACACCCAGCCAAGTCAGCGTCCAAACATACCCCACAGCCCTCTGCCACAGCGGCGGCACATCATCATCACTAGAACCTTTCTTCGTGGTCGATGGGTTGAATCGTTTCCAAAGCTCTTGCACACCGTCTTCGAACATGATTGCGAGAAGGGTGATGGGGAATCCGATTAATGCGCCTGAGTACTCGAATGGAATGTTTTGCACGCGATCTGTCAGGGCGTGCATTATTCCTGAGAGAAGGAATACGACGAACATATTCGTGTATCGCTCTAATATTGAAGGGCGGGGGAGATGGAGGACATCTCTTGTGACGAAATTGCTTATTCCAGTGAGTGGACCGCGGAGGAATTGGTGCCAGAATTTTCTACAGAGCATTAGTACCTTATCTCTCGCATAAACTGTCATATATGGCCCATTGAGATTAAGCAGAAATGCAAAAACGGGTCATATGAATGGTCGGTTTATTAGCAGCGTTCAAACTCACCCCCAAAATTTCCGCACAGTATAAACATCCCTCATCCTCCCAAACGCCGGCGGCCACTTCTCAGGCCCATCCCAACCAAGTCCCACAAAGATAATAGACACGAGTCGGTAATTAGAATCAATCAGGATCCTAGTCATAACGAACCAAGTAATCAAATTCGTGAGACCGCGTTCAACCCATTTCTCAGCGGATATGAACCAGTTTATATGCGTGAAGCCGCCGGATACACCACCACCGGCGCGTTCAAAGGCTTGTTGTCGGGCCGCGGCTTGCATGATATCCAGTACTAGATATTGCCAGATGAAAATGGTGAATTGACGTGTTAAGAATGTGCCGCGTGACACAGTAATGGCCCCGTCCTTCCTATCCCCATCCTTCCCATCCCCATCTTTAGTCCCAGTCCCAGATCTGCGCGATGCATAATACCCCGGGTGTGCGGGAACATTCTTAACCTCCCTCGGCGTGCCCACGCCACGAGGCTGCACAAACAATTCCGCCGCATACCAGAGTCTATCTGAGCGGAAGAACGCGCGGTGGGGGATTTCGCGCGCGATGTCACGGTCGTCTAGACGTCTGATTAGGAGGAAGTGGGCTGTTTGGGCGGTTATGAGGATTAGTTGGCCGCAGAGGGTTGTGCGGATTACGCTTGCGCCTGGGGTGGGGGTTATGAAGCGGGATGCGAGGTATGTTGTCAGTGCTAGGGCTATGTAGCGGAGGGGGGAGGTTTTGGGGGTTAGGATTAGGGACGTTGTTGGGAGGAGGAGCGTTAGGGTTATGGTTAGGAGGTAGTGTGGGAGGTCGGGGGGTAGTAAGTGTGACATTGTGGATGGGATAAGAGGGAGTGTGGATTGGTAGGTGGGAGAGGGAGGAGAGGAGGGTGTTGTTTAGGGTTTTATTTGAAGACGATCTGAAGCTGATGTTAGCACTAGTTTGGTGCTTTTTGGTGGCTTAACTAGGGGCTTACTGGTGGGTCGTGGGTCCTTGGCAGGCCATACTGTAGGTATGTATTTCAGGGTCTTGTATGCAGAGATGCAGCGTAAGGAAAGATATACGATGATTTTTAATTCGAGACTCTCAAGAGAGAATCAGGTGACTCTAATCATCTCGATCTCCTTGGATAACAATGGACTCGAATCAAGCATTCAGACCCGTATCCTTTCAATCTCACCCAGCCGTGCGGCAGCGTAAGCAAGATTCAATGCTCTGCCAACACAATACCCACGCATATGAATATCTTACAAGCTCCATATATGCAGGAATCTGCAATCTAAACTTTACATACGAAGTGGCTAAGATCATGAGATCGTGAGCGACACACGCCCTTAGAAAGTTAAAGCATGAGCTGTTAGGTGAATATTCAACAACCCTACAGGCGGCGAGGGTAACTATACAAGTCTCCCACGCAAAAGGCGAAACCACATTCGTAAACGCCAAAAAAACAGACACAATCCGATTCCCCCAAGAAAGAAACCACATCGTAATGCCATGCCCAGACGCCAAGATGCTATCGTACAAAATCATACAGACGCAGATCCATACATGTAACCATGAATGAATCGGCGGAGAAGAATAGAAGGGGGACACGAGGAGAAGAAGAAGGAGGGGGAAAAGAAAGGAACAGGGAAAGGGAAACGATGAAGACAACACCATTCCAAGTAGGTTTTTGCCATCGTCTGTCGCACACATCCAACCTCGGAATCCGAATCACCCCCGACTGCGTCGCTTCAACAACCGCCGCTGTCGTTGCGAGGCGTAAATCGCCTCATCTGTGAGGATTTCTTCCGGTGGTTCGAAATCACGTTCCGGCATGTCGGGCATGGGATGACCAAAAGCGAGGATGGTATGTGTACGGCCGCGCCGCGTGCCATTTACAGCAGCTAAGGCTGTCTCGCGGTGGTGCGGTTGTTCGAAGAATGAGGTAAAGGGTTTATCGGGTGGTGGAGGGTAGATGAAAAGTGCCGGAGGGGGAGGAGGAGGGGGTGGTGATGCAGCCACAGACGAAGGTGGAAGATGTTGTGGCTTTTGCTTTTTGGAGTTGTTTTTGGTTTCTGTTGCTGTAGACTGGTCGTCTTCAGCACGTCCAGCTTTGGACTTGCGGTTCTCCGAGACGGACTTGCGCCGTTTGGCGACGGAGGCCGAACGAGCTTCTTGATGTAGTTGGCGCGCGGCCCAGGCGTCCACATCGTTCGGGTCTGGTGTACTGGGTGTATCTGGTAAAGGCGAGCTTTCTTCTGCGGCATCCTCGACGGGTCGTGATTGCTTGCGTGAATGTCGAGGGCCATGTGCGTCGGTCTCAGTCTCGCCCACTGGCAGATGCTTTTCCTTGAGCAACTTGCGCTTCCGTTCTTCGTCCTTCCACACTTGGAATTTGTTGACGAGAGAGACGAGCTCGTCGATGAGGATTTGACGTTTCGGTTCGTATAGTTTCTTCTCGTTCTCGTGGACGCCGGTCAGACCCATCACACGCAGCCAGTCTTGACTGCGGAGCTCCTCGAGAAGCCGGTCTACATGCTGCTTCTCATGCTGCGCGCGATCACGCTCAATATTTCGTAGCTGTTTCTCCTGGCGCTCGAATTTGCGGTGCGCACGGAAATATAGGTCTTCGTTCAGAGGGTCGATGCCCGCCGTACTCGATGCCGGCTCGGGCAGTGTAGCTACTTCGCAATTGTACAGTTTTTGTAGAGGGTTGCCAAAGGGTGATGGATCGGAGGAGGGAGATGGTAGAGGTTCGGATAGGTCGTCAATTAATGTGACAATAGTGTTGAAAGCAAGTAGTTCTAGGACGCGTCCGTTAGTTCACGCTCTCTTCTGTCCCGTCGAGCACCAGACTTACCGGGTTTAGGATCATCGAGACTGATGATCTGCTCGTAATTATGGAAATACTGCGCTAGCTCACTCTTACATCGAGAACCGGTATCTGCAGAGCGCAGTGATCGCCTCTCGTTTCCTGTCGATGCTGAAGCATCTTGCTCCGTCTCGACCTGCTGCTGCTGCTGCTGCTGCGACCGAGTTGCATCTGCCGGTCGCATATCGGACGACTGCACCTGCGTCGCGTCCACAGCCTCCGACTCGACAGTCGATTGCAATGTATCCGCCTCCTCCGGTTTCACATCATAATCACCACGGCGAGTAGGGCGCGTCGTAGCAGGTGATTTCAACAGCTTATTCTCAGACCCGATCGACAGCGCATACACTCCCGGACGCGCCTTGACCGAATTCGCCGTCACAGCTGGAGAAATCGTATCCAATGGGTCAGGCGACTCCGGCTCGTCGCGTAGCAAATCCGTTGCGGAGCGTGTACCCGCGGGAGTCTCACGGTCGGCAACACGCCGAAGGGTCGTGACGCCATTGCCATTTACGCGAGGGGTTGCCGGGTGTGTCAATTGATCGCCCGACGCGACGCTGTCCACGGAGGAAGCAGAAGCTCGGCGAGTGCGACGAGTTGCTGGGCGTGGGCGCGTTGGCTTGGCAGGAGGCAGGGCGTGTCGAGCTTTGCTCGAGGCAGGATCGTGGGTCGGGGTGGTGGCGTCGAGGCAGTCCGGGGAGCTTCTGCGACGGTGGACGGGCCAGAGATCGTGGAGGGTCCTTTGTCTTTTCATCAGGGGTCCCTGGCGGTTGTGGTCCAGGTGGTCGTTTGGGTTCCGTCGCATGGAGCCGCGGAGGGAGGACCGCGACAGGACGGCCATTGCTGGACGATTGGGGAGGAGGGGGGGGGGGGAGTCGCGACGGAGGAGGGGGGTTAATCAGGAAAGAGTCATGCTGTGATGGATCTCATAAGGTAGAGATTGGTGAGGGGTGAAGGAGATGGTATCCTCGGTTGGTCCGAGGGCCTGGCGGTTTGATCTCAGGGCGATCGGGATGGGCTTTGGATGAGGTGGTTGAGGGTGATGCGAGGAGGAGAGGTTCTTGGCGGGACGATGCTGTTCCCGTTCTGACAAGATGAAGCTGCTATCATTGATCAATGCGGGTTATTTGAGAGATGATGAGTCTTTTATTTGTTTCTCTAGATTGGAAGCTATGTGTTTCTGAAATTATCTACCTCGAGCAAGCGACCAACACGGAGGGGTGGACTCGATGGTCATCCACCCGCGGATACATATAGGAGGGTACACTATGGAGACGACTACAGAACTACGCATGAAGACAACCACACCGAGGAAAGACAGCACAAAGACACACTTCCACGACGCTCATTATTCCAGAAAATTCTCTTTCTTCATCCAGTCTAGGAATATTCCTTTACCGACGAGCCCCCACGTTGGAGGCGAGTGGGGGAAATGGTCGTGGGCCCGAAGGTGGGAAGTCGTCCACTAAATCACCCCGGAATTCCCGGCCGAAGCTGTAGAAACGGAATAATCTCAGCTATTTATGAGATGACAAGGAAGTCATAATCCGAGTGATTGATTGCTCCAGACCAGGGTACAATCCACGGACATCCCTCCGACGACTGGAGTCGCCCAAGAATCCGTGAGGCCAAGACCGACGTTCAACCCCGCATAAGAAGAGCGTGGGGGGAGAGGGAATAACGACCGAGGGGAAGATCACAAGCCTGGAGGGTAACGAGTTAGCGAGTTCAGAGGAAGAAAGTAGTCAAGGTTTCGGGGTTTGAGGTTCTCCCACGCGGGGCAGAGGTGACCTTGAAAGTCGAGAACTAATCAGATCGGAGGTGGGGGACGTGGGGGTTTTGGAGACGATCTGGAGGTTTATTATTTAGCTGTTGCCTTTTTCTCATGGGGGATTTACTTTACAATTGACTTTGATTCTTCTACTCTGGTAAGAACTTGCTGTTTTTGATATCCAAGATCTTTACTGATTCCTCGTTAGTGTGATCCTATAGAACTCCTCATCACACTACTATCATCATCATCATCCTCACCACCACCACCTACACCACATCTACAACCTCAATCCCTTCACAATGACTGCCAACGGCACGCACAAGCTCAACCCCCTCCCCAAGGGAGTCTACGTGCCCACCGTGGCCTTCTTCCAACCCAACGAAGACATCGATTTAGCCACCACCGAGAAACACGCCACCTACCTCGCCCGCAGCGGTGTCACCGGGCTAGTCACTCAGGGTAGCAACGGCGAAGCCGTCCACTTGGATCGCGAAGAGCGTAAAGCCATCACGGCCGCTACCCGTCGCGCCGTCGATGCCGCCGGATACCCACACATGCCCGTCATCGCAGGATGCGGAGCCGCCTCCACCCGCGAGACCATCCAACTCTGCCAAGACTCCGGTGCTGCAGGCGCCGACGCAGTCCTGGTCCTACCCCCGAGTTATTACAAGGCCCTCGTCAGTGCCGAGGCCTTGCATGCACACTTTATCGCTATTGCCGATGCGTCCCCCGTGCCGGTGCTCATTTATAACTTCCCCGGTGCCTCGTCGGGACTCGATCTTTCTTCGGACGATATCCTGGCGCTGGCCAAACACCCCAATATCATCGGGTGCAAGTTGACCTGTGGTAATACCGGTAAACTGGCCCGTGTCGCGGCGGGCTCGAAGCCCGAGTTCCTTACCTTTGGTGGTTCGGCGGATTTCACTCTGCAGACGCTTATTGCCGGTGGAGATGGGATTATTGGGGGTACGGCGAATTTGATTCCCCGCTCATGTTTGAAGCTCGTGGAGTTGTATGGTAGTGGGAAGATTGAGGAGGCGCAGAAGTTGCAGGCGATCGTGGCGAGGGCAGACTGGGCGGCTATTCATGGAGGATTTATTGCGGTGAAGAGTGCGCTGCAGTCGTATCGTGGTTACGGTGCTCTGCCGCGTCGGCCATGTGTGGTGCCCACGGAGATTGCTGCGGCGGGGATTCACGAGGAGTTCCGTGAGGGTATGGAGTTGGAGGGATCTTTGGAGAAGTCAGCTTGAGAGAAGAAGAGAGTAAGATCCGAGTAAACGGTGAATATCGCAAATGCATCATGATACCTTCTATTCCCCGCATGGTGGCTTTTTCTCGTATAAAACGTACATACCGTAGCTTCGAGCACAAGCCACACGATAGCTTTTTGATATATACAGGAGTCTCCGCAATGTCACAGTGGCATTTTGATTGCTCTCAAGTCGCGTGCCCTTGAATCTGATCGGTGATTGTTCATTTCGCTCTCGGCTCGTTGAGCACAGACTGCAGTCCACGACGCTACCCTTGATCCAAGATTCGATCATGGAAAACAAGTATAGCCGACCTCTCTCGGCAAGATAAGGCGCAACCCCCGATGTAGTATGTGGAGGTCGTACTTGAAGGACCGTTAGGGCCTCCCTTAGGCTTGGGTCTTCTCAGGTTCGCGTTTAAAGAGGGAAAGTCAACTAGAGAGAAATGGGGTTAGTCGGATGGGGCCCGTAAGGAAGGGATGTAACCTCTGGCAGCTGGATGGAACTGAAACATCGTGGTGATTGTGATTGTTGAGGGGATCCGATCTCGCTGGACTGAGTAGAAGATGCTAATCTCCGGAGTCGAACGTGGTAACCAGATTGTTTGTGTTTACGTAGTTTCCCGTCCCGCGACGAGTCCAATTGTTGCAGCATTCCCCCAACTGATCAGCGATGCGATCGGCATGCTGGAGATATTCATAAATAAACCCAACCTCCTTCCCTTGGACTTTTCCTTTCTCTCTCTCACCTCTTCACCTTCCTTTTAAAATCCTCACACCATGAAGTGCGCCACCATCCTTGGGCCGCTGGGGCTCCTGGTCTCGGCTGTCTCTGCCGTCAAGGTGAACCCACTTCCCGCCCCCCGCAACATCACTTGGGGCTCCTCCGGTCCCATTCCAATCAGGAACGTCAACCTACGCACCTCCGATAGTCACGGTCATAATAACGCCCTCATTCAAAACGCCTGGGACCGAACTTGGTCCGCCATCGTCGATCTCCAATGGGTGCCCGCTGCCACTGAGGCTCCCATCCCTGTCTTCGACCCCTTCCCGACCGGCGCCGGCAAGACCAAGCGCGCCTCCGCCGCGACTGCGGTTCGTTCCGTTCAGCTCTCCGTGACCGATGGAGATGCTGATCTACAGCATGGTGTGGATGAATCGTATACCCTGGAGGTGACCGCAACCTCTGGCAGTGTCAAGATCACGGCCCATACCGTCTGGGGTGCGCTCCACGCGTTTACTACTCTGCAGCAGTTGATCATCTCCGACGGCAAGGGCAACCTCATCATTGAGCAGCCCGTCAAGATTCAGGATGCGCCGTTGTACGCTCACCGTGGAGTCATGGTCGATACAGGTCGCAACTTCATCACTGTTCCCAAGATCCTCGAGCAGATTGACGGTCTGGCTCTCTCCAAGCTCAATGTCCTCCATTGGCACTTGGATGATACCCAATCCTGGCCCATGCAGATTCGATCTTACCCGCAGATGACCAAGGATGCCTACTCGACCCGCGAGATCTACACCGAGGCGGATATGCGCCGGGTCATTGCCTATGCGCGTGCCCGTGGTGTTCGTGTCATTCCCGAGGTCGATATGCCCAGTCACTCGTCCTCGGGCTGGAAGCAGGTCGACCCGAATATCGTGACTTGCATCAACTCATGGTGGTCCAACGACGACTGGTCCAAGCATACCGCCGTCGAGCCGAACCCGGGTCAATTGGATATCATCTACAACAAGACCTACGAGGTGGTGGGCAACGTATACAAGGACCTGTCGGCTATCTTCACGGATAACTGGTTCCACGTTGGCGGTGATGAACTCCAGAACAACTGTTTCAACTTCAGCACTTACATCACCGAGTGGTTCGCCGAGGACCCCTCGCGCACGTACAACGACCTCTCGCAATACTGGCTCGACCATGCCCTGCCCATCTTCCGCGGTACCGGCGGTCCCAAGCGTCGTCTGATGATGTGGGAGGATATCTTCATCAACACCGACGCCGCGCACAACGTCCCCAAGGATATCGTCTTGCAGTCCTGGAACAACGGTCTCACCAACATCAAGAACCTGACCGCCAGCGGTTACGACGTGATCGTCTCCTCCTCCGACTTCCTCTACCTCGACTGCGGTTTCGCCGGCTTCGTGACCAACGATCCCCGCTACGACGTCATGACCAACCCCGGCGGCGACGTGACCTTCAACTTTGGCGGCAACGGTGGCTCCTGGTGCGCACCGTACAAGTCCTGGCAACGTATCTACGACTACGACTTTACCGCCAACCTCACCGCGGCAGAGGCCAAGCACGTCCTCGGCGCCGAGGCTCCCCTCTGGTCCGAGCAGGTCGACGATGTCACCATCTCCAGCAAGATGTGGCCTCGCGCTGCGGCCCTGGGTGAAATGTTGTGGTCTGGAAACCGTGATGCATCGGGTCAAAAGCGTACTACCCAGCTTACCCAGCGTCTGCTGAACTTCCGGGAGTATCTCGTCGCAAATGGTGTCATGGCTACTAACCTGGTTCCAAAGTATTGTCTGCAGCATCCTCATGCATGCGATCTATACTATAACCAGACCGCAGTCTCTCCTTGAACCGTTTTCTCTGCTTGACCTGGCTTGGCTTTGGCTGGCCTGCCTTGACGGTCTTTTTGGCTTACTTTCAACTTGGCTTTGGCTTTCGAACCCTTTCCCTTGATTTGGAATCCCGTTGCGGGATACGGGGATTGGGAAATGCATATATGACCCCCTCCCTTCCGTATGCATTGCTGCATTATTAGGCGACCCTCGTTACTTTTCTCGTTCACTGTATTTATTGCCCTTTTTTTGCTTCGATACCCAATATTATCACCTCGCTCGGGTATATCTTTGCTTGCACGTAGCACTCTAATCGTCGGTATTACTTTGACTTCTGGTTTGACTATTCTAGAATTGTCCATCTCATACACCCATCTCTCCATGGAACGACACATCACGATCTAGACTGGTCCTCGATCCTATTACACGGAATACATCTCCATCACATGGCAGAGTACTTCCCACGAACCCATGCCGTTTCAGAATCAACATAGCTACTTCTGTTCATCTGCATCGGTCATCGCCGCTGCCTTACGACATGAATCGAGTTGCAGGATGAAGCTGGTTCTAGCAGTGTGGTTACTCTGCTCCGCGGCCCCGGGCTACAGATTCGACGGACCGGATGCATGGGATTCTGGGGGTCGAGGTGTTACCCACAATACAAGATGGGGCCAGGTAGGACTTTAGATTTCAACTGGACTGGATCATCCCCGCATGAGAAAGAGTATAAGCATGGGAGACAGGGAGGAACTGGGCTTGTGAATCTGGTTGTTGTACATGTGGGATTTGGGGACTGTGGATATCCTTGCTTGAATCCTAATTATACTACAGATTGCAAGGAGGACCTGATAAGAATAGATTCCTTGTCCTAGTACATCCGGGATATGAAGCGAATCCGTCTGGGACTAAGGTTTTTGCTGAGTCTGTGAGCGTACATTCTCCCAAGAAATCGGGAAGCCTCCATCCACTAATCCATTGCATCAATCTCGTTCAGGCGTTGGGGTGAGTGTTGGCGTTGGGTAGGACAAATTCCGTTTCATAGTGCTGACAGGGGGTCCATCCCACATTCTAGTCTTTCGTTCTATTAGCACTTGATCGTAAATATAGACTGCTCCCGTCTTGGTTTGGGATACCCTCACGTCCGCGGTTGTACCACCCTCCCCCGTCCACCTCTGATGCTGGCGAAACATGGGCGGTGCTTACCAATGGGTTGGTAAGAGTTTATTATAACTCGGGACTTGTTTTTATTGGGTGTGCTCGCGAGGTGGTGGTCTGTTGGTGATGATGCGTTTGAGGGTGTTACACGGCGTTGGGGTTGGGATTTGAATGTTGGTGGTGGAGGAGATTGTGAGAGGTTCCGGTTTGATCTGCAGTCGAGGATTGGAGTGGTATCGTATCTGGGTTGTGTTTTGAGACATTGGATTATAGATATTTCTAATTTGTAGTCAGTAGTTTGAAGACCGTTGTCCATGCTGGACGAGGTTGGGAGGGCTCGTTTGTGAAGGCCAAAACGTATGACTTCGTGATATATTAGTATGGAGGCGCGTTTCATGAACCTCATAGTCTGTGCAACAGCAATGTAGAAACGTAAACCCACATCTAGTCCCATAGAAACATTAAATCGAGATATCAAATCCTGAAACATGTTCCAGTTGTTCACGGTGTAGAATTAGCGTAAACAAGGGTTATCACCAACTTCCAGTTCTTCCAGGTAATCTCCCCCCTCATATGGCCTAGTTGGTCAGCCAGGTTTGCGCCACCTGGTTGGCCAAGGGTGTGCCCCTGTGAAGGAAAAATTGAGGGGAAATATGGTTGACTGGTATCTGATGTCGATTATCGCTCCACGGATGACCGGGCACACCCTAAGGGGGGAGAGTCGGCGAGCGAGCTAATCCCCCTCGCTCGCCGATTTCTTGTTTTGTTTTTATTTTTTATTTAATATAGTATTCTTTTAGTATAATGCCTCTAATATTATACTTCTATCTTTTTACTTAAAAATATAGTATTAAGAAGGGTGTAGAGGGGACTATTATATTGTGTAGTATCCCGAGCCGGCCTCTAAAGTATGGACTTCGGCATCGTGAGACCGCGATGGAGCATTTTGGTCAAGTATATAGGGAACGTGAAGGTCGAGGGTTCGATTCATAGGAGAGGAGATTCCTTTTGCTCTCTTAACCAGCCTGGCTTTATCGTGCGAATACTCGTGCTTGATGCCGGACTTCTCGGTCCTCATAGCCTCTGAGATACCAAGTCTAGAGATACTACAATCACCAAACATGACAGAACGACTCAAACGAGACGAACAAGGCAGATTCTGGTAGCCATAGCGATAGGTGACGATTGCTGATATCCAACTTCCCCGATACCCACGAGGTCCTGAGTATTCACGTCAGGCTATTACATGTAACCTACATCTCCGGTGTGCAACGAAGTCAATGTCCAGGATACAGCAAGACATGCAGAGCGAATGCCAATCACACTGCCCCTCGCAGAATCTACTCAGGTCACTCGCATCGAATTACCGTCTCCGTCAAGAAAAGATATCGACGAGCCATTAGCTACAGCATGACGAATTAAAGCTTCATCGTTAAATCATTTAAATTCTACAAACACATCGTATCGCTCGAATTATCCGATCTACATATGAATATGCCAAAAAATCTAAAATCACTCATTGCATGATTGATTCGCAGTGCCTTCGGCTCACGTACGGGAAAACAATTCCTGTTCCCTTTCAATGGCCAACTCCCCGCATAAACTCAAGCCACACATGTTCGTGTTGAATGATGGATCTCGTGTCACATCCGCATGCACCGTTCTATGCGTGGCGAGTGCGGGCTTATGGCAGTGGAAGCCGAGCCGAGTCCATGACAGTGGTAAATGCGGCATTAACGAAACGGAATAAGGAGTAGATGGCTATAGTCTGGTGCCGTGCGTAGTCTAGACATATCAAACAAGGGAGCTCTGAATTTAATCCACTCGAGGCGAGCGGTCCACGCGCTACAAGTCTGGGTATTGTAATACTATACAGAACTACAAACGTAAAGAGGCAGCTACCCTAGAGTACTATATTAGCGCGAAGGCACCTAGAGTACGGAAGTACTATCTCATTAGCGCGAAGACGCCATCATCCCATATCCGAATTCAGCAAAAAGTTGCCGTGCCACCTGCGACGCCAGCGAAGACCGTTCAGAACGAAAAAGAAAGGACTACGGAGTACATCAGAAGTAGCCCAGTAGCCAGTAGGCAAAATACCAGGATCATATCTGTCGATCCGATCGTGACACCACAGTCACAATACCCATTATTGTGGAGTCGGATCGTGAAGACGAAAAAGAAAAATGGGAAATATCTCGGGCCTGACGATGTGAGCTACCTATTGGTTAGTGGCTACCAGCACGGCAGTTGAATTCCCGTGGTGGGGAGCGGGACTGCGTGATCTGGACTTTTTTGAAGGGAAAGAATGCGTTTTTGATTTGTTCAGGAGGAAAGGGGGGGCTTTGGTGGGGAACAAGAGGTCCTCCCCACAGGACCACGATGGGGTTTAGTTTCGGATCGGATAGAGATATGAGTACTATAACTGGATTAGGTCTACCGTATATGTAGCTAGAAGAAGCGTGGTTAAGGAAGATCGCTTGCCCTTATCTTTCTTTTGTTTTTCCCGCCTCGTTTCCGAATGAAATGTCTGCCTCCGAGCTCAAGCCAACGGCCCCTACGACCGGTACTCCTGTCCATCAAATTTCCGTTCTGCAAGGGAAGAATTATCCGAGTCACCCACGAGTTTCTTACTAGCGGTGAAGAAAAAGGGGGCTATTGATCTGGAAATTCCTTGAAAAAGTTTGTGCAGAATACGTAAATTGAAAAGTGATACATCGAAACGACCTATCGATCATGTCGATCATTCTCCCGTTCTTGACCGGGAAGTCGGGCGCTTATGCAATCTGCCATCCGCGATCGACTTTCGCGTCAAGCTGTCGATCATGCATTCCCGAACGATATGATTTGTTCTTTTATATTAAGATACATTAAATTTGATGTACGGTGTACATGGCGATATTAAATGTGACGGGATTTGCAGGATCTCGAGGTATAGACGGTTTCTGTATATGGTAGAGCAAGGATATACTTTGTGAATGCTTAACCGCTAATTTGGAATTGAATGTGGAAATAATGGCCTATTTCATTCGACAGCGAGATGATGCAAGATGATGTAGATTGGCACACGCCCCGGACATAACTTCACATGCCATCGGGTGCATCTCTGTATCTGGATTTCACTCGCTCTCTGGGGTTGAGCAATATCTGGGTGCCAGGGTGCGGGTGTTAATGAATATATCCTTCGGCTACATGCGGAATTAATGATTGACGCGGCCTGTCTCTTGCACCCTGTTTAACTCGTCGCTTGGGTATGAATGATGGTACTTTTGGTACTATTGATAACAATGGATCTAAGCGCTGGACATGACTCGAGTCCTTCCTAAATGGGAATGACAGTTTGGTAATTTGAGGGGGTAGGATGATCATCCAGCAAGCATGAACAGAATATGCATGTTTGACATGAGCGGTAGATGAATATTAACTTGACTATCGAAATTGATGTCCAGGAAGCATTCTTCGGGGATGTTCGGTCATTGAATCTACGGTACACAAGCTGTTCGGGATGTCGATGGATCTGATCTAGCATTTCATTCTTAATGGCATCGCCCCTGTATTATCCCAGGGTCTGAGCATGGTTCGCACAGATTCGTGCCCGGCTATGCTATTGTACCACCAACACTTTACTCGAACTGGCAATATTCGTAATCGCATAGATCTGGAGTGGTACGTATTATTTGATCAAGTTGGTGGTACCGTTTTTCGGTAGATGAACTGCGAACAAATGGGGTTGGCGATTAGGGGTTGGACCTTGTACTACCATCGATGATCTTCCCCGAGTCCAACCGATTCGTCGACAACATTTTTACTTCCATTTTAGGTCGCCGCGTTACACACTGCCTGGTGATCATCTGATAGGCGAT